AGACACGTGCCTTGAACCGCAAGCAGGTCCTCCTGGTACCGGCTTAGCTCGAGGTCGGCTCGGCGCCGCTTCTCCTAGATAGCCGCACTACTAGTATACTGGAGGGCCGGCTCGGGAGACGGAGCGGGAGACGGAGCGAGAGCTAGGCCGGCGCTGCATACATCGCATATAACGTCCTCGTCATCCTGATACTGTCGCTAATACGGCTCGGAGTCGAGGTGCTCACTCAAGCATGCCCGGCGGCAGTCCTGGCCGAGGAGATAGCGGTGCAGGGCTCTTCTCTCGACCACGGTACTCTCAGCGGCTTGCGGCTTCCATGTAGGTGAGAGGAGGACTAGCGAGTACGCCTCCTTTCCATCCCGCCCGGCCCGACCAGACTCTTGGGCGAAGTCGACCAAAGACAACGGCTCGTTGACGTGTACAACTAAGCGAACGTGGGCATAATCAAAGCCAGCGCTTAGTGCAGACGTGGCCACGATGTACGGCTGGTTCGAGGAGGCAAGCCACATTCTCAGCAGCTCCTCCTTTTGCTCAGCTGTGCCTGTATCAGCTATGTACTAGGAGCAGCAAAGTAGCTCGGCTAGCGTAGCAGCATCGTCTTTTGTCCGAACGTATAAGATGATCTTATCTCGAGCCCGATCCAAGAGCTAGCTATTCTCCCACGCGTCCCTTGCCCTCCGCGCGCCCTCTTCGAGCAGACTCCCTCGCCTAGTGGCCCGCTGTACCATATAGAACAGATTTCGCCGGTTTGTCGATGCTCGGATTACCTTAGGGCTCACTAAGTTGTTCTACTCTTCAAACGTAGCTTGTATTATCGGAGGTAGAGTAGCTATCAAGTAAACAAACTGCGTACAGACGTTGCGGATCAGGGCGAGGTCAACTATAGCCTAGCGATAGTCGGACGCTGTGATAGTCAAGTGAGCCTCGTCAAACACAATGCGGCCGAAGTCTTGCGTAGCCGCGAGCTTGTGGGCGTAGGTCCGAAACTGTTCCGTACATGTTGCTTCAACTGTGATAAACACCAAGGGCACATCTCGCTGCTCGCTAGGCGACCACACTAAGTGATCGATCCCTAACTCTCGGACTCAGCGGAGGAGGTCCCCTCGCAGAGACACGAGTGGTAAGACTAAGATCGTTACCTTAGCATTAGGGAGGATATAGGGCAGCATAAATAGCAGGCTCTTCCCTTCGCTAGTAGCCATGATGACTACTACCTGCTTAGTCTATGACATAATAGTAGTTATAGCCCGCTCCTAGGCTACTAACTTCCACTTTAGCGTGTTATCCAGGTATAGCTTTCTTATACTCTTTAGCAGAGCCGCAGCTAACCACTTCTTCTGTAGCCGGTAGATCCCCATAGCGATCTTCTTAAGCATTTGCGGACCGCTAATATCTTTACCATCCCGCTTCCTCTTCCTAGCTAGTCCAAGTAGCTGGTCAAGCCCCCACAAGTCCTTCCACAGAGTTGAAGCACGCAGATTCCGACGGATAAGGCTATCCCACACGTTCCTAAAGTTAGTATTATGCTGGTTTGCATATGCCCGATTGACAGTTCGCGTACTATAGTTCCGCTGCTTGGTTATAACCCGAATGTTAGCCTTAATCTCTTCGGCATCCTCGTCGTTAGCCCCGTCGTCAACCTCAAAGCACCTAATGTTAGCTGCAAACTTAGTTTTAATGATATTGACCGTTATCTGCCGCTAGTTGGCAATGTGTAGCCGGGGGATGCTGGCCCGACTACACGCCTGCTCCATGCACCGCGTGAGCCGGTTGTTAGCCTAGACTTTGCCGTCTTACCACCATAAGTACGGAGAGATAATGGCATGCGGGGCAGACCGGCGGAGGAAGACCTGGAGGAGCGGGATGACAACCACCAAGTAGTCCAGCAAGAGGTCTCCAACAGGTGCAGGCAAGAACCGGATATTATCCTTAAACTTGCCCGTCTGCTGCTGACCTTTGTGGTATGTGGTGTGCAGTATGACTAGCCCGTGCTTAAGGTAGACGTTTCGCCGCCGCTGGGTGTTACGCCAGGTGACAGAGAACAGTTCACTCTCGCGCAGAGGCTAGCCAGAACCCATATAGATTAAGACTAAGAGCCTTTTTAGGAACTCGTTAGCCACGGCCTTATACTACTCAATCGCCTTCCCTCGCCAGACCTTAGCGCCATCCGCGGTGGCATCCAGAAACGAGTCCCGCAACGGCTTCGAGTCTTGGATAACGGTTAGCAAAGACCTCGCTAGCGGCTTTACTAGCTCAACGTTCTCCCGGTGCTAGCTAAAGAACTAGCCAAAGGCATCGGCGTCTAAGTTGTCCTTTAAAGCCTAAGTACGCATCCGCGGGAGGTTCTGGGCCCCGAACATTAGCTCGTCGTAGAGTAAGTGCTAGGCTTGCTAGAAGTCGGAGAGTAAAAGCCGCGGCACGTGATCTATATGCAAATCAACGTCCCGGTAGGTCAGAACCTTCTCGTCCACATCCCACTATGCTTAGTGCGGCCCAACGACCTCCTTCGAGACAATAAACAGCAGTAAGCGCCAGCCGAGGATCTCGCCTATAGGAGTCTCGGTGTCCTGCTTTAAGAACCGCCCGCAAGACTGCTCAATACGCTCGAGCGTATCACCTAGCTCCGCCTTCTCTAGACAAGCGCTAGTGTGGAAGATGATTAGCTGCACAACCCAAATCACACTAGACAAGCAGCTATTGTAGTTGCCCGGCTCTTTCCACGTCTTAGTATATAGCTTGACGCTAAGCATAGCACAGAAGCTAAGCAATGGGGAGCTGTACCGATTGCCTCCAAATTCGTGGCAAATCAGCGCTATTAAGAGGACGGACATAGCATCTCTCAGCACAGGCCGGTCCTGCTCGACAGCACTTTGGAAGGCCGCTTCCCACGCCTTCTCCTAGGCATCCGTAAGCTGGATACAGCTCTCAGGGGTCCGCTAGTCGTCGTCGGCCGTAGTGAAGTGGCTGCCGCGGTAGACGACCCGGTAGCAGAACGTTAGGAACTGCTTCTAGTAGCCGAAGTTGGTCTTAAGCGTATTAGGCTCCTTCTTGGGGTCGAAGGCGCGTATCTTCTGCCCTAGGGCAGCGCTAGTATGGAAACGGCTCAACGCTAGCTGCTGTAGCCAGGTCAGCATATAGTCTGGGCCGTCGAAGCACTAGCTGTATGCCTCTGTAAAGATCTCGTCCATGATTTCTAGCATTAAAAACAACTCGGGCTCGCTCTCGGCAGTCTTTGGCACTGCAAACGAGGCGTGCATCTCGTCCTTCTTCAAGCCCCGCGTGTGCTCCTCGATGCCCGTCCGTCTCAGCCACAGTATTACAGCAGATCTGTGGCTATCGAAACCATGAACGATATTAGCTTCTGCTTTGGCATCTGCCTCTGCTATAGCTACATCTTCATCGACTAGCTTGAAGAAGTTTGCCTCTCCCGAATCCAAGCTCTTTATACTAGCGTCTGAAGCTCCTGCGGCTTCTTTGGCATCATCCACTACAAAATACCGGATGTGCTGCTTCTCGGCGAAGAAGGTCTGGATAGTACACTCTCGCCACGAGCTGCCCTCGACTTGCTGTGCTAGCTTCTGCTGGTGGGCCTTGGACACGTGCACCTCTAGGGCGTGCTTCGACCGCGTGAGGCAGCTAGTGCAGAGGCAGCATGTGAAGGCTGAATAGCAACGTAGGCCGTCGATGGCCGCCGAGCAGGGCGAATTTGGTAGCACCACTCGACTCGGCAGCTGTAGCTCGTACGTCGCGAAGAGGTCGAGGAGAGCCTGCAACTGCGGCCCTTTGCGGTGGTGTGGGGGCTGCCTCAGGTGTTGTTCCTAGCTACTGCGGGAGGGGAAGAGGCAGGTCTGGCACTCGACGCAGAGCACCACACCATAGGCTTGGATGTACGGAAAGCTGGCTGCTATGATCTCCTCGATGTCCCCGCGATTCTATTGAGCCGCCGTACGGCTGTAGGGCTGTAGGGTGGCCCCGGGGGGATTTTTATATTTATGAAAGAATATTTATGAAGTAATGGCCCGTGCAAAGCCCCTGACCGGGGGTGAGATTAGGTGGTCGGAAAATATTTATGCCATAAATACGCGAATTTCTAGGGCTAGCGATTATTATTATAAAAAAAATTAATTATTTTTATATTTAATTTTTTTAATTAAAATATTAGCGATTATTATTATAAAAAAAATTTAATGACTTTTTTATTTAAGCTCGACTAATATTTGCGCGGCTACACAATTAGCTTAAATGCACTTATTCCCTTCGAGTAACGCCGTCTCCCCGAGCCAGAGCATGTAATCGAGTTGTGTAGCGAATAAGCGCTGGAAGTGCTTTTGCAACTACGCCTGGCCCCCGGGTCGCTGATAGACTCCGTAGCAGAGTGGTATGACTATGTCCGGGAAGCGGCATTTAGTCTCTTTAGAGTCCGGGTCGGCTACTCGACAAAGATCCTGCGGCTGATAGCACTTCTAGCAGGCTACGTACCGCTGAATCCACTCTTGGCCCTCGCTCTTGCATGCTTGGTAGGCCTCGTCCTTGGCACGGATCCAGTGGAAGCGGCGGGAGCAGCTTTGCGGGGTATGGTCGAATTTGCGGCCTTGTACGCGGCAAGAGAGGCATGTGCCGGCTAGAGCCTCCAAATCTTGCTCGTAGCGGTCGAGGACCTAGTCTTGGACGTAGTCTTGCCGCAGCACTTCTGCAGGGCCGGTAGACGCTATTCCCTCTAGCGCCACCAACTTAAATCTCAAATCAAGAGGCCGGGCCTCATGGTGGGGCTCTTTGCAGACCTGGCACGCCTCCTCCCCTGGTATGCACCAGCGCTAGTGCGGCTGGTCGTCTAAGAACTGGCTCAGGACGCCTCGAGAGCAGTATTGCTGGGTTAGGTACAGCTGCATAGCCGCCTCGTCCGGGGACAAGCCCTGCTCGAGTCGCGGCTGCCACGTGGCGCTGAGCATGACGATAGAAGAGGCCTTACTCCCATCCCGGCCAGCCCTACCCGACTCTTGGGAGAAGGCTATAGCCTTGTTAGGTGCACCGACATGGATCACCCATCGGATGTAGGGGTAATCAAACCCGATTCCTAGAGCAGACGTAGCTGCAATCACGGGCTAATCCCTATTACTAAGCTAGCCGGCGATAATAGTAGCCTTCTCCTCCTTAGTGCCCGACTTAGACGTGTACGTAGGGCAGTAGAAGATCTCAGCTAGCTGGGCTACCTTTCCCCAGGTCCGGCAGTAGATAATAATCTTGTCTCGGGTGTGGTTGAAGATCTCTTGCTTAGGCCAATATGTTTGCACTAAATTGGTAGCTCTCTCGATTAGAGCGCCAGGCCCGGTCTCGAAGCTAACCATATACTTGATATTCGGCCGATTAGTCGACTCCTGGATAATTCTGGGCTTTACGAGCTTATTATGCTCAATGAATGCCTCTTATAAGGCTGGCGGGAGTGTAGTAGTTAGCCAAACGGTCTGCGTCCTCACCTGCCGGACGTACCAGCCGAGCTAGGCTATACAGGGCCAGTAGTCGCTGGCAGTAATAGTTAGATGTGCTTCATCAATAACAATCCGGTCTAGCTGCTGCCGGCTGACTAGAGTCTGGCAATACTCTAAGAAGCCGGGCGTGCATACAGCCTCTGCTAATACGATGACTAGTGATGCTAACTGCTTGCACTCGACTAACCAGACCAAGGGTCGGATACCGACTTTATGAAAGCGCCTCAGCATATCACCCCGCAGCGCTACCATGGGCAGGACTAGGATAGTGGTCCCCGCATCTACCACAGCCGCACTAATCATAACAACTAGCGTCTTACCAGAGCCGGTCCCGATTACTAGCACCACCTACTCGGCTAGCTGAGGTCCTATGATGGCTAGCACGCCATTTCGCTGACCAGGGACCCGGAATTACAAGTCTGGTGCGTTGTACAGCTTTCGTGCTACGGCCAGCAAGTCGGCCTCGGCATAAGCGCCCCTTTTGCGCACCTGGCCACGCTTAGAGGCATCGAGCATACGCAGCGAGAGCGTCTCTGAGGCCCCGCGCGGCCGCTTGCCTTGGAGCACGCGGTCGAAGCGGAAGAAGGTCTGCTAGCTCTCTGAGGCCCGATAGTTGCGGTGCAGTAGGGCACTCATAGTTAGCGTGGTAGTGCCGGCGTAGGCCTGGTTGAACGTACGGTAGCTGTGGTTGCTCTGCTCGGCTATGGCGGCTAGCTCGAGCTCTTCGTTAGCTAGCTCCTCTGCTAGAGCGCCCTCGAGGTCGAAGCTGGCCCGCTCCTTGGCTAAGAACTTCTCCTTGCAGATCGTAGCCGCAAACTGGCGCCAGCTGGAGGTATGCAGCCGCGGCACCTGGGCCCGGGCACAGGCCTTGGTCAGGCAAGCCGTCAGCGTCCCGTCCGGCCAGACGGTGCCGTCGAGCTTGGCCCAGAGGTAGGGGGAGAGGAGGGCGCCCGGCGTCTGCTGGCGGAGAAAGAGCTGGCGGAGGGGTAGGACGTAGGCGATATAGTCGAGTAGGAGGTCCCCGATTGCCTTAGGTAGGAAGCGCATATTATCCTTATAAGCGCCCGACTGCTGCTGGCCCTTATGATATTGCGTATAGAGCATGACTAGCTTCTCCCAGATAAATAAGTGGCGCTGGCGGGCGGTATTGTACTAGGTAATAGACAATAGCTCGGGCTCCCGTAATGGCTGGCCGGCGGGGATATGGCAGAGGATGAGCAGGCGCCTTAAGAAGTCTTGCGCTTGCGCTTTATAGAGCGCCATCGCCTTTGGATGCAGCTGCATGCTCCCATCTGCTGCCTCGGCCAGGAACATGGCCCGCAGCTCACTACAGCCCTGAATCCGCCGGAGGAGGGCTAGCTCAGCCTCATCTAAGAAGTCGGCATTGCGAGGGTGGGCGAGCCAGGAGCCGCCAAAGTCGTCCAGGTCTAGGTCGTCCGTCAGTCGCCAGGACTGCATAGGGATCAGATCGCGGGACTTAAATAGCAGCTCCTCGTAGAGCAGGGCGTGCGCCTGCTGGTACTCGGCCAGGACGAGCTGCGGCACCTGGGCCAGCTGCAGCTCGGTGCCCCGGTAGGTGACCGTCTGGCCGTCGAGGGACCAGCGGGCCTGGTGCTTCGCTACCTCGCCCTTGCTGACCTTGAAGAGGTAGGGCCGCCACTGCAGGATGTGGCCGAAGGGCGTCTCGGCTAGCTGCTGGAAGAAGCGCTTGCAGATCTTGGCTAAGAAGACCGGGATCTGGTCCTCGTCCTCCTGCTCCTGGAAGCAGGCGTAGTCGAAGAGGACTAGCTGGGCCGTCCAGGTCAGGGCCGACAAGTGGCTGTTGTAGTTCCCCGGCTCCATCCACTGCCCCTGCCCTACCCCGCTACCCCGCACTTGGCGGCTGAGCATGGCGCAGAAGCTTAGGACGGGCGACTTGAAGGGCACGCTGCCAACCGTCTGGCAGATCAGGGCCAGGTAGAGCCGCCGAATGGCATGCTTGAGAGCTAGCAGAGCCTCTTCCTTATCCTCGAGAGCTAGGGCGTCTATGATCTCGTCCATGGCTTGGACCTGCCGAGTAGTAGGCTAGACGACGTCTTGAGGCAGCTTCTGGTCTGGCTGAGCTCGCGTAAAGTGGCCCTCCTCGCTATAGACGACCCGGTAGTAGTACACTAGCAGCTGCTTTATCGTAGTGAAGTACTTAGTAAGCGTAGAAGCATTCTTGTAGTACCGGAAGCCGTCCGAACAGCTTAAAGCGCCCGCATAGAACTCATTTAGGATGTTAGCCCGCTACTGAGTCATTTTGCGGTCTGAAGAGGTATCGCTGTATAGCCGGTAGGCGTCCCGTAGGACGGCCTTAGCTGCGACTAGAATGCGAATGAGATTAAGGTCCAGAGCGGCCGCATCCTCTTCGATATCGTCCTTAGCATCGGCGCCGGCATCTAGCACCTTCTTTGGCGGCAGGGCGTACGAGCTTTTAATCTCTTTGTCTTTTAGCTTAGCTAAATGCGAGGGGAAGTCGGTCCGCTCGAGCCACGGTACTCGAGCTGACCTAGAATCGCTAAAGTCCTGGACAACGCTAGCCTGCTCTACAAGGTCACGTTTTGCCCGGTTGTTGTCTTGCTCGAGCTCTCTAAATAAGGCCGTGTCCTTGTCGTCTAGCGCTTTGTTTGGTGGCGCTTAGTTGTTACTATTACCTTTGTCTGCAATTACACTAAAGTACCGAATATACTGCTTCTCGGCAAAGAAGGTCTAGACAATGCACTTTTGCCACGAGCGGCCCTCGATTTGCTGGGCCGGCTTTTGCTGGTGCTCCTTTGATATATGCACCTGTAGGGCATACCTCGATCGGGTGGCTAGTAGTACAAAGGCTGCACGCGAAGGCATCATAACAGCGTAGCCCCTCGATGGCCGGGCTAGGCGGGAATGGTAGGGCGGCCTGATTTGGCGCTTGGAGCTGGTATGTGACGAGGAGATCGAGCAGCGCTTGTAGCTGAGGCCCTCTCGAGGAGTGCGGTGGCTGCCTCAGGTGTCGCTCCTGGCTGCTGCGGCCAGGTAGGAGGCAGGTCTGGCACTCGACGCAGATGACAACCTCGTACGCGGCGAGGTACCGAAGCCCGGCTACCGCCATAGATCTGGACGCCCTGCGGACCTGCGATTCAGACGTCGTACGGCCCCTCTAGCGCGCCCTGATCGCATGGGGGATCCCTTTATAGTATGAAAAAATATTTATGAAAGAAAAGGCCGTGCGCGCCGCGCTCGACCGGGGTCCGTAAGCGGGGGGAAAAAATATTTATGCCATAAGAACGCGCCCGGCATAAGGGGTAGGTTTCGCAGGCCCGGCATAAGATAACCTAGTGCAAGGGAAGGTAGCGGAAGTCGCTGGCTGCCATTGGGAAGGGGGATTAGGCCGGGGGGGAGGGGAGGGAGGGGAGGAACTTTTATTAGAATAGACGGGCGCTCGGACCACACTTTATTTTGGCGGGCGCAGACTGTGATGGGTTGAACCCATTCTGTGGCTATGCCCCTAAATGGGCATAGCCGTCACGTGAGCAGACGCTCGGGCCTTGGCGCCCTCACAAAAGGATTTCTCCGGGGAGAATCCTTCTTTCCTTAACTAGTTCTTTTTGTAATACACATAGCTTGTTACTTTGACTCATTGTATCAGCCCGTGACACAGACCCTCGGTAGACTCTACGGAGCGCCCGGCATAAGGGATAGGCTAAATTATTTAAATTAAATTAATTAAATTAGTCGAATTAAATTAGTAATATTAAATTAGTCGGATTAAATTATTAACTTTAAATTACCGTGCTTAGATTATTAAACTTTTATTGAATAAATTAGATTATTTGAATTAAACTAGCTAAGCTAAATTATTTTAAATAAATTAAGTATATTAAATAACTCGGATTAAAAAGTGAATATTGAACGATAGAGTTTTGTTTATTTCAGGACTATGTGAAAAGAACGTTCGAAAATATTATGAAAAATATTATATTTCATCAAGAATACGATCGTGGTTCATGGCGAAATTATGGCAGCAAGGCAAAAGCACCGACAAAAAGGGTGGCATCACTTGGACGAGGTGGAAACAATTGTGCGCAAAAGTATTCATTTCTCTATCTAAAAGCTATGGACAATGAAAAGGAAAGCGAACATCAAACGGAAGCGCTGGTGGAGTTGTGGAGAACTCGAACGGTGGTCATAAATTTGTGGCAGAGACCGAGAATGCATTGGGAAAAAGGTCTGCGACCAAAACAGGTTGTGGAAGGAATTGCTTCGAAAGCTTCACTAAATGGTTTGAAATAACCAGTTGTGGAGGCCTCGATGAAATGCGGCCGTTGTTCATGTCGACGTTTCGCTGAGGATGTATTGCGATAAAACGAGTTATGAAGGGAATTGGCTTCGCAGAATTGCGATGCGGGTTGTGGGGAAGTGCTTCGCGCAAAGAATGCGTTGCGATGAAACAGGTGGTGGAGGGCGGTAATTTCGAGAAGATGCTTGCGACGGAGGAGATTGTCGAGAAAGTGGGAAAAACTTCGTGGCCTGTAGGAACATCGTCAGCTAATGTGGAGGACTTTGATGGGATGTCGAAAGCAGACATTGCAGATTGCTTCGTGCTGGGTATGTTCGAAGGAGACATCGCCGGGAGTGCGGTCGTGGGATGGTGGCAGGATGTTCAGAATAGCTTCATGATGGGGACTGCAAGGAACTTGTTAGTCATGGCATAAACTGGGTAGAGAAACTCACCTCGCAGATTCATCGAGAATTGTTTCACTGCTGAAATGCATCATATCGGAAGGACAGGGACCGCTGAAGCGCGGGGTGCTTGGGAGCCGCAGTCTATTCTTGGTGTACGATGAGAGGAAGTGTAGACGAATCACAATGTCGAAACCGTCGGTCTCCAAGGCAGAGCGTTTCCTTATTTAAGGTTATCTCCGATTCGAAGTTTGGGCGGGGTCTAAGAGTCTTCTTGGCTCAGGGTTACTGACATAGGGCTGTCGAATGGTTGCTTATGGCTGGGGGAGCATGTGGTTGAATATTTGATTAGCCTTCAATCGCAGAAGCTGGTGTCGTTGCCCATTGTTGAAAGCTTGCAGGTTGTTGAAGCCTTCGGCATGATAAATCACACAAGCGCGGAGGAAGGGGTGCTCAATGGCTCGAGAATGTAGACGGTGATGCTGCGCTGGCCATGAGAGTTTCGAATTCATCATGAGATTCGGTCTCAGCCGTCTGTCCAGAATCAGCTGGGTATCTTGAACAAACGCACAAGCATTTTTCTTTGATGCGCTCAAGCACAATGATTATGTGGGGTGAAACAACTCCAATCAGAAAATGAATGTGGGGCCTTTGATATTCGTGAATGTCCGAGACTGTCATCGCTTAAAAAGGGGTATCACGAGGGTGGCGAATGTGTGGTAAGACGAAAAACATTGAAAGAACTTTAAGGTATTAGTATTTCCTCAATATGAAGGATCGATTACTTCCCAGTATAGGACGGGTCGGTGCGCAGCAGATGGAAATCTCAACGCTGTATGGCAACGCTTTGAATATACGAGATCATCTCGGACTTTGTTGCGCTAGTTGATATCCTCGCTCACAAGGCTACTAACGTCATCAAACTTTGAACTTGAGGTAATCCTATATCTGGGGAACTTGCTTCTTATGTTCCATCCAAGCAACTGGTCTCCAGAACGACTTCAGCTTGAGCGGTTCTTATCGACTCCTCATGGGAGAGGTTTCCAAAGACATCTCTGTGAGAGCCCAAATATACGAATCCAACACCCAACTTTATCGGGACGACCTTTAAAAGCTGGGGAGATCGAATCAACCAACTTGTCAAGACTGATCTCGATCAGCTAGGACGAATTCAACATCCAACTTGTCGAGACCGACCTTGAAGAGCTGGGTCAATGAAGCTAACACCCAACTTGTCGAGACGGACATCGAAAGGTGCGAAGATCGACAGAATGGAGTTCAAAGACGACCCAGAGCCGCGCAGCTCGCGATTCCGAATATCCGAGAGAATTAAGTCGTCACGGTGCAACGAGTCGAGGAGTTCACTACTCCTCCCGTAAGTCCGTTGATAGCTACCGCACCAGCCTGCTCCTCCAGCTGGCCCACGGAGAGAGGCAAATTATGACTCCCGTAGTCATAACCCAGTCAAGAAGGGACCGCTAAACTCAGATAGTAGGGACGGAGACTACGAGAATGAGCAACGCGGGAAAGCTGCGAAGTGAGCGAACTTCTGCCCTCTCGCTGCGAAGATCGAGAGCTCAACGAAAGGAAAAGTATACTGCTGTAACTCTTACCCAGCCTGCTGGGAAGGTAGTTACCAAGACTACCTCGCCAAACAATGTTCCAGGCCGCAATTCTTCTACTGCGAGATCGAGAGCTCAACCAAAGGAGGAGAATGGCACTATTGCCATTCTTGCCCAATTTGTTGAGAAGTACTTACCCAGACCACCCGAACTCCATGGCCAACTAATGTTCGTGGCCGCAATCCTTCTACTGCGAAGATCGAAAGCTCGACCAAAGGAAGAGAATGGCACTGCCGTCACTCCTGTCCAACCTGTTGAGAAGGTAGATAGTTATCAATACCAGCCGAACTCCATCGCCAATGTTCGTGGCCGCAGTCCTCCTGCGAAGAGCGACCAAAGGAAGCTAGTTTTGCCGTCAAGACCACCCGAACTCCATCGCCAACCAACGTTCGTGGCCGCAGTCCTCATAGCTACCACAAGATTCGGGGAGAGGAGCTTACAATCGTGGAAGGATTTCCAGCAATTCTGCTGTTACAACGGGCTGAAAAAGTCTGGCCAAAGACTGGACACTCTGAGGAAGCCATGTACGTGCTGAAGATTTGCAGACTCAGAGCGAAGAAACATTGTGTTGCTGTCGATGGCTTCTTCCTGTAGATCGAAGTACAATATACAATTGACTATTCTGGTTCGTCGTCTGCTGCTGGTGTTCTTCACCATCTTGTCCCTGATGGGAAAGATCCTTCTATGGCACATCGCCATCTGTGCTTTGCAGCCTCGCGCCCCGTCTTTCTCCTCCAATTTCTTATCCTCCGTGGGACAATATTTTTTTTATAGCGGATCTCCACCTGGTGGTATCCCGCTGGCAGCTTCTTCCTTTCCTCCTTGCGTTGGGGGAACTTTTGTAACGAGTATTTAGTGGCACGACGCTGGCTTCTTCTCGGTGGGATATCTTGTGGCGGATGTCCATTGCATCGGGCTGGTGGCGTATTTTTTAGTAAGACGGGAACTCCAGCGTCTGATAATCATTGTACAATTAGAACATCATCGATATTAGAACGAGGAGCCCCATACCTGACTCATGCAGATCATTCCTACCAGAACCTCAAGAGCATTTCGATTCCACAAATCGACAGACCTTAATGCCCCCAACTGCCAGATGTCCAATTGTAGAATGGGAATAATCGGGAATAGTGTATCGCTTGAACCAGGAGAAAGTCGCGTGAAAAGTGGGTTGGTAATAGGGGAAGTCCGGTCAAGAAGTGGATATAGGGGCTCGTCTCCATGGAAATGCTAGCGTCCGAGAGTTTCTTCAATTGATAATTCACCCGAGGATAAAGATAGACTGCATAATAAAGACTAAGCTGTGAGAGAAAACTGTCAGCATAAGATACATGTATCGAAGGGCCTCCTTACGCAACCAATCTGCTGATTCCAAATCTGCAAAGTCCATACTATCCAAAGACGTATTGAACACTCCTTGGTGGTTATCGACCCTCCACTATCATCAACGCCAGTATACTTTGACACCAAACCCCTGGCCTTGTCCTGACTTTGAATCGAATGTGATGTGCCCACTGGAGATTCGAGTTTGTTGTTCTAACAGCACCTGCTCCTTCAATAATACAATCTCCCCGCCTCGAAGACAATCTCTTTGTGGGTATGTACTTCAGGCTCCCATTGTATAGGTATCGGGGACCTTCGCAGATCTATCTTCATGGCCAAGGCGGCTTTGCAACTCTTGCTCCCCCCAGCCCTCAGCATTTCTTCCATACTTAGCACCACGATAAGCAAAGAGCTCTGATAAGCACACAGTCAGTCTTTGTTGCCTTGTCAATCGATCGTCTCGATAGTAAGGCTCAAAGGAAGAAGTGGCGAAGAGATCGGCACTTTTGTTGAATGCGCTTCTGTTGGCTGGGAGATGCTGGAAGTAGTCTGTTTCACTGCTGAAGAATCAGTACGATACACGCTTCGAATCACAAAGACTCACTTTCTTGCCGCTACAACAGAGTATTGCAGACTAGTGTCGGCCAGCCTAGGAGCTGGCCTTCAAGAAGCTGCCAAGCACCCCAAGAACATACCGGCCAGTGTCCTAGAATCCCAGATTCCTTCTCATGATGTATGCCGTCCTCTGTTTGTTCTGCCGCGTTTGTGTCTGCCGCGTTTGGTCTGCCTTAGATGATGCTGGCGTGGTCTGAAGAATGCAGTTGATCTAGCTGAAGCCGGGTGGGAGTTGCGCTTCTCTTCGTGGATCTGCTGCGAGTCAGTAGCTACACGTCGCAGGAATGGATACGCCTTTCTTACCTCTGAACGCCGCTAATTGCATGCTAGAAGCTTCAATGCTGCGTCTTTGACTTAGGCTGATGTTTCGTTGAAGAGCAGAGACGCACGCAAGGCTATGCAGAAGAATGGTGCAGCTGCTCTCCGAATTTACCTATTCAAAGGCTGCATCAATTGCAAAGTAAGGAAATGGAAAACTTTTATCTGCATAATGTAGTTGAAGTAAAACTGCCAAAATACTATCAAGGATCATCTAGATTAAACAATCTGGACTACCTAGGTAGGTACATAACCTTAGCATAATCACGTGTTTACTTTCGCGTTTATTATCCATTTCCAAATTCGCACTTTTCCTTCAACCACAACATCTTGACAACATTCAGAATCTGAAATCTCTCAAGATGCCTCCCAAGCGCAAAATCTCTTCAACGATCACTGCAGCACGAAAGCGTGCTCGCATCGACACCGACCAGTTATGGACTCCTACAGACAAGTACCTGGAATCCAAAGTTATACCAGCGGAATGGACGGCACGAAATCGCGCCCATCGTTACTTCAAGTGTGCACCAGAGGATCTCTTACCAGAAGACACATACATCGATACCAGTGGCAATGGCACCACCACGTGGGACGATATGAGGATCCCAAATACAAACTGGACCGCGTCGTTGGCCACGGCCTTCAGTGCCACCCTCTCCTGCACCACCTTTCACCGGCAACCAGAACTCCTTCGCCTGGCAATTCAACGAGCCATGTATCTTCGACTTGGCAAGGAGAAGATCCGCAGACCAGATCGGGCAAACCTTCGTCAATTCCAACATTACAAGTTTGTCCACCATCTCATCGATGTGATCTACAACAAGAGCAAGCCGCGAGGCGGGTTCGTACCAGATGGTGTTGGACTTGTTGCCAGGGACCTCGACTGCATTAACGAGGCATGGGATGAATATGTCAAGAGTTCATCCGACCAGTCTCTTCGCACCATCAAGGCATATCAAAAGCAAGCCTCTCTCAGCAAGAGCAAGGCCGACCTTCCCAAGAAGTCCGAGCTGAGGGACGAGAGGAAGGAGCTGGTATTGAGACACAGAGAACTGGAGAGCAGATACAGAGCTCGCCAAGACCAGGATCTGAGTGAGGAGGATACCAGTAGTGATGAGTCGAGTGAGGAGGAGGAAGAACAAGAGGTGGAAGCACAAGAGGAATCAGAGGATGATCCATTTAGGGATGATGAATCATTCGGTGGCTTCCCCGACTCACCTGCACCATCTCCTGAGCCACAACCTCAACCAGTCGATGTCCCCGAAATGGAAGTGTGGCCACAGACACCATTAGAGCCACTTCCCGTCGACGAACCATCTGTGTTCTATATCGAACACAGGAGACATACCTCTCGACCAGATCTAAATCTTCGTCTTGAGGACAAGGAGAATTTTGACATGGACGAGGACCAGGAATATGTCAGAGGCGCTTCTCCAATAGGGAGAGAGTCTTGGGTGGAATCGGGGCTGATTCTCCCAAGAGATTTGGAGAGATGGCATAGCCATCGATAGTCTTCAAAAAGACTTCAATCCTCGCAGGGATTTCAATCCTCATAAGGATTTCAATCTTCACAAAGATTTCCATCTTCATAAAGATGCCATGACTCTATAGAGTTACTCTGCGGAGAAATCGCCTGATAAGGTGAAAGGCCTCTATAGAGGTACAAAGATTGCTGTCAAATAGCAGAGAATGCATGTTCTGCCCTCTAAATGATCTCTTATCGCGCTCTGAACGTTCGACGAAATAAGCTGGATGCTCTTCTGCTATCCCCAAGTTGAGTCCCTGCCACTGCAACAAATTCCACCACATACTCTTGACGGTGAACTCCAAGCATGATGGGTTTGAAAACTTGGCTTGTGACGAGGAGGAATCTCCTCAGCCTCCTTTTGGTAAGTCTGAATGATCTCTCAGACCATCGAGGTCATCGAAGACAACCGCGAATAGAGTACTGACCGCCATCTCCACTGCGCCATTATATCGATGATGGGAGCAGACAACTTTATCCACGCGTGACGGCAATGTTGAGAGTACTATTTTGTAAGCAGCGCATACCCGTCTCTACTAGACACAAATCTTTTGTGAATTGACCTTGGGCTTTGGAGTATCAAGATGATCTAATCACAGGAGAAGTTATATCACGCGGAGCAAGTGCAGCGAGCTTCTAGAATGAGGCGGAGACCAGACCCTACGGCCACGAACATTGGTTGGCGATGGAGTTAGGAGGGACTTCTCAGCAAGCGGGGCAGGTGACAGCAGTGCCATTCTCTTCCTTTGGTCGATCTGCGTAACAGGATGATTACGGCCACGAGCATCAGGTGCTCTTGGTAACTGCCTTCTCAGCATGCTGGGCAGTCGTGCAACTCACTCCCTGGGCGAGTACGGCCATGAACATTGGTTGGAGTTTTGGTAGTCTTGGTAACTACCTTCTCAGCAAGTTGGGTAGGAGTGATAGCAGTGCCGTTTCTTCCCGAGCGAGTCACAAATGCTTCGATCTCGCATAGAGCATGGCAGAAAGAAAAGGTTTGCAAATTTGGACCATCTCGAAAGCTGGAATATGGCAATGCCTTGCGGGTCCGCAAAGCCGCAAGGTGAGACGGTGAAAGTGTTCTGGCTTTCGACATGGAGGATTCCCATGCTCATTCTTGTCCATTCTGCAACTTTGTTCGGCATCAAAACTGCCATGGCTGCGAGAGTCTCTCCCAAGACCACAGTTCCCGAAAGGAATTATATTAGTCAATTGAAACTTTCATGTAGAGAGAATTCAACTCTTTGATTTCATGTGTCAAATTTCAACTCGTTATCCCAGATAGTCGAGAGACAATTGTTGATGAGCCTTATCTTGGTAGCCTTGTATGTTATAAACTTCGCGACTTTGCGAAAATTTTCTTTCCACAAAAGAACACGACAACAAATCCACCAGCATGGATCCCCAAAACAAGAGAGTACTTAACTGGTTGAATAACCAGTCTACATCCAATACAGATACCAGGCAAGAAGAAGACCAGTCTCGTAAGTTGCTCAACTCAAATCTGCATCATCCCAAATACTCACCTTTGATAGCACAGCCATCGGAGCACAACGAACACGATGAAGATGCGTCTTCAGCATGGGAGACTATCTTGGACAGTGTCACCAGTAACATGCCATCGAATCGAAACGAGGACCATGACAATGAGGATGGACCTTCAGCGCGGGAGACAATCTCGGACAGTGTTCCCAGCAACATACCTACGGTGCACACCAGATCCGTATTAATAGGATACACCACACCAGCGTCCACAGTCTCATCGCCTGGGGCGACAAGCATCACGCCGGAAGCAAGCGTAGCTTCAGAAGGGGCGGCAAGCGTCACATCAGAAGGGGTGAGCGGCACGCCCATACCATCCAGAGCCAGTGATGGTGAAAGTCCGAGCGTCGCACCAGTTCCAGCGGCGCCAGCCACCTTCGCTCCCGCCCCGACTATCCCAGCACCTACACCAGTCCAACCTGACCTGCTTGCTCAAATGCAGAGTCAAATGCAGCAAATGCAGCAACTGCTGAGTCAAATGCAACAAATGCAGCTGGGTTACCAGACGCAGATGCTGCTGCAGCAGCAGCAACAAGTATTTGCTACATCGCAACAGCAGCAGCCCCAACAGCAGGAAAACCAAGAAGAGGAGAAGGGAGCGGAGCGCATACAAGGAGCTGAAGCCTCCGGTTATTAAGCTGGACAAGGATGGTTGAGAAGAAGGACGGTTGACAAGGAGGGTGGTTGACAAGAAGAGCAGTTGATCAGCATGTTCTCGGACTTCAAGAGTCCCAAGAAGCAGAATAAGTAAAGGATGGACAGCAGTACGAGATTATCAGTGCAGAACTTGGGGGCAAGGACAATGGGATTGGAAGATGCGAACAGATAAAGAGAAGTCCACCGCTCCATTCTGTGAACCCGTATTCAATGTCTAATTTCTACAAGGTCAATCAAGAGAATAAAGCCTGCGCTTTGAGTCCTGGACAAGTTTTCCTTTACGAGGTTGCGGGTTTTGACTTGTTTGGAGTCAGGAATTGGTAGAGCACGGACGCAATTTGTCATTGATTTACCCCACCCCTGGTACTTCCACGATTACAACTAGATGTGGTCTATCCACAGCCAAGTGTTCAAGGACGTGCAAGCAATTCCTCGGCCAAAGCGTCCAGAAATTGATCCACTTGTCTCTTTGCGTCACTCGATGGTGATGGTACACGAGATTGTAGAGGTTATAGCGAGACTGGGGATGGGGAACGCGGTCTTCGAGCTTCATAGCGGGCAACATCGTAATGGTACTTATCCAAATCGTCTTCATAGCGGCGTTGTTCCTGTCGGTATTGTTGGAGCCTGTACAACAGGGTCTTGTGGAAGACCCCTTGAATCAAGACGACTTCTGGATCATCTCAGCGCCAATGGTGTAACGACCGTGGAAGACCACACCAACCATCTACAAGAGCTTAGGCCTGACGGCGAGCGACAAGCTCTGGTAGAATACCAGGAAGAGATCGAAGGGGCACAGGGGGAAGCCATTTACTGGCGAAACATGTTCGAGACCATCACAGCACCTCTCACCATCTACACACAGGACCATAATGAGCTCACCACCAATGCTCAAAGATTGGTCGAGGAAGGTATCGAGCGCATGACTTTTCAAGGTGCTGGCCATCAAAACGAACAGTACCAGTAGCCGTGTACTTCCCAGACAATGGATTTCACCAAGGTCAGATTACAAATCTTATCGAGATTATACGCTCCCATCGGAGCTAGAAACCTTTATCAAGGTATGTGTTCTTATCAGAGCTTGAAAACCTCCATCGAGGTATTTGCCCCCATCGGAGCTTATAAACCTTTATCAAGGTACGTATTCTTTCCTTCAGATAACACGAAAGTGAAATGAAATCGCAAAGCTATACACCAGATATTTCCCTTTCAATAATGGATTGTGACTTGTCCTTGTGAATCGCCACCGTAATACTTCCTTTGCAAGGACTAAACCAAAGAAAGTTCGGCTTGCAAATCTTGACCACTCCAAGCTTTTCAGATGTCCCTTCATCTCTGGTACAACATACCGCCTTGTCCATAGGTGGCCATCGTGAATTGCGGCTTCGAGTAATATGAGGGATAACTATTCAAAGCAAAAGTGATCTGCAGTCTTTTCTCCAGCATGGCATCTCAAAGCCCCAGGCATCGGATAGTATCCATAGCCTTCTAAAGGGTGACACGGCAAGTAGCCGGACCAAAGTATAAAAATCTTTCTTCAATGTTCTTAGTCTGACGTAGGCCGGCGTGCCCACGTGAACGATGAGATCTCGCGATAGGTGCCTCCCAATTGCAGGCTCGCGTTTTCCTTCAGGTTCATCCAAACACGATTCGCAATCCCCGCCCACCTGCTTTGTTTTCGACCTCCGATTTTACACCACATCACCGAAGAAACAGAAGAAGAAGAAGCCAAAGAAGAAGAAGAAGATACCAGCGCGATGCCACCAAACCCAGGTGGCGATCCGCCACAACAAATTCCGTCCTACCAAGGATACAATGAAGAATACCAGGAAGGATACCAGGGTAGCCAATTGTATGTTATACACGGAGCTTTTGAGTACGCAATGACTGACTATACTGAGTGGCTTTTATCAACCACCGAACCAGTAAAGCGCAGCAAACACTCTTGGAACCCTACGTTCTTTGTTAACCAAACGCTAACTTGTGCGCAGATATGGTCCATACCTCGGGGTCGGGTACCATACCCAAGGTCCCAGTTACCAGCAACCACCCAACCATGGGTAAGAAAGCAATATTGACATCGAATAGACAATGCTGATCAAGTATCCAGGCACGGAGGCTTCTCCAACTACAACCAGACATTCAGTCAGTAAGTAACAAACTGTAGCATAACGAAGTGAAGTGATAATTCTGACATCTTTAGACACCAGAACATGCGCCCGCCCTTCTCTCCGGAAGAGGCTCGTCAAATGGCTGCATCTTACCATGGCATGCCGCCGCCGCCACCTCTACCCCCAGGTCCTCCTCCACACCACCCATACCACCAGTCATCGTCTGCTAGATCTCGAGGAAATGCACCACGTGGCCGCGGTGCCCTCACCCAACAATCTGGCATTCAGAAGAAGAAGAAGACAGCAGCGGGCGATAAACAGCTGCCCAGGTCAAAGGTTCGCTGCGGTTGGTGCAAGGCAGTGGGTCACTATCTTTGCGATTGCGAAAGCAAGATAGACCAGAAAGGGTTTATTTGTGGATGTCCCATCTGCAACGTACCAGAAGAGGAGCACAATCTGGACTCTTGTCCCTTTCGAAACAAGAGACCCAACAATTACCAGTACTATGCTGGAGAGCGCCGACATGGCAAGGCACCTCTTAAGGTCAATTTCGACCTCTCATCTATTGTTGGATTTGAGGAGGACAAGTGGCGCCCCCACACACCAGAATATGCGAGAAGCCTTGGGCGATCCCATCGTACCAGATTCCGTTACGAAGAGAAGTGGAGTGACAACCAGAGAATTATGGATCCTGCTTGGGCAAAGTGGGAGGAAGAGTTGAAGCAGGATCCAGATGCTCCACCTCCCAGTCTCCTCCACCCAGACTACATCTCACCAGATTCTTTCCTACCATCTGTCTCTAAACTCCCGGCCGCATCCTTCGAGCCGGAAGCCACGGAGGACCAGGACAATATGTCAACAGTCGCGAACTACGGTACGTCAGACTCTGGCGGCGACGACGAAGACCATCGCACATATGGTCGTCAGGGTCCCAGTGATGACATTGGCGATCGGTTATAGGTTCAAACCTATTCCGAGTTAGTCATTTGTTTAAGACTCTGGCTTCAAAAAGCCTTTTACACCTTCAAAAAGGTTCTGGCTTCAGAAAGCCTTCCACACCTTCAAATAGGTTTTGGGCCCAGAGGGCCTTTTTTCAAATCTTCAAAAGGATTCCGGCTTCAGAAAGCCTTCTTTCACATCTTCAAAAAGATTTCGGCTTCAAAAAGCCTTTGTGTTTCAGTCCAAGGGCTATTTTCATGTACATAGCATAAAATGGATGCTATCGAACATGATCCTTCTTCTTGACTTGAAAGTATGTCGTTGAGATGTTCGCTTACTTCGGAAGCATCCGCAGAGCCTCGAACCACTCCGGTAAATCTCCACTTTGATATGCTGACTAATTCCCCTCCTCGGGCAGGGCCCTCGACTTGAAAAGTTCAATCGCGATATCTTGAAGTCGGCTTCAGAGGTGTGTTTCCTGAACTGGAGCTAACAGCAAATAAAGCTCAGCTAACCCTTTTTGCAGACTTCTTGTTGAATGCATGACACAATTTCAACCTCTCGGAAATACAGACTCTACCCCGTTAAAGACAGATATTCGCATCCATCCTCTGCCGCATAGTTGCTCAAGTCACCATTGAACGATCCAGCCAGCTTTGGGTTGGTGTAGATGTGGTGAGGCGCGGATGGTGGGGTACATTCGCTTTAATGATTCACTTGAGGGCTTGAATTTGACCCAAAATTCCGCCTCAGACTTCCTACAACGAAAGTCTGTCAAGTAACGGACAACGAAGGACCTTAGAGAGCCCATTGGAGCCGTTTCCCCGCGATTTTCCCAATGACTTATCCCTGCTTGCTGACTCCGTCATTCATATGCATCTTGAAAGCAACGTTAAAGTGCGAGGCTCAGTCAAGGATTAATCGTGACTCTGTCAAAGCTTGATTTCATGAAACACGCGGCATTCGCAACTCCAGCCTTTCTTGGGGATAGAGTGCCGACCGTTCAGGCTGATCATTCACAATGAATAGGAAAATAAACTGAAGAAAGTCACGCTTCCAACCCCATACAGTACATTGCCACTAGAGGAACAGTGATGTTGCATGGTCACATTTCATGCATAGTTGTGGGTTTGTTCTCCTTCTTAGGTAAGGTTCAAAACATTTAGAGAAATGGTGTTCATTCTGTCAATACCATGCTACCCCATGCGAATGCCATGCCCGTGAGGAATCCTCTCGCTCATCCACTCAACCCCCATGTAATAAGGATAACATGGCCAGCGAAAACCTTCTCCCACGATACGGTGTTTGCATCCGCCACTCCAGTCCATGTGTCTTCGATGTCGAAAGGATGAGTGCAACGAATCACTAGAAAAGCCATGTCTATCTCTCTCGTCAGTATTTGTAATCAGAAAGGACATTGAACCATTCATCGTCTCCTCGAGAAGAGCTGGAGATTTTCTATGCTCTGTCGCTGGTGAACTCGGGTCGAAAACTTTTGAAGGTATTAGTGAATATCCTTTCGCAAAGACACGGTATTAGTTGCGCTTACAGAAGGAATTAATGGAATCACTCCTAAAAGCATGATTAGCACACTTTGTTGGACATTCTCCGTTAGCTGGACCTACATGAAAGGATGAAGTCGTGTGGAGTCTTCGGGGAACACTTCAACGACGTCTCCAGCAGGTTGAAGAGCAGCTAACCAGAGAGGGAGAATGGATCTGATGATGACGTCAACGTTTCAGTAGCAGGAACTCTGGTAAAGCTGCCTACGGTGGGTCCACAATGATGACTCGACTTTGACCTCCCATATTGAATTGACTCTCGACCATTTGAGCAATTTGAAGCATGAGCGACATGTGAACTTCGGGCGATTGAGAAGTTTGAGACATGGTGAACATGTAGAAAGTGAGCTGAGCTTCAGGGAGGATGGTTTTTGGATCGTTGTTGATAGCGGGAACTGGAATTGGATTTTTGTGAACGGAGGAAGAAGTAATAAATAAACTCCGCAGAGATCGAAATACAGGTGTATAAATAGGCGAGGAACTTTTAACTCCACTAGCCTCCACACCCCTGCCTGGATTTGTTAAATTCACTCCAAAGCCATAACCAAAGGGGTTCTTCTATATTTCCAACTGCGGATTGGGCAAAGCTTTGAAGGAAATAATCAGCTTCAAGAACTTGTAGGCTGCAAAAGAGCAAAGTAATTCTTGAAGCTCTGTACTGTGCCACCCCTTGCTTCTTAATTGTCTGTCCTCATCCGCAATAGCTGACGAAATCGACAAGATCAAGATCGCAAGTGAATACGGCAGCACAATGGCCAAGAAAGTCGATGGTCAAAGGTGAAGCAATGCCAGAGGACTTCTTTAACAACGACGTCGGCCTCGTAGGGCAGTATTCCGAGGGTGATGCACGGTAGGACAACAAGGGAAGGGTTTGAGAAAATGCTTCAGGCACAAGGACAGACATTCAACTGATACAGAATAATCTGGAAGGGTTTAAATGACATTTCCATCTCTTGATATATCGAAGTGTTCTTGAAATTCTTGCATGCCCATAAACTTGTCTCTGAAATCTCAAGCCAATTGATGCTTCTTGAAGAATTCAATAATAATGGGAGTCGCATTGAAAGAAGCCCGTTCATGACCAGTTCTGGTATTGTCCGAACTGTTCACCTAAAATCAAATAAGCATATGTCTTGACATTTTCAAACTAACTTACAGTGCTCGGCCAATCATGCTTGATACTCGAATCAAAAACATGCTTCACAAGCCCTTCATCATCTCCACTCCCCCATTCATAAACCACCGTATCATTTGTCCCTTTCAATTCCATACTCTCATTCTTCACACTCAACCCATCTCTCCTCGCCCAATCATGAATCCAATGTGGTATGCTTGGCAAGCATTCTTTCTTCCTCCCCCCTCCATCATATCTAATCACATTGTCCTCGCCCCCATGAAATTCTAGCATCGGTATCTTCGTTCGCCCAGGATTGCAGGGAATCGTGATAGTTTCCGGCTTACAAGCAGTCTCGTTCTTCACATAGAAAGCTCCAGATACCGGTGCGAAAGCTGCAATCTGAGTAGAGAGAACAGGATCACATGCCAGAACATTGCAAAATCCTCCACCGTCTGACTTTCCTGTTGCGAAGATACGTGAAGTGTCGATTGTATACTTTGAAGATAAGTTGGTAATGATATCAGAAGTAAATTGAATGTCATTCGTCTTCACCTTGGGAACACCCTCCCAAGTTTTCTGGAAAAGTCAGCTCTGCTGATGTGAATTCGCCAAACTTACCTTGATGCCATTTGGGTAGACAGCAATGGCAAAATCATTGAACTCTGGGTTGGAAATTTGCGAGAGCTCAAACTGCTCATTTGCAGTATCGCCGCCGCCATGAAAGGAAAATATTACAGGCGTTGGGACGGCAGAATCGAAATTTGGCGGAAGGGTGAGTAGATAGTAACGATCTATGCCAGAACTCTGGATGGTGATGTTCTGGAATGGTTGCAACTGCGAACTAGCAGCAAGGACTCTGAGCAAACCAATAAATTTTTGAAACATTTTGACGGTAATGTCCAACAGCGATGAATCCAATTCCTAAGCAGAGAGATGATATTCCTGTGGAAAGATAACATTCCTGAGCAGATATGACATAAGTAGCGCCAAAATTTCAGCTGCTGACTGTGCCTGCGAAAGCCACTAGGCTGACGGGCGGCCGATGGTAACACAAGGCTGAGCTGAACATGAAAAAGCCAACACGAAATTCGCTAAGGTCTTCAGGTCTAAAACTCTACTCCACATGATGCCTCCATTCCCAGCAAGGATATCGAACGCCAAAAATGCTTTCCCCAAACAATCTCAACCAGATTTCGCCTTCCATTCCTGATGTAGCTTATTTTGCCTTTCCCATTCCTTGCCCAATTTCTTCAAAGCGCTTTTTGGCACATCTTCACCCTCCTTGGTCTTTGTGGGCAAACCCTTGTCATCCCAAGCACTAAACCTATCATCCTTGAACATATCCATAGGACTGAGTTTAGCCTTTTCAGCTTTCTCGAGCTCAATTCTCTCACGCTCCAATCGAGCCTTTTCCTTCTGGGCAGTCTTCTCCCGCTCCTTCGCAGCTTTCTCCTCCCTTTGAGCCAGAAGTTCCGCCTTGGGAACGAACTTGATGAGCGCACCTTGATCAACAGATCTGTCATCCAAATACACACCTAAATCGGTAAGATCATTGTCTCTGATTCGGTCAGACAACGTAAGAATCTGCTTCTTCGATTCTGAGTTTGGTGCAATCCTCCTCAACTCATCTCGAATCTTTGAGACAGCTATCAAGTAAGGCATGGCCAACGCCTCGGAATCCTTCGTGCCACTAGCTTCCAGACCTGAAAACTTCGTATCGACATCCTCAGCCATCAGAGCATCAAGTGAATCTGAATGCAGCGCAAGACGCTCGACTTCCGAATTGACACTTTGATATACTTTGACGTATGGCTCAACAATTTCTTTGGTACTCAAGTGTGCATTCGAAGCGGTATTTGTCCAACCAAGACCTTCGTAAGGCGGGGAAGCGTTTGCGTCCAATCCAAAGATCCCAACCATCTTTGTGATCCATCGAGCAATGGACTTGAGTCCTGTAATGTCGGTTGCAGAGCCGGGTTCGCTGTCGTGTTTGTTTGCATCCCTGACGATCTCAGCAAGAATGCGCATAGCTCGTGGTGTATCGAAAGAATCTGTCAAAGCGCTCTGCATTTCTGACTGTGCCTTCTCCAGAGTTTCATGAAGCCCTCCAGATTTGCCGTTGATGGAGAGTGTCTTGAGTCCCTCTTCTGCACTCTTACTTTGCATGATCAACGATTTCGTGTTGGTGAAGAAGTTCTAATTCAAGTTAGCAATGAAACCTAATAAGCCATGTTCCTTACATTGATCGTAGTCTCCCATCCCTCAGCTTGCTTTCGCATATCAGGGGAGATCTCCACACCATCATTCCATCGACCCATCAAAAAGACAATTCGCATAGCCCTTGGAGTGTAATCATTCTTCAACGCGTCCTTGATGGTCTGGAAGTTCTTCAACGATTTCGACATCTTTGAGCCCGAAATTGACAAGTGGCCCATATGGAAAAAGTATTTGACCCAGTTGTGAACTTGACCATGCGAGCAGTAATATGCTTCACTCTGAGCCAACTCGTTATCGTGATGAGGAAAAGCGAGATCGATACCTCCAGAATGAATATCCATCTGCGAACCAAGAATATCTGAAGCCATCACAGAGCACTCAATATGCCATCCCGGACGTCCTTCACCCCAAGGGCTTGGCCAGACTGGTTCTCCTGCCTTGGACTTCTTCCATAAAGCAAAATCACAAGGTCCTCGCTTTCCTCCAAGGTTTTTCGACAACGAGCCCTCACCCTCTTCTTGCAATGCTTTGTCATTTCGGCTGTTGGGGCAGAGTCGTGCATATGGGTTTCCAGCCTTCTCAAATGCAGCAATGTCGAAATAGACAGAACCATCTGCTTCATAGGCAAACCCCTTCTCCACAATCATGTCAACGAACGTCACAATCTGCGGGACATAGGTTGTAACTCGAGTAATGTAATCCGGTCTCATGACATTGAGATTGTCCATGTCATCCATAAATTGAGCTTCCCAATATTGTGTCACCTTGGTGAAGATTGTATGGTCCTTCCCATCAATTGAATCCTTGTAGAGGGAGTCCAGGTACGGTAACAGAACTTCGTCAGCCCCGCCAAAGACCTTATTCTCTTGTATTGCTTGAGAAGCAGCAGTCAAGTTGCTCAAATGCATCTTCATCTTGGCTTCGGCGTCTCCTGGCTTCCCCTCCCCATTCAACGTTCCACCAGCAAGCACTTTTCCATATGCAGCATCTCTCCTCTCTGCATAATTTCTGGGACTCAGCTTCGACCCATCTTTCAGCAGTTCTGGTAGATTTCCTTCCGCGTAGGATTGGAATGCCGTTGCAGCCAGCTTCGCTAGTTCTGGTTCGGTGTAGGTCTTCGACTTCTCGAGCTCTAGAAGCTTTGCTCTCCTTGCCTTCAAGATAATCTGCCAGTCTTGTCAGTCCTGCTATTCCGTCCTCCAGTTTCTGGGCTCACCTTGTCATCGACGTCTGTAATGTTCATAACAAATTTGACCTGGTAGCCAAAGTAATCGCGCATGATTCTCCGAATGATATCTGTAGAGACATAATTCCTAGCATGCCCCAAGTGTGAATGGTCATACACCGTAGGTCCGCAAGCATACCACGAAACTTTCCCTTCTTCCAAGGGCAAGAAAGGCACCGTGCCGCCGGGAGTTAATGAATTGTGGACTTTCAATTGCGCCATTTTGGGTGTCGTTGTGCTGAAATTCCGCAGAGAGGTCATATAAGTATTTATGATAGCAGGGCCGCGCAGGTATCGAGAGAGAAGGCTCATTCAGTCGTTGCGCATGGTGTCACTGAATATGACTCTTTCTCGGAGCTTGCTTCGAAAAGGCCAGAATGGTGGCTGAACTTCGGCTGAATACATTAATCCCTGCTCTGAATTTCTTCAGCCTTGCGAAATTTCGAAATCAGCAACCTCCTACACACAATACACAAAATGTCGACCAAGATCTCGCCGTTCCTTTTTCCTGGCCCTGTATCGTCAATTGATTCGCTATCAATCATTCATTTGAAAAGAGATCTTCAAATACCCACAATCCTCAAGGAGCACGACGAGGATGATGAAGGCTATGCTGAAGGAAAGGTTGTCAATACCAGATTTGGGTCTTTCCCGCATACTACTTTGATTGGCCTGTCATGGGGAAGTCAAGTTCGAGCTTCGAAAGTAGATACGGGATCTCGAGGACGCCGTGTCAAGGGGCAAGAGAAGAAGAGGAAGCGCGAGGAATCAGAGTCAGTAGAACCAAGTAAAGAACCCAAATTGGACAACGATGAAGCTGCTGGAGACGCCAGTACGCCTGCGACTACGAAAGAAGAATCAGAAGCTGTTGCGGCTAGCAGCGGATTCATACACCTTCTTCCCCCTACCCCAGAGAACTGGACGAGCTCTCTACCTCATCGAACACAAGTTGTCTACACGCCAGATTATAGCTACATCCTACATCGGATACGAGCCCGACCTGGAGCGAACATAATCGAGGCTGGTGCTGGGAGTGGTTCTTTTACACATGCATCTGCGAGAGCAGTGTTCAGCGGATACCCAAACAATGGTGAGGCCAACGGCTCAGCACCCAGAAAGGGCAAGGTCTGGAGCTTCGAATTTCACGAGCAGAGACATGAGAAGCTGGAGAAAGAGCTGCAAGATCATGGACTTGAGGGTATTGTGCAGGTAACGCACCGAGATGTCTGCGAAGATGGATTCTTAGTTGATGGACGATCTCCAGGCGCAGATGCCGTCTTTCTGGACCTTCCTGCTCCATGGCTCGCCTTACCACATCTCTCGAGATCTCGTCCAACTAAAGAAGCTTGCCTCAATGTCACTGCCGACGAATCCATCCCCTTCATCTCTCCGCTGAACCCTTCCACCCCAGTTCACATCTGTACATTTTCGCCGTGCATCGAGCAAGTTCAGCGAACAATCTCCGTCATGCGACACCTTGGCTGGGTTGATATTGAAATGGTCGAATTATCCCAGAAGCGTTTTGAGATTCGTCGCGAGAGAATCGGAATTGACAACGGTGCACAGCGAGGCGTTCAAGGTACACCAGCCACGGTTGAAGAGGCATATGCTCGTTTAGTGGAAGTAGAGGGCACATTTAAAGCATTTCATGAGACTGGAGAGAAGGTTGGGTCGAGCAGAAGGGACAAGGCCAATCCCAACAACCGGGATAAGATCATGGAGAGTTTGACAGAGAGGAAAGTGTACAAAGAGGGAAGATTGGTACATAGGACGGAGCCGGAGATCAAAGCACATACCAGCTATCTCGTGTTTGCGATATTGCCTAGGGAATGGTCAGAAGAGGATGAACGGAAAGCCCGAGAAAAATGGGAGGTGAAGATCAGAATAGAGGACGAAGAGAAAACGGATGAACGTGGAGAGAAGAAGATGGGCAAGAAAGCGAAAAGAAGAGCGGAGAGACAAGCTCAGAAGGACAAAGCTGCTGCTGAGACAGAGGCAGGACGCAAGGAAGGAAATATAGATGATACGACGAAAGTAGACGTTGAAGACGCAATAGAATAGAGAGCTTTGCTCCTGATACAAAATGCTAATGTTCTAAGAGGTTCTTAAAGAATCTCAGTGCCTTTAATGCAAAGTCCCCACAGTACCCTCACACCTCAACGGCGCCTTCTGGTACTCCAGCCCTACTCCTCAACCTCCTAGCAAAAAACTTCATGATCGGCAACATCTCTTCTCTGCTCTTCGGCATCGAGTCCTCGTTCTTTGACCACTTCACGTACTCCATATCCACAAACCTCTCCTTCAGTCCCTCGATTGCACTCTTGGTCACCTGGCTGCTCCGACTTCCACCACAAACTAGCACTGGAGTCTTGCTTTTTGGTCCTGATTTGCTGGAAGAAGGTAATCGACCTCCAATGCTTACGACTCCGCCGAATTCTCCCGAGGAGAGAGATGCTACATGCAAGGCTGCCATTCCGCCTTGACCGAATCCGAGAAAGAGAACATTTCTTGGTGGATATCCACACTTTGTGATTAATACGTCCTGGATGATATTTCCAAAGATCTTTTGGCAAGTATCGAAGCCAGCGTCAAGGTCAATATCTCCTTTTGCTTCATCAACCAAGACATCGTCGCCCCAGTGGAAAGCAGGAGTATCACTGCCTGTGAAGATTGGCGGGATAGGATTTGGACCACGAATACTGATACAAGCTGTCTCAGGGAGATTTAAATTCTTGCCTAGTTGTGCGAATGAGGCTTGAGTATCGCCCAGTCCGTGCAGAAGGATGAGGATGTTGATTGGCGAGCCAGTAGATGGAGGGATGATGTCGAGTGTGAGGGAGGAGGGGAGGTCGGTTTTGGTAGGGAGGCGAGGTGAAGTCATGGCGAGCCCCTTTCTTTTTCGCTTGAGGTTGAAGAGATGCACAGGCAGGCGAGTTTATTTTTGGTATCTCGTGATGGGAAGCGTGTTGTTGATGAGAACCTTGGAAGCTCGAAGCAGGATATTCGAGATACTGAAGATCAGCGAAAGTAAGCTTGCTTCCCTTCTTCCAGACTTCCGCCACAAAATCGGCCTTGTCAAGGACCTGAATGCAAGATATTTTGGTATCTCGTGACTTTGCGAATCTTGGTGGTCGAGCTCACAATCAAGATCTTGAAGATCGTCGCAACCTCCCCCCCTTTCCTCTCGCTTGGCAAAATCGTAGCCTTGGATACGTGGTATTTTTGGAAGGCCGTAAATACTGAATTCTTGATTTGAATAACTTCACGTGTGAATCCACAGCGGGTTCAGGCGGCGATGATCAAACAAGCATCGCTAAGCTCGTCAGCCAAGAGATGAACGACTGGGCTGCGGATTCGCCGATAAGCTAATTGACCCCTCCAACCTGCATCTCACCCCACCACCCGCCCGCCAGAGCTCAGCGTCAGATTGAGATGAGAACGGGAGCATACACTTCAGCTGAGCTGGGCGGTTTGACTGTGCCTGTTTCATGGTCACTCGAGTATCATGCAATCCTGTCTACAGACGACACCTTTGACGGCTCTGACCGCGTCGGCCGAGCACAAAGGCGCATAATGAAGCTACACAGCCTTGGCCTGCGTATTATTGCGTAGGGCAACCTGAGTCGAGCGTTAATTCCCAGCTTGACCTCGTATCATTTCTTGATGAGCAGCGGCAAAAAGATATATTTTTGGTAAAATCTGACAAGGGAGCATAAATCGGGAATCGGGATAGACACGTAGACCCTGACGATCTCCAAGCCGGGGGATCTGGAGCCCATGGATGCCAGCATGAGCTTGATGTCATGATCTGTTTCACGGAACGACGTTTCAACCTCCAACACGAGCTGAGCATGGGAGCTTCGGAGCTGTCTGCGTTCGTCCCAGGAATATGTTGACCTGCTTGGATATTGATATTCCTGCAGAACGGCGGCAAAGCGTCTGGGGTACGCATCGCAGTTTATGAGGCATTGGTTGGTTCAAGGCTAATATGACGAAACTTAATTTCTGGTGTCTTCCTTATGGGTGATCTCACTGCCGCAAAGAGCCTGTATCTGGTATGTACTGCGCAGGAAGGTCTGAGCATGAAGCATTACTTGGGTTTGGCTGGATTTGAGTGTTTCGACGAGCTTCCAAGCCACACAACGGTGGGAAGATTAGAGTAATTGTAGGGGTTGAAGGGCTTGGAAGGTTTGAGAGGAGCTGCAGAAGACTACAGTAAAGGAGGGCTTGGTGACCGGGGGCTTAGTGTGATGCAACTGTGGGGTGAATGCTCGAGTACTCCCTGCTGCCCTGAAGGACCAGCAGATCGAGCAGCTGTGAATGGTTGCACAATTATACTCAGAGCTAAATATGGATTAGTTTCACAGCTCTGAATGGCCGCCGAGTCACGTAGTGGAGTAAATGGGCTGTAAATGGCGCAAGGGGTAGGAGTGACCGCCGGGAGAGCTCGAGCTTTCTACTGTATATAAGACCCCTCTTCTGCCCCTCCACCACCTTCTTCCATCAACACCACAACTTCACACAACACACAACTTCAACTCAACTTACATACCACTAAACAACCACCTCAAACCTTTCAATCAACCTCTACATCTGTCAAAATGGTTTTCGGCTGGGGTAAGAAAATATCCTCGCTCTCCCGCATACCGTCGAGCGCAACCTTCATGCTGACATCTACCTCCCACAGGCGAATCTGAGCAAGCTTACCAACAAGCCCAAGATCCCAACCAACAATTCGGCAATGAGAGCCACTTCTCCCACGAGGCTCTAGCTGGTGCCGCTTCCTTCGGTGCCTTCAAGATGTTCGAGGATAGACAACGTGCTGAGGGTAAGTCGGAGCGGTAAAGTGAATGCATGGCACGATTCTGATTCAATAACCAGGCAAGCCAATCAGCCATCAATTCGCCAAGGAAGTACGTTGAAAACGAGAGCTCTTGAGACAGCTCCCGGCTCCCAGAGCCCCTCACTTTCGTTTCGATGTTTTACTATGCTAATTCGTTTGGCAGTTGCTCGTTGGACTCGCCGGTGCTGAGGTCGACAAGCTCGCTGAGACCAAGGGCATGGACTTCATCGACCGTGAGAAGGCCAAGCACCACGCCAAGCAACAAGCAGAGAGAATGTACGATGACCACTACATCCAAGGCCAAGGTGCTGATCAATATGATCCGTGAGTGTTTCTATGTTCCACAGTACATTTGGAAGGTCTTCTGACGGGATGCATAGCAACCAATACGGTCCTCCCCAACAATTCAACAACTACTAGAGTACTTGTTGATATGTCGGCCTCCCCGAAAGCTTAAGTTAGTAGGAAGGCATCCGGCATTGATGGTTATGGTTTGCGCAGAGCTTATACATGCCTCCAGGGCTTCACAGTGATGGGAATGGGAATGGCAGCGACTGGGATGCGAAACGTTGATATTACCGAAGACAAAAGTCAATAAAAGTGCTTTGTCCAAACAATCTATTACATGGCATGTGAATTTACGTTGTAAAATCCGGTTCCATGGATGGGAACCTGAGCAGTTGTAGAATTTCCCATAAAATTGGCGTGCAAAAGTCTGGGCAAATGACAAACATCCAAATAGATCAAATGTCCGTGAGATCTCGAACAATCATTACTTCCGTGGTTTGGACATAGGCTTGTTAGTTGTAGAGCTTCCCTTTGAATCAGAGACATCATCATATCTATTTTTTGTCAAGTAAGGAAGTCGTCATCTCCACCGATAAGAAGCAAATGTCTTGGCGCGATTTCTAGCGATATGCCGATATGCCGCCTCAAACATCTCCACGTCAACATCGACGTCCTTCTCCTTCTTGACTTGCCGAAACACTGTGCGACATTCAATCTGCCCTGCCATCATCTGCGTCTCGTACCCTTCCAACCTCCACCTCCTCACATCAGCTATCGAGCATCCACCATTCGAACCTCGCCCCCATCATTGATTCCACCAACATCATGGTCCGCAACGGCAACTCTCTGCGTGGCAGTGTTAGCAATTTGTCCCTCCGCTCCTCGAAAATCGAGGATGAGAATCTCTCCCGAGCACGAATTGCACAGCTGGAAGCTCAAGTGAAGGAACTGCGAGCTCGAGAAGCTTCAGAGAAGAAGGAAATACCCAAGATGCCCTCACCTCCTGCACCAGTTTCGACGAAGTACCAACCTTATACCCCGATCGACGGTACGAGGCTCCGCATAGGAGAGACTCAATCCATGGACGGTGGCTACATCAACGAAGTAATGGCAGCTGGGCCGACCTTCTCTTTGTTCGATAAATATCCTACTTTGGAGCAAATGCACGTCAATGCTGAGGACCAGGCACAGCTTCGTTCGCTACAGAACCAACGGATCAAAGACGTGGAAAGACTCCAGAGGGAAACAACATCTTCAGCACTCTCCCAAAGGTTTGCGCCTGGCGCACAGTCAACTGCGGACCAGGTATCTCTGGAATACAAACGGGCTGATGGATCGACACGACCACGCGATCTACTCATCCTATTCCCAGACGAGGTGCAAAACAAGAGCTTGTTCGAGAAATACAACGACACTTTACGAGAGCATCTGCTAAAGCCCAAGAGAAGTTTGATCACAAAAGCGCTGGGAAGTGAAGGAAGCACATTAAAGAGCCCGGAAGCATACGCACAACCATTCTGTAGCTTCTTAACGGAGAACCCTACAGTGTTTCATGCTGTAGACTACTTTGAAAAGAAACTAGACTCTGCAGGTTTCAAGAAGGTTAGATTCAACACAAAGGAAGACGTCGTCTTTGCTGACTCAGTGTAGCTATCGGAACGAAAGAGCTGGACCGAAGAATTGGAAGTTGGCGGAAAATACTATGTTTCGAGAAATAGCAGCTCGTTGATTGCGTTTTCCGTTGGGAAAGGATACAAGAGTGGAAATGGTGTCGCAATGGCAGCAGGGCACGTCGATGCCTTGACTGCGAGATTAAAGCCTGTCAGCTCCAAGAAGACATCTGCCGGATATGTTCAGCTTGGTGTTGCACCTTATGCAGGAGCATTAAACACTACTTGGTGGGATCGTGATCTTGGTATCGGTGGAAGAGTTGTAGTCAAGGATGAGGAAACTGGAAAGATCACTACAAAGTTGGTGAAGCTTGGCTGGCCCAGTATGTCTCCTTTCAATCATCTAAAACAGGACTGACAATTTCAGTTGCACGAATTCCCTCCCTCGCACCCCACTTTGGCGTGGGAATGCTGGGTACGAACAATGCTGAGACTGAAGCTGTCCCAATCATCGGTCTTGACGATTCGGAGACGTCATCCGACGAAGGGTTCAAGAACTACACGCTTGGTGCTCAAGGAACCTTTGCTGCGACCCAGCCACCAAAGCTCGTTCGTGCGATTGCAGGTGAATTGAGCATCACAGACTACTCCTCGATCATCAACTGGGAGCTCGAACTCTATGACACCCAACCAGCTCAAGTGGGAGGTCTGGAGAAGGAGTTCATCTTTGCCGGCCGTGTCGATGACAAGATCTGTTCTTGGGTAGCTATTGAAGGACTTATTGCCTCTGCTCCTACTTCATCTGAGGATGATGGGATTGTCAAACTCGTCGGAGTCTTCGATGACGAAGAAATTGGATCATTACTTCGACAGGGTGCTCGAGGCAATTTCCTCCCTGGAACCGTGGAACGTATCGCGGAAGCTTTCTCAAAGTCGGGCTCCAGCGCAAACATTCTCTCTCAGACATACGCTAACTCGTTCCTCCTGTCTGCCGATGTTACTCATGCAGTAAATCCCAACTTTCTGTCCAAATACCTCGAAGGCCATGCACCACGTCTCAATGTCGGCTTGACCGTTGCAGCGGACAGCAATGGACATATGACCACAGACTCCGTCTCGACCGCACTCTTCACTCGTATTGCAGAAAAGTGTGGTAGCAAGCTTCAATTATTCCAGATCAGGAACGATAGTCGAAGTGGTGGAACGGTCGGACCAATGCTTAGCTCTGCGATGGGCGTCAGAGCTATTGATGCTGGTATCGCACAGCTCAGTATGCACAGTATTCGTGCGACGGTGGGAAATTTGGATCCTGGATTGGGAGTCAAGATTTTCAAGGGATTCTTTGATCATTTCGAGAGTGTTGATGCGGAGTTTGTTTGATGGCCGGCATTGAAATCGATGGCTGCAGGGTTGGAAATGAGAGCATGGAAGCCGCGTTAGATGACGATAGAGATTGGAGGGCTGTATGATATATGTTAGAAGACATAGACCAGGTAGATATTCATAATTCTTGCTTCATCTCAGTTTCTCAATATTGTTGAAAGTTGCTCTTGTGAAATGTCATTGTCATTAATCATTAACCACTGCCAATTACAACCTTCTTTCCCTCGAATCCCATTTTTGACGCCGTATGTTAGCCTGCAGACCTATCCATCCTTTTGCTTTTGGGGTATAATGAACAAATAACCCGTCCATTATCAAAATCACTCCATTAATCATGCCACCGAAGCTCAACGCTCCTCTTTCGCCCAGCAAATGCCACTTCCCGCCTCCAGTATCAAACCTAGTCCTCAAAGCTCGGTATTCCCTCAACCCTGCTTTGGAACTTCAAACCCTGTCAAAATCCTGCCAAACATACTACACATACGCCAACAACCCATCTGCCGCAACGCCATACTCGCCTTTCTAACCTGTTCAACGTACTGCTCCCTCGGCGCATTCCTTCTCAGCTTCGCAAATGCCCAGCACACCATTCCACCTGTGAACAAACACACGGCAATCTCGTAACTACTATCTGCAGCTGTTCCAGTAATGATGCATTGATGGCAGAGGTCCAGCATCTGGAAGACGTGATTCATCGTATTATCTGAGATCTCGGAATTGGCCCAATGCTTGAGATTCTGCTCGGCGAAGTTGGCGTCGTTCTTGTTGACGCTACGACCTGCCACAAGATGCATGTCTGAAAGACTGACATCCAGAGAGACGTATCCGAGATGGTGAAGGAGTGACGCCGCGACAGAGGTTCCAGGGCCATGATAGCATTCAGCAAAAGAATCGAGTCCATCTACCAGCCACTTTCGTCGTTCTCGAAGGCCTTCGCCCATGTCGTATGCCGAATTACCAAATGTTCCCATCAAACCAGTAGGGTTGAGCATCGATGTTGCTTGGCGCCACTCGAAGATGTGAGTGTGGAGGGCATACATCAAGACGATCTTGCCAAATTCGCCGGTTTTGGCGATCGGTGGTGGTGGCTTCACCCACTTGCGAAGCAGGCAACAATTGAGGGCATGCAGATAATATCTAGGCTGTGTAAGTAAATCTCTCAAAAACGACTAGGCAGAACTTACGTCGACGGAGGCATATCTGCAGGTCCAAGAAGCATCTTCCATGCTTCAAATGTAGGAGCTTCCCAATATTCTTCAGGGCATGGGAACACACAGTTCGTGGTCTCTGCTTTGCTAACGTAAGGCTGGTTGTTGAACAGTGCAGGATATTGACAATCGAAGATCTAGGATGTCAGCGATGTGGCGAAAGGGGAGGGATTTACATACGTATATTGAAAGACCAAGTCGTTTTCTCTTCTCAGTCTCAATCCAAGCCATCCAAGAAGCATCCAGCATGCCTCTGACGGATGTTTCGTCAGGCTCAATTCTAGCGGAATGTCTGCAATCCAACAATCGGCTTCTCCTACATGCTGTAACGAGAATTCCACGACCTCCTTCTGCGAACTCGTACGAATGCTTGCTTCCACTCCAGGTGCCAGCCAAGCATAATAAAAAGTAAGTCAGGATGTTATCAGCAGATCGTAGCTATGCTCGTTAGCGGGGTCAAACGTCCCATTCTTGATCGATACTTACAAATTTCTTGTCCAATTCTTGTATGCGTATGCATGCAATTCGAAGATGCTCGTGAAACAATCGAGAAAAGCGGCCACGATCAACCGAGGAATGGCTAGATCCGAGGAACATCATCGCCACGAGAAGCAAAGGAGGAGAGTTGTAGAGGTCGAAAGTCGGGAGATGAAGAACTGGGAATCGTGGCTGAATATACCGAACATACAGACGCAGGAAGAAGTCAAGCACTTCAACTGGTGGGAACATGGCATCTGATATCTCGGGACGTGATATTTCGCTCTTGAAGTTAAGACCATTGAGATCTGAAAGCAGAAGCTGGCGAAGTGATTCGTTGAGCGTTTGAAAGGGTCTGATGGTTGACGAGGAGAAGCCGCTAGCTCGCGCTTCATCAAGAACTGGCTGCCATGAGATGGGAAGAATTTGAAAAGGGATGACACGATTTGCATGTCTCTCTGATCCATCAGGTTTCTCAACTTTGTCGGGCCAGTCAGTTGTATCTTCATCATCGGCTTCGGCATCCTCTGTGTCGTTGACTGTAGGTTGATTGAATTGAAGAGGTTGCTGGTACGCACACGGATCTCTTCCAAAATCATCAAATCCACCAAGCATATCTTGATCCAATAGATAATTTGGCGAGGCTTCGGAAGAAAGGTAATCCAGTGTCCAAGACATATCTGCATCATAAGATCCCATGTACACATCCACTGTGTCTCCAAATCGCATGAATCCATCCCACAGCGACGGGTTGATATTGTCAACTGGTGTGAACGAGAAGGCATCTTGCGGCGCAAGTGCCGCTTCCATCAAGCTAGTCAATCCTTGGGGTTGCATCTGCTGATTTGGAACCATCGACGCACTTGGTCCGGGCAAGGGCTGTTGATACATGTCCTGCATTTGATCTGAATAGACATGTTGCTGGATCTGAGTCTGGTAGGTAGTGTTTGGCGAGGCATTTGACAGGTTACTCGAACCCTCTTGAGAATTCGATCGACGATCTTGGTCGAAGGCTGGAACGCCAGATTGAGAAGATGAAGCAAATTCATTCGTCACGTGCGGTTTTGAACCTTCTGCTGCTTGGGATCCATGGATGCGACGATGCCGATTGAGAAGGTCACTTCTTGTGAAGCGCTTACGGCAAATCACACACACAAACTTGCCCACGTCTTCGTCTAGGAAATGATGAGTATTCGCCTGCATAAAGAACTCGTATCTGAACACTTACGGTTGGCTTGATGTCGAGTGAGGTTCTCGATGCGGCTGAAATTCTTGGGACACCTCGGGCACTGAAACCTTGTTCCAGAGGTACTCGGTAGCGGTTTTGGCTTTGCCGCATCTTTGGGTTGACGTTTTGTGGACGCCTTGGCCGTGCTTTTGCTCGCAGTGCTAGCATTGAGGCCATCCTCATCTCTACTGGATCCTGCGTCCATGGTCGTCGTTGCGACCCTGCAATGTAGCGTGGGGAATACGAGTCCCCAGTCCCAGTTCCAGGCCCAGCTGGAAGATGATGTGGACGTCAATTGAGATGTTGACTCGCAGGACAAGAGAAGGAAGTGGAGTTGAAGTGAAAGCGGTGAGAAGTCACTTGGGCAAAACTGCAACCTTTGATATTCGCACGAGGGATGTGTGAAACAGTGCGATCACGTGCTTGGTACTCCTCTTTCCAGTCAAGCTTGTGCTCAAACCTTCATGCAGGAGAAACAATTCAACGGGCATCCATGATCCCATCTACATCGACAGTTCGTATGTCAATCACAATTCACGTCCTCGTCTTCACGATCATGGTCTTTGTACCTTTGGGGTGCATCCGCGAATACCGGCTGTGGTTCTATCATCGCTCATCCCGGTCAGGGTTATTGCCGAAGTGGACGGCAGGTTCAAGACCACCAGTGGCTTGCCCTACCTTGAATGTTCCTCGTACCAGTAGTACATTTCACATGCAGAGCCTGCATTTCTCACTGTTTATTGAAGTTCTCAAATCATTTCGTCGTGCTTGCTGTAGCGTTCAGTGAGAATAACGCGTGGACAGGAACCATTTGCGCCTTCCTCCATCTACAAAGTACATCTCCATGTACTGCCGTCCTTCTCACACTGCTTTCTTTGTCTCTTTCCACAACTGCAAGGATAAAAGGGGCGGGTTTCCTTTTAGAGATTGCATTTTCAAATCTCTACCAATGTTTTTACATTCGTTTTGAATACAGTCATGTCTTCTCCCAATTCTGAGGAACAATTCATCTCAACGACCCTGTCACAGCTATCTCTCGAAGAAAAGGTTGCTCTTTTGTCAGGGTCAAGCTTCGTTGCCGCCAGTGGAGTTCCAAGGCTTGGGATACCTAACCCTAACCTGCTCGACAGCGTCAATGGTGTTAAAAGTCCATCTTTTGAGAGTACATCCACGCTCTGCTTTCCGAGTACATCATGTCTTGGCGCAACCTGGAATCCCAGACTCCTAGAACGGATGGGGAAGACTTTAGCTGGCCAAGCTGTCGAAAAGGGCGTATCCGTCATCCTCGGCCCTGCTGTCAATATTCATCGCGATCCTCGAGGCGGACGAAATTTCGAGTGTTTCAGCGAAGACCCATTGGTAACAGGAAAACTTGCTGCTGCTTTGATAAATGGGATCCAGGATAGAGGTGATGTTGCCGCCTGTCCGAAGCATTTTGTTGGAAATGAAAGCGAGACCAAGCGAAGATTTTACGGTGTGGAGGCAGATTCAAGAACATTGCGAGAAATATACTTAGCAGCTTTCCAGTACTTGCTCAGAGAATCAACGCCAAAAGCCCTGATGACCGCATACAACAAGATCGATGGCGTATATTGCAGCGAAAGTCCAATCATCAAAGACATCTTACGAGATGAATGGGGCTTCAAAGGATGTGTGATGTCGGATTGGTTCGGGACTAGATCACAGCTTCCAGCATTGTATGCGGGGCTTGATCTTGAAATGCCTGGACCTTCAGTCTTTCGTGGCACGCCGCTCGTAGAAGAGGTCAAGCATGGCAGGGTAAATATGGAGGTCATCGATGAAAGGGTCCAACGTGTGTTGAGTCTGATCCATAAGACTGCCGATAGTCGAGGTATCGGAAGACCACCGGTCCCGCAAAGCGAATTGAGTGACCTAGCTCGACTTGTAGCCTCTGAGGGCATCGTCTTACTGAAGAACAAAGACTCTACTTTGCCGCTCGATTTCAATTCAAATGCTAGAATTGCAGTTATTGGCGCCGCAGCGAAAGATCCTCCCATCGGCGGTGGAGGAAGTGCCAGAGTTGCACCACAATATCTTCAGATGCCCTTGGACTGCATCATCTCAGCCTGTACCGATCCATCACTTGTATCTTTTTCCATAGGCTGTAAAAACAACTGCACGATCCCAGAAGTGGAATTGCAATCCACATGTGCGAAGAATAGCCAACCCGGAATCGACGTCGAATATTTCGTGTATGGCAGCAGTCGCGCGGTGTTGGAAGAATACCTTCCAAGCACAAAAACCACCATGCTCGGTTTCTTGAAACCGCCCCTCACTCAGGAGACGTTCTCGCACTTCACGGTGAGCACAACCATAACTCCAAAGTCGTCTGGAAAGCATACACTCGCCATTCAAGCAACTGGCGCATTCGAATTCTTCGTCGGAGAGGAGATGGCTCTCGTAGATGACATGCAACCACCGCCATCTGTGGAGGATTTCCTGTTTGTGCCAGAAGCTCTGGAGCGAAAGTGTTGGGTGCAGATGGAAGCCGGTAAGCCTTACGCCGTAAAGGCTGTCGTGCAACCTTATGTCCCAGCAGAAGAAACAGGAGAACCTCGGGTCTATTCTGCAAAATTGTGTTTCGAAGAAGCTTATTCGAAGGATGATTTATCTTTGGAGGCTATTAATAAAGCAAAGTCTTCCGACGTTGCGATCATTTTCGCTGGTCGAAATGCCGAGATGGAAAGTGAAGGCTTCGATCTGGACTCCATCAAACTTCCCGAAGACCAAGAGCAGATCATCAGCGACGTTGCAAGAGCAAGCAAGAAGACAGTGTTGGTTCTTTATGGTGGTAATCCTATCGATGTATCCACATATGAGCATCTCGTCGACGTAATCCTCTTCGCGCATTTCCCTGGTCAAGAAGGATCCCAAGCGATCACAGACATCTTGACTGGGAAAGTATGCCCCAATGGAAGGTTAGCAACGTCTTGGCCAGTGAAGTTGGAGGATGTGCCTACCTTCAACAACTTCCCTGCAAAGCAGAGGATAGATGGTAGCTGGGAAATTCAGTATGCTGAAGGTCTTGGGATTGGATATCGAGCAGACGGATATACACCCAGGTATCCGCTGGGCTTTGGGCTCTCGTATACAGAATTTCGCTGCACTGATCTTCAACTGAGCTGGATCGAGTCGGAAGAATCCCTAGCTGTTGACCTGTGCCTTGCGAATACTGGCAAAATCGATGGACACGAAGTTGTGCAGGTATACATCTCCGAGAGGAGGGCTGTCGTATCTCGGCCAAAGAAGGAACTGAAGGCATTCAGCAAGTGCTGGATAGAAGCTGGCAAGATGGAAAGGGTAAGAATGGTAATAGACAAGCGCACTGCATTTAGTTGGTGGGACAACAGGACTATAGGAGGGGGCGAACGCTGGAGAGCCGAGCCGGGCGATTTTGAGGTCCAGGTCGGTGGCTTGAGCCAGAATTTCGTGCTGGAGGAAGGGTTTTGTTGGCGAGGATTGTAGGACAAATTGTCCAGGGTATACACAAAGACCGTATGATGACCCAAAGAGTGAATCTGTACAGCTCTTCAATATCGAGGTGTAATGTTAACATGGGTTCGCGGTGCGACAGGTTGAAGTTTGGGGGTTTTAATTACTTGAAGCTTACAAACAGAAGCATAACCATGTCTCGTGGGATCACGATGGTAGAATACGTGTCTCAGTGTCGGTCGTATCGACGTGAAGCACCATATTATCAATACTCGTTCATTTGGCAAACTGCCAAGCATTGTAATTTTCAACTATACTATATACATGACCTGACCTCCGAATCGAGTAGAAGAAAAGAAACAAAGGACTAGTTCTGAAGATAGCTTCTAAACAACGGGAAGACCAAGACGAGACCCAGATAGACCCGCTCGAGCCGCCAGCTTGCAACCAGGGAGACCAGGATTGGGTGCCCATATCCCATCAGATCTGAATTCTTCATCTTGCCTCCGAGGCTGATACCCCACAAGCGGCAAGGGCAACTGGGACGACGGTCTGGAGGTTTGGAAAAGAAATTTTCGATCTCGTGCTCACATGCCTAGAGTGAGTATATATAACAGCCCAAGAAATTGGCATGCTCATCGGATCGGATTCACAGCATTGCCTATGTATACATCACCACCAAGTGGAGCATTTTACTGTCGTCTCTCTTGATCTTTTATTGGCTGCCGATGCCACTCTCTCACCAAGATGACTTCTCGATATCAGCTCAAAGGAGGGACTTTTGTGGCGTATGAAGGAGGAAGCCAGCCAGGGGACATTATTGACCAAGGTCCGTGACAATTTTCTTTGCCTTCTGCCTTGCCGTCAGTGTCCTTTACATTTGCATCTCGGGTCTTCCATCAGCTCAAGCATCTGCCCTTTCTCCGTTGTCTCTGTTGAAGTTGGCCGTCTTGCTCTTGCAACGCCCGAGACTTCTGCATTGTTCTTTGCAAAACATGCAACCGCCTCCAGGATGGCCCACATTTGTCCCCAAGCACGCCATCCACGATGCCAAACTATTATTCAATCCTGTTGGGCCGTGGGGGGGCTTGCATTGTCGAGGCCTATAAGGTGTATAACAAGGGAAAGAGATACGGCGGGGACAGCAACAAATATCAGCGAGTGCTGACACCATCGCTGCCCAGACCGGTTTGGGCCATCGAGTCCCCTCACGCGAGTCCGGTATCTGGGGTCACTGTCGACTCTCCAGCCAGTGTCGTCGACGGAAGGGTTCATTATTCAGCCAGTGTCCGCCAGCAGAGGCCAGCAGAGGCCAGCACAGTCCCGTATCCCGCCAGTACCCTTTTTAACCCTACCGCTGCTCCGCCGGGACGAAGCGCAAGGCAGTCAGTCTCTTTCGCCCTTTAGTGCTGCAGAACATCCTTTTCGTGCCTTTCTCGGCCTTTGCGACTCGGAGCAAGGTCCAGCTTTCAGCGTCCGTGGGCTGCGCTCCGCCTGGAGCGACGATGTCCATGGATTACGTACCCGCGAAATCCGCAATATCGCGGCTGCGATTGGCCCTCGCCGTCGTTTCCTGCAAGACGCAATACAAGCGATTATCACATCACCACACGTGACTCAGCCTTGACCCCTGAACCCCTTCGACCCTTCGATCCATCCCCCAAGATAATGCAACAGCTGGGAGACCAGGCGATCGGCAGATGCTAATAAGGAAGCAAGCTTTCTGGCGAGCCCAACGTCGGTCTCTTTTTTTCTAGTTCTGGTTCTGTTCGGTGATGATTGATTGCTGTTCTTGTTGCTATCAAAAACTATTGATTGCGAGAGTGAAGCTCTGAGAGACACTGACAGACCCATCTACAGCACTCGCGGAAGCAGAGATCCCTCCAGAACCTCGATCCAAGCACCCGTGGAACTATCCCCATCCAAGTCCAAATCCAAATCCAAATCCAAATCCGAGCCTAGACTCGTACCCCGCCATGGAGGGGCAGGATTACAATCAATCGTCAGAATATAACCACGAATATCCTCCACCCCCGGGCGGATACTACCAGCAGCCTCAACAACCACCACAGCAGCAACAGTACTATGCGGCCTCGTCTTCCAGCAACAACTCCCCCGGCTCGCCCAGCACGTATCAACCCATATACCCGTCCGTAGGTTACGCTGCGTCCGCCCCAGGCTACGGCACCTCCCAACCCGCAGCAGGGTACGGGTATGCACAATCAGAAGGATACACGCACACCTCGGCCTCAGCAAGCGCCACCTTGAACGAGAACGAAGCCGAATTGAAGAGATTGCGCAACACCGCCGCCAGTGCCCGCTTCCGAGCCAAGAAGAAGAAGCGGGAGCAGAGTCTGGAGAGACAGAGCCGAGAGAAGAGAGAGGAATTGCAGCGGTTGGAGAATAGAATCTCCGAGTTGGAGCAGGAAAATAAGTTTCTGAAGAGCTTGATCTTGACCCCGAGGGCGCGGAAAGACGACGACGCAGCAGAGGAGGGCGAAGAAGAGAGTGGGAAAGGGAAGGGGAAAGAGAAGGCTCATGGCAGTGGAGAGAGGCGTGGTGGGAAGGGCAAGGACGGCGTGGGAACATCCAGACATTGAACAGACGGGGGTGGATCTCTTTCTTGTTGACACTTGGCGCCAGCATTGATGCACTTGCTAAACTTCTCTCTCCTTGGGAATAGTTGGGCAGATGGGAATACAGGGATACAAGGCGAGATTTGAGACTCGAGCACAAGGTGATTTCAAAGGAGTTCGTCGGGAACGAGAATACGGTGCAGCATCGGAAAAAGATGTCGATGGCATTAGATGCTTCAATATTTTTTTCGGTCTTCGGACCAGGATTTGGTGTGTGCAAAAAAAGGTCATTATGCACCGCCAACAAGTCCAAGGAGAATTTGACTATCTGTTGCCAACTCCCCGCTTTCGCAATCATCAGTATCTATCGTCGCCGCTCCCTACACGACGTCAGTCCAACCCAATGCACCATGGCACAGCCAATCATCTCTTTCGGTCCCTGATCGATGTCAGCAAGAGCACTCGAAACTAAGAAGCAACAACCTACGTGCTCAACCGTCTAGAAAGTAGTTGCAATCCTTTGTCATTATCCGCAGCATCTTTGGCTCTCTCCAACGCCTGGGCTCTGCCCTCTTCGCTCTGTCTCGTAACCTCCTCATGACTTGGAGGTAGTCTTTCGTTCTGCAGATCGACCTTGCGAGCATCCTCGAAGCTGCTGATAGCATTCTTGATACCTTCAGCACCAAGCATCAACGTTCCAGCAGGGAGCCTGCCACCAGAAGCTGTCTTCAATTCCGTTACTCTCTCCGATTCTTCTCGCAGGACCTGGAACACGCGGGAAAGACGTCCAATCGCAAGGATCTTGTTCTTGATCGCTCTGCGCTTGTACTCGATCGATTCTGGATCTAATGGAGCATTGACAGGTGGAGAGATGGGACCAGGGGTAGGAGGACTCGTCGTATCTTCCTTGAGTTCGTCCTCTGAACATAAGCTGAGAATTGCGATGAGCATGTCCGTAATCTTCTCGCCAACGAACGGAAGAGACCAGGTAAAGACGTCCATGAAATTAGGTAGCCAGTAAGGGTGAGGCGTGCAGTTGAACTGTCTGATGTTCATGACGTTGTTTTCGTACTTGAGAACAGCTGCCTTGTTGTTGTAGACATCAAGGTAGTTGGGAGCGGAGAAGATGGTCATAACACTGGGGAAACCCGTGGTACGCGTCTTGCGGTACATGCGGTAACCAGCATCTTGGGCCTCGTGAGCTCGGATCACCGAAAGTAGGTTGTTCTTTTCCAAGAAATTGCAAGCAGCAGGGTAGGAGAAGAAGTATGAGCAACCTCGGACATGGTTGTGAACGAAGTACTCGGAAGTTTTCTCTTGACCAAATTCCTCCAGAGGATCAGCCCAGAGAATATCGCACATGAGTCCATGAGTAGGTGGTTCACGGAAACGGTCAATCTATGATCGTCAGCGCCAATTCCTGATCATTTCTGGTAAAACTTACCTGCTTCAGGTCGTCCAGAGTATGTAATTCGGGGCTCAGCCCACCATGGATGCACAAAAATTGCTTGTTCATGACAGCGGCCAAGGGAAGGGCGCAGAAGGAGTCCATGCATGCTTCGTAGATCTTCTCCGAGTATTTGTGCTTACACTCAAGCTTGAATGTAAAGTAATCGGTCAAATGTCTGCACTCATGGTTTCCACGAAGAAGCCAGAGCGTATTTGGGTACCAAATCTTCAATGACCACAAGTAGAGAACACACTCAATACTGAAATACCCTCGATCGACATAATCTCCGAGGAAGAGGTATCTCGTCTCAGCTGGGTCGCCACCGACTTCAAATAGCTTCATCAAATCGTAATATTGGCCGTGAACATCTCCACACACAGTGATGGGTGCATCCATCTCCAGAAGGTTGGGCTCTTGCTTGAGAACTTTCGTCCCCTCCTCGATGATGTATAGTGCTTGCTCCTCGGTCAAGCGCCCTTCGCGATAGAAGTGTTGCTTTAAGAAAGCAAGATTGGGTTTGGAGGAGTCTTGAGGGGAGAAGAACTGCTGATCGGTCGGTGGATGCATAGCTGGTGCTTGTACATCTATATCATGGACTGTTAGCATGCTCGTGGTGACTGCGAGGGGCGATTGGCGGGGTAAAATAGGGGTAAGGTACCTTTGCAGACTCTCTCCATTGTGCTCACTTGGCTGCCATCTTCCATGGTGTGTAATGTGAAGTCAATCTCAGGGACTGGCTTCTTCTGTTGGATCGCTCTCACAGCATTGTCAACCTGGGATCGGTTCTCCCTGGGAGGAGGATGAGGTTGATCCTCGCCATCCATGATCGCGGGAGGTTCGAAGAGCGGACTGTGGCCGATCTACTCGAGATGAAGCGCGATAACGATGCAGAAATACTTTCAAAGATCTTTGAGAGGATCCAAGGCGTAAAGAGTACTTTTCCTGGGTTGAGAAGCTGGCTGAGCTGAAGGCACACGCGCAGAGACAGAGAAATGTCACGCTTTGTCAGCCTAGAACTGGGACAATATGTTATCGCACTCGGAGCCGTTACGTTCAAGTTGTCTCGTTAATATCGTAGAAGATTTCGTCTTTGCACAGTTCTGTCTGCGGGGTGGTAGGGCTGAGGTGGGAATTGTTTTTCGTGAAATTGGGGATGTCAGTACTGTAAGGCGAGCTCGAGGATTGACTTGGCCCAAAAAAGCGCTAAAGCTTAGTCTAAGCGACCGCGGGTTGGAGGGATGAGACTGCGGCTGCGGGGCGGGAAACATGACCAACATAACATTGCAACAGAACTCTCTTTTCGCCGATAGTCAATTCCAATTATTCGGCAACACAAAAGAGCTGCCAGATCTGCTCAGTCCTACTTTGTGCGCTTCACCTGGGGAACTGCATGACACCACGAACCAGAGGCAACGGAGCTCCAGCCTCCAGTTTGGACTGATTCTCGGGACTGTGCAGCTAACCCTGGCGACAAGGCGTGGTCTCGAACCTTTCTGAGCATTGTAGCCTGGAATACGCTTTATGAAAGAGGCATTTCTGCTTACAATCATCCACGACAATAGGGACATTCAAGATGCATGACAACAGTAGGATAAGCTCCTCTTCCTACTGCAAGCAATCCTAACCTCCTCTAGGAACCCATCCTCTCCTTCAGCAGGTACCACTGACTGTCTCTCCTTTCGTATCCTTACCTACCGCAACCACGCTTCCATACACTTACAAAACCCTCCCATCAACATTACCACCTTCGTCAACTGGAGCGCCATCATCTGGTGAAGAGAAGTCACAGTATGTGATATCGTCCTCGGGTCATGCTGCACATCCAGACGAGATTATCGCATCATGCAAGGCTCTACAATCATACATACAAAAGGTACAAGACGATGCCGATAAGGAATTGAAGGCATGGGAGGAAAGCATTGCTGCTAGAGAGCTTGCAGAGAAGAGAAGGGTAGCACCAGGCTGGCTTGACAGTGATGCAAGAATCCTGCAACCAGAAAGGAGGCCCGCAAGTAGTATTGGAAGTCCAGGATATCAGTCACAGGGAAATTTGATGGATGTTGATGTATCAAGTGCTGAAGCATCAGGCCTTCGACATGCTCCTGTGGTTGCGACGAATGGACCCGGAGATGAGCTGGATCGAGCTTTTGGAGGACTTGGACTATCGAAGTAGGTCGTTCGTAGGAATTTTAATACTTATAAGATGTTTTAATGACCTATTGCTCGTTCCCTAATGTCCAATAATTAATGCCTTATATCCAAGGCATCAAGTGAGTTCCCATAGCTTCAATTCTACCTTGATTTTCATCCGAGAGCATCACAATGCCTCCACGATTAATTCGGGATGCAATTGGATGGTCTAAAACATCCAGACTGCCAATTTTCCCCCGAAACCGCCAAATATGTCCAATATGCTCCATCTCACGATCGTTACGGCCTCAAGGGCAACGCCCTCGATCAACACCACGGCATCGCATTATAGCTCGACAACAATCGAATGTTGCCAGCGCATCTACAGTAGACGCTACAACTAAATCCTCTTCCAAATCTGCTCGAGCTGATCTACGAGACGCACTCCTTGGCCTACAAAAGAACTCCGGAAGCTATGTCAACATTTCGAGATTACAGCTCGCATTGCGGGGTTTGGAGCAGGAAGCTGGAGACGAGACGATCAGAATTGCAATACTCGGGATAGATGATGGTGGCACATCGTTGAAAAAGGCCAAAGATCTTCTAAGACTATTGGTTGCAGACCCATTGAAGACAGAGGAAGAATGGGAGAGGATATTGGCCCAGGATCTTCCAGGAAGCAAACCTCTGCTAATAAGGGTGGGACATAATGAGGAGGAAGCGATACATGGGAATCGGTTGGTCCAGGAGATACACGTCTCATCACCAATGCTCAATGGACATAAATTGGAGATATTGGTTCTAGAGATGGACCCGCAGAATGTAGGCGATGAGGGCGCTTTCACTGAAGCGGTTTTAGTTCCGACAATGGAGATACCTACGTCCAGTACTGGGAGATATACACCTGTCACTACACCAGTGCACAAATCTTTGATTGTTGCCGATGGGGTAATGGGAGCAGCCACAGTTCTGAGCTATCCTATTGACACAGACCGGAGTGTCGTTGGTGCAGCTGTAGACCTCCAGGTTGTGAATCTACAGAAGGAACCTCTCCCATTTCAGACTATCGATGTCGCTCTAGCTGAGAAAGCTCTGGGATCTTTTCGAGAAAGTGTTGACAATGCCCTATCTTATGAAGAGAATTGGTTCAAAAGTGGTTTACCCGAGATTTTGGATTGGGTGAGGGATGGTACAGCGTCAACAGATGGAGCGACGAAGCAACCGTTGAGGCAACTCATTGAATCTGTACTAAGGAACGCAAGTGTGGCCATTGAAGCAGAACGAAGCCGGCAATTAAGTGCAGCACTTACTGCCAAAGTTTCATCCTCAGACCTGGTCGGATTGAGAAAGGAATTGTCTTCTTGGGCAGAGAGAGCGCATACCGAGCTTCGAGACCAGCTTGACATTGCTTTTAATGGTCGAAGGTGGCGGAAGTTGGGCTGGTGGAAGCTCTTTTGGAGGGTCGATGATGTCTCTATGATTGCTTCCGACATCTTGAATCAGCGCTTTCTCACTGATGCCGAGAAGGAAGTCATCTTCCTTGCTGGGAGAGTGGTTGAAGCCGGTGCCTTGAAACAAATTCCCGAAGCTTCACCGAAGAACTGGGCATATAAACGAGAGATTCAGGAACATGCCAAACTTCAATTGGGCTCCTCACCACCACCTCCCGTCATACAAGACTTGATCGAATCGCCCAGAGATCATTTACCTGTCAACGTCAAGCTTCATCCGTGGCCACTACACATTCCAGCAACTCGAACATATCTATCCCAAGAAACAGTTCCTGCATTGCAAGCATTGGCGCAGAAACTCGTGCTGCAGACTTTAAGCACTTCGTCACTTGCTACAGTCTTCGGAGGACTGATATATCTTTCGTCTGTTTCGAACACATTGTACGAAGCTGGAGCTGTTGCCGCTCTTGGTGTGGTTTTCAGTCTACGCAGGATGCAGGGCAAGTGGGAAACAGCTAGAACGTTCTGGGAAGGAGAAGTGAGAGAGGAGGGAAGAAAAGCTGTTAGGGGTGTGGAGGGAGCTGTTAATGGTGTGCTTGAGAAGCCTGACCAGCCTTTGGAAGGTGATCTTGAGCTGGAAAAGGCTGCGGATGCTGTTGAGAAAGCTCAAGCTGCTCTTACCGAGACCAGATGATGTACATTAGGGTTTATATTATACCTCTGCTCTTGGAAGAAATGAGCAGGACGATGTAATAGTTCGGTGTCACTAATGACTGATACAATCTGACCATTCTTGTTCGTTCTTACGATATTCAATATCGCTACATGATGACAGAACTTAGCCGTGATCCAAGCTGAAATTAATCTCAATTTCTCTCAAAGATCCTCTGTCCATAGGGGGCATTTGTGCCTAAAACCTCAGGTTAGCGAGGCTGAAATAAACTTATTTTCAAATACCCGTTATTTCTCCACACCAAGCCATTCCTTTCCGCAACATTCAATCCACAATCAAACATTCCTTTCCTTTGTTTTATCGCGGAGTAGCGGCGCAGTGGTATCCATAAATTTGAAATGGCATCAAGAAGAGATCAAATTCGAGAGGACAGGAGATCAGCCTCGCCCAGGGCTGAAACTGAACCAACTTCGTCCAAGGACAAGTCACCGATCGATGCTCGCGATGACCATGGAGAGGACGAGAGGGTTTCATCACCCGAAGATGATGATCGCGATGAAGGAGAGGCCAGTTCAGTAGAAGATGAAGGTCGTGTGATCACCACGGAGAAGGATGCAGAGTGGTTGGAGAAACATAATGCGACGAGCGAGCTATCAGGCGCAGATGGTTCTGCAGAAGCACCACCTCTACCAGAAGAAGCTATACCTCCCTTACCTTCCGAAGCCCCTCCTGCAACTGAGCCGGATGATGGATGGGCACCAGTTTGGGAGGAGAGCGCACAAGCCTTTTACTTCTACAATCGATTTACGCATGCGACACAATGGACGAACCCTAGAGTACCAGAAGCAGGTCCACCAGGTGTAGACCCTGCTCCTGTACCAGCAGAGACTACTCCAGCACCAGCCACGTCAGGTTACAATCCGGCGATTCACGGCGATTACGATCCGACTGCTTGGTACGCACAACCTGCTGCCCCTGAGCCAGCCGCACAACCTATCGACCCTTCAGCTCAATACGCAGCCAGTGCAGCTTTCAATCGGTTTACAGGTCGGTTCCAAAATGCTGAGCTCACTCCCGAAAACTTCAATGATGAGAATAAGAGCAAGCGACAAATGAACGCCTTCTTCGATGTCGATGCGGCAGCGAACAGTCATGACGGCCGGAGTTTGAAAGCTGAGCGCAGTGGCAAGAAGCTGTCGAAGACGGAATTGAAGCAGTTCAAGGAGAAGCGGAAAGCAAAGAAGGAAGAGAAGCGAAGGGCTTGGTTGAGGGATTGAAGGATGATATCTTGGGAGGGCGATTGCATCTGTTGGCGTTGGTTTGAGAAATGGAGTTGGATGGCAGCACATTGAAGGCGTTGCTTTTAGTGGTCATAACATGGGTAAATGGGATTTGCTAATTTTTTCGTTCTCGGTATCGAAGCCGATACTTAGCCTTGACTCCTATGAAGAGGTTAACTGTGGGCTGCAGGAGTGATTCTTAGATTTGCTTTGTATAGTTCACAATGCGAAGCTAGTCAGTTTCTCGAATCTGAGTGGAAAAGTAATTGAATCAAATGTCTGTTTTGGTTTGATATGTGTATCTTCTTAATTTACTCAGAACTGTGAATTATGCTCTGTTGTCGTTCTGGAAGAAGCAACAAAGCTGTTATTGCCTTTCGTCTGAATTTTCTCCAACCTATTTTTGGGAGCCATGGCCGTATCAGTCCGCACTTTTGCTCATTGCATCTATGCTTCTGAAAGTAGTTTCACCATGTCTTAGGCTCCTCCAGATTTGGAAATCATGGACACTCTCCTTTGTTATCACTACAGATCATCAATAAGTGTCCAGTAGTACTACCACAGACCTTGCAGCAGGTAGAAACCTGCTTAAATGCAAGCGAGGGGGTAACGACGAGGACTAGCGCGTCTTAAGCGAGAAAGGTCCAAAGTCTTCTTTGACAATGCTCTGCTCAACTTCAACCCAATACGTGCTATCTAGTCCCTTCACTAGCGATACCATGCTCTTTCTCTGACAACTTCTTACAAACATCCGCACACAAAGAAAGGTTCCTCAGAATGTCGTCTATTTCTTGGTACTTTGAGCCTTCTGAAATGGAGCTCAAAAACTTTCTACCCTTGTCCAATTTCGAATTCAAGTTGATGAGCAAGCTTATTCACGTCATTCGCCTTGGCCTCCACCTCCACGGCTTACAGTGCGGACAAGAAGACCTGACCATCACGGACACGTCCCCTGCAGCAGTTGCACAGCAATGTCGGTCGTTTGTCAAGAAGGCGCGAGTTTCCTGGGTCAATTGTGACAAATTCTTCCCACTCCGTCTTACAGCACCCTCCATGGCTCTGATAATCTCCCACGTCCCGCTGAGCACCTCCGTCTCCACCACGTCGGTATTCAAGATCTGTGTCCTCCGCACTTTTGGTGTTGGTTCCGAAGAAGCCATCAACGACCTTGGAATCACCTTTAAAGAGTCAACAGAGTCCTCCTCAGAGTCCGAACCTGACTACGACAAGATCATTGCAGTTATTTCAGCCCTTGGCAAAGGAATCAAGAAAATTACCCGTCCTGTATACGGTCAAATGCAGATTGCTCGAGCATCTGTTCCCACCATGTTAGAGAAGTTTTGGGTCTTCGCTGGAAAGGTCATGGAGAAAGTCGAACCTGGTGGACCTACACAATCATTCGAAGAAGTCTATAATCTGCTTTGCAGTTTCAATATTCCCACAGTTCCGAAGCACGGGTTGTTAGCATGGTTGATTACTAGCGATTTGACGGAATGGGAGATCTGCAAGCCACCAACCATCAAGACACTTGCTAGACATATGGGCGTGTCCTCGGATGGAGGTTCTTCTTCGAAGCGCGGTGGTCCATCGGGCCCGAGTAAAGCTTTGGTTTTGGTCGAGCAGATCTACAAAGAGATGGTTGCCAAGGACGGGGCTGAATATGTTCAGCCAGATGTTGGTGCTGGTCTGGTCAACGTCTGGAAAGTTCTTGAGCATCCGCCTGTTGATGCGATATGGCTGGAGGAATTAATGGAGGAGTGTAGGAAAGCTCAAGGGCGTTCGATTTCTGTGATTGATATGGAGCATTTGCTCTGTAAGATTGCAAGATATACTGCGAAGTCACGATAAAGACATCGGAAGGAGTCCGTCATTGGAGTTATGGGCGCGATGATGATCTACCTATTGGGTTAAGTCCTTTAGAGGGGTTGGAAGGTTGTCTTCGTTGAGAACACTGTAAGGTTCTGTGGTAGTGTGGAGAGTGTCTCGAGAGGGCAGCGTGCATTATGATGGCTTTCTTCCAGAGCAAAGACTATCAGTACTCACTTTCGATATTGAGATCTTTGTGTTCAACTTAGCATTTGATGTGGCTTCCCTCGTCCAATACAAAAGCCTGGTTACATGCATGCAAGGTTCTTCCTCTTGTCCTCTAAATGCCCCATCATGGTTTTGTGACACACTCCCAATTTCCATTCTCGAATCCCATCTTGCCATGCGGTCAAGCATTGAGGCCTGATATCACATGCGGATAAAAAAGGAAAGAAACGGACAATTCACTGTCGGTAAAAGTAGTGTTTACGATATAAATTGCTCGCTTTCTTCCCATCCCAACGACAAATCTCGAACTCGCGAGTTTGCAAAGGATATACTTCTTTCCAGCGACCGTAGACATTTCGCACACTCTCTTAATCTCTCAGCAGAGCAATATCCACTCATTCATATACATAATGTCAGCCTTTCTTCTCTTCGCGCTTATACTGCTTGTCCCCTTCATCCACGGACAGCAGCCAAATCAAAACTCAGCACTTCGCTGCAATACGGAGACCTTTTATGCTCAAGACTCGGTCAACGGCTCCATTTCAATCAACACATCTCCTCTGACGCCCTTCGAGAGTCCTAGATTATCAGCAGTAAACTATACTGCTTGGGAACAATGGTATTTCGACAGTGTGGCCTCTGATGGATCGTCAAACACAGTCATCACATTCTTTCGAGACCCAACTTCTCATACCGGCCTTGGAAGTCTTTGGGTCATGCACGATGCTGTCTGGCCCAATGGAACTCGATCTTCCAGTATCACTTACGTGGAAGAAGCTCAAATTACCCATTGTCCCAGCTATACCTATGGTCTGTGGAATAGCAGCGCTGAGAATGCTAGTTTCACATTCAATGTGACCACAGATCTCAAGGAAGCAGCTATCTCGATCTCAACCCCGGAGACGAAAGGGACTTGGAGCATCACCACATTAGGTCCAGCTCGCTATCCAGATGGTTTTTTGTACCCGAACTCGAACGCATCTACCCTTTTTGCACCGATGCTGTGGTGGGTTGAAGCTATGCCAGCAGGGGATGTCCAGACCAGATTCGACATCGCAGGCTCGCCAATTGCGTTCACAGGATATGGAGGAGTTGATTACTTCGCTGGATCATTCATCTGGGATTACATCTGCAAAGAATGGTATTGGATGAGAGGAGTCGTCGGTCCATATTCGATCGTGTTCTGGAAGTTCACATCAGCAATAGACAACAACACATACACGTCAGCTTTCCTTGTCCAGAATGACACTGTTCTATTCAGTACCCAGAACTCGAAGGAGATCTTGGCCACCAACCCTCACGCCAGCTATGCCAAATTATCTCTGTTGTATGGTGGGAAAGTTTCGGCAACAATGGGAGCTAACGATACGGGCTTTGCATTGGACTTGATCGAAGGGAAAGAAAATGGCGGTACGAGTAGGGAGTGGCACTTTGAAACGCAGTATGAGCATGTCGGATACCAGACTGATGCAACGATAAATGTCATCTATACACGCTTCGCTGACAGTGCAAGTGGAGGAGAGAAGGCGCAGACTGTATATACTGGAGCGATGAATAGCGAGCAGAGCTTGACTCAGGTCGTACTTCCAATCTACTGAGAATGTAGGGGAAGTGGAGTTCATCAAAAGTGGAGACATAGAGAGAAGACTTTCTCGAGGTTAAAGTTTGACGGGATTTTATATCTAGATAGCGAGGCGTTGATATTTGATGGGTGGATGCTTGCATCGAAAATAGATTTGCGATGAAATTGGCCAAATGATAGAGCACGAAGATCTAAGAGCAATTGAACGAAATATATAAGAACGCGTCGTTTGAAGAAGATACTCCTTTTCCAGAAATTGTCCAAGAGCAATACAATAATAGAGCTCGCCAACTTTCAGAGGCAATAGCGGGGTGATGACGCTAATCAGTTTAGGGAAAGCGCCGACTTTCAATCTTTCAGCCTTGCCTCAAGATATTTTCTCCAAAGCCTCGTTGGGATCAACAACATCCTCACTCTTCGCACCTGCTGCTGCCTTCGTCGCAACCGCAATCATGCCTCCAACGACGTTACATGTCCAGCCTCAACTGAATTTCTTCACTGCGCTCGAAGATCACCAGTCGCATACTCCAGAAACATTCTACGATGCTAAGCCTGTGCTTCATTACCACTCGGCGGATATCACTGCATTGAGTGCTCGGGATCAGGTCGCGCGGCTTCCATTCTTCTCATCTGCCACAGATGGAACCGCAACAGAGGTAGAGGGGGACGGCAGTGCCGTGAATGAGCAAGTAACGGCGTACATCAGCTCCGAGTAAGCCCCCAGTCCCGACTGTGCCGCCCAAGCAGGCTTTTTACTGACTGCAGTGTTACAGAAACGTCACAATTTTCAATTCAAATGCAAATATTGGCCTTTCGATTCCCTACCCTGCCATCTCCCTGCATGCAATACAACGACTGGATGATCCGTGCCACCCAGGACAGCAAGTACAAGGACTTTACATGCAGCTTGAGTTGTTGGATCCCCTGGCAGTCAGTGACGATGACGAGCCCGATGTGGTGGAATTGACTCTGATACCCCCGACTACCGGGAATACCAGCGACATCCAAAAGCTTTTCGACGCGGTCTCGAATTGCTCGAATCTGCATCCAGATCCTAGCTTTGAAGGCGATGAAGATATGGAAGATGGCGATGATCGGATAGTTTTCGAAGGAAATGTTGGTTATGAAGGTATCAGCGGACTTCCGGGAGTACAAAGAGGTGCTGCTGATGGTAGTCTGCCTCCGCCATTCCCGGGCAGTGGGGGATGGATCACTGCTGAGAACGTGTCAGAATACTTTGACGAGGATGGCAATTGGATTGGAGGAGAAGAGGCCGGGAATGCAGAGAGTCTGGGAGACGGCGCCGGAAGGATCAGAACGCGGGAGGAAATGGATGGTGGTGTGAATGGCGACGGAGATAATCATGAACTCGATGATAACAAACGGCCGAGAACGGATTGAGGTTGGGATTGAGGAAGAGAATGAGGAAGCATGTTGCGAGGGAAGATAAGAAATGAAACGGGCTAGAAACCGACCAGCTGGTACGCCGCCAGGCCCCTGAATCTGTCAAATATCAAATATCCAAAGGCGAAAATGGACATGCTTGCGAGTGCCATGCAACGGTACCGAATGTCTGGACACCTAAATTGTGGGAAGTTGTCAGCAGCGGCTAATAAAGTCGTTTTGGGAACTATCGGAACCCGATGCAAGATGAAATGTCACCGATTGAACTCTGTTTGCGAATTCGATATCTTCGTTTTGCGGTTGCTACCTCGTCATCAAAATATTCTCCTATCTCTGCCCAGTGCCCAGTGATAGCAATGCAACATCTGCAGCACGCAGGAGAAACATGAATCCGCCGCAGCCACATCGTTTTGGTGTGACGAGAAAAGATAGGGGAGCCGACACGTGAGGAATATTGCTGATAAGACGGGAGAGCAACAGCCTGGAAATAGCGGGCAGAGGCGCTGGCCAAGACTTCTGTATGGTTGGTGTGGTGTGGTGGTCTACACTACTGTATGCTCTAGGGGGGGATCGAGGCACTAAACGAAACAGCGTGCTGCAGGCTCCCTCTAGCAGAACCATGCCCCCATGCTCGCTGTAATCTCTCTCGCTCTACAGTAAGTACAGCACGTTGAACCCCAGTGTGGGAATTTGCTCTACTCTACAGTATTGTGCACCCAGGAAGCACATGGCAGCAAGCATTCCTTCATTTGCACTGTCGCACAAGATGGAACGAACATGTCATGTTACAGTACAGTACACCCCTAGCTACGATCCTTGAGTCTCACTCGCTCTTTCGTACTGTACTTCTCGTTGCTCTGCTTCCTCTGCTGCCCATGCTCGTTGTCCCAAGTGGGATCCGACCCTTCCCCGTTTCTCTCTCGCCCCCCGTCACAAATCCCCGTCTCCCAAATTCCTCTCCCTCTCCCTCCACCCGCCAATTCCATCCATCTCCCATGTGTCCACCATGTCGCCCAGCGGCACAGCAGCCTAAAGAACCACTCGACAGGCCCCGTCACTGGGAAAATGATGAGATAATGGCAGGGTCGCGCGCACGAACGAACTCCAGCTTCAGCTTGGCGGAAACCCGCCGTGGCCTGGGCAGTCACTGGTCGGTCGTGCAGTGGTGGTGGTGGTGGTGGTGGTGGCAGTGAAGAGATGTGAACTCCATTCAAATGATCTGATCAGAGAAAGCCACACCCCAAAATCATTCCGGTATGCCATCCTCGACCACCTCAACTCCCGCAGACCGCCACCTTTTCCAAGTCCAGGCTGGAGTCAAATGATTCTCTCGTCCCCATCAGCACGATGCTCGAAGACTCGTCCCTCTATCGCTGACGCCCGCGGCCAAGCCGACGTGAAGAAGAATTGGAAGGATTGGGGTGGTTTGGTGAATTGGCGGCGCACCCACGATGTCGTACTTTCCAGATGGCCTTCGTGGAGCAGATAGTCATGATGGATTGGCTGCAGACGAAATAGCTGCCGATATTGTCTCAAACTCGGACGCCCTTTCAGACGACACAGACAAGACAGCCGTTCAAGACAATGCGAACTCGCCTCGGACACCCACTCCTGACATCGCGAAGGAAAAGGCGGAACCTATATACGCATCAGATGAAATCAACGACGATGATGCTGCAGCCGCAGCAGAGGACGACGCTGCGAATGAGTTACCATGGCACGTCAGGAGGATTGTCAGTTTGCACGACGACACAACTCTCCCCACTATAACATTTCGATATTTCCTCTTGGTCCTAATCTTTGTCCCTCCAGGCGCCTTCCTCGAGCAACTCAATATGTTTAGGACAACCTCGGCGCCATACTCGATATTCTTTGTACAAATAGCTGCTAATTATGTAGGGGATTGGTTGGCCAAAACCTTACCGGCTTGGGTTGTTCGAATACCATTTACGAAAAAGAGCTTCAGCTTGAATCCAGGTCCATTTAGCGTGAAAGAGCATGTTCTCGTGGTTATTGCTGCAGCATCAGGAGCAACTTACAATCTTGCCTGGACTCCTCTATCTTTGTCAGAATTATATTTCAAGGAACGACTTCATCCACTGATATGGATCTGCTTCATGTGGGCTATTGTGTGGACAGGATATTCTTATGCAGCGATTGCAAGACAATTTTTGGTCTATGATCCACAACTTCCTTGGTAAGAATTTCAAACTCGCCCTTGTGATCAATGCTAATATGTACAGGTTTGATGCGTGAGTTCTTATGTCGAATATTATGCTTATCATACTTGGTACTAATTCATGTAGACTATGTCAAACGGCGCTCTTCGAAACCCAGACTCTACAAAGAGAACATCCATCACCAGTATCAAGAAAGCAGATGAAAGTTTTCTTCCTAGCCCTTGTTACTGTATTCTTTTGGCAATTCCTACCCGAATACGTCTTCCCAATGCTCTCTTCGATGGCATTTTTATGCTGGGTGGCTCCGCATAATGCCACCGCCAACTTCCTCAGTTCAGGACTCGGTGGCATGGCTTTTCTTAACCTTTCATTCGACTGGTCTACAATGGCCAATCTCAGCAACATGGGAAGTCTATTTTTGACACCATTCTACACTCAGATGGTCGTCTTCCTCGCGTTCGTCGCGAATTGCTGGATTCTTTTGCCTGCTGCGAACTGGGGTGGCCTGGGTTCTTGGCATCTTCATCTAATGTCACTTTCATTGTTCCAGGGTATGCCAAACATTCACTTCGTTTTCGTCTGCTCACATGTGATAGAGAATGGAAATGACTACCCAATCCTCGAACTTATCACGCCCGAGATCACCTTCAACCAGACAGTTTATGACCAAAACGGTCCCGTCTTTGTTGGCACACAATTACTCTGGAATATGTTCTTCGACTATGCTTCTTACACCTCCGTCTTGACTTGGATGGCCTTGTTCGGATATCCGCATCTGAAAGCAATCTTTTTGAAGTTCAAAGCGAGACAAACAGCAAAGACGAAAATCTCCGTGAACGAACAATATACCGACCCCCTGAATGTTCTCATGCGTTCGTACCCAGAGATACCTCTATGGTGGTTCATCGCATTATTTCTAGCCTCCTTCACGATTATCATCACGATTCTTGCGTCCGGCCATCTCTATATACCCATTTGGACTTATATTCTGGCCCTAGTAACGGGTGCCGTTGTTGTCGTTGTATGATCTCCATCTCTAGTTTCTCATCAAATACTAACCTTTGTAGCCTCTCGGGTGGCTCTATGCTGTGTCGAACTTCCAGCTTGTAAGTGGAACTGTCCTATTCTTGCTTTCTCGTATCTAATATCCCTCAGCCTATTGGAACAACGAACGAACTTCTCTATGGTCTCATGATCAATGCTGTCTCGGGCCACAAGAGTCCTGTGGGTGCTTCAGTCTACAGCTCCATCGCAGGAGACGCCTGGTACAGAGCGCAGTACATGCTGCAAGACCAAAAGCTGGGCCATTATCTTCACGTTCCACCCAGAACTGTCTTCTTTTCACAGATGCTCGGTTCTTTTGTCGGTGTACCAATAAATTATGCTGTGATTCGATGGGTCATCGACACAAAAGGAGACTATCTCAATGGTACCTTGGAGGATTTGACCCACGAATGGACAGGCCAGAGCCTTACCTCGTCGCTAACAATGGCGACGCAATACGTCTTGATTGTACGTTCTCAAAGTGGTCCTCGTTCGATGATTGCTAATACCATTACAGGGCCCCAAACGATTATTCTCAGGAGAGCTCTATCACCCACTACCCTACGGCTTCCTCGTTGGAGCCATCACCCCCACAATCCTCTACGGTCTCCACCGTCGTTTCCCCAACGCAAAATTTAACCTATGGAACAGCACCATATTTTTCTGCTCTCTATCCAATTTCTACGGCAACATCAGCACCGGCTACACTTCGGGGATCATCGGGGGATTCGTCGTTATGTACTGGGCTTACCGACACCATTACGAACTGTGGGCGCGGTACAATTACATCTTGGCCGCGGCGTTCGATTCGGGGTATAATTTCAATGCCCTGATTATATACCTGTGTTTCTGTGCAGGGACCAGGATCATGATGCCGAACTGGTGGGGGAATAATTGGAAGAGCGTCGAGAGGTGTTTTGCGATGCCGGATGCGGCTGATGCTTGATGTATGATATATAGTGCTGCTGTATGATAGTATATGACATGGTATAGCCCTGTCGAGATGAATATATAATGATTTAATGTTCTCAAATTCTATTCTCCCCCTTGCTCGACCATGAAAGCGATTCTAGGAAGTAAGCATATTGTACATCTAGCTGCACGCTTTCCACAATGTGGTAGATAGAATTAAAAATTCCGTCTTTCGCCACGTCCGGGTTCTTGTCACACAGCTCCGTTCGTTATACTCGGGGACTTTTCCCAGTTTCTTTTCCAGTTTCAACATCGCCATACCGCGCCTTAAGAGAGCAGAAGGTGGGACCAGGAGTTTTCTGCACTATTCCCAAGAGGTGCGGAGTCGAAAAGATTTTATTGCCCACTCAAGTCAATATATAGTCTCTATGCAAAATGACTCGCACATTCCTATCACATGCAAACAAGCTGAGAAAATGATATTGACAATTCAGCCAAGGGTATTTATACAATATTACCAATTTACAAAGTAAAATCTATGTCTGTCTAGTATTTATACAAAGCACTGCGGCCATCATCTACTCCTTCTTGGCCTTCTTCGCCTTCTTATTCTTCGGCACCCTAGCCAACCAATACAAGAAAACCGCCATCACGGCATTAAAGATAATGAACGCCCAAAGAATGCCAAAATTCCTCCATCGATGACTATACGACGAGTTGATCTGCGTCAAGAACTGATTCGTCGAGTCCAAGGCGCAGTAACTGCAGTCTCCCGTCGCGTTGGGGAACTGCAGATAGCCGCCCGCGTCGTAGGTGTTGATGTACGTGTTCATGTACTGGTAGCAGGTTTCTCCGGCTGGGGCGGAGAATTTCAGATACTCGTTGCTGGCGCAGACGACGTCCGTGTTTGCGATTGCGACGGAGAGCATGGCGTCGACGAGATAGGTGAAGGGGGAGAGACGATACATGAAGATCCAGAAATGGGGGAAGACTTCTGGGGAGGCGAGGACACCGCAGAAGACGAGGGTGAGCGAGAACATCAGATTGGCGATGTTGCCTCCCGTTTCTGCGGTGTCGATTGCGGCGATGACCATGTTCGTGAAGGTGGAGGTGAAGAGGAGGAATTCCCAGACGAGGAGGAACATGAGGCCGCCGCGCTCGGTGACGGCGTTCGTGGGTTCAGCGTTACGGTACAGGCCGATCGGGTAGTACCAGCAGAGGTAGATCAGGACGGCCATTAGAGTGTTCCAGGGGAGTTCGACCACGATGCTGGATATCATGAAGGCTTTCCATGAATAGGTTTTCGAAGGGCGTTCTCGAGCTTCGTAGAGCGAGCGCTGAGTGACAAAGTGAGGCATGATTTGTTGAACAAGTTGACCGAAGATAGTGAACAGCATAAAGACTGCAAACATCTGGTTCTGCAATTCCTGTTGGGAGGTGCCGGCTTTGAAAAAGGAGAAGCCAATGAAAAGGGCGGCGAAGATGCAGAGACTCAATTTACTGTAGATATAGCTGGGGGTACGCCAATACTGCTGGAACACGCGCTTCTGAACTTCCCATTGTTGAAGACCGAAGGGGGCAGCGAATTCACGGAAACTGGCTTTGTCGTCGGCTGATGCAGAGGGTTGAGTGATTTGTGGGAGTTCGGCCTTGAGACGATCAAGTTCACGGTGGACTCCTTGGTACTCTGGGCTGTCACGCCAGGCTTGATGCCAGTCGATGTCTGTATGAGATCCAGGAGCAGCACCAATAACTTCTAACATCCATTCGGCTGAAAACGTTAGTCGAGAATAGTCAAAATCATGGACTATCACCTACCTGGATTTGCGCTGGGCGGGCAAGGGTGAGCCCCTAGTCGCTCGAAATACTTGGTCAACACAGCAGCATTGTTTCCGACTTCGCCAAAATAGACAGTCTTGCCACCAGAAGCTAAGAACAGTAATCGATCAAAACGCTGAAACAACATTGCAGAAGGTTGATGGATCTGAAGAATTAGCTTTGATAAAAAAAAAGACTAGAGATCAGACTTACAGTGCAAAGAACAGCTTGACCATTCTTTGTCAACTTCTCCATCAAATCACAAATAGCCCAAGAAGTTTGACTGTCCAGACCAGAGGTAGGTTCGTCCAAGAAGAGAAGTAGTTCCGGTTTAGCGGCAAGTTCAACACCGATCGTGAGACGCTTTCTCTGCTCGACGTTCAAACCTTCTCCAGGAACACCAACCACTGCATCCGCATACTCTTCCATATCCAAAAGTTTGATGACCTCATTGACATACTCCAATTTCTCCTTGCGTGGAATCTTGGCAGGTTGTCTGAGAAGGGCACTGAAATTCAAGGCTTCGCGAACAGTGGAAGTCGACAAGTGGAGATCTTGTTCGGATTAGCAGACGTTCCGACTCAAACGTTGAATCGCTTACCTTGCTGTTGAACATAACCAGTTTTTCGTTGGAAAGAGGTGTCACGTTCTCGGCCATCAACCAACATACCGCCAGTGATCACACCCATAGTAGTTCTAGTTGCAAGCACGTCGAGAAGCGTCGTTTTACCAGCACCAGAGACACCCTAAATACGTTAGCAACGCTCGTATCAAGATCGTTAAGACCAACCATGAGTGCTGTCAAAGTTCCAGGCTTTACCCAGCCATCCACATGATCCAAAATTCTGCGAGGTTCGCCCTTGATCTTGATATCATAGCAGACATCTTCCCAGTGAAAGATTGCAGTTTGCTTCTTGATGATGGTCGAGACATCCACATGACTACTGGTCTTCTCGGCGCCAGCAATAGCAGTAGCTGCAACTTCTTCATCGCTACCTTTTTGCTTCAGAGCAGCTGGTGTATGGCCTCTTCGGAAGAGCAAGACTTCTCCTTTGGACTTCTTAGCAGTAATGAATTCGGTAGCGAGGAGGTAGGTAGCGCAGAGACCAATGGCGAAGATCCAAAGGATACCAAAGTTTCTAGACTGTCAGCCATATCCGTAACGAGAAGGAAGAATCTTACCTCCACTTGTGAGATGGCGTGTACTGGTATGATGACTCGATGTATGTCGTCCCACTAACCACTGCTGAACCAGCTACAGAGCCGACTGCAGAGCAAACACGCTCCAAAGGAGAGACATTAGCGTAGGCAGGACCTTGGGGAACGAATGCGGAATCCAGGCAAGTAAAGTTGCGGCCAGCAAATTCGTTGATCATCAAACTCTCGAATCCATACGCGACGGGATCGACATAATTAATCCATCTAGCCCATCCGCGCATATTTGGAACAGGTAGAGCAAAACCAGTATAGATGACAATTCCCAAAATCAAGATTGCAGTGGGAGCCATGGCCTGGGAAAGAGTTCTGGAGACTGATGCGATTGTACGGAACAACATGGACATGACAAGAGTCAACATGAACGAGATCAGTACGAAGAAGAAGAAGTTGCCTGGATGTCGATTAAGGTTGACCATGAAGTATAAAGTCAAGTTGAAAATGATGGCGTTCAAAATCTTATATGGAAGATCAGTAAGCATGGACGCAACAGCTTCGCAAGATGGGTGATAAAGGGCATATCTCGAATGTTTCTCGACGATGGGACGTTGGGCGTAGAGTGTTAAAATCTGTGATAAATCAATACAAGGAGCAAAACCCAGACTGAGAGACCTACCTCGAGAGCACTTCCAAAGGCATTAAGCAAAATAGCAAAGAACAGAACAGCGCTTCGTGAGAAGAAGCTGGACGTCGTCTGGGGTAGATTATAAAAAACACTACTGATAACCAAAGCCATCAAAAAGTTACCAAAAAGTTGGGTGAAGGTTAATGATGGATCTCCTTTCAATCGCCAAAAGCCACGTCGCAGACAGAGCTTCACTTGACCAACATATGACAAGGTGTACGGGCTCGATACTCGCTGGTGCTTGGATTGTTGAATTCTGCGAGAGTCTTTGAAGTTTTGCAGATGTTGGCCATGGAGTTGGTATTGTTCATTGTACATATCAACTTCTTTACGGAGGTTGGCATATTCGGGGCTGCTCTTCCAAACACGGGCGAACTCGTCGGGTGATCGTGGGACTCGATCCGCATACCCTTCTCTCACAACACGTTCTAAAGAACTTGTCATTGAAGTCAAAAAATCGGCAGTTGTTTGTCGGTCTGGGCATTCGAATCCCATATTAACGAAATAGTCCTTGGCTTCAGTACAGCTGCCAAAGTAAATCTGTCGTCCTTCGTAAAGCACGGCTACCTTGTCGAAGATCTAGACATGTTAGAAGCATCTAGCAACAAGGGGAAGATACCTACATCATAAGCGCTCTGAGGAGCTTGGTAGATAGCTACAACAGCGGTGGATCCAACAAGATCTGTAGACATCCGAAGAGTCTTACAGAATTCAATCGCATTGGCACTGTCGAGACCTCGAGTGCTGTTGTCCCAGCACTGAAGTGGAGCACCACTCAAAGCAGCTTCAGCAATTGTCACACGCTTTCTCTCACCACCACTGACACCACGGACAAAATCGTTTCCAACTCGAGTATTGATGGTGTGACTGATACCAAAGACTGCCATGATCACATCTCGGAGATATCTAGCAAACTCTTGTCGACTGATGCCTCCAGGAATATATCGAGGAGCTCTGGCTTGCGCAGCGAATTCGAGAGTTTGACCAACAGTAAGCATAGGGAAGTGGACATCGACTTCAGCAGTATAAATAGCCTCGCCACGAAAGTCGTTGTGCATCTGCTTCGGCGTGATGCCTTGGTAATTGATACTGGATTTCTCATCGATGTAGAAGCCATTGGTCTCGCCGGCGATAGTTTTAAGGAATGTCGAACAACCACTGCAACATCGTAAGCAGGGTAAAATTCTTTCGAAATGTTCTAACTTACCTTCCAGGAGGACCCAGTACAACCAGCATTTCACCGCTGTGAACCACTCCGTCCAACTGTTGTAGGATATCAATCTTGCGCGGTTTACTCATCCCGAGAAGCTTCTTCGCTAAACCGACGACTTCTAGGACAACATTGCCCACACTCTTTTGGTAATCGGTGGCAGTACCAAAGCCATAGACATTCAAATCCTTGAAGGCAAAGCCCGCAGTGCGCAGCTTCCACTTCTCAGGATCGCGAGCTTGAAGATTGAGGAGCGATTTAGCGAAGGCGTGTGGCTTGAAATTTGGCGATGCTGGGTTCAATGGAGAATCTGCATCCGCTTCGAAAGGGTTCTTCTGGTATACACTTGTTTGGGACTGAGTTGTGTATTTTCGCGCGAGCTTCAAGACTTCTTCGTCTCTCCTCTTCTCCTCAATCTCGTCTTCGCGCTCCGTCTCGGAGCCATTGGTATTCTTCTCTGTTTCTGGATGCATGGTGGATTGCTCCGACAGATCATTATTATCGCGTTCTCGCTGGGTGTGGTCTTCTCTTCCAGCACCTATGCGCGCAGCTGAGCGATCGTAATTCTCAGGGAAACCTCCTGCAGGTGGATTAGTATTAGTGCCCGTTGATAACCATCTTCCCGCCCGCCCTCACAAGACTCACCAACGAGTGCCATCTCAATGACGTCGTCGACCAGAGTCGAGAGAAAGAAGAAAAGAAAGGAACGACCAGACGCAGGTGATTCCGAGTCAAACAATTGAATCAGACGGGAAGTATTAAGTTTTAAAGAAGTAAACAAAATAAGCAAAAGTGACGAAACGAATAAAACTACTACAGTGCAATAGAAGCGCAAGGACGGCCGCGGTGGGATGGAACATGTGGTTACCGACACGAGTACGACGGCCAGGGGTCCTCGTCGCGTGCGCTCAGCGAATCATGAGCGGGAACCGCAATAATAACTGGGGCTGCTACCCGTTTCTATCCTGGTCGTCGAGGGTTCGTCGGATGTCCGACTTCAAGCAGCCTCCGACCGCCAACCAAGACAGCCTTGGGGATGGAAAGGTGTGAGTGAAGACCAATGAAAAGGGGCAAATACGGGTGATGGTGGGGTCGCTGGATAAATTATGTGAGAATTATGAAGAATTATGTCAGTTTATCCCAGATGCACAACGCGGGAGGCAGATTGCGTTTAGTCAAAAGCTGGGGCGGGACGAGCAAGATCCGGCTTCCGAAGAGACCATTGATTGGCGACCGCTCGGATGCTAAAGGAATTGTTTCCGAATTTCTCGGCTTGACTTGCCTAGAACTCAGAGCCCATATTGGTCCCGAATACGATAGACGTCGTAAATTGTTTCCGGTAACACAGAAGCGAAAAGGGTTGATCTGGTACCCCCACCATCGCGGACGGGACGAAGGCCAATCCTGACCTGCCAACATTCTCACCAGCATATGAATGGGGCAGTCGACACGCATGTGAGGTGATCCGAGATCCGGGACATTATTGGATGACAGGACAATCGGATTGTATTTATGGCCGCTATCCCTGGATAAACATTTTTCTGTGGATTTGTATGCATTATTTCTAATCTCGGACGGAAGTAAGAACTACGAAAGTCGTTGCAATCTTTGGCAACCCTTCTCCTCTATCCTATACGAATGAGATGAGCAAGACAAACACCGACATGATCCATTAAAGTTACCAAAACCCACTCTAAGAAACATTAATTCATTACAAGTCCTCCAGACGCCTCGCTTAGCCAAGAATAACCTCAAAGGAAAATAGGAGAACTCTAAATCACATCTCTTTCACTTTCCAACTCTCCCTCTCCTCGACTCTGTCCCGCCTTTGACAGCGATGTTGATTAGGCCCCAGAATGGAATGCCTGAACACGGAGGCCTACTCTTTACCGATACCCCATCCGAAAAATCAGCAGCCCAAAGCCAGACAGAAAGCCTGAATTCCACCTCCTCTTGCCTCTCGGATACACGTTCCACTCAAAAGCTAGAACTCCACCTCCTCCCCCTTCTCCGGTACCCATCCTCAACCCTCTCAACCCGTCCATGAACCAATCTACTAACAGCCAACCCCTTCCCAACATCCATCACAATCTCCCTCCTCCTCAAATCCCTCGGATCCTTATCCCTCGCAACACTCGCCCCAAAACTCGCCGCCATCGTGGTCCCAACCCTTGCGCCTTTTCTCCCGATCCAGTCCCCGCGAAAATCACCTACGTGCAGGGCTTCGATGAACCCTGCTACCGCGGCTACCTTGCCGGCGTGGATGGTTGTAGGTGAGAATTCGGCGTCGATTATGCTAGGGAGTGAGTGGTGTCGACGACGAGGACGAGGACGGTGGTGTGAGACCTGACGCGGAGGTGGACGTTGGATATCTCTCGAAGAAGACGCTTGACCCAGCATCGTCATCTCATGAGGAAGCTGAGGCGGTTGAAAAGTCTGATACCGCTGATACTGCTGCGGAGGATCCGGGACTGGAGGTGGTGGATTTCCCCGCGTCTCGAAACCGCGATAGTATTCGTCCCGTTCCCGAGTTTGTTCTTCCCCCAACGGACGTCGTCGGCCACGCATGGGGCTCTCGACGACTCGTTGATGGTAGGCGACAGTTGAGGAGCTGTCGGAGGAGGAGCTTGAGTCGTCGCGGTATTTGCGTTTTCCTTTTAGCTTCTTCCTGAGTTTCTTGACTTCGTGCTTGAGTTCTTTGATCGAGGATCGGTCTCGGTCATCACATTGTGGTTGCTCGGGAGGTGGTGGATCATCGTCTCGCTTGAGCCAGTGGTGTTCTACTACGGCTGCGAGGCCGGTGAGGAGGAGAGGCCCGAATCTTTTCAAGCTTGTTCGGGCAATATTTTTGGCTTTTGCGAAACGATCGTTTGGAGGTGGAGGGTTCATTCTGTCCCTTGGTATTACCCTATAAGTTGGTTTCAGGAATTGCGACAAAAGAAAGAAACACTGAGCGAGAGGATAGTGAAGGAGGGATAGGAAATAAAGAGTCATGATGGACGTGAAGACATTGGACGAATGATCAGCTCTTGCTGATCAGAAACACTTGAGCGTGGCAACTCGTAGAAAAAGACACGTGCTGGGATCCAGAACGTGGTTGAGATGAGTGGGGCTGAGGACTCTTATAAGATGGACAGACGCGCGGAAATCAATATTGTGATGAGGTTTCGAGTTGATGGTGCGCACGCGATGCTGTCTCGTGACCTCGTGACATGAACTCGTGCAACCATCAAAGCTTACTTTTGTAGCCATTTATAGACCCTAAGAACAGTGAAGGCAGCCTTTAGAGTACTCAAGACTGCTACACTTGTCGCATCAGTCGTGGTCAACACAACCTAGGCCGTGATTCTGAGAAATCACCGTCGCTCGCACCCGCTGGGGGGACACCAAGCACGTGACATATTTCGATCATCAAGCGGTCCTGTAAAAGATGGCACAGCACGCTGCGAAGACCTGAGGAGAGTTGACTCGGATGTTCCATTCCTGTCAAGAGTCTGTTATCCTCTTGGGATCAGGGGGACTTGCGCCGTTCTGAAAATTGTTCAAGGCAATCCGAACATCGTTGGCTGAATCCTCGACATGCTGCTCCCTGTCACCCCATTTGATATTCAACGTTCCCGTCTCGATATTAGGTAACTCCATGAAACCATCATCCTGCTTCATAACTCTGCGAGATTGCCAGACAGAGGTTAGAGTACTCGCAGAGGCACTACTTCTCGAGGATGATGATGAAAATCGTATTCGAGGAAAAATTCTGTGGAACAGGGTCCGTAATGCTGGCATACAAGAACAAATCATGGCACTGCCGAGCTCAAGCGCGGTCCAGATCGTGACCGGAACATAATCCCAAGTGGGATCGATTGAGTTCCCGAATACGAGAAGGGATTGAAGTCGGACTATGGAGATGATACAGCCACTCCATAAAGTTAGCAGTGTATTCCAGACGATACCTACGAGAACTTACAAGCCGCCAACAGCGAACATGAATCCCACTGCAACTTTCCTCCTCGTTTCCATATTCAGTTTCGAAATAACAGGAATCGGCAAGGCAATGATCATAAAGTCTTGAGCTATACTCGAGCCGCTGTTTGCATACGCCAGTGCATTGACGTCGAGACAAGCCCCATTGTGGATGTCCTTATCCCAGAAGTATGAGATGGGATGGCACTGAAAAATCGTAAGGGCAGAGAGGATGGTCGTGCTGAGTATTATGACGAAGATTAGTGCGTAAACGGCGATCTTGAACCTGTGTTGGTGTTGAAATACTCGAAGATACAATGCCAGGATTGATAATTTAGTGATGCTAAGTGCAACGACGTAGATATTTTCTGCAATGTAGACTGGGACTGTCAGAGAGTTTCAAGGTTTAGCGAAAGACTGACAATGCTCTAAAATTGCGAGGAGATCCCCATTTTGCAGACTGTACCCGTGCTTTCCAAACCCTTCATATGCAACTGATAAAGTTAGCCTCTGAAAGTCGCAAAAGAGGTGGTTCATACATATGATAGCTAGACTGTTCGCAGAAATGGCGAGCATCTACTAAAGTCAGTAATCAAATATATGCATTCAATGTGACTCCGTACAAGCGCAACAATGATTATCCAGTCTTCAAGAGCAATCTTGTTGTCCAATATCTTCGATGCGAGGCGTAGTAACACAGCAGTTCCAGTCACGACCATAGCGACGATGAAAGTTATAATGACGAGATTGGACCTGTTTTGGAATGGCAGGTTACAAGTTTGGGCTTCAAGCTTTGAAAGTCCTTTACGAACTTAGCCGATTTCGTCCGGAATGGAAGAAAAGTCTACCTAGAGTATCTGCCATTGAACAATTCGCAAGCATGCATGCCGCAGACAGCTGTGGAAGAGATTTGGAAGTACATTGGCAAGTGATGTTGCCGAGAGCACATCCTGCTGCTGGCACAGTTTGTTGAATACAAGCAAGCTTCAATTTCTTAGCAGAGTCTGACGATGGAGAGACTACTCACTGCACATGGTGACAGAGATTGGCTTTGTACTACTGATGCGAACCAAAGTAAGAGCAAGATGCGAGTAAGTGCCATTGTATACACATGGTGCCCACAAAATTAATTGTCCGACAAAGTTCCAAGGGATGGGGCGTTTATTATTGCTCATCGCACGGGCATCACGAACTGGCATCGGTTCGTTTGGGCATCAAACAAGATTTGGCCCGAGTAAAGAGCTTACCAATGATCCGCAGAGAGTTCAAGGAAATAAAGGAAAGACGTATGGAAGCGCGATCGATCCAATCGATCATTCAGGGTTGAGAATAAGGTTTGTGCTATGCGTCTCCCAGTGTCACAGCGTTGCCACGGTTGTTTGACAAAAAAGGCTGAGACGTCGAAATGATCCATGGGTACGAGACCTTGCTTAAGATCTCGGGTCGATCCCGTGAATCTGTGATTCATTCGAAGCTTATTACTCGTTTGCCTATGGCTAGATCAAGAAGGGTGAAAGCTATTCGCAATTCAAAAGACAAACACGCGGTATAAATCGTACGACTCGGGGCGAACAGAGGCACTTGCACAGTCCGTTCGGAGTTACGGAGACTACTTCCGGGATCAACATCGTCAAACAGAAGATACGACTCTAAGATCAGAATGACAGCATTTTGGTTGAGAGGAGATGGGGAAGGGAAGTTCCCCAAGCTATCGACATTAGTCAGCAACCGTTGACCAACACGAACACAATCACCACCCATCCTCCAACCTTCCCTCTACGAAATGGAAAGATCGAAGGCCATACTCTTGCGAGTTTAATGAAACGAAGACTGAGTTCCTGATTGTGTTGCGACGCGCAATGATTGCACACAGAGCCTAGATGTTGATCTTGTTTCGTCATTGCTCGCGCGGCTCAAGTACACTTCCTCCAAAAGACAAGCAGAAAAGAGCCAAGTCCTCCCAACACTTCCACAAAACGATATTCCATCCAAACGTCTCCACAATTCGATGTCATCTCCAACTCAAGCTGTCCCCGTCCAGCCCAGCATTCGCCAGCGAGAAGTTCGAGTCGCGATCCTCAATGCGCCGTGTCTTCAGACCCGATGGAAACAATATCCGCAGAGTGTATAGGCTTCTCGACAGGCTTCGTTACAACTTCGGTCACACGATGTGCGCGACGGCGGCGAGTAAACAGAACAATGGCAGCGAGCAGGAGAATGCCACCGACAATACAACCAACAGCAATACCTGCCTTGGCACCTCCGCTTAGTCCGCTACTATGCTGAGCTGTGGCGGACGTCGAGGCCGGAGTCTGAGTAGCTGTTGGCGCAGAGCTTGCGGTACTGCTAGGAGTGTCAAACTCCGAGGCTGTTACATTGAAGCATATGACCTGCTCATTGAATGCCGAAGCCTCGACGAAGGTCTGTGGCAGATCAGTATGGTCCTTGTTTTCAGCGGAATGACCCACAATATCGGCACAAGCGAAGAAGGACTCGTTTTTGTCGCTGTCATCGGCCCAATATTCAAGCTGAATGGTCGCATTGGAACCTGCTACGACTGTGCTTGGTTCTGCGGGCATAGAGTAGCACTGATGGCCTGGCTCAAGCTCTGATACATTGTTCTTGACGGCTTGAAAGTCTTCTTGGGTTGCTGGATCTGTCGAGTGTCAGTGTCAGCCCTTCAGTGTAGCTCTACCATGCCTACCGTTTCCATAAGCAATGCGTACTGCCAAATTGTACGATTCATCTGCGATAGTGAGCTCTATCGAGCCGATCGCTGAGAGAAATTAAGTCACCGAATACCGCCAGGTGTCTAGGAAACTCACATCCAAGTGGAAATTCGGTTCTATTTGTGACCGAAGAGCTACTTCCACAAGGTCCAACGTTGTCGTAAGCTGCGCTCCAAACACGATCACTCGGCCAGAGAAATGCCACAGGTCCCATGACTGTTCCTTCTGCTCCATCGCCATGAGCTCCTAGTGCGAGCTGAATGAACACAGGGAGAGCAGCGAAAGCGTATGAAATTCCAGTGAACATCTTGCTATACTCCTGTGCTTGAAATACGATATGAGTGTGTTGCGTATCCCAAATCTTCATGAACGTGGGCTGAGTCAAATACGAACTCTAAGTTCAGGCCCCACTATCAAGTTCGGATTGTTCACACCACCTTTTCTGGCTTCTCTTCGCAGGTTCGCCAAGATCAGTATTGCTCTGCATGTTTTGAGACTGCGACCCTAATCTTCCCGTTTTATCCGAAGATTGACTCATTCTTCCTTTGAATGCAATAAAGCCGCAGCAGTAGCTCTCTGTAATAGGCAAAGCTTGGGTGAAGTCATCCTATGGCAAAGCTCATCTGGAGCTCCCGTGCCCGTCAATTAATCTAATCTTATCAGATCAATCAGATAACCCTCTTGCCAAGAGTATGAGTGGATTTCTTGATATCTGCGTTTCTGAAATCCAATCAAATGTATCTCATGTGCCACTTTTTTCAGCTTGGCAATGCAGCCAAGACTTCTCTGTCAAGAATAGAAAGGCACATGCTATCAGAATGAGACCAAAGAGCGGGAAAGAAGAGGTGAGTACTCTGACACTTCCTTGAGATACTACTCTCGGCATCGAAACTCTACGTGTGAATCTCCCTGCAGATCTTGTCACAGCTGTGAGATCCACATGGTTGCAAACATATCCTGCCAGGACTCACATACTTACCGATTTCGTATGGCGCTTTTGGAAAGATTGAGGCAATTCTGATGAATCCTTTCTGGGCAGAATCCAGCATTCCGATATCGCCCATCCCCGGTTTAGGAGCGCCAGCTACTCTCACATATATCAGTTTCGAGAGAGTAGCCTTTTCTCATGGTGTAACGATCGTTCACAATGTTCAAAGCACCTCTTTCCATCACCTTTCTCGCCCTCCTGACCACCGTCTTCGCCTCAATCTTTACAGAGGACCTTACAAATGCTTTGCTCAAACGCCAAGAACCTGGAACGCCTGCATATGACTGCCATTTGAATTGTGGTATGCTTCTCCTCCTAGATATCCAACCTTCGCTGACCTTCCTGCCAGGAACTGCAATCACTATCAGCCGTTCAGCAACAGACCCTTGTACAAACTCGACTTTTCTATCTGATTACGACGCCTGTCTTGATTGTGCTGGACCAGATAATCAGAACATTTGGCAGTATTACGGTACAGCCTTGAGTATCGTGGCTACGAAGTGTGGATTATCTACTACACCGGTCGCAAATGCAACTACTTCAGGCTCAGTCAATGGCACTGTATCGTCGACTGGTTCTGCGAGTGGTTCTACGGCATCGCCACCTAGCACATCTTCGATGAGCTTGTCAGCTTCGTCAACTGCGTCTGGTGTTACGAATGGAACTGCTTCTGTGAGTCTTGATCATCAGGAGATGGCAACGATTAGTGTACTAACTTTGGCAGAGTACACCGGTAGTGGCTGGAACTGGGACTATGATGGACGTCGGAACTTTTATGTTGTTCGCTCTGGCTGGTGCCGTTTCTGCCAGTTGTGCTTTCTGAACAGTCGGTGTCATGTTCTGGATGGCTGCTTTATGTCGAGTTTCAAGATTAGAGTCTCTGCCGGCGTAATGATGTTCTTCTCTTTCAAAGACAGATTCATGATAATCTATGGTGTCTTCGCCTATCATTTTACTTTCATTTAGTACACGCGACCTTCGTGCGCCCCATAAAAATCACCAACTAATCACCAACGACCAACAAATGTCAATTATTTCACCAACAAGCAACGTTCAAAAGCCAACGAATAATCCCGGAATCCAACAGCATATAGCCTGCAAGACGTCAGCCTGTCCAAATGCCAACCGAACTTAAATATCCAGCCCTTGGACTCCCCAATCCTCAAAGTTATGTCCATATCGGCAACGATCTTTTCTGCGATGGAATTCAATCCTCTAGTCGCCCTTGTGGCTCAGATGCTGCTCTCTACCTTGGTAGTAGGTTTGACGAGCTTTGCATCAATCTTTAGGCTCGCCGCTTTGCCTTTGACGGCCACATGTTCATGGTTTATCATTCACAATAGCATGGCATATATGATCAGAGCTCCATGGGCAGCGTTTGTGGGCGGATACTCCACATCTTTCTTTCTCCAGTATCTCGACGTTGCGCTGTTGAGCAGGTATAGCTTCGAAGAAGTGGACCTGAAGAAGAGGTACGTTCATCTGCATCTGCCTCATTGAGAAGCGAAATTGACAGCATCTAGTGAAACATCCCCTGCGATTACCCTCGAATCATTTTTACCTCGCATCAAATGGGCCATATCGCTTCTCGTGAATTTCCGATTCATCGATACTTCCCAATCCCTCAAGAATATACCGCAATTTTCTAATGGAAATCCCGCTTACATCCCAAGTCGTAAACGCTTCCTGTGCGAGACCGCTGATACAGCAGCTGTATCTTACCTTGTACTCGATCTTCTAACATCAACTGGCGATCCAGAGATGTCGTCCAAATATCTCTCATTGGCAAACATCCCGTTCTTCAATCGACTTGCAACCATCTCTGGAATAGAAATACTCATCTGTTTATCTGCAACAATATGCTTGGGGATCAGTATGAATTACGTTCAAGGAGGGATATACAGCATCATGGGTTTCTTCTCTGTACTATTCGGTATCAGCTCGCCGAAATCATGGCCACCATTCTATGGACATTTGCTACAGGCTTCGTCATTGAGAAAGTTTCTGGGCGTGAGTTTAGTACTCGTCCTTTGTCCTTGAGTCTACTGACAATATCAACTTGGGGTAACCTGGCATCAAATCAATACTCGAAAGTTGATCTCTCTTTCAAAGTTCATACTTTCGGATCTGTATGAATTGGATCCGAAAGCTCCATTGACCCGTTACCTGAGGCTGGTGATTATCTTCCTCCTTTCGGGGCTGATGCATCTCTGCATCGACATTGCAAGCGGTATACCTCTGCAGGATTCTGGTGCTTTCAACTTCTTTCTTGTACAAATTGTTGGGATCTTGATGGAGGACGCCTTTTCGAAAATCCGTCAAGCGCTCTTCAATCCAGACAACCACCAGAGTCTTGCCAAGCGTCTCTTTGGATGTGTTCGGGTCTTGACATTCCTCAGCTGGTCTGTGCCTGTGTATTTGTATCCGATGCTGAGCAGATCTGGACCGGAACATTCTACGATTCCATTCAGTATTGTCAATAAACTCAGACATGGGACATGGTAGGAGTCTGGGTGATGATGTATATGAAAGTCTCGATGGTGACTGATCTATTTCGTATGGAATTGAGAGGAGCTTTTGTGGAAGAGAGAACAGACATCATGACTGAGCTATATGGGTAGCAGAATGATCCCAAAATCTTTCGGAGTATCAAGAAGTCAGAATTCCCCACACTTAAACTCGTTTCGTATCCTTGAGACAAGTCTTCAAATTGGGTCCAACATTTGCATCACCCGATCGTGTGATTCTCGAAATTCTCGAGACGTATTAATTCGCCTTGATAGATGGGCCACGTTGCCATAATATTGCTGAAAGTTATCATATAAAACCAAAGGAATCTTTTCTATACAATTCAGAACTAATCGTTGTTCTTACTGGGCTAGGCCGCATTTAGGATAGTCTAGCAGTCTTGGGACGAGCGTTCAAGACTTCGATCTCCCTCGCTTGTTAAACCAATCGATCTACTATCGTTTTCCTCTTTAGGAAGACGAAAGCTAAAGAGGAAAACGAAAGTTCCGAAACTTTTCAGCTTTACGGGGGAGAAGAGCAAGTGATCATTGGCCAGCGAACCAAACTCGATTGTTCGTCCTCGGACACTTGGAAAAACTCCGTCTGGGCAACGGTTACAGACATGGACTTCATGGACCCCGAAATGCGACGGCAGCATTCGTACCATTGATATCATGCACGATGTATGGCTGTCTGGAGCTGATTCGCTCAATGGTTTGTTGACTGTTTGTGGCACCCTGCAGGTAAATTTCCCTACCTCGAAAATCAAACATAAAGACCGTCTCTCCTGCCTGTTTCTTGAACCAGATATCCACCTTCCCACTTGCATTTTCAGCCATCGATTACTCAACAAGCAACATGGCAGCCGCAGGAATTGCCATAATCGGTGGCGGGCCTTGTGGTCTTACCCTCGCTCGTCTCCTTGAATGCAAAGGCATCGACTACATTGTCTACGAGCGAGACGAAAGCGAGAATTCGAACCGCGCGGGTGGCAGCCTCGACATCCACGCCGGGACGGGGCAACACGCGCTTCGGGAAGCTGGCTTGTTGGACGGCTTCAAGAAATACGCCAGATATGACGATACGGCGGTTACAATCGCAGACAAGCAGGGGAAAAGACTACTTCAGATGGGCCAGAATCGTGATGCTCCTGAAATTGACCGCAAAGATCTTCGTCAAATTCTTTTGGATGCTATTCCAAAAGATAAGATCAAGTGGGGTCACACTCTGCTAAATGCGAAGATTGGCGAGGACAAGAGGCCGATGCTTGAGTTCACCAATGGTGTTGTACTGTCTAAATTTAAGCTTGTGGTCGGAGCTGACGGTGCATGGAGCAAAGTACGCCCTATGGTATGACTCTACAATCCTCTTTTTATACCTTGTATCAACTTTCTGACCACAATTTCCAGATCACACCAGCAATTCCCCAATATTCTGGCAAGATCTTCCTTGAGTCGAAAGTTGGCCATGAAAACCCGTTGTACGAAACAACCGTTAGCAGAGTTGGACCTGGAATGTTTCTCGCCACTGGCGTTGGAAAATCGATCGTGACTCAACGGCAGGGTGATGGCACTTACAGAAATTACTTTGGGATCCAAGTCGAGGAGAATTTCTTCCGAAACGGCGTCCTCAAGCTGGATGTTGAAGCGACACGCCGCTTACTGCTCTCAGACTTTTATGCGGACTGGGCGGAGGAATATCAAGATCTCATCCGGCACGCAACTGATCTTCGCGTCTGGTCACTCTACACTTTATCTACCGAGGACATGAACTGGAAGTCTGTGCCAGGGTTGACACTTGTTGGAGATGCTGCCCATCTGACGATTCCTAACGGGGAGGGTGTAAATCTTGCAATGACCGACGCATTGAAGCTGGCATCGAAAATTGCCGAGCATGGCATTGAAGACGTCAACAGAGCAGTACAGGAATATGAGAATGACATGTTTCCTCGTGGGATTGCTACGATTGCAGAGGGCAGAAGAATGGAAAAGGTCATGTTTGATGAAGATCCGCAGGCGTTTTTCCAGGCCTTGTCAGACGCTGCGGCTCAGTGATTATTTGACTGAGATACTAATGTGGGTGTAAGAGATAGATAAAGATGATAACTTAATTCTAGAATAAATGCCACTCGATCTTCAATCACTTGTTGGGACTTTTGGTTGATGTCAATCTCAAGCTTATAATCTGAGAGACACATTGTTGAACGTGAGATTCTGGGACATTCACAGCCAGCTGGAGATTATTCATCATTAAATATCTGATTTTAAAATTGAACTCCCGAGACCAGCTCTAGGATAATGTCCATCATCACCGCTCAGCTAAGCCCTGATATCTCTTACTTGTGACAGGCGGACTGACATATCTCCCACTCAGAGCACAATGTCCTATACCATCCTCAACACCTGTGACCCCCCATTTTACAGGTACAAAAGCGACATCCACCTCATCTGATGGAGGATGACACGCCGCACTGAGAGCAGCACTACAACTCCCTGCAAGTGGCATCCCAGGCTTATACCGTCTCAATCCCATCCCAATTCCAGAAAGTAGCACAAGAGATCCTATACCGACAAGAAAGATGAGCGCTATGCAGGAAAATCCACAAGAGAGGATTGATTGAGAGGCGTCAAAGTTACCGTTTTCGTCGTAGACATCGATTGCGACTAGAAAAAGACTCTGAGACAGAATCCAATGTATTGCAACCGAGACGGTCAGGATGGAAATTAGGTATCGATATGGGAGAGAGAGAAAGTAGGTAGATCGTTGGTCACCTCGAGGAGAGGTTACTCGTAATGCGCGGCGATGGTGGGCGAGGTCGTGCCATTCTTTCGAGAACGACATGCAGGTGTAAACTCGGTTGTATGCAATATCTATACCGCCATCAGTCGTACGCTCAAGGAATGGGGTTGAGGATCTGTACAGAGAACGGACAAAATAACTTGAGGCGAGTTTGCTAGCAGGACATTCTTGATCAGCCCAGGACTTCCAAAAATCGGGCTGCTCCAGCGAATCAACGAAGCTGGTGTCACTGTTCCGAATCCTAAATCCCAAAGAGTCGTGATATCGCTCCTAATTCTAGTTAGCAGAGCGCCGTCAATGGATCTAGGAAATCATACGCAGTGGTTGTATTCTGAATAGCGAAGTGCAGTAGGACGGCCGAGGCAATGACAGCTAAGGTGCAGCTGCTAGGGTCAGCCAAGAACTCAATCTTTTACGGTTACCCACATAGAATTGGAAAGAACCCAACGTCGCATTCCCACAGCTTTATATCGAAAATGTCTCTGGAGAGTCCATCGCTGTGGTTCTCGGTCTGGCCAAGCCCCATCCTGAAATTGTTTCTTCGTCGCCGTACACATCCCAACTGTGTGTGGATCTGGATTCTCAAGCATTCCGCTCAGCGCATCCCCCAGAGTGACGAAAGTTGGTTCTTTGAATTTCCAAATGGTGATAGTCATGCAAGAGAGCTTGACCGCATTGCAGATCAAGACAATTAACATAATGGGCACCGCAATCTGAAGTCTGCATTCATCCGGCACTTTCTGGCTTAGACAATACTCAACTGGTTGATCAGCCATTGTCCAAAAAGTTATATTGCCCAGCGCGACTGGTATGGAGCAGTCGTAGATGTCAATGGATATGGTTTCGATGGTTGAATTCGGCCCTTGAGATGTCCCGCAAACCCACGAATTCAGCGAACCATCATAGTTCCAGTCCAGATATCCCAACAATGGATCTGCGAACTGGCCTGAGACGACAACGAAAACATGCCTCCTATCGGATAGGTAATCAACACCGTATTCCTTGATGCATGTAGCATCGTCTAGTTTCTCATAGCTTGAAATGTTTTGCTGCATTTGACTGATAAGGGATTGGTGGCGAGTATCAACGCTAGCAAGTGTCCAATTGGCACCATTAACAAAATCTTCAGATACCGTAGCCACGACATACTCGTTGGCCGTAAGACTCACGAACAATGCAGAGTTGAACCTATGCAAGAGTCGGTATTTCCATTTCAATCCAGGAATTGACTTACATCAGATGCAGAGGAATAGAACTCCCAGCAAGAAATAGCCACAACACCATCCTTGATCGTTTGATTTGGGCGAGGTTTCTGAAGCTCTGAATTCCAATATCTAGCCATTGCCTATTCGCATGTGCTATTCCAACTTCTTGCCTCGTGGGTGAGCATAGGCATTGCATGCAATAGTTGCTAGCTCCAAGCATGATGGTGCTCAAAACGTTGATCCCAATGTGCAACCAGCGACCGGTCGTTTTGATCGTACCGCATGTGCCCACATGAATGGTTCCAATACCACCTGACAACCCGAATGCTGACGCCGCCCATACAGTCACAGCGATGTTCAGTATTAGAGCTCCAGTAACCACCAGGACACAAAGAAATAACCCTGCCCTCCATCCTTTCCAGCGGCCACCGTTCGCATCGATGCGTTGAAATGATCTCGCAGGCGACGTTTGAGAAACATATTCTTCGTGAACTTCAGGGAGAAGTTTATCGGTACTGTGGTAAGTGTGGGGAGGTGGGTCAAAGTATTCAGGCGAGGATGATGCCCAGGGGCTTACGATTGTCAGTTGCTTTCCCTATTGCGAGCCGCAAGAGAATACTTACCCAAGTTCGATGCTCTCATTGCGACTTGGACGTCTCGAAGATCGCGGAGAAGAAGTGGTGGGTGAGAGCAGGCGATGATCATAAGACATTGTCTAGATCTATGCTCGACCTTTGGAGCCTCTCTGAGATCTCAAAGGACCTGCAGGATGGGCTCTCGGAAGTTCCTCTCGTTGGCATGATATGCGGGTGAACCTTCGTACGGCAAGCCGACCGAGAAGGCTTTTAATCGTCTGAAGTCTGGCAGCCTGACCGGACACTAAAATACTGCAAGTGTTGGAGGCTTTGGATGAGTCGACGACGTTCTGATGCAATGGTGTTGATTGGGAGATGATCTGGTAGGGCTGAAATTGAGGAGTGGAAATGCAGCAAGGCTTCCAGCGTGGTCTTCGTATGACAAGAGGCCATAACTGGCTGGGTCGTGAAAAGAAGCCCTTATCGTGGCACTTCCTAGAGTGGTTGACGACGCGCATTTTCATTTGGATGCATGGCGTCGGTGGTAAGACAACCTCAGCCTTGACTTGATCACAAATCAAAACGGCGATAAACAGCAACCACATTTAAACTTTCGGTATGACCCGGCCATTGGGAGTCGATGTCAAACACTCAGCTGGAGTCAGACTCAAAGGTGAGCTATCATTGGGAGTTTGACGCCAACATCGTGTCGCATGATGCGATGCGTCGATGAGAGCAAAACACATCAGTGAAACTTCAGGCAGCTGCAAATGTGGCAGCATAGAGTCAATTCATGAATATTCGTTCATTCGCTGGAATGAGAGCAAAGGACTAGGGGAGATAGATATCATATGCAGCAGTGCACTTGGAGCTGGGCGACTGGGAACCACAACCAAGGACTTGCCCTGCATTGCTCCACGATGTCGGCGCGCTCGAGACCACTGCCAATGATAATCCGCCTACTAGGGAGTCCTGGTTCGCGTGTGGAAATTGAATGACAATCGAAGGTTCGACGTAAGATATCGTGAAGTATCAGTTACTTCAAAGTCCGGCAACGTCCAAGGCCTCAACATGTCTGTCTGGAGGAGTAATCGGAACCAACATTCGTCGAGCGATAACCGGTTTATGGTGCAAATATGCATCACGAGAACACTTGGTACTTGTTCGGGGATGATTCTTGTGTTGACATCGCAACGATTCTCAAGAGTTCGCGATGATTTGCATGATGGAAGAAAGAAGGGAACTTGGCAGCTTTAAATGACGGCGAGGACTTGATCCTACCGGCACTCGTACCTCGGTACCTGGCTCTACCTGGCTAGGCCTAATATAGTCTAGTCACATGATGAGCCTCCTTTCCTCTCGAACACGGTTCCTGGCTAGATCCGATTCAGACAAGGGCGCCGATTACTTCCCCTTCCATCGCAACCTCCAAACGCTCAGATCTTCCTTTTCATCTTCTTCTTATCTTTTGAACTACCGGGTCGGAAAGTTTTCTCTCTCTCTCTCTTGTTCTGCTCTCTCCTTCTTATCTCTCGCCCTGCTTTCTTCAGATTCTCATTTTGGATTCTCCAAGCGCAGACCCCACATACTTGATCTGTCCCCAAAGCTTGCGGTCGATCCGGCGTGCCTTGATTTCCGCGATCCATTTTTATCTCCAGCGCGTTGTTGTTGGTCTCCCTGGAGCCCCTTTGCTAGAATCATCCTGGCCACGACTCCACTGAACAGACTTCTTGAGCCACCCAATGCAGGCAGACACACCTCGTAAAGACTCCACTGCAGACCTTATCGAAATGTGAAGTCTCTATTATTGTGGGACGTTGCTCAATTTCTTGAAATAAACGCGCGCCATATCTTCTGATCTCTTTCTTTCTTTTCTCCTTCTCAGTCATTCTCTTGATTCCAACCCACGTCAATCATTTCCGTTTTCACGGATCACTATCGTTAATATTTCTTCTTTTTGTTCTTAATATACATAATGAGAGTAATCCTTCCGACCGTTTTGGGACTCGCGAGTCTCGCGACCGCGCAGACCTCAAATTCAACCGACTGCGTCTCGGTATACGTGAACTGCCTCGATTTGGGGGGAGCCGATAATTCCTGCGAGTCCGAAAATGCAATCTGCAAAAATTTGTGTGCCAATTCATACGGAAGCTGTTTGGAAAGCGGAATTGGCGATGTGGCATGCATGACGGAGTATAATTCTTGCTTGGATGGGTTCGCGATCTTCACCACAGCCGCCAACTCTGCTGGAAAAGACTGTGTATCCGTTTTCAGTGATTGCCACGACAGCGGAACGGCAGATAATACTTGTAATTCTGGAAATGCACAATGGTAAGCAGCAAAGTTCTCGCCATCCTTCCTTCACTTTGATTCAATTCTGGAGGAACGTCTTATTTTCTTCGGCTTTCGTTCAATATGAATCATTGTACTGACTCTCTCCAGCAAGGACAAATGCTCTACGATTGTGAGTCATCTTCTTTCTTGGAGGACTTTGCTGATTTTCTCAGTATGGAACTTGCTTGACGAGCGGCGATGCCGATAATGCTTCCTGCATGACACAGTATAATAATTGCCTCGACGCATTCAGCGTCTTCGCCACTGCTGCCACCTCTCAGAGTATTGACTGCGTCTCAATGTTCAGCGCCTGCCATGACAATCTCACGGCTGATAATACCTGCGATTCATGTAAGTTCTGTCCCGTCCTGAATTGCTCTTGTTTGTATGGCAGCTCCCGACTTTCCTTGAAGCTCTAATTGTTTCCCAGCTTTTAACAATGCTAATCTCCTCGATAGACAGCGCACAATGCAAGGATAAATGGTGCTTATTCCTGTCTCAGGTGCTGGAGAAAATTAACACAATCATATACTAACTTTTCGGTAGCTCTGTCATGTACGGAACCTGTTTGAGCTCAGGAGCAGCCAACGACACTCTATGCATGGGCCAGTACAATAATTGTTTGGATTCATTTACTCCTTCCATCTCCGTTGATTGTGTTTCCAATTTCACAATCTGCAGAGATAACGGCATCGAAGCGAATACTTGCGCCTCCTACAATGCTCAGGTGGGTCGCATTCCGTACCAATTTTGTGAGACTGCAGAGTCGGACATTACCAGGCATTATTCATTGGCCGTCCTTCGCTGTCAGCTTTCTGTCAAGCCTTTTTCAGTGCTGATGTGTTCAACAGTGCAAGGATAAGTGCTCCGTCAACTACAGGTCAGCCAGCTACTCTTTACTGCTTCTGATGTTCCTCGATTGTCCATGGTTTCCTGGGTCATTTTAGTTCGCCAAAGTCTTGAAATAAATACTGACTTCCACACGCAGTACCTGCCTATCAAGTGGGGATGCCGATGATTCTGCCTGCTTGACCCAATATGATGGCTGCCTTGTTTCCTTCACAACCGTCGCTGGTAGCTCCGATTGTGTCTCGAAATACTCACTCTGTGAAGACGACGGAACGACCCCAGATAACACCTGTGCCGCCAACAACGCTGTCTGTAAGACAGATTGCTCCACTTCATACTCGACTTGCTTGAGTTCTGGAGACTCTTCACTCGCGGCGCCCTGCTTGAGCCAGTATAATTCTTGTCTCGACTCGTTCACGTGGAACACCAATACCACCATTACAGGACAAGATTGTGTATCCAAGTATATGAACTGCGACGGTGAAGATAATTCCTGTTCTGCCGCGAACGCCCAATGCAAAAATAGTTCGTCTTTCCCCTCCTCCAGCAGCAGAATCGTTTCACGTGACTATCACGTGACTTTAACTTAGTCCGAATCTTGCTTACTCTGTTCAGGCTGCTCTGTCTCTTATGATGACTGTCGAAGCTCGGGAGATTCAAGTCTTGATGAAGAGTGCTTAATACAGTACGATAATTGCTTGGTTAATTTCAACTCGGTCATCACAACTCCAGATTGTGCCTCCGCCTATTTGTCCTGCGATGCAGCCGACAATGACTGCGAAGTAAGTTTGTTTCTGTCATGAAATACCGTCTGGCTTGATGTTTGTTTCACAGGCTAGGGCTTTGGGATTGTCTCAAGTGCTGAGATAGCCTTGAACTTTTGGGCTAACTAACCACCTACCTGCTTTTTACTGTGCTAATGATTCTCTCAGGCCGACTTAGCACAATGCAAGAACACTTGTGGTGTAGCTCGGGATACCTGCGAAACCAGCGGAGACGAGTCATTGTACCCTCAATGCTTGAAGCAATATGATAGCTGCTTGGTCAATTTCACCGTTGCCAAAGCCGCTATTGGTGAAGACTGTGTTGCTTCGTACCTCTCCTGTGATGAAGCAGACAACGTGTGCTTTGCCGACAATGCACAGGTATGTGTTCTCGAATTTTACAGCCCCTCCTAAACTCGTCTCATGAGTTGTGCTTGCTGTACGCCCCATGCAGGCAAATGATTCTCAATCTCATTGACCAGAAGAACTATACTGACTCGAAATCTTTAATAACAGTGCAAAAATAAATGCGCAGAGGTTCGTTTACTATCCTATTCTGGAGGCTGGTGGTCTCTTCTGGACTAGGGCTAACGCAATCTAGGTTTATGATACTTGTAACTCAAGCGGAGACAATTCCACAGCGGCAGCATGCCTCAATCTCTACGACACCTGCCTGGTTTCCTTCTCTGCCAATGATACTATTGCCGCCGGACAAGACTGTGCTACCGAGTACACGGCTTGTGATGCTTCAGGGGTCGCAGACAACGTGTGCAATAGTAAGCTTATTTCGATGCCAAACTGCTTCCCTCTCAATAGTGTTAACTTGAAAATCAGGCTACTTTGCACAGTGCAAGAATAAGTGCGCCACAGCAGATGATACTTGCCGAAGCTCAGGCGACGAGACCCTGGTGTCGATGTGTGACAGCATGTATAACCGCTGCTTGGATCCAGTGATGAACACCAACATCACCACGAACGCGACGGCGGTTGTGAACGCTACTGCTATGGTCAACTCTACTTCCTCATACGTCCTTCCCTCGAAGACTGCTAGCCTGAATACTACCTACAGCACTCGTGTCAACCTACCTTCAGGATATATCAGTTCGATACCAACAGCCTCTGCGAATGGAACTGGCATTTTCGCAAATGCCACCTCTTCAGCTTCCGCCAAGTTAGCCGTTGTCACTCCTGCAACTGCTAGCTCTGGATTCGCTCTTCCATCTCAGAGCACTGTTGCAACTCCCAGCTTCGCCAATGCCACGTCGACCTATATCCCTGCTCAAAGTACTGCACTTCCAACAGAGATCCCGTCTTCCGCTCTTGCAGTCGTCTCTGCATCATCGGACGTTGAGGATGAGACTTGCGAATCTTAAACAAGGAATCCATATGCAAGAGGGAGGAGAGAAGGTTGGGGTCTCTTCTTGTTGTGATGAAAACTTATGAAGGCATTATTGTATATCTATGACGTCTGTAATTACCTCTTATAGGAGGATTTAATCTGCTTCTTCTGCCACTTGTGATTGTCCTTATTTGTGTGAGAATTTTGGGAGGAGATAATTGCAGCCGTGCTTTGGGGCATTGAGCATTTTCGAATTAAGAGGTCAATTGTTCCTTCTTTGGTGAGAACTTCGGCCGAGGATAAGTGCGGCTGAGCTTGGGGACATTAGATACCTTCGAGTATACCTAGGAGTCAACTGTCCCTTCCTCGGTGAGAACTCTGCGAAAATGTCCCAAAGCTCGGCCACACGTGTTCCCTCCCATTCACAGAGAACAACGAGCGTTAAGCACGTGGGAACCACAAAACACATGATCTGTGACCGCATTGACAATTATGATTGGCTCTCAAATGCCTGCAGAAAGACGTTCAGCTCCGCCACCTCCTAGCTCGGCATCCAGCTTTCTCTCACCACAATTGCTTCGCTTTCCTGCAGCCAAGCTTATCCATGAAACCAACTTCAGAGCACGCTGACAAGTGTCGCACCATTAAGATTCAGAGTTCAGCTTCACTTTTATCGTTAGTAGTGAATATCATCGATTGAATATTGAATCTTTCATGTTCTCAGAATCTACTACTTAAAGCCCCAACTTCTCAACACGTCATTGTTGCGCGTCCACCAACAACCTCAAGATGTCCTTCTTCGCCAACGCCAAATCGGCTCTTCATGACTTCACAACTGATATCAAGAAGGAAGTTGGTATTATTGAGAATGCTATTGAAGAAGAGAGGCATTCTCATACCCATCTCGGCGAAGAATGCCATAGCCTTCACATTCATCACCAGAATAACCGGTTCCACAGCTTTGCGCCGCCGAGAACAGGCAACGATGCAAAATGGTTCGTGGATGGCTGTGGTTATTTCTGGGCAGTCTCTATTGCGATCGAGGAGGCGAGAGAGAGTATCTGGATCTTGGATTGGTGGTTGAGTCCTGGTATGATGATTCTTGAACTGCGGAAAGGCCGGATCAGCTGACCTTGATACAGAACTCTACTTACGTCGACCACCATCGCAAAACGAGGATTACAGGATCGATCGAATGCTCCTTGCTGCGGCGAAGAGAGGCGTCAAGGTCAACGTGATTGTGTACAAAGAAGTGGCCGCTGTCCTGACACGTGAGTGGCCCCAAGGCTGAAGAATCAGAGCACTAACAAATATCAGTTTGCTCTGAGCACACAAAGCATGCACTTGAGCTTCATCCCAACATCGCTGTTTTCCGTCATCCAGATCACACACCAAGCGGACAAGTCCTCGAGTCAGAAATCATTTCAAGCATCAAGAATTTCTCGTTCAAATCACTCAAGCTTGCCGACATCCCATCCGACACTTTCAAAGCTCTGTATGGCGTTAACAACGATGTTATACTCTACTGGGCACACCATGAGAAGTTGTGTCTCATCGATGGCAATATCGCATTCATGGGTGGTCTAGATCTCTGCTTTGGAAGATGGGATACGAACTCTCACCCTGCAGCCGATGCACATCCGACCGATGTCAGTCAAGCCGTCTTCCCAGGCCAGGATTTCAACAACGCACGAGTCTACGACTTTGAAGATGTCACGAATTGGGAAAACAACAAGCTTGATCGTACAAAGAATGGACGAATGGGATGGTCTGACCTTTCAATCTGTTTGCGAGGACCTGTCGTTGAAGATCTTCGTGCTCACTTCGTTCAGAGATGGAATTTCATCTATGGAGAGAAGTACGACGTGAGGAAGGATGAGAGATATCATAATCTCACTCTCGACAATATCCCAGACGGCTACTATCATCCAGACGGCAAGAATGTTCATCATCTCAGCAGAGATATCACAAACCGAGATGCCGAGGATCCCGACCCGCAGTCCAACTACCATCCGCATCGGTTCCACTTACCAGGTGGTAGTGGTAGTATTTTCGATCGAGTCCGTACCGGATTTTCGGACATGTCGAGGGAGTATAACGGATACGGCGAACAGCATCCATCTGGAATGTCTATCCAACTTGTGAGAAGTTGTACCAGGTGGAGTCATGGTGTTTCAACAGAGCATTCCATTGCCAATGCCTACATCGAAATCATCCACAACAGTCAACATTTCATCTACATCGAGAATCAATTCTTCATCACTGCCACTGATGATATTCAACATCCGGTTCGGAACAAGATTGGAGCCGCGATTGCAGAACGCATCATGCGAGCTTATGAAAACGGAGAGAAATGGAAGATGATTGTGTGCATGCCTGCCGTTCCTGCATTCGCAGGTGATCTCCACGCTGAAGATTCCCTTGGTACCAGAGCCATCATGGAGTATCAATATGCTGGTGTCTGTAGAGGTGCTCACAGTATCATGGGAGCTGTTCAGAAAGCTGGTGTGCCAAATGCAAAGGAATACATTCGTTTCTACAACCTCAGAAATTATGATAGGATCAATGCTGGGAGCGCTATGTCTCAAGCTGAGCAAGCCAGTGGTGTTAACTATGAAAGTGCTAGACGAGAGCACGATGATCTTGTTGGTGCTGGCTATGATGGTAGAGGAGAAGGTACTAGAGCTATGCAAGGACAGGAAGCTCAGTCTTATGACAAATATCAGCAAGCTGGAGCTCAAGTCTCTGATGGCAGCAAGTACGACTCTGTTGCCGAATGCTACATGGACGATGGGCCTTCAATCAAGGACATCCCATGGTCTGGAAGTGAAGAAGACGAGTTCAACGCCTTTGTGAGCGAAGGTAATCCATCTGACCCCAGACATTGAGACGTACTAATGTGACTAGAACTTTACATTCATTCCAAGATCCTCATTGCAGACGATCGAGTCGTCATCTGTGGCAGTGCAAACCTGAATGATCGTTCCCAAATTGGGTACCACGACTCAGAAATCGCCGTCATAATCGAAGACCCAACACCTATCGATTCCATGATGAACCACCAACCGTACCAAGCCTCCAAGTTCGCAGCTTCCCTTCGTCGTCAACTTTTCAGAAAACACCTTGGCCTGCTTCCACATCAAGACTTCACGAAACCAGATGCAAACTTCATGCCCCTCAACAAGGACCCTAATGCCTATGACTGGGGCTCCCCAGCCGACATGCTTGTCCGTGATCCCCTCAGTCGAGAGTTCACGAATCTCTGGAACGGAACCGCACAAGTCAACACTGAAGTATTCTCCAAGGCTTTCCATTGTGTCCCTGCGGATAATGTGCGAGATTGGAAACAATATGAGAGCTTCTTCCAGGACTTGTTTGTCTCTCCAAGCAAGAAGGATGATAAGGTGCAGATCCCGCCCAAGTATGAGTACGGTCACGTGGTCAAGGAGGAGTTTCCTGGAGGGGTGAGAGAGTTGAAGGAGTGGTTGGACAGGGTTAGGGGGACGTTGGTCGACATGCCTCTGTTGTTTATGGATGGTGTTGATTTTGCGGAGGAGGGGTTGAAGCTGAATGCTTTGACGGATGCGGTTTATACTTGAGTGGATGGATGACTTGATGATTGATGGACACGTTGATATTGATGAGATAATGAACTAGCGATGGACTTTGAAATTCAGCTGACCTTCTACACTTCGTGTAGCATTGCCTCGAAAAGGAAAGTTTACCCTGCCATCTTCTTCATCTTGCATTGGTCTCCCAAGTAAGGCGCAAGTGCTGATGCTGGACTAAATCCAGTAGAACTTAGAAAAAAATGAGACAATCGACTTCCAGAACAATCACATGAAACTTAAGACAAGGAACGGCGAGTCAACTAACCTCCTCGGATCCCAAATCGTGGTCAAGTGATATACATTATGTTCAATCTCAAACATTCCTTCGTCAAATTCCCCAACCTATGCTAAATCTATTTCTCTAATCAGTACAGGTCCCCAACATGCATTGCAGCCGTTCGCTTCAATTTATCCCTATCCAAGTGATGCCACCCTTTCCGATCTAACAAAGCGTCGATTTGCGTCGCCGCACAATCCCCAAGCATATCCTTGACAAACAGTTCAGGTACGAACGGTTCATCTATCCCATCATCAGCCACATTCCTTCCCAAGCATCAAAATTGGACTGAGATATCAACACGTACCCTTTTTCCGCGGTCGGTATTCGAACGCGATCATAACACTGAATGCTATAGCAGCTGCCACGATGTCGCCAGATGGTGGTTTGAAGTCACCAGCCGTTTCGAGCTCTTCGTATGCTTTGCGCGCTGCTTCTATAAACGCATCAACATCTCTTCCTCGTAATCAGATCCAGGACAGGACGAACCCCAAGTAAGCTTTGCTTTCGACATTGCGATCTTTTGGGAAGCAGCGGAACCTTCCATGCTCAATCGAAAATGATTGCCTCGTTTCTGGTGCTTCGTTGACGACAGAGAAGAAGAGAGGGAACAGGGGCCTTTCATAAATCCTTGAAGAAAATTGTTGACATGCCGCCCTTTGTCCAGAAGGGCGAATCCTAGACAAGTGTCTAATTAGGATCGGGCGCTCGATATCGAGGCCTTTAATGTCTTAGATGAGGAGGCTGTGCCATCTTGGTAGGTTTTGGCGATATCCCACGCGGGTGGCGAGTGTTTTTGCTTTTTTGGAACCGATTGACATGGAAGGATTTGGTTAGTGCCCGTTGTGATATTGGTTGTGGCTACAGCTGATAAGGTGGAGCGGAATAATGGCGGGATAGAAGAACTGAGATGGGAATGTTTGCTTTGCATGAGGGGATTCGGTTCTCGGTGTTGGTGTGGGATAGTGGGAATGCTTCATTTGCTCTCAATTGGGACGTGTCACGAGGAGCATGACTTCAGTTTGAAACAGTTCTCAACCGGCGATACCTGCTTCAGTAGCAAGCACGAGTCACGCTTATCTTCAGAAGTTGGCAGTAATTTTCAGTTTCATTCTTTGTAACTCCGAACAAGATGATCGAGAACAGGTGATCAGTAGCAACATCATTTACGTGCTTAATCATGTCAAATCACGATTTCAATTTTCAACATGGGAGGCAAGGTCTTGGATTTGATTTGGGATAGCTTTCATTTCTTATATTCTCCACACGGGTCTTCTGACCACCAGAGACTTCATCTATTTCCGGGCTCATACTTCAGGTAACCTGATCGTTTCTGAGTGCGTTATCGCTTAGAACGGAGGAAAGGAGACAAAAGCCGGGCCTTGTTGTGGCAGTCCCTTCTTCGCCGCCTTCTTCTCCTCTTTCATCCGCTTATCTTCTTGCTTGATGAACTCTATACACGCTAGACACTTTTGGCACTTGACTTCAGACGCCACTGTAGTCTCGCAGGAAGTCTCTTCGAGAAATCCTGGGGTGTTGAGTGAAGCTGCAGGGCAAGTAACAAATTTGTGGACTTCGTGACCGCACGAGTATTTTTTGATGATGGATTTACACATATTGTATAGCTGTGAGTCGATGTTGCGGATGATATGGAGGAGGCAAACCATGGCGACGAAGAGGGATTGATATATCACGGAGTAGAACAGCTAGGAAAATACTGGTGTTGATATGTTGATGGTGAGATTCTGGGAGAGTAGAAAGAATTCATGCTTATGAGCAATAGTAAAGTATGTGTTTTGCCAGAGATTGAGGGAGTGAACAGTGGGAGAGCTGCATGGCTGTTTATCACCACAATGCAATTGTGTGTATTCTTTGAAGAACTTCTTTATGTATAAGTAATTTTAGTTAAAGATGTTGTTTTCCTTCTTTCCTTGTTGGCTGACAATGCCCTTGTTTAAGGAGACTTGCTTTAAACCTTTTTATTTAACCCATTGTATCTAGCTTTCATTGTGATATGGAGAATCTTGCTAGCAACTGTGCTCTCGCGGAGAGCTTTCTCGGAAAGTGCAGTCGTCAGTGCCCACAGCTGATACCCTCGAAAGAGACATTGTCTACCCCACTGTTTGTGTTTGTCTGAACCATTGTTCAGCAGGTCCGCTGTTCCACTATTCCATTGTAGCTCTTATTGTACAAAGAACGTGTTCATTTTTCTTTGTTCTTGCTTGTGCATATCTATACCAAAGGCTCCAGAGCAATTGACATCAACCACAATATTCACCTGCTCGTATATTACAGACACAACTTGAAATCACCAAAATGCCTCTAAGCCATAACACCGAACGGAAGGCAGAATCATGCCTGGAACTAAATTATTGCCCAATATGTACTGATACTCAAGAACGCATCTTGCCCCCTTGCTCAGTACACCGCATCGTAGATTCTATTGAGTGGTGCATCCAAAAGTCTGACGTCTGTCATTCCTGTCAACGCAAACGCTGGTCACAGGGAGAACCAGAAACAAAGCCTATGACCCCTCGAGAGCTGGGAGTATGGAAGAGAAAACTGCGACGGGGAAGGAAAGATGGGAAGAATGAGACCAAGGAGATGCCCGACCAAGCGTCGGAAAATGAATGAAAATAAAGAAACGAATAACACAAATATGACCCATTTGCAGCCGTGATTATGAGACTTAAAAGTGATGACTATAGAGTAAGCTCAGAATAAAACTAATATTTCGTATTGAATCAAAAGAGAGTTGACCACCTAAATTTCGAGAACAGAAAATGCTGCTTTCCAGCAAAGAAGGGGTATTGATTGATACTCCAACGCTGGCTTGCAGTAAACAAAGTAACAATGTATGTCGAAGTCGATGAACAGAAGTTTCCTTTTCCTACCCCCATGAACACAAGAATTAAAACCCGAGACCTCCGAGAGCACCCCTCACATGATGCAATGCCACTCATCCGACAATCGCTTAGGCCTAGACTCCCTGTTCCTCCTCTCATTCGCCCTCTCCTTCGCGCTCTTGATCTCAGGCGAACTTTTTAAGAACCCTTCCTGATCATACAACCCTATACTTAGAGGCCTTTCGGGACTCCCAAAGACTGGAAGTCCCTCTTTATCCTTCCCAAGTAACCTCTGACCAGCCAAACCCAGTCCGCTCATCGACCATTTCGGTGGTGTTTGCGGACTGGGATGCTCCATTTTACTTTCCCTTCTTACTACATTCTTTGCTGGCTTTGTCATGGCGTCTGACCATTGGCTTTCATGATTCTCTTTGTCGTCATCCTTGAGTTCGATGATCTTGGCGTCAGATATGTCTCCGTCGTCTGTGAAATCGATGATTTGTTCTCGAAAGGAATTTCCGTTGATGCCTTCTCGGTTGAGAGTAGGGAAGCGGAGACCGATGATACCAAGTGGATTCGCTCCTGTCGCGGGACTTGTTTCTGGGACTGGAGTAAGTTCTTTCTCATCTCTTTCGAAGTCTTCTGTCTTTCTTCTCCTTCGATCCTTGTATACACGATGACTATCTCGTTTCTCTGTACGGGACATGCGAGAATAATGCTGACTCTGTCTCCCAACAGCGAGATAGTGTTTCGATCCACGACTTCTACCTCGTTCCTCAGCCTGGGCTTCTTCGAGGTTGAAGTTCAGCGAGAAATGGGGCTGAGGTGGGAGTTGCGGAGATTCTTCGGCGATGGTGGATTGTGAGCTGTACTGTGAGATCTGGCTGTTCATGCGTCGTAACATGCTGATAGAGCTTGCTAGAGAATTTCGTGGAGGACTGATTGTGCTGCAGCGACTGGGAATATCGCGCGGACCGTAGAGTTGAGTTTGTCCGGACAAAGTAAGGAGTGGCAGGGCAGGTGATGGTGACTTGTATCCAATCATTGTTGACGTTATGGTTGGTAAAGGTCGAGATGGAGGCGGCGTGAGAACCGTGGTGATAGGAATGATGGGATCCATTGTAGGTGGCGGTGGAAAAGACGTCAGTGAGAGTTGATGATCTTGTTGCATTTGATGAGTAGGAAAGACTGTCAAGTCACTAGAGTAGTTATGGCCATGTCGGCGAGCTTTGAGAGTTGCTGGTGATGCTTTCTTGGCCTTGAAAAATTCGTCTTCAGATCCGCCGCTCTCAGCATAGTAATTACATACAGAAAGCGTAGGTGAGTAGATAGAGAAACTGCGTTGACTTCCAAGTTTTGAGACTGGTGAACTGTTTGGAGTAGTGGGAACCCCTTCTGTAATTGTCAAGTCTGGGCTGAATGTAGCAGAAGACGGGGGCCTCATGCTACGCCTGCGGGATACGGTCGAGGAGGAAGGACTTGGGCTCTTCTCTGGTTCAAAGACACGTATGGCTGTGGCAGGCGGTAAGCTGAATCTGATGGATCTTCTTGGCGAGTCCTCTTCGGGTTCCTCTTTCACGGCCGCCACTGTACCCACGCGACGAGAAAGTACAGGTAGATTTGACATTCGAACAACATTAGAGCGCCTGTGGCCTTTCCTACTCGGCGAACTCCGACCTGAAAGGGGTGTATTCCTTGTCTTCATAGCTTCCTGTGGAGACCATCTGAACGGGTTGTGATCTAAAGTCTCTGACTCGAGTTGCTGAGAATCTCTCGAAGGAGAAGGAGAAGCATTGCCAGATACGTCACGTAGAGGAGAAACATAATCGTCTGGTCGATTAGGAGATTCTTCATGGCCAAATGTCGACTTTCGAAAGTACATTGGACGTGGTCCATGTGCTGGTTTTGTTGTGGATATAATAGATTTGGAACTCCTGACAGATGAAAAGAATGGATCGCCGGCAAGTGAAATGCGATGTGGGACAGTAAAAAATAGTTCTTCGTTTGGTTTTTCGATGACCAGCACGGATGCCCGATCATCTTCGTGGATTGACGTTGGAATGATAGTAGTGTCTTCTGAAATCCGCACCTTGTGTCGCTTTTCGTTCTGGAAACTGGACTTGCTTGGTGAAGACAACGCTGCAGGGATGATGACTTCGAGTGTATCATCACATAGACTGTCAAGTGATGCAAATGATGGCGTTGGAGATGTCATCCGAGCACCGAGGTGAAGACTGTCGCTGACAATATCAACACTTGCTCGGCTCAATTGATCGTTGCGAATGGATTCTTCCATAGTTTGTGCAAACTCCTTATTGATGAGCTGTTCACGGCTCTCGACAGCATGCTTCATGGGTGGTGTAGATAGTCGTTCAAAGGGTGCCCGCCCAGGGAACCTGCCGATCGTGGTCAAAGTGCGAGTCAAAGATTTTCGATGAATCGTCTTCAAGCGTTGGGAACTGGATCGGAGGACTGACGGAATCTCTGTATCCGATGTGCATCTTCGTTGAGTATTTTTGTGCAGCATAAGAGGCGCAGGGCATAGACCTCGAGTAGGCGACGAAGATTTCCCGGATTTGGGCTCTCCCTTCGAATCAGTGGAGTCTCTCCTGCGCAACAGTTTCGTACTTTGTCGCTTCGGTTCCTGAACTACATATCCTGGAGGAGCAACAGTGCTGAGATTCATCGTCGCTTGTGAAGGCAATACCTTGAGAGGTATGGTTGATGCCAGGGGCCACGATTCTCTTACTCGAATCACTCCTCTGTGAAATGACATTCGTTTTGCGGTAGCCATTGGAGGAGCGTGATCGGAAAGGTCCACATCTTCCCAGTCGCCAGCGACAACGCCTCCCCCTCCTCCATCAAGTGTGATCCACGGGTTGAAAGATAGGCCGCGAGATAATCTGCGTGGGAAGAATATCTCTGGGGTGCGAACACACCTCATCGTACCAAGAGGGTCAGATCGTACCATACCATGTTCGACAACTTCTGTGCGAACTTTACTCCTGTACCGATTCCTCCTTTTGACATGAATGACAACAACAAGCCCTATGACGCCGAAGAGGAGTAGCGCTCCGCTGATTGCGATTACCAAAATTATGCCGAGTGAAAGGGTTGCTGATCCGATTGGAATATTTGCTGAGTAGACTGCCTGGCGAATGACTGAACCTCGTCCTTCCAAGCTTGATAGCCATGCTCCAGAAGCCATGATGTCTCCCTTCTCTGTGATTCCCCGGTGGTAGATTGCTGCTCCTGATGGTGATTTTCGGGTATTCCTGTATTATTATTGGGCCCTGTACCTTTAGTGATGTGTGAATATTAAGTAGACGAGCTTTGAATTGAGTAAATAGTGCAAAAGAGTGTGAGAGCTACTGCTCAAAAATTGTGATGAATGCTAAGAAAATGAGTGACAGAATTGGAGTAGAGACAGTGGGATTGTAGCAAAGCAGCATTCGACTTCAAAAACCGCAGATCGATGGCGAAAAGGCGAAAGGGTGGTAAAAAGGGGATGCTTCGGCTCGGCGGGAGCTCTGGAATGCACCCTTCATTCCTTGCCTGACAGAAACGAGAGATTGATTTGCTTATGGCAGGAAAGTGACGAATAGAGGGAATATAATTTCAAGAGGAATGTAAGACTCATTGATATCTCTGAAGGAAAAAGAGAGGGCAAGGGAGTCAGGTAGGACGCATGGTAATCCTTTCTTCCTTCGTGATCGAAACACCTGACTTGGTGCGATCAAAGGACAATTGCAACGAGAACTCATGTTTCAAAGTACAAACAATATCTCACGAGATATTCTGGACTCTTGAATGATGCTTGATATGGAAAAGACGCACGTCGTTGGAGAAGGTAGATCAGGGTCTGGTAGTCAGAGAGACCACTTGTGCAATTTCTCCAGGGACTGATCCACTAGAACAACACTCTTCTCATCTACCTCACGAACATAATTGCGATTTGCTCCTTCATGCCTGCATACAACAATCGAATAGTAACACAGTATGCGGAACTTCGATTCCACGAATAACAAGACTCTGCCATGTCACCCCGCCGCTGCAAGGCATGAGTCGTCCGCTTTCGTCTCAATCTCCATCCCTGCTACTGCCCCTCCAATCCCTTCCACGAGGATACTCGTGAAGTATCACTTCGAGCGGGCCAAAGGCTCCTCCACGATGGATACACCGACTTCTTGACAAATGGCAGATCACAGAAGACCTGCTGCGCTACAGGAATGGGTCTCCCATTCCTTCTCTTTGCTCCACAATGGCGGAGTTTCTTCTTAAGAAACCACCCCGCCGTGTTCTCCTGCTCTGCTTGCTAACTTTCAGTACTACTAATATCCTCATCTCAGTCTCCCTGAGTCTGCAAGTCTGTCAATCTACAGCCACATAGCCACCAAAATTCAGCCATGGACGGCGCCTTGATCGACGGAGATTTCAAACACCACAACACCACTGCCCCGCCATCAGATCGAGTTCTCCCACTCTTCTCTCTCAAAGGGCGCACCGCAATCGTCACAGGTGCTGGAGCAGGAATTGGACTGGGTGTAGCACAAGCCCTTGCTGAAGCGGGTGCCAACGTTGCTATCTGGTACAACAGTAGCAAGAAAGCCGTGGCAGAGGCAGAATCCATCGAGAAGACCTATGGCGTGAAGTGTAAGTCTGCCGCTTTTCCAATTTTGTCTTGCTTGGAATAGAGCTGGTTGGGAGACGCCATCTTATTGGAGCGCATAAACTGACGGGAAATCTCCAACAGGCAAAGCATACCAGGTCAACGTGACCTCGATCGAATCGGTGACCACTGCAATCGAAGCGAACATCCGCGAGTTCAACGGCCGCCTTGATGTCTTCATTGCAAATTCAGGCATACCATGGACTCAAGGGGCAGCCATTCTTGGCGAGATGGACCATTATCACAAAGTTGTGACCACCGACTTGGATGGGACATTCTACTGTGCCAGGGTTGCAGGAACACATTGGAGAAGACAGAAAAAGGAGCAGACAACTATTCATGGAAAGCCACTCGACCCACCATTTAGAGAGGGAAGTTTTGTTGCAACTGCAAGCATGAGTGGGCATATTGTGAATATCCCTCAATTGCAGGCAACATACAACGCTGCCAAGGCTGGAGTGATTCACCTCTGTAGGCCTCTAAGATCCTGTACTTCCTAGATAGTTTATGCTAACAACTTTGTAGGCAGATCTCTTGCAGTCGAATGGGTTGGATTTGCACGTTGCAATACCATATCTCCAGGTTACATTTCAACAGAGATCTCGAACTTCGTTCCTGCAGAGACCAAGAAGATATGGAAGGACAAAATTCCAATGGGGAGAGAAGGCGAGGTCGGCGAATTGAAAGGTGCATTCTTGTATTTAGCAAGTGATGCTGCAAGCTATACAACAGGAACCGATATCAAAGTTGATGGAGGTTACTGTTTGCCATAGGAGATCAGATAGATGAAAAGAATGCATTGAGAATATGTATGCTGAGATCTTAGTGTGAAATATTATCGATAATGAAGTGAAGCCATTGCCCTGCAATGCTCCAAATTTAATGTCCCAGGAATACCAGATGACTGGACTCGAAGACCAGCTTGCTCTCTACCCCAATGTCCCCAACGGTACCCCGACTTGAGGCCATCTCAATATCTAGTGTAAGCATAGACACCACCCAATTCTGTTGGATTGCCATTGCCGTCGGCTAGACTTCCACCTGTGTAGGAAGCATCGCACCAGAACCAGCTGTAGCGGTAGATATATGGCTGAGCATCAAGCCATGGGATCACGGTCTGAAGGAATGTAATCTGTTGCTGAAGAGTGCCCGCACCACTGAACTGGAAGAAGTCAGCAAATTTTGGGATTGGTATGAGTACATATGGGAAGGAAACGTCGGCTCGTGGGGTGAAAGAATCGAGCTTACTTCAGTGATCCATATTTGACGTCCGCCAGAAGTTTGGTGTGCTTCTTCCATGTAGTTGTAAAAGTACTCGAAGTTGGTAGCACTATCGTACCAGTGGATTGGCACAAAGTCGATTTGACAACCTACAGCATCCTGCATCAGCACATTTCAATGTTTCTTGTTAAGTGAGACACTTCCGTCCCCAAATGTCAGGTGACTCACCAGAACAAGCACCCAAGAAATTTCGCAGCCATACTAGTCCACTAGCAGCATTGGATATAGCAGGAGCACCTAAAGCAGCGCGACCGGCGAAGGGCATAATCCACTTTCTGTAGGCAGTAGCAGCGTCATCGGGACCGATGCAGGATTGGCCTTCACCGCAAGCGTCTGGCTCATTGAACCCCATGATGTGACCGCTGCCACGGGCGAGGGCATTATTGACATTGTTGACCCACTATTGTCTCTTAGCATTTTTCAAGCTTCATGCATCACTGGACAGAGATAAACTTCTCCCCTTGAGAGCCTCCATTTGGCAACAATTTAGGAGCTCCATTGTCCAGCGCTTGCAACAACATGGAAAAGGTCATTTCTCTTCAACAAAGCCAATCAGAATACATACTGAGTTAGTATGTAATGAGCCATCACCCCATAGCATAGGGATGAACTCTAGGAAGCGAGGAAATGCCGGATCCATGTAGCTGTCCCAGCTATAGGCCCAATTTACTTGACTACCAGGACCATTCCAGTTCTGAATCGAGTTGGGAGGGTTGTTGGACGGGAGACCACGCTTTGGCCATGGTGCAATGGCCGGGGCAGTGAATGCAGTAAGAAAGAGAAGTAACAATTGGATAAGAGACATCTTGGTGACTGATCGGCTTAGTGCGGGGTAATTGAGATTGAATTCTACTGACTTAGCAAAAGCACGTAAAAGTTGAAAGCCGAGTGACAAACCTGTAAGAAAATGCTTTCAGAGTTTCAATAGCTATTGATCAAGAGGAGGGGCTTTGTGATGTTGGCTAATGTAGGTGCAATGCGTGAATTAATAATTCGGATTTGGTTGATGTGTGATTGGAAATTATGCTGAGTTCGGATTCAGTCAGTAACTTCAAATGAAACCCAAGCAAGAGCAATGTACAGAGTAGAGAAAGGGGTTGAGAGAAGACTATTAATGTCCTAGACCTAAGGGCTAATTGCAAGAAGGCAATTACACTCACCAGAATCAATAACACTCTCAGACCAGCTGGAGTTGGGTAAAAAGGACTTGGATGAAGAAAGAATATGTTGGATGGAGAAGAAAAAAGAAAGGAGACAGAAAAGGTCGTTGTTTATATAGACCGCTAACCCGCAGCATTGCTCTCCTTACGCCTCATTCACAGATACGTGCCTTAAAGTGAACAGAACAAGATAGGGAGTCGCGACCTGAGGTACCAGGACATCGCACCAATCTAGCAGTAGCGGTACTTGAGTTGGTGAACAGAACAAACCAGGGAGTCGCAACCCAAGAATGCGTCAACTTAGCACTGGCATTAGCCGACTTGCAGTGAATAAAACAAAATTGGGAGTCGCGACCTGACATGCAAATGGAAACTCAACAACTTAGCAGTAGCGGTAGTTGACTTGCAACAAAGAAGATGAGATCGTGACCTGAAATACCAGGAAAATGTCTAGCAGTAGTGGTAGTTGCTTGCAATGAACGAAATATGGTAGGGAGTCGCGACTTCAAATACCAACTTAGCAGTAGCGGTAATTGCCTTGCAGTGAGCAGAACATAATAGGGATGCGCGACCTAAGATTCTTGGAAGCCGTACTACTGTGACAGGCGGGAGGATAGATTACTTATGAAGAAATCTTGTTGCCACTTTTCTTGAAGCTTTCTTCATCTTGGCATTTGAAGAGACCTTTGTTTCCTTGGCTTTTTTAGACTCTCTTGAAGCTTCGTGACTCAGAAGCTTTCCAAACCCGAGTCTCAACGTTAACCAACTTAAACACCATCACTTCTCTCCCCTTCGGCTCTTCTCCTTCTATCCCTCAACAGCTCCTCGGCATCCAAGACGTCTTGCTCATCAGCCTCATCTTCCTCCTCATCACTACTACCCTCAACCTCATCATCACTCCCCTTACTCTTCCCTAACAGACTCTCACTCTCACCCTGACCTGGCTTCCTCTTCTTCTCGAAATCTTGTGTGTGAGCGTCCGCCACAATACTCGTCAATGTTCTTGTCGGTCTTCGTCTCAAGGAATTGAGAGACTCTTGAGCCTCGAGTTGAGCACCAGTTCCCGCTCTTCTTCTCGCAATTTCTGGACTCGTAGCTGGTGATTGTCCGCTTTGTCGTTGAGCATTGGCTTCTTCTGTTCGTTGGAAATCCTCTTCTGACTCGCTTGGTAGTGCATAGGGCAATGGAACATCTCTCGAGGCCTTGAATCGAGCTACGTTGGCACAATGTTCGTTTTCGACTCGGAAAAGGGTCCACATGCCTCTTCTTGTGACTTCAGAAAAGGCAACGAAGAAAGAGACTACGGTACTGTGTTGAATATCTTGGGTGTAAATTGCGTAGAAGATCCAGTTGAATCGAAGTATTGGATCAAGGAACATTGCGAGATAGTACCAGTATTGGTTCTTGAAGCCACGTACGTCACGGAGATATTTCTTGTTCGCATAAGGTTGAAGCAAGGACCAGTCCATCAAGAGGTCCCAGATTGCTAAAAACCGTGAGTAATTCCCCTGAATGAGGCGGTGCATACATACATGTGTAGATGGAATTCAGAGCGGAGAACACTATGAAAACTACTAAATTGTGTCGTTTCTGGTCGATACGATAGATGCTGAGTGTGACATAGGACAAGATCGTAAAGGAATATTTTCCAAAATTGACCATATGTGGAAAGACATTCCGAGTATCGCCATATCGACGAAGGCATTGCAAAGCACGCCATATTCCTGGAAGAGCGGAGAAGAACCCAAAAAGACGGGAATGTGTCGAGTTACATTGCGGTGGATCATTCCAGTAATGTGCGTAGAGGCAGAAGAACAACTCAATATTCTATGACAATCAGTAGCCGCCGACTCAAGATTGATGTATTGTATACATACACCAGTCGCATAGGTCAGAGAACAGTATTGATCTCCCAAGAAAAAATCACGAAACTCCACGGGGTATATTCCGGCAAGCAATAGACGCCACTATTAATGTCAGTATAGATACACACTCTTATTATCGTTAACTTACATGTGCATATGCAAACCATTCTCTACTTCTATGAAAGAAGATCGGAGCTGGCAGGAAAATTAAAACAGCGGTAGCAAAAATCAGTATCACCGGATAATATATGTACATCTCCGGCGCACCATAACGAGAGAAGTTCAACCAAACAAAAAGACCTAAGACTAAGATCAGAAAAGATGGAAAAGAAGCCAACTGTCGCCAGTCCAGTTGATGTCTGGGGTCAAATTCAAACACAAACTGGTAGTTGATCTTGTTTCGAGTCCAGATGCTGCAGTCCAAACAGAACCATGCAAACAAATAAAGAGCAAGAAAATAACCGGCATATATCTGCATCAGGTAGGCAGTCTGGACTTGAATTATAGGATCGTCATCATGGAGAAGCTGAGCACCATAGATGACACCCTGTATGGCAAAGACTGCGCCAGTACCAATCAATAATCCATTTTGAAATGCGTTCAACGATTGATCAGCGGACCTGCCCAGAGAAGTTCTGAGCTTGCCTACAGCAATCTTGTGGTTGCCTCGTTCAAAGTATCGAGCGTACAGATCCTCTACCGCATGCAGATGACTATCAAGCACATCACTTTGCACGAACCAAGATTTGTTGACTTTGTCCGACATATACCGCAAAGGAGGATGAGCATCAACTGCCTTGTCGTATTTCTTGTTGATTTTCCGAAAGGCAGTACGATTGAGCAGTGCATAAGATTTGAGTAGCTCCATCCCTCGATAGAACTCTTGAAGAGCAAGTTTGAGTTTTCTCTTCGCCGTCCGGTAGGGTATTTCATCGCTGTAATGAGGTCGACGAACATAGTCGCGACCTTCCTCGACATGTCGAGGTCTAGCTTGCTGGATCTGGGATTGCAAATGTGGAGATGCTTTCATGTTCTGCAATGCCTTGGAATTTGAGCCAGGGCGAGGCGCGGTAAGTTTGGCTTTGGCGTGTCCGACGGCCCTCTCGAAAGGATCAAGCCAAGCAGTCAAATGGTCTCTAGAACTAGGACGATAATCATCATCTTTCTTCGCAAGCCCGTTCGAGTGCTCATCATGAAGAAAAAGGTGTCGCTCGTCCTCCTTTCGAACACTCCTAGCATGCTGAGCTGCTGCGACTTCCTCGATTCTTCTATTACGCATCACATGAAGCTGTTCTCGCAAAACCTTCAATCTCTCTCCAGCCTCATCTTCCTTGGACTTGTAGAAAGTCTCCACTTTGTCCAGCTCTCCGTCCATCCACTGAAAGAACTCCTTTTGCCGCTGTCTCAGTTGATCCACAGCCACCATGTCAATGTCCAATCTATGCGATTCAGATGGCGTAAGAGGTGTTCCGACCGAAAACATCCTTCGCATGAAAGGTGCACCCTCACGCTGTTGAATCCGATTACGAAGGTTGTTGAACGTCCCATTCCTACTCCGAGGACTTAGAGTTCGTCCAATCTCGTATGCATGTTGTGGTACAGCCATTGAAGCACTCCTGCCGGAGGGTAGCCTACTGACACTTGGTCTTATGTCGGGGATTGCACTCAACCCTTCTGGTTGACTTTGTGCAGAAGGTTCTGGTGTAAGGGCAGGTCCCGGAAGCTCGAATGGGCGGGCGACTTTCGAAGGAGGGGTAGGAATAAAGCTCCCATACTTTCCATTATCTTGACCCAATGGTTGATTCTTCGCAGGTATCGCCATAGGAGGGGTCTTCGTGGGATGGATGTATGGTGGTTCTTCCTCCGAGGTATCAGACTCCGGCCTCGAGTCTGCGCCCAAGGGGGCGGGGGATGTTCGTAGAGAAGTCGCTGGGCCATCCTCTGATCGTAATTTGGAGGAAGGAAGTTTAGGTCGTGGTGTTGCTGGTAACGTCGAGCCATAGATACTAGTGCTTCGTTGTAAAGGATTGATATTAGGTTGTGCAGGTGTACGAGGTGTGGCATTCATGCGATTGAATGCTCGAGCAACAGCCTTGACGCGTTTCTTCCCAGCCTTGTAGTCGAGATATTTGATTCGCCATTCTGAATATACATCAGCATTATTATTCGCAGATTCCAAACGCTGCAGGGGGTGCTACCTGGTACAAGATCTTGATCGAGCTCTTTAGCAAACTTCATGTTGGAGCAAGGCTGATGAGGCTGACAGTGACGTCAATAACAAATGAAGAGCAAAAGTGTAATAATGTACTACCGTCCAATACCGGCAGAGTTGTAGGGAGATGTTTCCAGCATTGAAGAAGCAATTGAGGATATTCGAAGAAGAAAACGAGGGGAGGAGGAGAGATATGGTTGTGTTCAGTGTTTTCTTGGTTTGCAAAAAAAAACGTGGGGCTGCGTTTGGTGTACGGTGAGCCGAGTCAAGCCACTGATGTACTTTCTTTTTCTTATAAAGAGCAGCATTTTCACCTTTGCAATGTAACCCCTATCCTATTGAACTTGAAGAGGAGAGAACTTATGCCGCTTTACAGTACTGAATCAACGACGGACTTCGAATCTTGATACAAATTCTGCTTGTTCACTTTCGTCAAGTTAAAGCAATATGTTTCCATATTCTTTTTCGCAAGCTAATTTACGGTCAAAGACGTACGTTGTATAGTCTCACTTCATACTTGCATCGCAGTTTTTTTCGTCACATTTGTTCAACTTTCAGGGAAGCCGACCATTCACTCATTTTCACATCCAGACTACCCGACGATGCGCTCGTATTCACATCCAGACTACCCGACGATGCGCTCGTATTCACATCCAGACTACCTGACGATTCACTCCTGTTCACATCCAGACTACCCGACGATTCGCTCGAAATGCTTTGTTCAGTATGAATAGTGGCTATGGAAAATGATCGATGGTATTTCTTTCTACAGTACAAACCAACACAGCTTCGGTGTCACTTTCGAGATCCCTTCCGACATGGATGACCGGCTAATCATCTTGGTCCTGATATCCTCCAGGTGGTGGTTGCAGCGCGGGCTCGTGAACTGAGGTGAACTGCGATGGATCGTAGTGTCGATAGCGATCATGAAAGTTCGAGAGTGATTGGCTTCCATTAACATTTGTGCCTCCAACTTGACTGCTATAACCTTGCTGACCTGGTTGTCCAACAGTTGCTGGCGGTTGCACGGCGTACCCATTTTGGACACCCAAATCTCCACGTTGACGGACCCCCTGGCTTCCATATCCTTGGTGAGCACCGTAACCATTTTGGATACCTAAGTCTCGGCTTCGAGCACCTTCCTGGACTCCGTATCCTTCCTGGCGTGGTTGTTGAGCGCCGTAACCATTTTGAACGCCCAAATCTCGGCTTCGACCGCCTTCCTGGACTCCGTATCTTTGGTGAGCGCCGTAACCATTTTGGACACCCAACTCTCGGCTTCGAGCGCCTTCCTGGACTCCATATCCGTCCTGATATCGTTGTTGAGCGCCGTAACCATTTTGGCCTCCCAAATGTCCGCCTTGACGGCCGTCCTGACTTCCATTGCCATGGATGGCTCCGAACTGGTTACCGTATCGTTGTTGATATCGCTGGTATCGTTGTTCAGCAGTTAGTGGTGGCTGTGGCTCGACAGCGAAATTATCTCGGGTTCCCATGCCTCCGCCCTGACGGCCCTGCTGGTTTCCATGCTGAGCGCCTGGCGATGGTAACATTCCGACGGCAGGTTGCTCTCCCACCACACCAGCATTGATCTGTGCATTTCGGTAGGCAGAGGGATGAGTAGCTCCAAACGAATACCGGGGGATCTTGCGAGCATGTTCTTCGGGTTCTTCTGGCTTTGGGTGTTGTGGTCTCTTTGGGACGCGAGCCTCGGGGATAGCGTGTGTGGATCTCTGGGGCATGATTGGCTTCCGCGCTTCCTCCTCGCGAGCACGCCCATCAGCAATGCTCGTGCTGAGATTCTGCTCCACCTGAGCCAGATCCGAACGAGCCCAAAAGCCGACCGCATACTCATTATTGTGGTTTGGGCAACCGATTCTTAGTCTGTTGTATCCGTTGCAGTCAATTGCCGTCAGCTTGTCCTTCAGGAAGTTTTCATCACCGGTGTCTGTGACGCGGATCCATTCATTGACAGCCCAATGCTCTCCGAGGCCAGTCATAAAGAAGGCATGAGGGCCAAGCTTAGTCTCAGGGTTGCTCTGGCGTTGGTGCGGCTTTACGGATCCCGATGACACTTTGGGAAAGATCTTTGCAACGCCAATCAGCCAAATGGCTGTCTCGACTTGAGTCAACGGCCTACTCCGTTGAGAATGATGCTCGACAGGACGTGAAGCCACTTGTAAAGCTGGAGTTGGTCCAGCGAAGAGGGTCCAGAAGACTCTAGCAACCTTCAGATGTGTGTAGACGAATTCAGTGCTAGCCTTATACGCCGTTTTCATGTCTCTACAACAAAAGGCTGGATTTGGAAGTGGCGATAGTTCGTCTTCCTCCTCCGGGGTGAGATATCCCGCGTCTTCCTCTAGGATGGGGAGCTGTGCAGATCCGGAAGCTTCTTCTTGCAGGTCTGGAAATCTTTGGAGATATCGTCCTCGTGGCTTCTGCACAGAAGTTCTCTTCATGAGTTTCGTGATACCAGAGACAGTCTCCTCTCCACCTCCATTTTGTAAACCAGCATTTGAAGGTTGCTGGCTATCGACCCGGTTGTCGGAACGAGTGCTTGTCGGTTGTGTATCAACAGGAAGGTTAGTGGAGGGGTCCGAATGTTCACTAGCACCCGACTGATGGGACAAAGCGGCTGGTGTGCTGCCACCCTCGTCAAGTGGAGCGGGAGTTACCGCTTGATGTTGGCCATAGGGTTGAAGGAGGTGTGGAAAGCCCGCATTATCATAAGCTTGGTACGGACTTGTATAGAGTTCTGCACGTTGATCAAAGAAGCCAGAGGTTGCGCTATGATATGCGCCATCGTACGGTGGTGCACCAGTCAGCGCGCTTAGGGTATGCTGGGTTGGGCTTGAGGGAGGGCGCGTATTGCGGTAAGAGCCAAGGAGCGCAGGATCGATGACACTCTTATCCGCTTGAGATGTCAAAGGCGAATCCATGTATCGGCGAGGACTTTGCGTGAATGAGTCTTGGCTATCTGGGAGGGAGCAACCTTCATCGATGATGGCATTCTGTCTGGCTGTGTCTTGATAGGCACGCCGACCGCCGAAGGTATTTTCGCCTTTATTCATTGCGTAAGGAGATCGAAGTGTACTGCAAGAAGTCTTGTTAGCATTGTGCAAAGCCATCTCAAGAAAGGATTACAATTACCGAAGAGTCTTAGTCTTAGTGTATAAAGACAATGGACTAACTGCAAAAGTCTTTGCTGTTCAGGAATTGCTGTATCGATAGTGTTTCTGGAGGAGGGAAGAAGCTCTAAAAGTTCGCGACGAGGCTGTTTTTTTTATTCACGCAAGCAGACGGCTGTCAAAAAGCACGCGTTACCCTATTGAGAAGAAGAAAGAACGCTAGCACAGGTAAATGGGACGATGAGGCCTGATAAGGCGCCGACGAGGCTGTTTATAAATTCACGCAAGCAGGCGCCTGTCGAAAAGCACAAGTTACCCTATTGGGAAGAAGAAAGAAATGGGACGATGAGGCCTGATAAGGCGCCAACGAGGTTGTTTATAAATTCACGCAAGCAGATGGCTGTCTAAAAGCACGAGCTACTCTATTGGGACGAAGAAAGAACACTAACACAAGTAAATGGGACGATGAGGTCTCGGCAAGGCGCTGGGGAGCCTGTTCATATATTTACACAAGCAGACGGCTGTCTAAAAGCACGCGTTACCTTACTGAGACAGCATAGAGACAGTGCTAACATAAGTAAATGGGACGATGAGGTCCCAATCAAGTGTTTGTGTAGCTCCCGGATAGTGAGCCAATTCATAGTTCAATTTTCAAGATTCTAGTATGATTCTCAGACATTAGTATTGGTGTACGCTATATCTATTTTGTGGCGATGTGCATTTATATCTTTGGAGTCTCGAATGTACGATTGCGGTTGTTGCTATTGTTCAAAACAAACAGGCGTCGAAAAGCACGCCTTACCATATTGGGACAGCATGGAAAGAAGAAAGAACGCTAACACAAGCAAATGGGACGATGAGGCCTCGATAAAGTGCTGGCGAGGCTACGGAATGGTGAACCCATTAACAGTTCGACCTTCAGTGTTCTAGTACAATTCCCAGATTATAGTACAATACTTTAGCACTTTTGCACTTTAGCACTTCTGCAACAACGGCTACAATGGCGACAACAATGACCTTACTTTAATCGTTAGTGAGGTTCGATCTAGTCGACGGATTTCGCTCGTATGGGCGGAATCCGGGGTCGGTGCAAAAATGGCTATAGCAATAATTTCAATTAGTTTAGTGGGGATCTAGGATCTGCTTTCTGGCAGTTCTCATTGGAAGTGAGTACCATTTGTTTCTTTGACTCAATTGTCGGATTCTGCTAATACGACAAAGGGAGTCTGAAGATCTATATAGGAGAAGGCAAGCTCAACAAAGTCCCTTGTATCGAAGGCCTTTCATGGAATCAATTTGTCAACAAGAGCCTTCCGAAGAGCGGAGGATGGATTGTCAACATAGCAGACAAGATAGCGCTTGCGAAGGACCAACAAAGTGGAAGGCAATCACGACAGCAAGCATCCACACCTCCACTTCAGCTCTTTGCTCTGTCATTTGTCCTTTCACAAGTCTTCTCCTCAGCTGGGTTAGGCCTTCCTTGCAGCATCCATCTGCTTCGATTCAGCCTTGCCTTCCGATGATAAGCCGATCGCAGTTCCAACACCAGATTATCCTCACCGCCTTCGTGGCTTTTTGACAACCGCCAGATCGGTTGCCGCATATGGGAATATAAATCATAATCGGAAAATGCTGTCATTTGTAGGTTGGTATGGAGCTTCAACTTTTCGATTCCAACGTACGTTGGAAGGGAGTAACACAGAACAGCATCATCACAGCTGCAATTACAAGTAGCAGGTCTTGCTATTCATAACGGGGGAATTCAAGACATATAAATCGCATGCATAATAGTATAATAAGTCTGAAGTGTTTAAAGTACAAAAAAGCTTGAATGACTATGAAACTGAACCTTGCACTTTCCCTTGACTCTTGCAGTAGTACTTAATACACAAACTCCCTTAATGAATTTAGTACACCGGCTCTTTGAATGTACTAGCTCTCTCAATACACCCGATCTCAAAAACATAGTAAAATAATAGAAAAGTGGAGCTGGCTTTGTGATGGTTTAGAGGGCTCAAGTGTCATCTCATCCGCAAATTGCCGAGGAATTGTTAAGGGGGATTGATTACAGCTTGGCTGGTATTATTCGATGCGAAAAGAAACGTGGCAGAGATCGATCGAACTTTTGGCATTATTTTCCAACTCCTAGATGGTCTCAAGCATTTCGTGCTCAAGGATTAGGAATTACTGCACGTGGCAGAAGATTAAAAAGGGGTTGCACGTGTCATGTATTTCACAAGCGAGCTACGTCATGATTCAAGAAAATCCTGCCATTTTTTATTATCAAAGGATCGCAAATGCATCGTAGTGAAAGGCCGAGTGCCCATCAAAACAATCGCTATGTTCGCTGTGTACGCTGTAGAATCGAGTCTCGTCGCTGAATGAAATGGGTATCATCTCAATGCTCCATGACCTGCTGATATTGTGCCGCTCAGAAGAGGAAAACCTCCTCCATGCGCCATATCGCATCATCCACAACGCCGCGAACTGAAAAATTTTTGTAAAAGAAAAGAAACTCATCCTCAATCGCATCCTCCATCCCAGTCGCTATTTCGCGTGTCTCAAGATGTGTCAAGCTACCGACGGAGCCCAGCAAGACGACCTCCCAAGCCACTCTACTCCAGCAATCTAAGCATTAACATCGACGAATTTGATACCCTTGGAGAAGTAACGCATGAAATAGACAGAGAACTTCTTTCCATGGACGTCACATTTGAAGTCGGCTCCTCCCGGGACTCGGTAGAAACGTGGCTGCGAGGTCTTTCGTACATCCATCATACCAACTACCTCTGGTCTCGGAGTGTCAATATAGATCTTGACCAGATAACCCTTGTCCATGTTGTCAACTCCATAGATGACAGGCAAAACTCCAGAATCGACATGGAAGATTGCAAGGTATGCGTCGTACTCGAGCCAGTCGTTAGGTTCATCGAACAGGATCTCGTCGAATGGGTAGCAGGCGGCATATTTGGTGAAGAACTCTTTCAGGATGAAATGTCCTACCTTCATGTTGGGACCCTGGCCAGTGCAGTCTCGAACTTGGTCGCAGCACATGAAAGACGGGAGTTTAGGATTGGACTCGCAGGGTTGCGTAACGTCGATGTCTACCCCCTCCACCGCCTTTTCTCCCTCCTTTCCTGCCTCCTTCTCTGCCTCCTCTTCTTCATCAACAACTGTGACTGCTAGGTTCTTCTCCTTGGGTGCCTTAGCTGGGGCATTCGGATCGAGCATCGGGAGAGAAGGTGGGACATAGTCGTCGGGGATGGGATAGACTCGGGTTCGGGTCTCGGAAGGACTGGCGGCACGTCGGGGGGTAGCTGTGATTATGTTAGTTTTCTGTTCTTCAGGAGTATGTAACGATGCGACAAGGCTGGTGATGAAGAGAGCCGCCATGGGAGAATGATAACATACGGAATTGGGATTTGTTGATGGGAGTGGCTGGTATCATGTTAGCTGTTGGTTCAGAAATAGCATCGTTGAAAGAGGTGTGCTCTTACGAGGGTCTTCGAGAGTGCCATCATCCGAGTCATCACGTTGCTGGGAGCCTCCGGCAGTGGATTGAGAATGAACCAGTGGGGACGAGACAGGAGCTGCGTTCTCCTTCTTGCTCTTTCTTTGCGCCTTCGTGCGAGGTTGACCCTTTTGCCGGCCAGCAGTCAATACTCCAGCCCTGCTGCCACCAGTGCCACTGGCTTCTGCCTCGTCCATCTTGATCCTGTCTGCGGCTGATAATCTCAACTTGTTGATCTCGTTCCTATCCGTCGGTGCCGAAGTACAATCGAGGCTGCGGTGTTCGCAAAGGACGCAAGCGCTGTGGCCGATCTGAGTGATGCACTTCTTGTGCTTTTGAATACACTCGGCGCACCTGTTGATCGAAGGCTTGAATAGACTGCAGTCTCGAGGTCCTTTCTGCGAAGCTGAAGTGCAAGCAACACAGCCACTGGCGCCAGCTGAGATCACGCACTTGAGTTTCTTGCTCAAGCAGGAATTGCAAACGAGGGCTAGTGGGGAACTCATGGTGTATGCTGTGTGTTGATTTCGACCGGTGCCCGAAGATATTCCGATTGGCACCGGATGATAGTGGGTGTGTGTGGCGATCCTAAAGGTAGATTGAATTATAATTGTGGAACTCCCCGGCTACGGAGCTAGTTTTCTTTGTGACGACAGCGTCTCACCTGGTCACGTGAACTTTATTGAGGTGAATGGGATTGAACACCTGTGGAAAGGATAGTAAGGTCTCATCAGTGCTGCTGAGACACGGTTTATAAGGCGAATCTCCCCATTTTGTCTAATGGTCATAAAGCTAGACGTATATTCGTGAGGAGTCCCGATGCATATGATGTTTTCATGGGAGCTTTCGTGTTCTGATAAGAGTCTAGTTCTACTATTGTAGCGTGAAGGGAGAAGATTTCTCGATACACTTTGCGGCTGCTTGTAGCCTAGTGGAGTATCCCCAAGGCCTTGAAGGCAAAATGACTGAACTCGCTCCTGGCTTGAGGATTTCTGGTGTGATAGAAGCAGGCTCCTGCAGCCAGTAACGCTTCTTTCTTCACAGAACATTCCATGATACTAACGCCTTATTTGAAAAATGCTACCAAAGTCAATCAAATTGCGTAGACAAGACCTGATGACTATCTTTCCCACACATTAAAGTACTAACAAGGACATGACAGATTTCATTCTCGCACTGATATCTTCCAGAAGATGGTACATGCATGCTTGACGATCTCCGATGATCCAGTGAGGACAAAGGCTCAGACAAAGTTGGAGGGTTCTCCACAGAATCAGAAGTGCTCTGGAGTAAGCACTGCTAACGGCTGTCGTCGAAGCATTCCGAACTATTCTGTTTACCTGTCCGGTTCATTCTTTTTCTAGACCCTTGACCAATTTTCCAGCCGCAATGGCTACCGGGACAAAGGCAATTTATGAGTTTGTGTAGATGCAATTTCGAACCACATAGCAACATAATAGGCAATAAAGCATGTTCAAGTAACACTTAAGGATTATGGCGGCAATCGAATCCGAACGTCAAGCAGGGCTTTGCATAGGACTATCTTGGAGCAGTCCCCTCGACCACTTTGCTTCAGCGTTAGAGTGAAGGAAATGGAGCAATGCAACTCCTCTAGCCACCAGCTTTGTGCTTGATGACTGCTGTAGGTTTGTCGGCAGTATGACAGCAACAACATATTTGGAAAGCAGCGAGTCGACGACTTTTCGTCCTCGAAAACATGCAGAGGGTGGAATTTCACAGCATCTGAGCCATTTGCAACGAGTATGCTGCGAACTATGAGAGCACTGTATTGAGCAGATGCTTCCAAACTCCATATCCACTTGCAGCTGAACAATGGTATGGTAATGATCCTGTGTACTGACCAAGCTGAGCTTCATAGAATGGCTCAACACTAGCATCAGTAGCAGCACTGCATTACAGGTTTACTCGTCACTTGATCTCTGGCTGTAGATGGATTGTAAGAAGTCGAGAGTGAAGTGTGTGATGGTCGTCGAATTTAAGATTTAGAGTGTTCATGCCTCAGGACATCCAAGCCTAAAAATAGTTGGGCCATCCGCCGATCATCCGGGGTTAGTGCAAATCTTAGTGTCTGCGCTATTATAGGCAGGGGCAGCGCTGCAGTGAGTCGATGCGTTTTCAATTGTTTCAACCACAACAACTTTTCTCCCTCGACCACACACACTGCCTCCGGTACAGCCAAACACAGCCCGAGCGCGGCAGACTGGCTACATGGAGTGTCAAAGCAGGTTTGCAGACAAGGTCGTATTTATCTTCATCCCCTCCTGTCTCTTTCTCTCTGTATCGAGCTCGACTACGCTAGAAACATGCATCACATTCACTGCGTCTGCTTCCAGCTCCCGTAGCTTGGGCGTCACGCACCTCCGGCATGGTGGCTCGTAAAACCTTTCACCCCTCATCCCTGGCTCACGGTCGAGGTCAAGCGGCTGCGATTATTCACTCGTTGCTTTTGGTCTTGCTTCTTCCATTATTATCATTCAATACTTAATTGCGCTTCATGTTTGCATGAAAACCTCTTCTTCCTTTGCTACCATGCGCACGACATCAACAATGGCATTGCCATCATCGATGATAGCAGCCGTATTGCTCTTCGCTCTACCGATTCCAACGATCGCACAAACCGACAACGGCAATGAATGCTCCTGCTTTCGAACCAACGGCTCATCGCAGGGCTATTTTACATACCATCGATTTCACGATTACAGGGACGTGGCGACTGCATCTACTACACCTCCAACAGTCATCTCCAACTCGACAAATGCGACGAACGCATTTGCAACATCAGACTTCTTCCTGCAGGATGCGTGGCAGAATGACTGGGCGATCCAGAATTGGAATAATAGTGATAGCATGGCGGCATCAGGAGCAGCAGTCACCATGATTAATTCACCAAATAATGTATACATTGGTTCGTATCTTGTTCCCGGCCATCTGCCACATACTGACTCCAATATCTAGAGAAAAGCACAGACAATGACCCCACCTACTCCTCTTACCTCGTCCTCCGTACATCGCGACTGCCCGATTTCCAATCTGCCGCCGAGATCGATTCCACCGAGCAAAACTTCCACTACGTATCTGCGCGCTTCATGGCACGAGTCATAGGTGCTCCTGGCGCATGCGCAGGCCTTTTCACATACCTGGCCTCAGACAATCCGCAGTCAGTACAGGAAGCAGACATCGAGATTCTGACAGCAGGTCCACGAGACATGGTCCAGTACACGAACCAGCCATCTACAGACAGCAATGGGGATGCTATTCCTCAAGCGACGGTCAACGGGACGAATCCTGGAGCGAGGGATTGGACGTTATGGAACACATACCGCGTGGACTGGATGCCCAAGATGACGAGCTGGTATGTGAATGGAGAAGGTGCTGCGAATATTAGTTTCCAGACTCCAAAAGACCCCGCGGGGTTGATATTGAATATGTGGAGTGATGGCGGCGTTTGGACTGGGAATATGAGTCTTTATGACGAGGCATACTTGCAGATCCAGTGGATGGAGTTTGTGTATAATACCAGCGGGGCAGCGAGCGCCAAGAGAGACGAACATGGACCGTCAGGTTTGTTGGAGAAGCGCAAAGGAGGCACGCCTGGATGCAAAGTCGTCTGTGGTGTCGACGAGGATGTCAATATTACAGGCACGCCAGCTTTCTTGTACAACAGCACTGCGCCAATGGGATGGAGGGGAGATGGGATGGGCATCATGGCTTGGATACCAGTGGTGCTTGCTGGAGCTGCTTTATTTGGCTACTTCTAAGAAGACGTAACATACATTGGATGAGAACGGAGATCTAGTCGCCGGAGAAAGTAAGGGGTTTAGATTTGATGTTGGATACGGCGCTGAAGGGTTGGAAAAGTCGAGCATGATATATGAAGAACACGGCAAATGTCTTATACATATTCTCTGTACTGTACTGTACCCCAATTTATTTACATTTCGATCTCCAACAATTGCCTTTACAATATTTTCCATTCAAGAGAAAGCTACCAAGGCCAAACCTCGGAGGATTCAGAGAGGAAAGTCGGGACGGAAGAACGTGTCACCGTTCACTCACCCGCGAAACTTTTCGTCATACTTTGAAGAAGAACGGCGACCTCCCGAGGTCTGGTGGCCTTCAACGTCTCGTTTTGCAATGATCATCCCCTTAAGTAAAGATTGAGAGGGCACCGGAGATACATACCGCCGAGATATGTACACAAGTGTATTACCACGCAGGTCTCCGGGGACAGGCTGGACTGTAGACATGATATAGTACTGCGGCTTGCTCCGCTGCAATATTCATCAATGTAACGCGAGAATGGTTACCGAAACATCAAAGTATATTCACAACGGAGCGAATTGACAGCTCACAATCCTCAATATCAAGAACGCCGTGTTCTGCAATCTACCCTGTGCTCTCGTCCACGAAGGCCTAACTTACACTAACTGATTGTACAGGAACTCGATCAATCTAGCCTTCCTTTCCGACGTACCACAACTCCCGACGATCATGCAACCACCTGTCTCTCCCGAAATTGGACGTACGGCCCATCCTTGAAGCTCGTGAACGCGTCCTTCAATTGATACACCTCCCTATCTTGTCTCCCCCAACCCAGCTCCGGACTTCCTTCTCCCGCCGTTGTACCGGGAGCAAGTCTGAACTCGTACCTATACACAACGCGAGCCAACGCCATCATCACCTCGGCGTATGCCAATGGCTTGCCGATACATGCCCTGCTCCCGATACTGAAGGGAGAGAATGCTGAGTTAGTGACAGACACACTATCTTGTGTGATGCCAGGTCCGGAATCAGGGATCCAGCGTTCGGGAATGAATCTTGATGGCTCAGGGTGGTACGCCGCGTTGTGTTGTAGGGCGTATGCGGCGACTCCCACATCGGTACCTTCTGGAATATGGTGGCCGTCGATGTCGATTCCTCCTGGGAGGACGCGTCGAGGCACCATGCCACCCACGGGAGGAGAAAGTCGCATTGCTTCATCCACCACTGCTCGTAGGTAATGGCACGAATTCAGAGTTGGCCCGTGGCAGATCTCTTCGACGTCCGAGAACGTAGACAGAATCTCTTCGCTCAGTTTCTTCATCGTCTCTGGGTTGTGAGTCAAGTAGAAGAATGACGATGCAAGTGCCGTGGAAGTCGTGTCTGATCCAGCGATGATGATGAGGTTGCTTTCTCCCAAGAGTTCGGGCGATGTGAATCCTCGGCCAGTTTCTGAGTCTTTGGCGTTCAGCAAGTAGTAGAAGAAGTCCTTGCGATCAGTTTCGTATCCGATCTTCATCCTCTCTCCGAATTGTTTTTTGCTGTATGCCATGTATTGCATTCTCGTGTTATTGATCTCCCGGAACAGAACTTTGTTCAACCCAAGTGTTTTCATCATGGGATAACAACCGAGCTATGCAGTCAGTATTTACTCTTCATGTAGAGCAAGCAGAACTTACAATCAAGTGCATCCAGGAAGCATTTGCGACCAGCTTAATGACGTGTCTCTCTTCCTCATGCTCCAGCATGTCAAATGCTTTTCCAAAAGCCAATTCGCCCATGACGTCAAAAGTCAGGTAGTTGCACCAGTCAGCCATATTGAGAGGATTTCCCCATCCTCCTTTTGCTCCAGATGAGTTGGCCAAGCCAGATTGAGTCCCGATCTTGGAGCAGAAACTTCGGATGTTGGTCAAGATATACTTTTCCATGCTCTTCATGGCGGTTTCTGAGAAGGCATGGGAGAGAACACGACGTTTTCGTGCATGGGCACCCTTGTCGATACTGCTGTGGATGCTTTCGAGTCCTTTCTTAGGTGGGAAGACAGAGTAGAATTGAGATTTCTCGACATTCGGCTTGCCTCCATAAATGGACTTCAGTGCTGTGTTTGTGTTGAAGGATAGACTGTTTGGTCCATAACGGAAAACGGGTCCTGGATCCAGTGTTAGCACCAGTCAAAAAAAAAATTTTTTGAGGCTTCGAGCTTAACAAACCATATTTCGCATGATTGTGAAAGAAATCGATTTGTCGGTCACCGCTGTATGCCTGATATACAGAATACCAATCTGTGATTTTTGCGAAGAATGGTCCTGGATACTTTGCCAAAGGATGCAGTGTGAGGCGGTATATGGCAAGAGATGTGAGCTATACTTTGTCAACTCATGCTCAATTCAACTTCATACAGAACTTACATATACGAAACAACTTATTACACTCCAGAGTACTAACGTTGAAGCCACTCCAATGACCCCGCCGTTCATAATCAAAGGGATCATGATGTTCTTGATAACTCGGCTCCGTCGAAGTCCAAAATTCGAAGTTGATACTCAAAGGCTTCCAAAACTTTCTTTGTCCCACAAACAGCCCTCTTCCCCTTTCAGAGCGCAATAAGAAATGGATACCCCGAAAGGTCCGGGAGACGAATCTCTAATATGGGGAAGACACTAGCCCCTCAATACGGGAACTAATGAATGCCGACGGAAAGCGCGTCTTACTTTCAACCCCACAATTGAAGATTGGCAACGACTCAGAAGCATCGAAATTGTTAAGTAGTCTTTATGGGATATCGATGATCGTGTCGGACTGGACGAGATTGCTGTGTGACCTGGATCTCGGGTATCGACGGTTGCACTGCGTTACTCATCATGCGAGATTTCATGTACGTCGGTGGTCGGTGTTGCTGCTGTGAGATGAGCACTTGGGAGCACTGGTTGGCTGGGATGGTTGAGATGAAACATGATAGATGGTGATCGGGTTGATCTGATATGATGTTGGATATTCAACTTGGATGATTTCTTGATGTTCCCTCCGACAATTGTTCCACGGCTCCAACATATCTACTCAAGCACAGCATACGAAGCTGAGAAGAGTCCGAAAATCATGCTTAATACTCCCAAGGTCATATCATGGCATAGCTGAGATATGCAAAGCTCGAAACCGATCAGTTCTTTGTTTCTTGTGTTCGATCAATAGATTACTACTCTTTGTGATACAGCTTTGTCCAACACAGAAGTTTGTGTTGTACGCAAGATATTGTTTTAAGCACAGGTCTGCTCTAGATTTACTTTCTTTAGTCGAGACATCCAGCATACAGAAGTCCAAGAGCCTTCGAATTTGCATTCATTAAGATCACATGATGCGAACTATCACGTGCTCAGTTTCTTGTCCTTCTTTTCATGAACTCCTCGGCCGTGTTCTCGAACCAGGTCCAACGAAAGAGAAAGGAGAGTGGTCTATGGCATGTAGTGGGCAAGAATGTACTGATATATCGAGGATGAGATCTTATCTATCAGCTGACAGCCTATGTCGCGTTCGGATCAACCTCCACCCGTCGTCATCTCCGTTCGCCAACGTCAACTCATAACTATATCAATCGGGCTTCATGCAGCAAGCCTCGCGTGCCGAGGAGACCAATACCAGATGCCCTCTCAAAGATTCGAGTGGCGAATACGAGGCCGAAAGAGGAAAGAGGGGCAATTTCCGATACGTTGCCAACCCCACGCAAACGACATCAAGCACCGTTGTGCAGATCTCACAAAGTGTAAAAATGGCGTTTCTAGACCAAGTTTTCAAAGCGTTGAACCAACCTCGAGCATCGAGGCCCCCTTATCTATGATTTGCAGGCTAAAATGGATTTCCGCGGGATCAAGAGCAGCGCTTGATATATCAAGTGTCAAGACATCAACAGGGATTTGTAAAACATCAAGAGATATTTTAGATACATATCTGACAAGCTAGAGCCACTCAAGATGCTCACCCTCATAAGCGCCACCCCCTCGCCTTACGCGCGCAAAAACCGCATCTTGATGCTAGAAAAGGGCATCCCCTTCCAGCTCCAAACCGAAATTCCCTGGCACTCCACAACCGAAACGCCAAAATACAATCCACTGGAAAAACTCCCCATTCTGATCTTCGACGACGGAAGACCGCCCATTTACGAATCATGGTACATCCAAGAATATATCGTTCAGAAGTACCGTGGTACAGGGCCAGATCTCATGCCGTCGTCTATCGATGACCAACTTCTCGTTCGACAGATCCAAGTCTTAGCTGATGGGGCTTGTGATGCTATGGGTCTCGTATTCTTCGAGAATGGACGAGGGGAGATGAAGAGCCATGAGTGGCATGATAGGCAAATGCGAAAGGTCACGGGGGTGTTGAAAGCTTCGGATGAGTTGGTGAAGAAGAGTGACGGAAAGTTCCTTGTTGGTGGCGAATATTCTGTTGCGGATATTGCTCTTGGTGCGATGTTGGGCTTCATGAATATGGTGGAGACGAACTTTGGGATAATCCATTGGTTGGAGGAATATCCGGAGTTGAGGAAGTATTGGGAGATGTTGGAAGCCAAGGAGAGTTTCAAAGCGACGCAACCGGTTATGTTTGAGCTGACTGAGAAGGTTGCGTGAGTTGATTAATGTTGTTGTATTTACTGCTTGAGAGAGATTGTGTATTGTCGGTGAGGATGTTTGTTCTTTTACTTTTTGATCTTGCTCTCTGTTATTTGTTGCTACCAAGACTCGATACACTCATATTTCAGTTCAAATATGTTAAGATAAGCCCGTAAGTCATTTGTATTCCTCAATGTTCTCAAGCAATCAGTTCTCCTGCTTGCAAAAATCTGATCACATGATCAGGCTAGTCCTGCAAGTAGTTCAGCCGAAACCTTGTACAGCCAATGCTGCGGACTTTGTTCGTTTATATGGATGACTTTAGCTGGACTGGACCCACTGAATCAGATGCGGAAAACTATGCTGCTATTATGATTTAGGTTGTTATGAGAAACTTTTGGGTTTTGGAGTCTATTCTTAAGAAGCTGTACTGAAATTCATCTACCATGCGTTCAAGAACCAATCAACTCGTGTATAACTTGCCAAACCACTTGTTAATTACACAATCAAAAAATACTTTCAAAGACAAATGAAGCAATTTTCAAACTTTGCTCGCTTTCTCGAATGCGAGTTGTTGATCCAAAACACTGCCAATCATCTCCTCCATTGGCTTCCATTTTGCTCCTAGAAGTTTCTCCGCTTTCTCCGCATTTGCTTTGAAAGCTCGTTCGAACGGAGGCTCAAGACTGTTGGAGGCTTTGGGATACTTTCTTCCCATGAAAGCCACGATGTCATCCCAGCTAGTTTCCTTCCCTGATATGATGCATTCTTCTCCGTTTCTCTCGAGTTTTGCGTCGATTGTGGCGAACATTACATCAGCAACATCACGAACATCGACGATCGCGACAGGGAATAGGGGCTTCTTGAACATAAGGCTGCGCATGAACATCATGTTCACACCACTCAATTCTTCAGCCGACTTTTGAACGAGACTGGGGCCGAGAACGAAGGTAGGATGAAGTGTGGTCAGCGTGAAATGTGGCTTCTGTTGCTGAATGAATTGCAGCGTGGCTTGGTGGGCGAGAATCTTGGATGCTTGATACTTCAATCCATGGCCATCCAGTCCACTGGGGAACTCCATGTTGAGATCGACAGGGTTTGGCTCGTTGGAGTTCTCTGTAGGTACATTTAGTCTCTCCGATGTCCTGAGAGCGTGAGCTATTTACCTTTGATGACAAGATCCTGCATCGCCATGCCACCCATTGGCATTATCGAAAGGATCGATGCCATTATCGTGACTCTCTTGACACTGGGAGTTTCGAGGGCCGCTTTTAGTATGGCGTCCGTTCCTTTGACAGCAGGATCGACATAGTCTCGCTGAAGGTCTTCGCCTTTCATTGGCATCGGTGAGGCAAGGTGAAAGATGTAATCAACTCCATCCATTGCCTTGCCGAATGCGTCTAAGGCCGTGATATCTGGAACCACTGCGAAGTCCATTTGTTGGGTGTGAGCAGGAAAGAGCTGCTTCAGCTCATGGATTTGCGCCTCCTTACGAATAGTAAGTCGGACATTGTATCCGGCTTTCAGAACGCGGTCGAGGACGTGGGAGCCGATGAATCCAGAGGCACCAGTTATCAGAATGAGGCCTTTGGACATTGCGAGAAGTTTAGTTGATAATTGGAAATTCGTGTTATGAAAATGTGAAGTGAAGATGGAAAGCACTTCGAAATTGATTTTGAAGGAAAGCAGATACATCACCGTTGTGTCTTTATACCACCATGATTGAGCATAACTGAACATCATAGCCATTCGTAAAGTATAGTTACTGAGGATTCCGATCGGGTGCCTCACTAAACTGCGTGACTGCATGTTACGGCTTGTCGCGATAGTCGCGTTGAAGAAGGCTATCCAAGGAAGTACAGCTCAACAGGCGCTTTGTTTTCCAATTCGGGCATCACAGAAATGACCTCGGAGTTTACTCCCTTAGTAATCGTTAATTGACAATGCATGCTTTTGGGTGTTGAGGTAGGTGGCTGTTGGCGGAACGATCAGTAATCGACGACCTGAAAATTACTATTGGCTAAATTGTATGCATTACTCAGCTCTGGGCATTTGCCATGTTCCCCAACCATCAAGTACAGCTAACAAGTGTTGGAAATATTCATCTTGCAACATGTTGTCAGAAAAGCGAAATAGCTACAGCAAGATGGTAGCTAAGGCTGAGCCGGAAGTCAAGGAGCGAAAGCCGAAACGAAGGGTGAAGCGCAAGGTGTCGGAACTCGATCCCATTGCCGCGAAGGTAAGATTTCTAATGAATCTCATAATCCAATCTGTCCCTTACTGATGCCACGATATAGAAGAGACGAGAACAGACACGTGTTGCTCAGAGGGCGTTCAGGAGGCGTCAAGAAGAGGCTATCGAAACTCTCGGCAAAGAAGTGGATCACCTAAACGGTATCATCGAGGGGTTGAATAACACCTTTGTATCTTTTACTGATGTATTGGCCAAATCGAAGTGGCTTGAAATGGACGCCTGCATGGCCAGCGAGCTGAAAAGTACGATCCAGACCTTTCTTGAGCTCACCCAGTCGTCTCCGGAACCGATTTCTAGAGGGGAAGCTGCAGCACCCCTACACAGTGCGAGCAAGCATGCTGCACCAAACATAGTTCCGGAGAATCTGACTTCTCCTTCCTCGTCCAGTAGTCCGCGCCCCACAAATCATGAGAAGATTCGAGGTTATTCTGGCTCGGCGATTGGCAGCGCTACCTCTTCATCACCGCAGGGAAGATCAACCGAAAGCACCTCAGCTTTCGGACCCACCAATACTTCATCCAACTTCTCCAGCATCCTGTCACCTTCCTTCAGCATTCCTTCTCCATATCTTAGTCTCTCTGCCATCCAATCCATGTCTTGGCAAACACTTCCTACCAATGAGGTCAGTTTTGCTGGGAGACTGCACCGGGCTGCATACGAAGAAGGCCATCGTATCTTGTGCAATTGGGATCGAGAACTTTACAGCTATCAGCAAGTTTTCAGTTACATGCTTGGAGCACACACTCGGGATAGTCTGTTCTGGTATCTCTCAAAGGCATTAAACGAGAACTTGCATGGAGTGCTTGATCCACCTGAGCAATTATTTCCACTCGCCGATGTCACGTTTCAAACAAACAGCTGGTTGAATGCAACTGAAGTTTATCAATACTTTCGAATGAATGGCATTGACTTTGATGACTATCCCGTTCTGGCGAAAGTTGAGATTGCGGTAGACAATGCCTATGACGACGTCGCAAACAATGAAAATACCCTCGACTTCTCATTGACTGGACCGACTGTCAATTTGAAAACACAAACATCAAACTATTCAGAATCTTTCGACTTCTCCACGTTAATATCTTCTCATAATCGGTATCAATTTGGAAGTGATCCCAAAATTGTTTCCAGACCAGCTGCTGTTCCTTTGACTCGGAGGGTCTCTGTTGATGTGGCAAAGCTGATTAGCGGTAAGTTTATACTTGTCCAACTTGTGAATGAGGTACTGAAACTTCCACAGAAATTGTTCTTCCCAGCCAGACACAATGTCGTGGACGGAACCCAGTTTTCAGAAAGCAAGATCTTCACAGAGCTATGAAGAGATCAGTCGTTCAGGAACTGTAGACGAGATAAAATGTGCCTCGGGGAGCACCTTCATGAAAACACCCAAAATACAAGTAGCTATTGATGTTCAATTTCTCGGAACGTAAAAATAAAACAATCTCCTCACAGCTGATCCATGACTGCTCAAAGGACTGCAACATTCTTCCTTCCTTCATGCCCGTCTCTCTGTGGAGCTATCAATTGGCAAAACTCAATGGTCGCCACTCCATGGAAGGGCTTTGTTGGCCTTGACCCACTGCTTCTCCTCTTCGCTCTTCCATGGTAGTGGAATCAACCCATTGATCTTCCACAGCCTCCGATCATTCTCACTGATGTGGTACTCTGAATCATATCCTTTATCCGTGACATGCGGCTTTATCGCATTGTCCACCCACTGGCAAGTTGTTCTATATGCCTCTTCCTCCGCTTCGGCTGGGACATTCACCGCTGTATGCTCAATGACTAGTCGAATGAACGGTTTGTCGCCTTCGTTGACTTTACCGCCCACCCATACGTCCCCTTTCTCCATTTTGATGAATTGCACAACGACGAAAAATGCAGGCAGGCCGAGTTTGTCGGTGTAGATCTTTGTAATGTCCTTGCTAAAGGCAGACTTGGATTGGCTGTCGGTGAAGGTCCCCTCTGGGTGGAAGATGTTCCAAAGTGGCATTACGATTGATGTAAGAGTCCGGATCTTCTGAAAGCAAGAATTTGGCTCAATTGAGGAAGGATACGAGAAGTATGCACCGAGTAGAATTGAATTGGCAAGCGATGCACTACGGGTATAGTCTTATGACTTTATATGTACTTCCATCAAACCTTGTTTTCAGTAGAATAGCTTCCGCTCTCTTTCCCGTCCCGTTGCAATGAGGAACCATCACTCAACATGATTAAAGATTCCAAGTTTAGCCTTCGTCATGCCTTCCGGGACTGCTCTCTAAGTCGATAGCGTTAGTTCTTTCAAATTATGCGTAATCATAATCCGAAGCTCGATTAAGGTACTTACTGAGGCCTCCATGAATGTTTCATCGACGTTTGTGTGTTGAGTAATCGACCATTGCCAAACAGAATTGTGGGAATTACTAAGGCCAAGAGCATAAAAAAGCCCTGTTGGTAAGTGAACAATTTCAAAATGGAATTGCTCGGTTTAAATCTTACAGAATATGTATCATATAGGTTATTCGAGTTTGTTGCATGCAGGTCGAAGAGTTGAGTGATACAAAAGCGGGGTAATTAATTACCCCGCCAAAATCAATGTAACTGATTGGAAATATCGACATCTTGTTAACAATACCGTTGAAGATATAGGATTCATGTCCGAAGTCGTGCTCCATACTCACGACTAATATTACTCATTCAATTACTGGGAGACTTACAATCAATTCTCTAGTTACCGGCTCGCCAGCCTTTGTCGAGTCGGTCGCTTATCCTGCCCCTGCCCCTTTTCAGGAGCGACCGAGCCCGCTAAACTTTTAGGGGCTTTAATCGAGATAAACAAACGACGCGTCCAACTCCCGAATTATTAGGCTTTATTAACAACCTCACGTCGAGCACCCGAGTGTTACATGCATCCTACCTTATCAGCATCAAATCCCTGAGAATGACGAAGCACGACATCGGTCAGCCGTCTTCCGTTGAGAGTGCTGTATAAAGGCAAGTCGAAGAACCCTCCGTCAGCCTGGCAATGAGACAGCGAGCAATTGCCATCATGGAGGTCTCGTTCGTGATGGCGAACAGTAAACACATAATAGAATGAGCAGACCACCGCGTCCGAGCAAATCCTAAATGGCATGCCTTCTCGCCGCGTCTAACCTAGAAGACCTAGACGCCTCAATCTCTCCATACCTCGAATCCAAAACCAATTGGACTTATCGAAAGTTTGCCATATCATACGCCAGTCCCCAGCCTCGAGCGAGACGCCCATCTCCAATAGTCGACAAAACAGTCTGCGAGACGCCTTCCTTCACGCGCCATCGTTTCTGTGTGACAGACGCTGTCGAGAACCCACATTGAATTAGATGGATACTTGGAGAATCATCAAATGGTTGCGGGCACTCGGCTGAAGCTGGGAGGTGGGACTGGTAACAATCAACGCACCTTTATCAGCTCACAAGTTAGTGGAAGAGGTGATCATATATCTCGTATGTGTTGCGTGAGATACTTAGTGAGAGAACTGCTGTCGGAGAAAGTGGTAGAAGATCCATGAAGATCAACACGCCCCTACAGCCATGGGAACTGTGAACGAATTTGGACAAGTGTCACTGGTATAGAAGCAGTGGATGATATCCCCCAGATTTGACTTCATTCTTCTACTTGCTTTATAGCTGCGCTTGTATCTGCACTTCTCCGTTCCCACTATCTTCAAAGTACGGCGCTCCTTGCTCGTAAACATCCTTCAAAACGTCATAGTTCATAATCCATTTCATCCTCTCCCTCAACGCATCAGGATTGAACACTTGGGATGTTCCCTCTGGTACATCTGCACTTGCCAATTTTCCAGCCTCGTAACTCGTTTTTGTCACTTTATCTGTCCTTGGCTTTCGCAGACCTTGGTAGAAGGCAAATGCGCTTTCGAGGTCTTCTCCTTTCCAGTTCTTCAGAACGGTGGCTAGCGCTACGCCTGACTCGATAGCCATGCATGTTCCTTGTCCTGAAAATCATCGATCAGTATTCATCATTCGAGCAGCTGGAAGTTTGTGTACCTTGATGCGGCAAAGTCGAATGCGCCGAGTCGCCCAGAAGTATGATTCCTGATCCAGTCTCTCCCTCTTCAATCTGATACCACTTCGGAATTGGATCTCTAACATAGAGAGCCTGCTTCAAAATCAATCCTTTGTCAGGGCCTCGCTCGGCGTTCTTCCTCAAACCCTCGATGATCTCCTGGCAGGTCGGTGCCCATCCCTCGACATGCTCTGCCAGTTTGTCAACCGGCGCTTTTGCCATCCAGCTTTCAGACACCCACTCCTCCAGTGGCTCAGTCATGAATCCGATAACTCCAACTCGAGCAGTCTTCGACTCCCCGTTTCCAATCGGCAGTGTGAGAATGTGTCTCTGCTTCCCTCTATAAACGACCGTCTTTCGAAGCTCTTGTGCTGCTGTGGGAGAAAGATCCGAGTATTCAACATACCCACGGTAGACCATCTGACCAGAATAATTTGGATGATCTGCGAAGCCCAGATGAGCGCGAACAGCAGACTTGATGCCATCACATCCAATTATGATATCCGCGGTCGCTGCCGTCGCATCTTGGAAAGAAATGGCATACTCTTTGTTCGTCTTGTCCCACTCAATTGAGGTCAATCGCTTCCCCGTGTTCAAAATTGATTCAGGAACTCGTTCTTTCATAACTTCCAAGAGATGTGCGCGGTGGATCTGCCGACTCGAGGGCTGACCGAATTCGTCAATTTGTCCAAACACCTCGCCGGTCTTGAAGTTACGGTACTCCATGTAGCACGGAGGGTCGTGGGAAGATTTCCATCGCATGGCATCCTTGAGCCCATATGCGTCAAGGATGATATTTGCATTTTTGGTTATGTTGACACCTGCTCCCACTTCTGTAAACTCGGGAGCTTGTTCGTAGAGTTGAATGTTTTCCAGTCCAGCATAGAGCGCGGCATTCACAAATGCCATGCCACCTAGGCCGCCACCAATCACAGCAATTCTCTTATTTCCGAAATCCATCTTGTCGAATATGCTGCAGTATGTGCAATCGCTTCAACATATTCCCATCTTTTTTATTGATTCAGCGCTGGATTGAATCAGGCCATCCATATCAGCAATACACGACGAGGCTGTTCGAGGGACGCATTTGGCGAGGTTGTCCCTGCTTGCCAAGCCAGCGCTCATATCCGCAACCCACTTCTGCTCAAGATAACACAGCCAAGGCAAAATTGAATTCGCACCGGGAAAGCAGCCGCTCGACGATAAACTTGTCCGCGATGATACGTCCGCTTTATGCCAACCCTTTCCTGGCGAGCTCTGGAAGAAAAATTTCCGACATCCTGCGAAACATGTCTGCCATCCCACTCATGCCTGTCCAGGTCTGGGCACACCATGTTAAGAGGACGAGGCAAGAATTAGATATCTGAAAGATGTCCGAATAATCCATAGGCTGAAGGATGCGTTGTGGATTGCCTTGTTCGAGTGGACTTAGAATCTGGACTCGTGCTTCGATCGAGAGCTGAACGTAGGCCATGATGGTGAGGCCCGCAAGGTAGATGTAGTGAGCGCTCATGATTGTCATGGGATAGATACCAAGTGCTGTGTCGTCCGGTGCTCTCATGATGTTTTCATAGGTTCGTATCAGACCACAGGCGCATCGATAGCTTTCTGAGGCGATGATTTGTACTGGTGTTTCTGAGGAGGATGCAGTAGTTTGAGATAGAGCTCGCAAAAGTAAAGGTTGAAACAGAAACACGATTGTTGAATTGAAAGCCACATTGCAGGTTGAAGTTCCAACTCCTGCAAGGATTTCGTTCATTTGGACGTCTTCATACCATGACAAGAGACTGAAATATCGTTCGATGAACCATTCTAGATCGTGATCAGGAGGCTTTGTTGGTAGATAGATATCTCTGTATATCTCTGAACGCAGATACACGAGTCGATAATGGTGAGCTGCTGAAAAAACTTGGACGGAAGCTTGATCTGTAGGTGATCCTGTCACGAGTATTCCCGGATACTCTGTCGTTATGATCTGTTCGGGCAGATCTGATGGCCTTCCGAATATTTGACCCACGATACGCTCAATGGTATATAAGCTCCAAAATGTGCTTCTGCGCAGTGCCATGTCTCGACTCGATTCTTGGTCAAGAGGAAGTTCGGTATGATATCCCAACTCGACGCTCAAGCGGCAGGCGTAATCTAGTAATTTCCAGATATCTCCTTTGCGAGGATGGAAGAGACAGTATAGAATCAGTAGTAACAGAGCCTGTAGTGATTCCCCTGATACCTCTGATGTGACAGCTTCAACATACTTCAGTCCCTTCGCGTAGAAATCATCATCAGTGGCTGACAAGTGAGGTTTGTGTCGCGACTTGTTAGCACAAGCGACTGCACACATCATCGAAATCCGGAAGAACTGATAAGCAGCTTTGCCAGAAAGTCTCCCTTTCGTCTTTGAGTCATTGTTTTGATCGCATATATACGTTTGCAGGTCGGCTTCAATCATCGATTCGTCGATGAACGGATACAGGGTGTTCATGGTTGAGATGTAATATCCGATTAGAGTTGAGAGCATTTCCTTGGAAGGAACACTATGACGTGTCGCAACCATGGCACCAGAGTCGATGATCCCTTCTTCATTACGGTTAAGCGATGACAGGAAGTCTGGAGCTTTGAATTGACTTGGGTCGTCGAAAATTTGAGATGCGAGCTGGACAGTGAGGACGAAGACTGAACTTGAACCAAAGAAACGGAACGTTCGATCCGAGGCTGTAGAGAGCATGAAATGATCATCGTAGTTCATTGATTTTAAATCTGGCTCATCGGATCTGACTGGCAGAAGCTCCCGAGTTGGTTGTCTTTGTCTCATGTCTACACTGATCGTCGTAGTCATCTTGGGGCTCTTACGAGACTTGAGCTCCTGAGCTCTTTTCAAAAGGGAGAGCACATAACTGGCGCCATATTAGTGTGAGTATCAATGTTGTCCTTTTTAAAAATACCTTCGAGGCAGAACTTGTTGCAATGAATGGTCATAGAATGAACATTCGACACTGGCTTTGAGGCAAAGCCTACAAGATGGCAAATTGGTGTCACACTTTCTCCTCAGACGCTTGCATCTTTGACAACTAGGGAGAAGCTGAATGGCAGCTTCCAGTTTTTCATCTAGGTTGAGAGTCGCTGCTACATCCGACGGTGAGCTAGCTGTTATCGGTTGAGTTGTCTGTTCTCTATACAATATAAGAGCGAGATTGTCTGACGGGCGGGCAGCTTACCCCGCAGGTCGAATGTCCATTTCGTGCAGTACGAAAAGGAGATGTTCAGAAACCTGCTACGATGTGGATACGAAGGTCAAAAGGTTAATAGTCACTTGGAGTGAATGCGGAGTTGGGGCAACGTAGTGTCTCAAACAGAAGTGGTCGGTGGGCGGAATGAGATTCTTGGAGAGAAAGTGGGTTCACTAGGCTGCGCTGAGTGCGCTGCTGGCGCTGTTGGGGCTATCAGCCCTGCCGGAAACACGGGCTCGAGGAAGCTGTAATTTACAGGGCACACCCACCAAAAGCGAAGCACATCGAATTTTGAAACTGCATAACAAAAAGTCCGTGCTGCATTCTATTTACACACTCTCCGTAGAGGATTCAAACTACGGCCCATGATCCATCACATAATCATACCGAATATCACTGTCCCACCCAAGTAGAGTATTCGGAAGATCCTCCCAATTGAACATAGCAGCATCAAAACCCTGAAAGTCGTCCTCTAAAGCCAGGCGAGCATTACCAAATCGCAATTTCTCAAGATGTGCAGGACCTGGATATATCAATCTCGCCAACTCAGCATCTTGTGCAGGACCAAAGGACTTTGAAGGCGAGGAATTCTTCGTGAAGACAGAGTCTAGCAACGGACCAAGCAGTCGCTCGTATGTTCCAGCATATTTAGAGATCTCTCCCCAACCTTGAGAAGACAAAGTCAAAAGATTCGAGGTGAACAGTTTTGTCATCTGAAATATCTCTCCTGCATTCCATCGCTCACATATTGGTTCATACCCGTATCGCAGACAGAACAATGTTACCATAGCGGATGAGAAAGTATTGTGTGCTGCCAGCCAAGGTCGTCGGAAGAAGCCTGAAGTGATGTGCTGTTGATAAATATGAGCCGAGCCACAAGCTGCCTCGAATGCAACCATCAAGCTTTTTCGTGATGGGAAAGGCATCCGAGGAGAAGGACGGTAAAGATTCGTAAGGCCCTGCGAGAAAGCAAGTTCGGACCATACTGGATCTTCATCTGGAGGAAGAACCTCGTACCAATCCCGAAGGCTCTGGTCAGTTGTAGCCAACCAGTCGTCCCATGTCTGACCTTGATCCAATTGCTTTCCTTGAAAGTGGACCTCGATGATGGTGGATTGCAATTTGGAAAATTGAATCTGTCTGAGTGCTAATGCTTTGCCTGGATCGGGTCGATGTTCGCCGTTCTGGCTGAGAGGTAGTGCGGGGAACAAAGTGTTGATTGTTGGATCTGGAATTGACAGTGGTCGTTGCAAGGCTGAGCAAATGGACCTATCCATGCAATAAGCTACCCAGAAAACCTGTCTCCTTATATCGATAGTCAAGGAATCGAGTCCAACTTCTCTCAAGACTTCACGGTGAAGACCAAGATCGAGACAAGATCTCATCACCACCCCGCTGAGGACCCAGACGTTTGCATACTTGGGATTGATGAGTGCATACTGAAGGATCAGTAAGGTAGACTGGATCTCTGCAAGATCATTTGGGAATGGTGCTTTGCTTGAGAGATGACTGATGCCTTCGGTAAACAATGATCCAGAGAACGCCATACATCGAGCTTCATGGCCACTGTTTGCACTGCCCAGAGTCGCAGAGATAGCAAGTATCAAGTAGGTTATCAAAAAGTCATAGTCAGGCCTAACCGAAAGGGTTGATTGTCCTACTTCTTGAACAGGAAGTTTATTGATTGCTCGTTGAACATGGCCCCAGACGGTAGGCTCGTGCAAGAAAGGGTACATGGGAAGGACACGTTGAATGTACTTCTTAACGAGGCTGTTGACGACGTGACCTGGAAGTTGGACAAGTATTGACGCATCAACAGAATACTCATCGTCTTGTTTGGCGGTGACAGAACACTGAATCGGTGTTGCTGTTGGTGAAGATGGCGTGTATGACGGCGTCAACCCCATCCTCACATTGGAGATCATGTCCGTGAGACATGTCCCGGCTGGCATCGTGGCTCCAATCATGCTCTGAAGCTCAACACTGCCCACAATGGCTCTCCTCATAGGATCTTTGATGACTCCAGCAAGAGGAGCAACGTCTACTTCCGCCGCATCCTGTAACGCTGGACTCCGCCCAATGTCAAAGTTCTGTTGCGTCTGGGATAATTGTCCTGGTTCACGAGGAGACTCGAATTCTCCTACCAAGTCCCCTCCATTGAATTCCTTCTCTAGAGTCGCGATCTCATGCTCGAGGAAGTGGACGATGCTTCTTGGAATCTCTGTGTCGCCTCGTGGATTGAACGCCGTACAAGCTGATCTAGCAGTCTTGCATCGGGAGCAAACAGGCACCAAACGATCACACTACGCATGTCAGAATGGAATGTCTTGAACCTTGCTTAAATTGAGACTCACCTTGATCTTCCTTCTGCGGCATCGTGCGCAGGAAAGTACAGTTCTTAGACACTCCGCCTCGTTAGCGGACATCTCCAGTCATTGAAACTTCCGGCTATTGAGAACTTCAGCGGCCGGAGTGCAGGATAGTAATTGGGAAACAGCGCCGTCATAACCGTTGACACATAGCTTGCAATGATTTGGAATTAATTGGTATCATTGGTGGGGATGGGATCCAGCAAAGGTGGGATGGTCGTGTCGCTAATGTCCGTCCTCGATAAGAATCCTGGCCGCGGCTCATATCACATGCGGAGAGCCTCTCGACAGGTTACGGGTTTCAATAGCAAGCCACACTGGAGAGATTGCATCGTACACCATCGATTTTGGTTTGAAAACTCGCAACAATGGTCGTCCCAAGTCTGAGCTCAGAGTACTTAACTCTGAAGATCAATGAATCCAGAATAAATGCAACCATTCACGAGTCTTGCGAATGGGGGAAGTAAGTCAAGCGAACAAACGACTCAAATACCAGCTAACATACGAAGTACACCAGATGGAGGTATGAATCGTCTGACAGCGAATGATGATGACAAAAGAGTTCGAGACTGGTTCATTGCGAAAACAAAGGAATATGGATGCTCCCACAAAATTGATGCTATCGGAAACATCTTTGCGATTCGACCTGGACAAAATAACTCGTTGCCTCCCATAGCTATTGGCTCACATCTCGACACTCAGCCCACTGGAGGAAGATACGATGGCATCTTGGGGGTTGTGTGTGGAGTGGAGGTACTGAAGGTCTTACATGAAAACAATATTACATCTTATGCTCCAGTTGCAGTAGTAAACTGGACAAACGAAGAGGGAGCTCGATTCCCACCATGTATGCTGGGATCCGGTGTCTGGGCAGAGCAATTCACAACAGAATACGGCCACACCCGCGTTGATCTCGCTGGCATAAGTCTTGGAGACGAGCTCAAGAGAATCGGCTATGTTGGCTCAGAAGCCGCAAGCTTCAGGACAAACCCCATTCTCGCACATTTCGAAGTCCACATCGAGCAAGGCCCGATCCTCGACAAGGAGGAGAAGCCAGCAGGAGTTGTTCGAGGTGTCCAATCGATGAAGTGGTACAATCTGAAGATCACTGGAAGAGAAGCTCATACTGGATCCACGCCAATGGATAGGAGAAGCGACGCGCTTCTGGGAGCCGCCAAGATGATTGTTGAAGCAAATCGCATTGCCACAACCAGAGATCTGGCTGACCGCGGTGCTCGTGCTACCATTGCTGTTATCAATTCCAGCCCTCAGAGTATCAACACAATTGCAGGAGAAGTTCAGATAAATCTTGATATGCGGTCGCCATTTGATGAAGACGTTGCGGAAATGGAAAGACAATGTAGAGAAAACTTTGAGAAGGTATGCGAAGAACATGGTCTAAAGTTGACTTTCGAAACAATCTGGACGTCACCTGCGGTCAATTTCAACGAAGTTATGAAGCAATGTGTACGATCGTCTGCACTGGAGCTTGGATGCAATATGGAACTAACCAGCGGAGCCGGACATGATTCGTAAGTGCTCGCCTCCAACCTTCCAGAGAAAGACTGACTTGGCCATACTAGAGTCTATACATCAAAGCATGTACCCACAGCCATGATCTTTGTTCGATGCAGAGATGGTGTTAGTCACAATCCTGCTGAATACACCAGACCTGAGGACTGTGCTGCGGGCGCTCAAGTGCTGCTAGGAGCCTACCTCCGCTATGACAACTATGTCCGACAGGAGTACACAGCTAAAGTGGCTGATGTTGCCGCAGAAAAAACGGCCGTCGTAAGCCAAGTAGAGGTGCAAGCTTGAATCTGTCTTCAAGGTGGTATAAAGCGGAGCTTGGGATATTCTGAGAATGGTGTAGATAGCTTGATTTGAATGCCAGAATGTCCATAGAAACTTGTTCCATTAGACCAAATTGACTGGCGAGCCTGCGACAAAAGCTTCGAGGTTGCTTTTGATAGTGGTCTTCAGGTTCTCGATGCTTGTATCAGCATACCAGGCAACATGGGGTGAAAGTGTCAAGTTAGGAACATCGCGCGCCAACAAGGGGCTTGTCGAGACACTTGCAGGCTCAGTCGCAAAGACATCTGTGGCTGCACCAGCAATCCATGCTCCTTGTAAAGCCTCGACTAAAGCCTTCTCGTCAACAACGCCGCCACGCGATACATTTATAAGAATGGCTTCGTTGTCCATGTTGCGCAACTCTCGCTCTCCTATCATACCCTGCGTTGACGCATCGAGAGGACAACAGAGAACAATGGCAGTGCATTCTTTCAACGTTTTGGAGAACTGCACTCGTCCAGGGCGCACAGATGATATAGGGACACCTTTTCGATCTGCTATAAGTGTTGACATACCGAGAGCCTTCGCAATGACTTCAATTCGTTTGCCTAGAAGAGTCAACATCCATATTGATCACACACAAGAGCCTCACCTAATGTCCCATAGCCAACAATGCCCAGCGTTTCCGATCGCCATGTTTTTGGCAGACCCCCATATCGATGTATTGCAGTCTTCTTCGCAGGCCACTCCTCTCCTGCCCTAGTTAGGGCGTCCAGCTCGACGATTCTTCGTTTCACTGCCAGGTACAGCGAGAAGGCATGCTCAGCCACCGACTCTGCAGACGCGGAAGGTATGTTGCAGACTTTTATTCCTCGCTCTCTGCAGGTATCCAAATCGATTATATCATATCCGGCGGCCATTACGGCAACAAGGCGGAGATCTGGTGTGCATTGTTCTAAGGCCGCTCGAGAAAGAGGTACTCGTGTGGTAATAATGATGGTTGCATCTTGAATTCTCTCTGCGATAAGCTCGGGAGCTGTATTGTTATAGCCTTTATACGTATGCGGGACATCGAAGGAAGGGATTTCGCAGTGGCATTCGTCGAGGCAGACAATGCGATCTGGAGTTGGGATAGTTGATGCCATTTCAAGCGCGTCTTGGAAATTTACGCGACTGACAGCAAAGTTTGTCACTCAGCACAAGACAACAACTACAACAGATCTCAAGGACAATGATGTATTCACCTACAACTATCTCATACATCTCGAAACGCACCTCCCTACAGCTACGGGATTGAGTATGCCCTGCATGCAGGGTCTCGGCCTCGACGACGATTCTGTCGGCTTGCAGAATGGGCTGAACGAATCGAAGCAGTCTTCCGATGGAGTCGTGGAAGTCCGCTCGTACAAATCGACGAGAATTAATTGGGCACACGCCTTATCTTGACCCTCTCTCTGTTTCTGGCTTGTCCATGATCGGGTCACAACAAGAGTGGGATACAGCAGAGGGCGGGAACGTGGTGGCCAAGTGGTGTCATGCGTTGAGAAAGTAGGAGAGAGTCTTCGTTGGAGCACTCGAATCTGCGTGCAAGTCAGTGTGTTTACTATTGAATTCTTATTTACAAAATTCCTTGTCGTTCCACCGTCCGTAATGGCTCCTTCAGCGACCGAAACAATCCCAGTGGTATCCAAAAAGGAAGAAGAATATGCTTCTGGCGCTCCGGACCTAGCCTTTCCTACAGATGTCCCAAAGGGTCCTCCTTCGTTCGATGACAAGTACGAGGAGCGAAAGTACTTAAAGCATCGCCTTGCGCTAGCATTCCGAGTATTCGCAAAGTTTGGCTTTGCAGAGGGAGTTGCTGGACACATTACTTTGAGAGATTCAGTGGATCCGAATTGCTTCTGGGTCAATCCATTCGGTAAGAGATAAAGCTGAGAAGGATTCCAACATGATATTAACAGTCAGCAGGACTACACTTCTCACTTGTTACAGCCGATGATTTGATCCTCGTTAATCATGCTGGCAAAGTAATCGACGGTGGCAAGAATCGCATGCTCAATTATGGTACAGGCCATTTCCCCCTGAAATTGATTAGAACTGAGCCGTTTTTAAGCTGCATTTGCAATACATTCAGAGATTCATTCCGCAAGACCAGATGTAGCATGTGCAGCTCACTCACATAGTGTTTATGGGCGAGCTTTTTGTGCTACTGGCCGTGAGCTTCAAATGCTCACCCAAGATGCGTGTGTGTTCTATAAAGACCACGCGCTATATGGGTAAGCCTTCTCAAGTTTGAAGTGACTCTGCCGCTGATATCTATTAGCACATTTGCGGGAGTAGTCCTCGCATCGGAAGAAGGGAAGCATATCGCAAAAGCTCTTGGTCATCGTAAAGCTGTTCTGCTCGGAAACCACGGTCTTCTAACAGCTGGTAAAACCATCGAGGAAGTCGTGGCGCATTTCGTGCTGCTTGAAAAGTGTTGCGAGGTGCAACTTGCAGCTGATGCTTCGGCTGCAGGAAGTGGCAAGCCCCTCGTAGAGATTGGCGAGAAGGAGGCACAGAATACCTGGGAGGCTCTAGGACATTCTGCAAGTGGATACTTCATGGGCTTGCCATTGTTTCAGACAGTAGAGGGCGAATTTGGCGAAAGAACGTTTCTCGGACGAGGTATCGAGCCTATCTGATCGCCAAGACTCGGAATAAGATGAGTATTTGGACGTTCAAATTACATGAATTTTCTATCCTTTTGTGAATCTATATCTCCTGATAGCTGAGTAGCTATGGCAGCTGACACAGCTTCGGACAATGTCTGCATGTCTTCAGCATCAATTAGCCCATTGTCTCGCTTTTCATACAAGGTTCCTCCCTCGCCCCATACCCTTCGAAGGGTGAAAATTGGTGCCATTGGGTGCTTGTTTGACCATGCATCCTTCTCCAACTTTCGTAACTCGTCGTTGCTAGTATACTTCACAGCCCATTTGCCTTCTCCGCACTGCTTCTCGAATTCGGCTAAAATCTCGTTGGGCGTTGTCCTGAATGAATTGACTTTCAAGGCTTTATTTTTCGCTTCAAGAGGATGAAATAATGCTTTGACAACAAGTTTTCCGACACTGGCACATATCAGCTGAGGAACTGATATGTAGATCCATAGGCATACTCTTGAGGTGATGTGAAGCTGATCTTCCCCGTTCCGTCCCTGACCAAGACGGCACTTTTATTCTTGACATTGAATGAACCGAGTTCTGGGAAGGCAGCACAAGGGCCGAAGAATGCAGGCTCAACGGCATCTGCGTATGGTCCAGTAACAATGTACGTGAACTCAAGTCTGGAAGTCTCCTTCAAAGCCCCCCTGACTTTCAATTTCAATTGGTGCGGAATCTCTTGTGCCGATGATGGTCCGTATTCAATGTCGGTGCCGAACTCAGATGGGAAGAATCTTTTGACTGAAGATGACTTCTCAGCAATCTCTATCCACTTTATTTGCTGCTCGATGACATTTCGCCCTACAGCGCTAGTCACTATGTCGATGCCTAAGCTTGGGTCAGTCTCGAGCCACGGCAAATACAGAATATCAGAATTAACCTTCGAATGCACTAACAATATCCTCTGCATTTCTTACATCCCCTATAATCACCTCGACTGCTTTAGCTTTGCAACAAGTCAGACTTCCTCGAAGCTGTGTTTGCAGATGTAAAGATAGCAATGCGGCCAAACTTTGCTTTTTCTTGGAGCAATCGCTTGAGTATATACTCTCCAATATACCCAGTAGCACCAAACAACAAAATATTGTCTTTTGAGTTGCCTGACATGCTGTGTTCTGATTACCCAAATGTGACTCCAACAACGAAGAAGATTTAGTAGACCTCACATGGTACTTAATGTTCTCGTGCTGAACAGTTGATGCTGTTCTCGATTGCGCCTAATTCGCATACCGTTTTTCGTATCTGCATGCGACTCTCCGCTTCGCAGAACCCCTACTTGCAAAATCCCAGCCCAATTCTGAGTTTGAACACGCGGCGAAGTTGCACTAGTTCAAGCATCGTTTCTCATAGCGGGAGCTGTGATAAAGGCAGCGAAGGTGGGGTGAGCCGCCCCGTCGCTCTTCTCCGCTGAGAGAAATATTGCCCACTCTTCAGCCCCGCCTCGGATACGGATCCAAACGCGGTGCGCGTATACTCCATGATCAGAATATCAAAGTAATCCGTCGATTCTCGAAATCAGACCACAAAGTTGATTGTCCGATTTGATGAGCTTCGGATAAGTAGACAGAAAAGTACTCTTGCTTCAGATTTGTTCCTCCACTTATCTCCTCATTCGCAGATTGTCTCGTTCGACAGCAATCACTTTCCAAAGGGCTTATCCCCCCCAGCCATCATGGGAAAAGTTGTCGCGGCTGTTGGCATGTCCCATGCCCCTGGAGCACTCGCATTTCCAGAAACATGTCCTGAAAACATCCGAACAAAGCTGGAAGATGCATCTTTAGAGCTCGGGAAGAGCTTGGCAGCGGGTGAGCCGGACGTCATCTTCGCCTTCCTCGACGATCATTACGAAAATTTCTTTATCGGAAAAAATATGCCCTCGATAGCCATTGGAGTGGCAGACTCGCACGTTGGACCTGCGGACCAGTGGATGGAGACGCTGCGCATCAAAGAGAAGACGATTTTTCCTGGAGCGCCCAAAATTGCTGAGCATGTTCTATCGTCTTTGGTCGAGAATGGCTTTGATGTCTCAAGAGCGGGGTCGACAGAGTATGGAAACAATCTACTCATGCCGTGGGTTTTGATGAAGCCTGGAATAAAATGTCCCATTATTCCTGTCTACATCAATGTCTTTACACCACCTCTTATCCCATACAAGAGGGCATATGCTCTTGGCGAAGCGATTGCCAACGCGGTTGAGACTTTACCAGATTCTACCAAAGTCGCATACTTGTGCACTGGAGGTCTTTCACATTGGCCTCCTTATTGGAACGAATTCCAAGCATCTCCAGATGACAAGTTCATGCAACGAATGAAGCGGTACCAGACAGAAGGAAAGGAATACCTCAAGACCGATCCAAGACTGTTCATCGAGTTCGATGACTACGAGGTCGAGATGGCGAAGAAGAACGAGTATCCTCTTAACAACCATCACCCACTTGTGAACGAGAAGTGGGATCGAATGTTCATGGACAAATTCTGTGCTGGTGATAGTTCGTACATGAAAGGTCTGACGTACAGAGAGGTTGAAGATGAAGCAGGTCATGGTGGTCATGAGGTGTTGAATTGGGTAGCTATGCTGGGAGCAATGAAAGGGCAGAAATCTAGACTTCTTGTTTATGAACCGGTATGTTCAAGATCGCGTTTAATGAGCCGAGCTCAAGCTGACTTCTCTTTAGGTCATTGAATGGATTTGTGGCATGACATATGTAGACTTTGATGTCACTAAGCGTTGAATATTTCCCAATTTCAAAATTATATCTTGAACGATCCTCGGCATCATTCTCAGTCTAAATTACATACTTCCAATTGCTAGAGTTTTCTAACTCCCACCATACCAGTGGCCTTTAGTCGTCGAATATTCCAGCACAACAAACCTCTGTCATTTCGCTGCAGTCGTACTTAACTTCCGTTTTATCTTTGCTCTGCTCCTTACTTTTCATTGCTTCCAAAATGGCTTGTCTCATATCATCCGCCTGTACTTCCCTTTTTTGAGCTTCAAATTCTGCGTCAGTGAACATGCTGACATGAACGTCCACGATCGAATTCGTGGCGTCCCAGCCATTCGCACGGTTTGCCTCAACCACACTATTCAGAAGCTCTCTCCTTTCCCTCTCCTTTCCCGTCATACTCCACATATCACAACTGTGTATCACCATTTTCAGCAAAACTTTCAACGTGACGTTGGCATCGTTTCCAGCGACGTGCTTCCAATTGCGCAATTTGTCAACGTTGAGCCTTTCAACCAGTTCTTCGAGACCTGGACTTGGCTGCATGCTCTCTTTCTGGAATATCTGTAGACATGCTACTCTCGTATCCACAACAGGGATTTTCAACACTTGCTCAAATCTAATTCCAGCTCTGAGTAGCATGCCGAAATCGGAACCAATGTTATGACCAATAAGTATGACGTTCCTAGCTTCGGTGATGGCTGGATCTGGTGAGCCTGTTTTAAGAACTTTGTTCAAGCCCCATGGCACCCAGCGAATATCGATACGCTGAGAGATGCCATATTTGAACTGTCTTTGGATCGTTTTGACTTCGTTTTGACGGATGATGTAGTTGTACGTCTGGATTGAGGGATTCGGATCGGTTAGCACTGAGGCCGAAAAGCTACGAGTGTCGAGTATCGAGAAACCGATTTCTCGGGCTTTCGTTCCTTCTATGTCCAGAGCAACCAGCACGGCATCGGAGAAATCTGAGGATATTGCATAGCGAGACAGTCGGATGTTGAATTCTTCTGGGCAGTAAGGAGAGAGACCGAGACAGTATTGTAGAGTGTGCAGGGACAATGTGATTTGATCTTGCTCCAGCTTATGTCGAAGCGTACAACGAAGTGCACGACGAGCTTCTTTCTTTTGTGTCGATGCCAAATCGGTAGTATTAGCCCTCCCCATGATTGCGAGTATTCCGATTGTTGCTAAAGTTTTCTCCGAGATGCTGCGAAAAATCCTTTAAAATTGTATTTCAAAGGAAAGCCAAAGCCCGAAGATACTTTTCAGGTGATACATGATGAGACGTATACATGGCAGCCAGCAAGTTTTATATATGTTAGCAATATCCATATTTGGACCGGTTGGGGAATCAGCGGGCCGTGCCGTTCGGCTCCCCCTCGACCATAAACGAACTTCGAGGCTCAGAATGCCACAGCACTCACATATCATTTTATAAGGCCGTTAAAAATCATCTCTCTACTATGTCTGTTTAACTTGATATTTCGTTTGCTCAGCTCGACTACAAAATCAAGTTGAGCAGCCGTTGTTTGGTTTACGTGACCGATCTGAATTGCTCCACTTTCAGGTTATCATCACAGACAAATTATATGGAATTGCTCGTCATCGCTAGCCTCATAAATGATGTATGAAAGTGACCATAGTATTTTACACCTTAGTTTTGCGTGATTAAAGAAGAGGGTTTCGCATCCCGATTGCTCAAAACTAAAGGTCACGTGCTGTTGGTGCAGAAAAAAAGAAATGTAAGGAAAAAGAAGAAAAAGAAGATTGTACTGCAATAGCGATCTCTTCGTCGTGTCCTCTCTACTATTCTAGTTTCGGGCATACCAAGAAAAATTCCTCCCAACCACTATCACTTCCTAAGTTTGTCTCCCCACTACCTTTCAATTGCTAATCTAATCCCCGAAGCCTCGTGTGTGCCTTTACAGGTAGATCTCCTTGATTGAAAGCCGATGTCGATACCTAGGTCTCACAACTGACATCCATCCAAACCCCGCCAGCATAAGTTCATTTCCTTCTTCGTGGGCAAAGCGCCTTGACGATGGTAGTGTTGCTCCAAGATCAGCTGCCCGTACCAAACCGCGAATATCGGCCCACATGTAAATATCGCTTCAAATGGGGGAGGGAATAATTCCAGTGTTCCAAAGCCTTCTACGACCATGAAAAAGTGTCTGGATGGTCCCATAGTTCGAAGACTTCGTCGTACCATTTGTCACCTTTTCCAATTGGACAAGGCAGCATATCAATGGTCGTGTTGGTAGCTTGTTCCATGAATCGCATTTCATCTTAAAGGTTCATACGGAGGCAAAAGTCGTGTTCAGTCCTCAGAAGCTCTTGACCATACACATCTTGGTTGAGAAAATGGTAAGTTCTGCCGCGTCTCAAAACTCCTTGATATCGAGGACCAAGGAAGCTTGCCACCACTCTCACCAGAGCCTCTAGTGTGACTCTACTCTAGCGAACCGCTGGCGCTAAAGTCCTTTTCGTCCGAATCTTCTATTCTCTAGAGGCGTTTGGTTCATGTAGCAAAATAAACCCAGTCCAAGAAATGTACATACATTTGCTCGTGAATGGAATGTACATACAACTACTTATAGTCGATCTAAATTATGTTCGAGATTGCAAGCACAAATCGAAAAAGATAATATCCTTTGCTATCGATTAGCCAAAAAGCAACACAAACAACATGTGCTTTCAGCAATCCAACATAAGGAGAATCTCTTCGGAAACTAAAACCCTTTAAGAATAGGGTTATTGAATTTGATGTTAACGATGTTTGCTCCAGGAAAACGAGAAGGTGGCATTCATCAGGTGACTGCAGAAGCCGTCAACTCCAGCGGAACCTTAAAAAGACTGAGGAATAGCATAGTTATGACAAGATAAGGGTAAGTTTCCAAAGCTCGGACGAAAGCGCTGTGACTTAAATCGAGACGAATGATTCGGCACGACGTCTGATATCCCAGGTGATGGAGCTTGACTACCTGCTGGCGAGGCATTAGGAAAATGAAAGCCGCGTTGCAAAGTGCAGCTTTTCGAATGTGACCTAGTGCGCTTGATATCAAACCTCGAATAGCTCTGGTCACTTTTCCCTCAAATTTCACATGCTCCGATCCTGAACTCCTTACACATCCTTTCAGCCCTCGCTTGCAGCATCGCGGGGTTAATCGCGCAACCAATCAGTGAATCTCGATGCCTCACTTCCATCTGGAGTTTACCCAATAGTGCAGGAATCGTCCTCGTGGCTTGCATGCTGTGTAACAGACAAAAATAGCGGAAGGGGGATTGGTAGTTGATCTTCGAAGAGGTTGTGTTATGCATAAATGTTAGCCACAGAAGAGCTTGGTCAACGAGATTGGCTGCGACATCAGTCCAGTTGGCTAATAACCTAACAGAGAACTAGAAAAAGCATATTCCTATGCGGAGTCGATTTGAACCGAGCTTACCAAGTCTAGTAGAACGAAAGATATATTTCCTCCATCATATCTTGGGGTAGCATTCGGCACAGCACCCAAACTCTTGTCATCGCGAAAGCTTTTCATCTCATTGCCAGTCTCAAATAATTGGACCCAATATGAAGGGTATTGTTGTCGAGAAAGTAGGCGGACCGTTCACACTTGTGGACACTCTCGATAAGCCAAAGCCAAGCTCAACGCAAGTTCTGGTCAAGTCTCTCGTGACCGCTATCAATCCAGTGTGAGGGACCCTTCTAATCGTGAAGAAAGATATTGACTCCGGTACGCAGAGAAGGCTACATGCAGGGTACAGGGTTACTTGTAACTGCCTGGCCGATTGTGCTTGGATGTGATGCCTCGGGAGTTGTAGTAGAAGTTGGAGACGATGTGAAAAAGTTCAAAGAAGGTGATCATGTCTTCGGCTGCACCAGACTTGGGGTACCTGGCCACTCGACATTTCAAGAATATGTAAGAGCACCGCGGAAAGTTATGCTACAAATATGATTGACTATGAATGAACAGTTCCTCATGGATGAGCTTCTTACCTTCCAAAAAGCAGCCAGCATCACAGTAGAAGCAGCAGCCACAGTAGGAGTGGGACTTTTGACGGCATGTCTGGCTTTGGTCGTTGGAACTAAGATTGATCTTGAGCAAGGTAGTGCTGCAGATCCCAATGAGTGGATTATCGTCCTAGGTGGTGCAGGGAGCGTAGGACAATATGCAGTTCAGGATAGCGGAAACTCGTGCTCATTTTATGAAATGGTGCTGACGGCTTCCCAGGCTGCAAAACTTTGCGGATACAAGGTCCTTGCTTCATGTTCGCCTTCTAGTGATGAGGTAACAGCCCCAAATGAGCGAGACAACTGTGCACTAATTCCAGATGAAGTTCGTGAAAAATCTTGGAGCTGATGCGACATTCAGCTACAAGCTGCCGCTGAAAGATCAGCTCGCAGAGGTCGAGAGCTTTACCAAAGGCAATTACCTTCGATGCTTTGATGCAAGTGCAATGGCAACCGAGACCGGTATGGAAGCACTTGCTCAAGGCGGAGATACTCATGCGGAGGTCAAGTACTTTGCCACCACGAACGGTTGGTCAGTCTCTCACTCGACTGAAAGCACAACAGAAGGCTAAAAGAGTACGTCAGGAGCACGATAGAGCCGAAGAATGGTATAGAAGTGTGCGCGGTTGACTTGGGGATGATCGGTCGATCCGGCAGTGATAAAAGCCAAGTTGACCGAGACATCGAGGGATTCATTCCCAAGCTAGAAAAGTATCTCTGTGAACGACTTCTGAAACCTATGGGATATGAGATTGTTGGCGATGTCGGAGTTGCAGAAGTTCTGAAGGGCCTCGATGCTTTCAACGCGCGGAAAGGAGGAGAAAAAAAGGTGCTAGTGAGGCTCGCTGCAGAGTAATCCACTGATTGTTAGGCTATCAGTCACGAACCGGATACTTTCTCAATCAGCACGCTCCAGGTACTCGGGGGTAATTTCATAATCACAGCATAGGAAGGAAATATTTCCCTTCACAGGTCCTTATTCGTCCAAACTGCCATCCGTGAAATAATCAAAGTCCGTAGGTAAAGGCGCGTCGCGATCTGACTTTGGGTCATCATCCACAATCAGAAGAGGGCTCTGCTTCTCTGGTGCTGGGCCAATGCTTGGAGTGACTGGTGCCACGATCGGGAATCCATTCCGGACATTCTTGGTCATAAAAGTTGCCCATTCCCACGGTCTTGCTCGATCGCCAGGCAGGGAGTTGAAGTACTCCCAACCCATCACCCCGCCGAATCCAGAATATCGAGCCTTCAAAGTGATCAAGACTTCTTGCAAGATCTCAAACGGAACCCAGCCGCTACCATTTCCAGGATTTGTAACCATTCCAATGACGATCTTGTCTGCTGGATATCCTCTGGCGACCATGAAGTCGTATCCATCGGTCTTGCTCAAATCTCCCCATCCGCAGTAGAATTGTGTGTTATACCAAGCAATCTGCTTTCCACGCATGACCTCCAGAGCTTCGTAGCTGAATCCGCTCAGATTGTGCTCCGGTCTGTCGGACATCAACGCAGCAGCAACTGGCGCCAATGTAATTATAAATCCTTCTCCGAAGTCACTCTTCAATCTGTCTATCAGTCGTATTATACCGGCCAGGGTCATCGGCTCTTCCACATCGAGATCTAAGCCATCCAGACCTCGTTCCCTTATGAGGTTCCGCAGAGGTACATAGTATGCTTCGAAGGTAGCTTCGTCGAGATCGAGTCGTGTAAAAGAACCTTTGCCAGCGCCGCCCAACATTCCTAACACTTTTATTCCAGAGGCTTGGAGTATCCGCAGCTCGGCCCAAAGAGTGGCATATCGAGGGTCGGAAGGCACATGGTCATTCTGCACTCAATCAGCCCTCCATGAGCAGATCTCTTGTCAATGCCATCTTACCAGATTGATGTGTCCTGGTGGGTCGTTCAGATGTATAGCGGCGACATTGACGTGTGTGACGCGGATATCAGGTTGAGTAATGATTGGAAGGATGGAGCAAGAAGTGCCGTCTGGATTGTGCTGCGTCTGGTAGTATATTACTATTCGTGGAGTACGAGGTTGCGGTATTGGTGCCATCCTTTGTTGTTGACACTCGAGAAGAAAGGCGGCGGCGAAGCCAGTAAACGTCTTTGGCTGGGGTAATTCGAATGTGAAGCAGTCGAGGATTCGTTTAATCGTGTACCGGTGAAGATTAGAATTTGCGAGACAAGAATTGAGTTCTGTCGCGTCCATAAGATTGAGAGACGGAGGTGGAGACGGAGCTGGAAATTTCGGAGATAGTAGCACGTGACCGAAGGTAAAAAAAACTTCGTGTTTCTCAATTTTGCAACACGACGAACGCATTTAGTTTAGATGCAAGCTTGGTATGAGTCTTACGAGTCCGGACTGACAACTAACTTTATAAGTCTCTGTTGGTATCACAGGGTACTCGAGTGTAGATATCTTTCTTAGAGCTCGCTACCTACCCGAAGATTAGCGCGCACGGGACCGCACGTGATAAGCACGTGATGCATGTCCCGACAGTCTCAAATAAAACGTTGGCATTAGTATCTTTCCTGCTCTGATGCCTTGTCCTTCCTCTCTCTATTCAATTCTACTGTCAAGACTAGGATGAGTTTTCTGAACGAGCGCAATCAAGTTGTAACATAGCATTCTAACCTAGTGGATAGCAAGAATCGAACTACTGGGTTCACATGATTACTTTCAACCAGTTCTGTAATGTTCTTGCTCATCTCGACGTCCATTTGTTCAACTCCTCTGTCCAGATCATATCCCTCATGCTAAGACGTCGTAATCTGCATGCCTCCTGGAAGCTGAGGGAGCCCTTCAAATCGTTAGCCAATGCTAATTTTCATCGATACTCTACTTACAAGAGTCTATCTCTTCCGTGATGTATTGGTTCTTGGTACATTTGTTTTCTTGCGCAATCGTCTGAGTCTTCAATGTTGGACAGTTGATGTTACAGTTTGCATCCATCGCCCTTTGCAGAGCATCTCCTTTCCAACCAAAGACGTAATCACCATGGGTGCCATATCCGGTGCTAATTTCAATCAGCATCAACTTGTCAAGCTTAGGGGTTTCCTACGGATCGCCTTGACTCCAAACAAAAGCCTGTTGAGTCGTGTCTTCAGGCCACAGAGACTTGTCGTTGAATTTGGTCGTATCCCAGACGACCTCGTAGAACAGCTGGGGAATTTGAACAGGATGTGTGGCTGGACATGGACCATTGTTCTCAAAGGTGCCACTGCTGGGATAGGCGACATGGCTCATATGGTCTTCGCTGTCGAGGTTTACCCCATCCCAACATCTAGAAAAGGTTAGGTACTGCGTTGTAATATCAGGCAGGTACTAACGTGGGGAAACGTAGATTCGCCATAATTCCTGCTGGGCACGGCTTAGTTGGGAAGGCTGTTGTTTCACCAGTTCGAGTATTGGCATTTTGGAGACAAGTGTAGGTAAGCTGGCGAAATTGAGAGACCTGAGAAGCATTTCGAGCCATGGAATTTCCGATCAGCATACGGAAGCCCTACTCTCGAGGTTAGCTTGTCCTATCACACTTTGGACAACATACTTGTTTGAATGCCGTCACCTTTCCTTTCGACTGAGGTGAGTAGTACACGGTCATGCCACCACCGTTTGCTGTCTCGAAATCAACGCCCCCTTCTGCGGTACTCTCTTGAATGTTCCATTGCGAGCACGAAAGTACATCACAGCTGTCCAATAATTCGACAGGTCCTCGCTGAATGTGCAAGTCGTGCATGTTGCGATTGTCGAGATGTTGTTACTAGGGTCCATCGTAACATTGAAAGCATTCTGGGAATTTTCAGAATTTGTTGGGTCAAGATGTAGTAAGGTAGATACCTACTCCTCCAATTACTTGGTGCAAATGCGGAGATTCAGTGACACCGGGGTTCACCAGACTAGGAATCAACTCAGCACATGCATCTGCCACCGTTTCTATACTCACGGATCCAGACGCTCAGTCACTAGTTCGGAGCAAGAAAAACGAAGCAACCCATTTGCACCGGCTACGAAGACCGCTAAGACGAGGGAATTCCACTGCATCGTGGTTTATTGATCGCAACGAGCAACGACAAATCTATGCCTATACAAATCTGAGGTAGCAGCGTGTTGTTCTTATCATAGAATTCGAACGTATGGGCTTCGTATAATGACTAGTCTATGGATAATTATCACGGTTCACGGAAACATTGTCGCGAAGCGCCACCGAGAAATCTCAATTCGTCCAACGTTATATTAATCTTCTCAAGTGCCGGCACTTCAATTTTTCGTGCACCTGTCACACAATATATAATCCTTGGAAGAATACGCTCATTTGATTTCAGATGTGGGTCACATGCAGATAGCTTATAGAGCCTCGGAATGGGAGGCCGAACGTGGCGATGTACGCAGCGCGATGAGGTGAAAACATGTGGGGCATTTTTGATATCTTTGAGTAACTCGCGACTGCACTCTTGAACTATGAGTAGATGCCCTATTTGAACTTTACAGTTGCCATTTGAATGACACAATCGAGATCCCACAGATTCGCACCTTACCATTCTCATCTCAACTACGAGGCACCAAATTTCTAGCGCCGAAAAGATCTTTCTTATCTGAAAATGAATAAGACCATTGCCATATATGCATTCCATTGTTGTTTCATCGAAATCGAACCAACGTTATCATGTTTTGCCTCTGTTATATTAACGCAGACAAATAGATTGGATGCAAGATACCAAATCAAAACGCGGGGAGCTCATGGCACCCTTGCTGGTGAAGTAATTATCCTGAAATTCAGAACATTTTCAGACAAGCAACCCGCCCTAACAACAGTAGTGAGAACCTCCTTTCCCCGGTCCAGGATATGGTAAATCAATTCGCTCACTTCCGGATTTCTCGACTTGGGCATTCAGAAGTGGGGCCACATTTTCCCCCTTTTTAAGCGAGAGACAGGTTCGCCTCTCATCCACGATTTCAGCTGCTACGAGCAAATTAGAAGACAGGATTAGCTTTTGACTTACATGCATGTCACCAATCGGGTTTAAGAGGCATCACTTGTACGTCACAGTACTCATTCGGCACCGTCTGGCGCATACCGATAAGACTAAGTCACCAGATGCTCCTCTCAAACTTGGATGACCTACTAGAGACTTCACGCAGCGAGAACTCTAAGTCTCAATTGAAGCCCTAAGTACGTTCACCAAGTAGTGACGATTTGCGCTATAGCCACGGTAGGAGATCAGTAAGTCGGGGCTAAGAAACAAGGTCGCGGGCTTACCACAAACGATTTACACCGACCTGTTCCCAAACCGCCACATGCTGACTCGCTATTGAACTCTACAAGTCTCCTTTGAATCATAACATGTTCTCCACTCTCGCGGTGACTACAACCATATACATCTCCGTTAGTACCTGCATAGAATGTCACGTTACTTCGGCAATACCTAGCCAATGGCATGTTGTTCCGACCGCACGCATCAACGATATCTCTAACATTAAGCATCATCAACGCGCTTGCTCATCGGATTTGCACATTGAAGCGCGATGCGAAAACTACTTAACCATGACAATCTCTCTCCTCAGGATGCCAGTCATCCTCGGCCTCAATATCATGTTGCTCACCGCATTAATATCACGATGGCTGGTGGCAAGTCCTTTCTTCTCGATACGCGCGACCGAATCTCAACCAAAGCTTCGTCTTGATGCAAACAACGAGTTCCACATCGCCATCTTCTCGGACTTGCATTATGGCGAAGAGGAAGATGGATGGGGAATCACTCAAGATGTCAATTCAACGCGCGTAATGAACAATATCCTCAATTCGGAGAAGCCAGACTTTGTAGTTCTCAGTACAACCCCTGTTTCATGAGCATATCACATGATTAACAATCCTTAGATGGAGATCTCATCACCGGAGAGAACACGTTCTTGACGAATTCAACCAAGTATCTCGGCGTCGTGGTTACTCCTCTCGTTGAGCACAATGTGTCATGGGCGAGTACGTACGGAAATCATGACTCGCAATACAATCTTTCTCGCGAAGCTCTCTACCAAGAAGAAGCTAGATACGCTCTATCATATACCCAGCACTCGCCTGATGGCGTTCCTGCTATCACCAATTACTATCTTTTACTGTTTCCCCAGAACACCGATACGCCACTTGCTGTCCTCTGGTTCTTTGATTCCCAAGGAGGAGCGCCCTTTCAAACCACTGCTGACTCTGAATCAATTCCTAACTGGGTCGAGCCTTCGATCGCAACATGGTTCACCTCAGAGCAGGCGGTTTTAAAAACTAGATACAAGAAAGACTTGCCATCGCTAGCGTTTGTGCACATCCCACCTACAGCGTTCATCACCGTTCAAAACAACCTCCTACCAAATTCTGGAGAAGAGTCTGCACATTTTCCAGGTTTGAATGACGATGTGCCCCTCGCATACGAAGGAACCGGGTGGCAAGATGTTCCATTCATGCAAGCACTCGTTGACACTCCCGGATTGCATTCCGTGTATAGTGGGCACGACCATGGTGATGCTTGGTGCGCGAATTGGCCAACGGGAGCCAATGACACGAAAGGAGTCAGCTCACCTCATGTGTGTTTCTGCAAACATACTAGCTATGGTGGATATGGGAACTGGAATAGAGGGAGTAGGAATCTGCGACTGTCGTTCACAGAGGATGGCAGCATGGCGGTCGACACATGGGTGAGGATGGAGAATGGAGAAATAGTTCAGAGTGTAAGTTTGAATTCTACCTATGGGACAGATGTATATCCCTTAGAAGACGGGGAGAACTATTCCGTCTGAGACATCATTAATCAAAATAACTGATCGGTCAGAATCAACATCCATCAAGTCTCGTGTTTGTTGTCCACCTGTCATAGCCTTAAGTTCCAGTCCAATGAAACAAATCGCAATCTCAATAATACATGACAGCGCCGTGCGACCCCTTCACGGGAACAACTGGAATATTTTTCTCATACGTTTTGGATTCCAGTTCAGGTGTCATTGTGAGAGTCCACTTTGCCCAGATCTCTTCTTTGAATTGTACAATCCCAAGCGAAAGCTGATGTCTCCCTTGATAGAGAACAAATCGACTTTGATGCTCATGCCCTTCTCAAGAGAGCCTTGGAATTGACCCAGGTACAAGCCAAGTAAGGTGATATTGACCTGCATGGCATCGACCTTCATGGCATCGGTCTTGGGCCTGTAATTTCCCATGAACGCCAGCGGACCCTTTTCAGAATATGAGAAATGAGTGTCGTTCCTGAATAGATCATCGTTGATGGAAGCAAGTCTAAGTGGCACTTGGGTTACGCAGTAATCGTACTCTTTGTCCTCTTCCTCTCCTTTGCGTTTTCGGATCATCGCTCCTGATAGGGATATCAGATTCTAAGCCCAGTTTGCGGAAGGAGATTTACATACCTGAGACGAGTTCCTCCTCTGATTTCTTTCCCTCCCGTGTCTCTTCCGACATTCTTTCGAGTCAGATGCTTTCGCACAACAGAAATTGGTGTTTGTTGGGAAGAAAAAGTTGAGAGTCAAAAAAAGGAAAAGGTGCAAATGATTCCTGTTATATATAATCATGGAATATAGAAAGTTTGTCATGTCTAACGGGCGCTTTCATGCCTCCAATCATGTTAGAAAAAGAAGTCTTTATGGTCAACAAAGGAGGAAGGTGGTGCACGGAGAGGAGAAGTACATTCCCTTTTACAAAGTTCATGTTTGAAAGGCTGCAGTAGCCTTTCGCGGTTATTCAACCACTTTGATTCAAAGACAGCTTGGAAACTTGCATATGAAACATAAAAGAGCTCAATGCAGAAGTGAATAGGTTTATCCTCTTCGCATAATACGTCCTCGACTGAAGCTGGGCAGTCTGGCTTGAAGCTTCGAGACAACTGGAGAGTAAGCGAACCCCTGAGCTTAGCGAGCTTGGCCTAGTCAGATCCTACATATTCTGCTAATTTTCACAATAAAAGCTACTAAAACTTTGTTGACGGTAGACCAAAGAAAGCTATATCTACCATAACAGGCAAGCAGTAGCTTTTTCAAGCATTGAGCAACCAATATCCGAACGATCTCGAAAACACGTGATACTTCCCATCTATCCATCTGAACCTTCCCAATTTCTCTGTCCAATCATCTCTACGGTATCCTTGCTATCTCTTTACATTTAAATCCCAATAAAAAGATCCAGATTCGTAGCTATACAAGTGACAGCCCATTCTCATCAACAGCCTCGAAAGTGACCAGCTTAGCACAGCTACCGGGTCTCGTCCCATCAAATAGAACTACACTGCTCCAATCAACCCAAACTTCTTTTCCATTCTTCACAGAAAGCTTTAATTCCCCTCTGGTAATAGAGAGCTGCACCGCAATGGTCCATCCATTTCCGACATTGCCGTTGAATAGTCCCAGATAGGTACCGAGAAGATAGATATGGAAGTCGAGGGTTGGCGCATTCCAGAATGTAGAGCCTGAAATGGTCAAAGGTCCAGAGACATATCTGAAGGGGATGGTTCCTTGGAAAGGATCTTTGTTGAGAGTTGCGGGCTGGAGTGGGCATTGAATGACTTTGGTCACGTGCGTTTCCCGTTGGTGGTCTGGAACTTCAATGCACCGAACGATCAAAGCTCAGCTTTGGTCAGTGAGGCTCTCTGAAAGAAACAAGTGGGCAGTATACCTGAGTAGACTTCCGGCATAGTCGTGATGATTTGTGGAGAGCAGTTGTTGTCAAAGCTTTGAAGATGGTGCTGTGGCAAAGGCAGCCGGGAAGAATTTTGACCCTGACCAGATCTGTTTGCAACATCTTAAACGCAGTGCAGGAATGAGATACCTTGCATATATAGCTGCCGGCGGAGGCGGAGGCAGTCAATCGTTCTGCACATGAAGTCAGACGCATTGCTGCTGCTACCCGAGACAAACCACCCCCTACTTCTGCTTTTGCCAAGGATCTCCTATTTCGCCGTATGAAGAAATTACTCGCTCTAGCCAAATTGGTTGCTCCCATACAAGCGAGTTCCTTCACAACGAATCCTGTGCCTTAGATTAGTACAACTATTATACACGACCCATGAGAATGAGAATGGAGGCTTTCAAGTAAGATGGGGCTCCCACGTGCTTAGACCTTTAAATATTGATATTATGTCACGAGTGAGGCGAGTGGATTGTGAGTGTGGTGATCCATGCATATGTTATTTTCTATGCACAAAGTACAAACGAAGCACTCGCATGTTGAGATGCTGTAGCATTGACCCCCATTCGCTGCAAATCAATTTTGGTAATGTTTCCAAATGACTTTTCCCCCTGCAAAGAAACCTTCACCGCAACTCCCTCAATCTTGTCCAGTCCTTTCCACCTCTACAGCAACTTCGTCGGGTATGGTACTGGCAGGCTGAATTCCATCGTCAGCTGCAGCTTGACCCTCAATAACAGTGTCCAATGACGGCTCAAATTCCACGAAAGAGAGCTTCTTCAGGACTCTAGGCGGAATACTGAGGTTAATCGGCATATTTCTGGTGTATTGTTGATACATCTCCAGGAGATTCTTGCTACTACCATTGACTCGGTATATCTTATCTACGTTCTTGAAATCTGACAAATTTCCCTCCCATTGCGAATCCATGGCCTTCCTACTATTTACTAGCATTGCCTCCTCCGCGCATTCGAAAGTAAGCCAGAAAAACCATAGATTGGCTCCAAGAAAGTCCTCGTCATCATCGAATTGACAGACAAATCTCTTCAAGATTTTGCGCCAAGGAAACACAAAGCTGAAGGTGAGACCACAACTGACAGGACCTCCCATGTTCGAAATTCTGTTGCATGTTCTGCCCTTACAGGCATCACAAGACAAATATGCCCAGTCTCGTGAACAATCAAAGTAGATGTAAGCAGGTTGAGATGGGAGCTTCTCAAAAGGAAGCGTGTACCACTCGAGAGCTACATGTCGAGATTCAAAGTTGACGTGAAGAAGGCTAGGGACCTTTGCACTGCATCGCGGAGTACCGAATGTATACCCATCATGTTCGAAGGTGTCTCTGTCGATCTTGATCACTCGAGGCTCGGGCCGAGCCTCCTCCCAAATCTTGAGGCGGATTTCGGAAGGTAAGTCCGGGAAGAGGTGGAACACGCGACCTTGATCCTTATTGGAAGAGGTCACCATGGTTGAAATCGAAGAGATTGAAGATGCTGGAATTGTAGAAGGCTCAGGAACTTGGAGATTATGGAGATCGTCTGTCAATAAATCGACACTGAGGTCGGAAGCGCAACTGTAATTTCTTAGCAAAGCGCAGGATGTATGCACCAAGGGGGTTTACATCATTGCTGTATTGGAAGCATTGTCAAGACTTGCGCTAGGTGCTGCGCTATCTTGCGACTTGACAGACATTTCCAAGAGCTCACGACGTTGAGATTTTGTTCGTAGAACTATTTGCCCTTGTATTGATGAACGAGTAGGGTTGGTTGAGAATCTTGGGGTTGCGATGATGTAAATTAGCTTAATGTGGGGTGGTCGATGTGGACATGGAAGACTTGTTGCTGGAGAAGCGCAAGTGCATATACACTTAAAAATCAGAGCTTAGTGCGCTTTCCAAAAAAGAAATTCTATAAATAACATTATTAAATTTTTAAAAAATATAAAGAAATATTATAATGAAACAAATTTAAAATTAAAAAAAGTCTTTAAAGGTATGGTTGAGGAGGGAGAGAGGAGATAGATCGATTGTGTGGAGACGGTTGTTTGGTTTGAAGATGGAGGTGCGGAGCTTTGCGAAGCTATTAAACCTAAATTCCACGACGGGGATGGCGAGGTTGATGAGTTTGTCTCTGGAGGACGAGTTGGCGGGTTTGGAGGTGATAAGGACAATTTCAATGTAACGGGAGGTCAAGATGAGAGTGCAGAAAGATTAGATATCGTATCTGAATTAAACATGGGTTTTGGAGAGGGAAAACCTCAGATTCATGTCACGGGTGATGGACAGGATGAGAAGGAGAAAGAAAGGGAGAAGGGGAGAGGGGAGAGGAGGAGTGGGAGTAATCCGGGGAAGGTTTTGAAGGTGGAGAATATGATTTAGGGGTTTTTTGATGTGGATTTAGGGGAGTTGTGCGAGCCCGGAGGGGGGTTGGACGAGCATTAAGAAGGCGGAGTAGGGGCGCTCCAGAGAAAGATGGGATGGAGGTAGATACAGCACACCACATCACACCACATCACATCACATGAAAGGAAAGGACAGAACATAACATATCTTCGAGGACTTGCCAGGGACTGGCTTTGGCGAGTCGGGATGGGTTAGGTGGGTGCATATATGGGCATGCATCGGATGGGTCATGGACAGGTATGGATGGGGCGTTTAAGTTTCTTGATAGATCCCTTTTTTTTCTTTTTTTTTTGAGGGGGAAGGGGAAGGGGGTTGGTTTCGTGTAGATATTTATGTGATTGTGTGTTTAGGTAGATATGCATGATTGTTATCTATGAATGGACTCGGATGAATGCTGAGAGTTTTGTTTCTGTTCTTGGGTTTTACGGGGGTTTTTGTGAGGGTTGTGGGGTTATGGAGTATGGAATGGTCTCGTGGTATAAGCCTCAGTTCAAGACGACTATCATACAAAGTACCTAAGTACCGATTACACCAACATGCAAGCCTTCGGCAATAATCAGGCTCCACCATCACAACACCTCCCGACAAACACAAAAATTAAATCACTTTCACCAACACCAAAAAATGTCAACCCCATCTCCAACCCCTCCAAACCTAAATCCGAACAAAAAAGAATATTTCATCCCGGCACAAGGAATAGACCGAGCAGTCACAGTAGATATCTCCCGTTGCCTAGGTGAAAACGCAATGGTTCGTCCGGGGATGTATAAGGTACCACTCCTCTCCCCTCCCTCATCGAGACAGCCTGAGCTTTTTATTAATAAATTACAACTTGAATAGGATCCAGAAACCCAAAAATCCCGTCCAGGATATTTTATTATTTCATTTGATCCTCGTAGGAGTATTACTGATGTACGCTCGCCTCTTTCCCTCTTTCTCTCCCCACATCAACTTTCCTCCCCCCTCTCCTCTCCCCCCCCTCTCCTTTTCTCTTACATGTATGCTTGTTATTGATTATTAATTGCCAGTGCGGAAATAGGAAATGATACAAAATCTAAAAGCGGATTCCATTACATGGGAACAACAACGAAGAGAACGATTCCTAGCTGCGCAGAGGAATGGACATGATGTGGAGGGTGTGTGGAATCCGACGTTGATGAATGCTATAGAGAGTATGAAGGAGAGGTGGATGAAGTATGAGGGGAAGTGATGTGATGGGGTGGGGATTGGGGATTGGGGTTTTTGGTAGTGGATTAGTGGCATAGGGATCAGTTCTAGATTGGAATCTCAGAGTACAGCACGTGATATTGGGAGGTGAAATTGGTATGAATTTTGGATTTTAGAATGATATAGCCTAAGGAGAGGTTTTAAAAGTTTTTTTCTCTCCGGCTAAAATAATAAAGGGAGAATATTGTGGAAATAAAAGAGAACAATTTAGAGATGTCCAAGGTGTCGTCACGTGTAAAACACGTGCTCAGTATTTTCAACTAAAAATAAAGATCGAAAAACTCGTATTTATTTCTTTTATTTGTTCGTTCAAAGAATAATACTGCTTGAGAAAGCTTCAATGCTTTTGTTGGAGGCCATTAACTTTTTGATTCCCGATATTGTGATAATTAGTGGCCTCCGTCCTTTATTTTGGAGGCCACCAATATTGTTTCGCAGTTTTGGAAATCTGGATGGCCTCCATAGCCAGAGGAACATGGAGTAAATATTGATATAATGACTTCAAAGGACGGTTCTGAAGAATGAGCTTGTCATAAATCCAACAGAACAGTGTTTTCTATTCTCTCTTTGACAATCATTCAACAGTCATGTCTCCACGACACTCTCACAAATCCCGAAGGTACAGATTTTTCTTCTTAATGAATCCATTCCCGTCGGTATCCGAGAGCTAATCTTTCTGACAGCAATCCAATGGACAACAGATCCCCAGCAGCAAGTTCAAAATTGGATACGAAACAATCTCCTTCAGCAACACCCACTCGAGTTGAGACTTCAACGTCAAACTCTCGCACTGAATCAGCTTACGGAGAGAACTCTCATGCTTGGACGACCTCTTCGAACAACTCAAAGCCAGTCCACACAGCATCTCTTCGCCTTCATTCAATCGAACATCCCTATCCTCAGCACGAAAACGTTCCTCAATATGCCGAGCAAGTCATCTTCGGTGTATCTAGCCTTGGCATCTATATTCCACCATACTTGGAGCGAACTTTGGTAGATCAACATGGAACTGAGTATCTGTACTCGAGAATTGAAGAGAATGTCGAGCTTCAGTACTGGAATTTCAGTTTGTCAGGAGAACAAGCTCATTGGGAAGAAAGGGACGATGGGTTGTCTGGAGACTTGGTGGGAATTGGGGCGCAGTTTGATAGTCAGACTTCAAGTGCCTATGTGAGTTCTTCGAGGCCATAGGCTCCGAATTGAGATATTTGGTTTCAATATCATGGAGAGGGTGCAGTAGATGGGGATGTAGAAGGGAACAATTGGTCGGGGCAGAATGAAAATTCTGGCCTTGGGGTTTTTGGAGAATCAAACGACAAGCTTGGTTAGCATTAAAAATAACAATAAATCCACTTTCGTGCAATGGCAGACAGGAACTTTTGCTTCGCAGCGTTTCGTACTCAAATTTTCTCAAGGTACCTAGATACTCAAGACCTAAAATGGAATCCACCGTATTCATTCGGTCGCTAAGCACCATCGCTTGATGCCCCCAGATGACGACTTGTTTTTGCGTCTGGTGAAGGGAAACATTAGTCTTTGTCTCAAGAATTCTACTGTTGGAAAGAATTGAAGGAATGGTGACGGAGAAGAGATTTGTACTCCACAAGAGAAAAAAGTGACCGTTTTTGACATGCGGGAACACCAAAATCCAATGCACTGAAATATTTATTTCTCGACACTCAATCAACACTTTAAATGATAACTTGTCTTCGGGAATTCTAGGCAAATACCTGAAAGACCTTCAAGAATTTTTCTGTTTAAAATTCCTCAAATCTTTGTTGGGATTTCTTTACATTAGCTAGGAATTGCGCACTTAGTCGAAACGGCCACTTTTTTCTCCTGTGGAGGGAGAAGCCGGGTTAGTGTGAAAATAATCTTATTATGTAAGCTCGCTTATGCCCAACTTGTGGAATTTCCACAGCCTGTAGAAAAGCTGTTTTAGTCCACAGGCTGTGGACAGCCTTGAAATTCAGCAGGTCACACCGCTAAGGTACTCATCACTGTCTCAGTTGGTGGCCTCCGCCACCCACTACCTCAATTGCTCACCGAGATAGCCTCAAACCAGTACCAATTCCAACTTGCGGGATCATTCACCAATTGCACTGTTTGAAGAGAAATGGCTCGGTCTCTGTCGCCTCATTCCTGCATGCACACCTCAGGCGTGGCGGAGGCCACCCAACTTGGAGGCCACCAGCATTTCGGGATCCAGTCCAGTTGTTGGAGGCCACCCACGTTCAGCCTTGTTTTCGAGCTGAATATATGTGGTCTGGCTTCCGCCTTCTTTTGTCCTCATCAATCAATTTCGAATTCGCCACAAGTACATCGACAAACCGATTGAAGCTTCAGATTTGCAACCTCCACCGCCCCGCAGGCTCACATTGTGTGCCAGCGGGGATAAGTTTACAACAGACTTATCCCACCACAAAGGTCCCTTCCAGATCCTCAGCTGTTCCTCCTAATCATCCGACGATTCTCGCGCGGAGACAACTTGTCTTCGCGCATCTGCAATCTCGGGCGAGTTCAATGACCATAGTTTAGAAAACTTTCTACAACACGATCTCACTTCTCATGCTTGCTCTGCAGACTTAGAAGCCACAAACAACGACTTTCACGTCACATTTTCAGCATCGTGGTACGAGGATTTAGAGACGCTCTTTCCTCTACCAATCGGTTACGAATACGAAAACATTAGTTACCTTGATAGTACCACCATCCTGGGTGGACTTTCAACCATTCCTTCCTTGGCAACCCCCTCTCAACTCTTCCACAACCTTGATCTCCCCCAATCTGTCCCATCAAACTCTCTGAAATCGCAGTGTCCCAATTCTCAACCAAGAACTTCGCTTCAGCTACCAGACCTCCCACCACCACATTTCGGCTATTCTTCTCAAGAGCCCGGTCTTCTACCAAATACCCCTGTGCAGGCATCCTCTTTCGAGCTGCATAGTTCCGATTCCGGTGGTTATCACAAAGTCGAAGATTCCCAGAGCCTGAAGCATCATGAGTTCATTCATGAGGATCTAGTTTCCACGAAAGACACGATCACTATACAGCAACGCAGTATTCCAAATCTCCCTCAAGACCAACAACCGCAACAGGAAGTCAGCACCACAGAATTTTCAACTTCTCAATCATCTGGGGATTCTCTTGTGCTGTCACCCGACTCTAGCTCATCGTCTCAAACTCCGCCCCAGCAGGTCCCAAGACGTGGCCGACGCAAACACGATCGACAATTGATTTGTACCACCTGCTCTAAAGTATTTCCACGCCGTTGCGACTTGAAGTAAGTCCAATCCACTATGAACTTCAGGATCGTCACTAACATGGCTTTAAGTAAACACTACAAGACTCACGATCGCCCTTTCAAGTGCGACATCGCTGGTTGTACCCGTACGAAGGGATTTACGCTGCAAAAAGATCTCCGTCGCCATATCGATACTATCCACCGCAAGAGTACTTTCACTTGTCACTTGCCAGGTTGCAGAGAAACGTTTTCTAGATCAGACAACTGTCAACGGCACTTTGAGGAACAGCATTCAACGCCGGGGCTTCTGCTCGGCAATTGTGTTCGGCGTCAATCCCAAGCCCAGCAATAGCATCATATGCAGACCAGAATTCTTGCACACTTTCCCATCACAAAGTAAGAAGTCTAAATAGATCGATGAACAAGAGTCGATAATGTCTCTTCAACCCAAGGATAAGATTTGTCGTATGTATTCCTGGATCTTATCAGATGACCTGCTGACGTTTGTCTCTTAGTCCTGAGTCTTGACGGAGGTGGTCCAAGGTCTTTAGACATGGTGACGCTTGAGCTTATGCTGCGAAATATTACAGTTGAACCTCAAACTCCGTTTGAATCACTAAAAGAAATCTTTCCCGTCGAAGAATTTAGACCCAGGTTCACTGGCATCAAATACCCCTACAACAACTCATCTGCCAAAGTTGGGCCGGACTATATACTCCCGACCAATACCTTCCACGCCAAGGAAGAACTCCAATCTAACATATTCTATTCGCTCTTTGACACACTACAATGGCGATGGATTGAAAATGAAACGAACCTCAGTCCTGGGGAGCCCGAGACAATTTGGAATTCTAAGGCGTCCCATCTATCAGCAGCACGAACCTGGGCATCATTAATTGGTATTGGTGGGTATTCTCAGCTACAATCAGTTAATTCATGTATAAGTAAGTCTACAGACAAGAATCAAGATCATCGTTGTTCTTGACCCCAGTGGCTGTCACGGAGAGAAGATATCTGACCGTCTATGTACCCGCGCTGACTTGAGCATCATCAGATGATATAGACACTGTGAATAGATTCCTCAAGGGACGGTACGAAGAATGGGGAAATCTCGAGACTCCATATTTTCCCACCAAGATTGACAAGTTGTTTGATCGAGATCATGTTTGGGCTGTGACTCAAACCATGGTTTCCCTCGAAACGCTCGCTTTGTGCGCCATGCATGTTTTGCAGGCCTACAAAGTGTATCCCGACTTTTGGGGACGATTAGCTTACGAAGTGTATCCTAAGTTCTGGGGTCGGTCATTTGATTATTATCCATCGGCTGGCGACGGGCCTACGGTCGGCCACCTTCTCTTTCACCATTTTCAGGTCCTTGAATTTCATTTGAATGTAGTCTGATTGAGCGCGTCTTTGTTGTCAGGTCTTCGTCAAAGCGGGGTTTTTTTATCCTCAGGTGTGCCTGCTGTACTCGACGGCACCCAAAGGTTTTTCCCCTGTTCAGTTTCGAGAAGATTAAGGATATATTGAAGTTTATTTCCTTTTGTTAGCCATACAAGCTACATGTGAGACCTTTCACACGGATATGTTATGTGGCTTCAGACTGCTGCTATATATTGACAGCTCCTCTGCACTCTGATTTCACATCATTGTACTCCATCAGATAGTTCATTATATTCACGCTGCCGCCCCACTGAAACTAGCACCATTTCAAACTTTGTTGCACATCGACACAAGAGGTATGATTTGCTCCTTCCTTTCCAATACTCTCAATAAGTGCAGCTCAACCTCTACCTATATATTTCAATACTAAGCCGCTCCATCTGACGTACACACATACTCTGAAGCTTGAGACAGCTACTTTGTTGCACGTCGATATCAAAGTGCCACTGGCTCCTTCCTTTCCAGTATTCCAACTAAAGCTCAAGAGTCTCCACCGATGTAGTCCAGTACTTAGTTCCTCAATTTAGCGTACACGCTTGATCCGAAGACCCTTGAGGTTTCCGTTTAATGGCTCACTCTAGATATCGGTGGATCTGCCCCATTGAGTACACCTGGTAGATGAGCACATCTGGTAATACTGCTCAACACAAGCGAGAGCAGTCGTGGTTGATCTGAATGTGTTGTATAGGGGTTCGCGTCCGAATTTCAGCAGTCCTTCTCTCCACGATGCGAAGTATGGCGCAGTATCCCAATCGACTGAGTAATGGAACAAGACCATAAAAACATCGCCATCGTCTCGTTTCAGCCCCGGATGGAAATTCTCGTATATTCCACCAGCATCTGTCTTATCAAGTAAAGGATACACAACCTTATCATAAACCATGCCGAAGTCCAGCTTAAAAGGTCCACGACCCACATCGATGAGAAACTCTGTAGAATAATACCTTGTTTGCCCGATCGTCGCCCAGGTCTCAGTCTTGTTGATCTGCGAATCGGGATATTCCACCCAGAAGACAGTAGGGTTGCAGCAACACACTTGAATCCCATTCCAGGTCCAGCCCCGGAATCATCTTGATGTGCCAAAACGCCCACAGTTCCGGGCGGCCATTGTCGTGAATGAAGAACTCGAAACGGCCGTCAGCGGTGGAAATATGAAAGCTGATTAGTGTGCGGCTATCTTGGCCTGGAAGATTTCTAAAACGACCTAGATAGATGCCCAAAACGGTGATTTCCACATCCAGAAACAGACCCCATCTCGTTATAGTTCCTGATATATCGAAAGCGCTATGGTGATAGTTGAAGCGCATGAGTTGCGATGGGGGATGTTCAACATGCTCCACGACCGGTTGACTGACGGTGTATCGCCCTAGATCGTGCTCGTCTCGGTCGATACTTGCCGCTACTTTACTTCAGGAACGGCTCAGTCAGACAGGGAAGGAGGCTTACCAGTGTAGTGGAACAATTTTAGTGCTCGAGGCAGACTGTGTGATGTCAAGTGTCGCAGAACCCTTGAATCTGCTGATATATATATTGGAACTCGCTTTGGACTTCAAACGTTCGCCTTCTCTTCTTTACGCTACGCCTATTAATGAACCCGATCAAAAGAACTCAAATAGTCTTATGAAAGGAACTGTAGCTGACTGAGAAGACTTTCAATGTCAATGGATTCATTATCTTTAGTATCAATTCCAAATGAACTCTTCTTGACACTTCTCGAGGGCTAGTTGTCAACCCACTTATTTCGGCGCATACTCTAACACAACGCTCTTAGGTTCCACGTACTTCCCCAAAGGCTTATAAACCACATTTTTGTAACCCATTGCTGCAGGTCCGCCTATCTCCAGACCCTTCGGTGTGTCGCTCCATCTCGGACTGCACGTAATTCCAAGAACCGTCACCATGACACCGTACCTGTACTCGGGCACACCTAACGCCTTTCCACTCTGTGTATCAAGAACCGCAATCAAATCTGGAACCATCGCAATGTATTTCTCAGATCCATCGTCTCTCACATGCTTGGCGTATATGTTCTCGTTCTTGAATGGTATTTTGAGTACTCCACCAACAGCAACAGTTTTCATGACACCATCTGATGACTCTTGTTCCTCGTCTGCAATCTGCTGAATTGTTATTTCGCCATACGAATGTCCCTTCCACAATCGTCGTTCAACACCAATGATCTTGCCTCGAAATAAGACTTTCGCAGACTCAGGTCCTCCAACCTCATCGATGATTTGTTCCGAAATCGTGCTCGTGGTGTTGTGAGCTTTGGCTCGAGCTATACATCGTCCAATTCTCCATGCAAGACTCATGGTATTGAGGACTGAGTACTTGATGACTTTCTCTTTCGTGGTAGGTCTTGCTGCCATGCCTACTCGACTTCCCATCTCTGTGCAAGAAGCTCGAAGTGCACGATCCACGATCTCGTCATTGGTGGTCTTTGTCATGAGGATGCTTTTGCCATCGCCCGACGCGATAGCACACGGAACGAGTTCACCTGATGTGTATACACAGAGTGTTGTTTGCCAGTAAGTCGGATACGCTCGGCCCATCCAGTCTGCATCGACTGTTGGACGATCAAAGACTTTGCTTGAGCCGACTAACAGAGGTTGCAAGCCATTCGCACCTCCAATTTCGAGACTCATTGCTACATCGAAGGAATCGTGTTTGTAGTATTCCATCAGCTCTCTCATTGCCTCTTCTGTTTCATTGGCGGAAAGTCTTTCATTGGACACCGCCGGTGATCCCATGTGGCCACCCCAATATATCACATCGTCTTCTTTCATTGCACTAGAATCGATGATTCTGATCGTGTGACCAGCTCTCAGGATATCACGGAGCTTGATGTATTCTGAGAAAGGAGAGCCTCCGCCAGCGCATCCTAGAACATAACACCCTTCAGACATCCATTCCACATCTGTCTCCGAGACAAACCATTCCGGATGCCGAGTTTTTGTGTTGATGACAACATTTGGTCGATAAGTATCGACATCGACATTGGGACGTGGATCTATCATGGGAGCTTGTGCTTGCTTCGCACTCTCTTCTGCGTATACCTCCTCGTCTTGGGCATCGAACTCGCTAAGAGCTGCTTCACTATTGAATGACTCTGGAGAAAACTCCCCAACGGCTCTGGCAATCACTCTGACTTGATTTGCCACGTACTGAAGTGGCATCGCATCGACTTCCGCAAGCACAACAGTCTCAGGTTTCGCTCCAGCTGCGATAGCTCGCTCGGCGGCCATTTTCTTTGCCTTTTCGGTGATTTGTGCAATCGTCTGCTCTGCCGTGCTTTGAATCATGTCCACAGTTCCGCCAATTTTGGAGATCGCTGCCCCAACAGCGTTCGCAACTGAATGGAATGGTGGCTGAATAACTTCTGAGACTCCAGATATTTTGGTGGGGCAGATAACGGAGCCGCCTCCGACGAGAAGAACGGGAAGTGGTTCGGGAGAGGTCTTCATTTGATCGATTACTCGTTCTAGAAGTGCTTTCATTCGATCCTGTGCTTGGGTGATGGTAGACTGGGAGAGCTTTTTGACTAACTCTCGATCTCCGATATTCTCTCCAGCCGCAACAGCAATGTCAGTAGCTGTCAAAACATCTCCTCTAAACACTTTCGCCTTCGTGGTCAGATAATGGCCGACCGAATCAGGCCCGACGGTGACACCGGCATCACTTTCTCGCACAATGGAGCCACCTCCGAGACCTATTGATTCAACGTGTGGCATCGAGAAATTTATTTTGACGCCTGCAACTTCCACATATGCTGATGCTTGGCGAGGAAATCCTGATGGTAGTAACACACCAACATCCTATCTCATTAGCTAAGTGCAGACTTTCTCACGAGCTGGCAACATACAGTAGTCGTTCCTCCTACATCGACAACGATTGTCGATGTTTTCTTCCCACTTTGAGAAAAGTCCGAGAGTCCAAGGTATGCTGCTCCTCTCATCGAGTTCGTTGGTCCAGAAGAGAAGGTCCTGATCGGCAAGCTTGCAGCTGAGGGTGCGTCGATCAACGTCCCATCATTTTGCGTGAGGTACAGAGCACAGTGAAGGTCCAATCGTTTCATTGCAGCTCGAAAGCCTTTGATCGTCTTTCGAGCAAATTTTAGGATTGACGCATTCAATATTGAAGCATTTTCTCGCTCTAGAAAGCCGATGTTCGAGACTTCAGATGAGCAAACTACGTTGACATTTGGAAGTTCTCGCCGAATGATCTTTCGCACATTGTGTTCTTGTTTAAAGTGCTCATCGATAGGTGAGAAGACACCAGAGATGACAACGGCGTCTATGCCACGGTTTCTGATCTCGTGACATTGCTGAACGATCTCTTCTTCAACAATGGGAGCCTCTTCAGATCCATCGATATGTAGTCCTGTGAGTATCAGCAAATCACTCTCCGAGTTCGTGGGGTTTTATACCTCCAGAAACGAAACAATAGTATCCATTCATGATCTGCTTCAAAGGAGGAGGGAAATCTGAGAAGGGAGGGATCTCTTTCGTGAAGCTTTTTGAAAGCCGCATGATAGCAACTTTTGACAAACGCCGGGAGTCATTTTCAACGATCGCGTTGACGAAGTGAGTGGTTCCAATAGTCAGACATGCAATGCTACCCCGATCGATTTTGGATTCTTCGAGAACCGTCTTCACGGCGGTCTCAATACCATCTGTGACATTGGGACTGGTTGTTGGAGTTTTGTGTTGAGCTAAGACACCTCGACTTGGTGAAGTAGCTTGCGAGGGATCTAATACGACAGCATCTCTAAGTGAGGTTAGGGTATCGGACTTCTGGGACCGAAAATTCTACTCGCGTGTTCGTTCCTCCAACATCAACTCCAATTCTAAGATGTCTTTGGATACTCCCCATGGTGTGATAGAAGAAGATGACTGATTTTACGAAACGCCCACGTATATTGAAGGTGGACTTCAGAAGTAGATGACTGAAAGATATGAAGATGAATGTCCTGAAAGTTCAGGATTGCTTTCATGCTTGCGTCGTGTTAGGATTGCCCAAAGGTTGCCAGCGTTATCTGGCTTCGTGGGTCCCAAGGTAGTATGCATAAGCTTCAGCGTGGGCCAGTAGTGTGATGTGCAGGGAGATGTCGAAGAGTGGGAGGACATTGTCATACCCTCGCTTCCTTCACCCAATCAAGCTTAGCCGGCAGCATAAACTCCCCAACGACCTCTCTCGACCTCAAGAACAACTTCCAAGTGGGAGATCGGGCAATTCTGAGATCGGCCAATGTGAACTGCGGGCGATCGGCCCTCAATGTTGCCATTTCTTGCCTTCTACGCTGAAGTCTTGCCAAATTTGTTATCTAAAGTTTGGTGGTATCGCTGCGGCCAAGTTATCACGGCTCAAGGGTGGGGCCAGTTGCCACCATGAACGCTCTGATATGGGATACGAACTCTCCATCCGGAGTTTTCTCTTGTACCTTATATCATGTGCTGATTCCTTTATGTTGTTCTGATTGTCCCACCTGTCACAAGGTCTTGAAAACAAGAGCCTGTCTTCCCCTCAACCCACCAACACTCTGTACAACATGAAGACCTCATCCATCCTCACCTACCTCCAAGTCCCCACAACCGAGCGAACAAGTTCCTCACCATGGATAAACGACGACATCAGACCCATGCCGCCCTCGCGCCGACAATGGGGAAAACTAGCTTTCATCTCCTTCTGGGCCATCAACCAAATCTGCCTCTCGAACTGGCAAGTCGGTAGCTCGCTCATCGCCGTTGGTCTCTCGGTTTGGCAAGCCATGATAGCCACCATAATCGGGAAACTCATCATCTCGGCCGTCGCTATCTCGAACGGATACGTTGGAGCGCAATGGCATATCGGTTTCCCGGTGTATGCACGAGTTATCTGGGGGATGTATGGATCGTACTTGGCGCTCGTTCAACGTATTCTGTTAGGTCTTGTTTGGTTCTCTGTTCAAAGCTGGACGGGAGGGCTATGCATTACAGCTGTGCTGGGAGCAATGTTCCCCTCGTTTCATCACATGAAGAATCACTTCCCAGAAAGTGCGAACATGACTACGACTGAGTTTATCGGATGGGTCGTTTACAACTTAATCACGATCCCGATGCTGTACATGCCGCCGGACAAGACGAAGAAGCTGTTCATTACCATGAATATTATTTCGCTTGTGACGCTTGTTTCTATCATGATTTGGGCGTTGAGTGCTGCTCATGGAGCTGGACCTCTTTTGTCAGCTCCTGCAACAGCATCCTCTGGTTCTGATCTCGGTTGGGCAATTGTGAAAGGGGTTACGACGGTCATTGGATCCATTGCTGTTGGTCTAAGTACATTTTCCCTTCTCCTAAGTCGAACATACACAAACTGACAATATCCAAGCCAATCAACCAGATTACTCCCGTTTCGCCCGTCATCCCGGAGACCAAGTATTCGGGCAATGGTTTTCTATCCTCTCATTTGGAACTGTCCTCCCTCTCTTCGGCTGCCTCACCTCCTCCGCAACCCAACAGCTCTATGGAGAAGCAATTTGGAACCCACCAAACATCGTCCTTCAATGGCTTACCGATTCCTATTCCTCCGGAACTAGAGCTGCATCATTCTTTGCCGGAGTCGGGTTGGTGGTTTGTCAGCTCGCCATCAACACTATCGACAACTCTTTCTCCACTGGCATGGATCTTTCGGGATTATTCCCCAAATATATCAACATTCGGCGAGGAGCATATATCGGGCTTGTCATATCAATCGCCATGTGCCCCTGGGAACTTCTCAACTCCGCTGGGACATTCATCAACGTCATGTCCGCTTATTCGGTTTTTCTGGGACCCATGTGTGGCATTCAAATCTGCCATTATTGGCTGATTTGCAATCGTCGCATCAAGCTTTCGGATCTTTATGATCCACACAAGGGCGGAGTGTATTACTATACCAAGGGTCTGAATTACAGAAGTTTTGTAGCTTGGATTGTGGGATGGGCGACACAGATGCCAGGGTTTATCAATGCTGTGAACCCGAAGATCAGCGTCGAGAAGCCTTTGCAAGAGCTGTATTACCTTGCGTTTCCGTTGGGTTTTGTGATAAGTTTCCTTGTGTACTGGCTATTGAACAAGGCAGATCCCCCAAGAGGCTTGGATGAGATGGACGAGGTCGACTACTTCGGAACATTTACGCCAGCTGAGGCGGAGAAGATGGGATTGAGAGAAGCGAGTGATATTGAGGGAGTGGAAGTTCGGCAAGGAGGCAAAGAGGTTGATCCGGATCTAAAAGCATTTGATTGAAGCTAAGCATCTAGCCATAACTGATTACAATAGAATATTAGAAGCAAGCAGTAACCACCGAAACATACACCCGTGAAATGAATTCTCTGAATAGCCATGACAGTCAGCAATAGTCCGGGACGCACCAGACTTCCAGATCTGTAGTGCTATTCTCTTCATTGAAGCTGGTAGCAAGAGAGAAGATTGCCAGCGCCGCAGAACTCCAATGTATTTCCAGGGCAGCGGAAAGAACACTCGCTGTCGATTGTAGCGTTAGAGCCAGCATTGAACCTGTTGCCACAATAACCTGTGAACTTACATGAGCATATTGACAACCCTCTTGGGGATGGGGAGACTCACACTCGCGTCCGTATTCCACGCCAAAGTAGCTATACGGATAGCAGAACTCTTCACACATCTCCAAGGTCATCGAATCACTGGCAGTTGTATTGGCGCTTAGTGCTCTAACACCAGTTGCCTCGGTCTGGCACCCGTAGTAAGTGTAGGGGGAGATGGTGGGCTTGATGGCTGCGGCAGTAGCTGTTGGCGAGACGGTGGTCGTGGTAATTGTAGCGATGGCATTGTTCAGATCATAGACGCCGAGTCTATTTGGGCCCCCGCAGTATTCGGAGAGATTGCCGCTACAGAGCATATCACCTTTTCAATTCAGCATGAATTCCACTAGACAATACGAAGACCACAAAATCGAGGTATTCTGTAAAGCACACTTCAAGAGTGACTCGACTCGCTGGGGCGTTCTTGAATAAAGGGAGAAAGATGACTTACATCCACTTAAACCTTCTGGAGCTGGTACTCCACCATTTGAGAAAGTATCTCCACACCCTAGGATATGTAAGTCGAGGAATCAAGTAGAATCAAGACTGAACCCTACAGCATTGCTGAGAATACTCGACACCTGCGAGAACATAACCGGCAGCTTGGCATGCAGTGGTACAGAGAGCTACTGTCAAAGATGCGGGACCGCCAGGAGTGGTCACTTGGTTAGGAAGAGTGCGTCCTGTTACTCCCTCACTATGACTCTATTAGCTTTCAGAAAAGTATGGAGTTTGGAGATGCTAACGTGTAACATCCTACCAATGACCATGGACCAGGTCCTGGATTGGTAGAAGGCGGAGAATCTCCGCTCCAGAACAAGGACAGTCGATTAATGCCACCACATGGCTCAGATGAAGAACCCGCACAGGGCATATTGCAGTCGGTTGTTGAATTGACTTGAGTAGCAGAGGAAGCAATAGTGGGACCACAGACTGAAAGCAATCAGGATCAGTAATGGACACACAAAATGGGACAACAACCTACAGCATTGAGAAGTATATTCAGTGCCAGCGTAAATGTATTGATTGTCATTACAGTAGTTGACACATAATTCATCGGTCATAGAAGAGTTAGAGAAGCTAGCACCGCTCAAGGTGCGTCCAGGGATATCACTATCGTGATTAATCAGCATCAGTATTTCAGAGCAATGAGATACCTTACACCCAGCATCCTTGATAAGACCACGTGCCAGGAAGAGCTGATGCTGGAGTGAGGCTCTTGCCAGCACTGCAGAGGGAAAGCTGTAGAGAAGTGTCAGTGTGGTAGACTTCTGTTGTCGTGAAGCGGCCTTACAAGGGAGAGCACGAGGATTGCTCGGACAGACTGCTGAAGGTATTTCGAAGCCATTGCGTGAAGTGTTGTAATTCAGTTCAATGGACGAGGACAAGCTCGAGGGCAGAATATATCTTGAAACGAAGAATCCTCGGTCTGCAATGCTTCCTCGAAACGAAAGAGTTGGCGTTTTGAGAAGCTGAAGTTCTGCAATACTGTCGTGGGACAGTGTGAGACAAGAAGAAAAGACGGTGTGAAGGCGAGAAGGACAGTGGCGCGGGAATCGGAGTCACAACAATGCTCAAATCCAAAGTGGAAGTCGCCATGCCTACACAAGGAAGCAACAGCCCTCTTCACTGAATGAAATACACACGTGACCGTGAACACGAAACAGCCACGATGACAAACTGGAGGTCGTGGCTGGACCACAATTCTCATCTTCACCGGATACGCAGAGTTGTGCCACTTTGGATGGTTACTCCAGAATCATATCCGTTGAATTGTTCAACTCCAGCCTGCAGGTACCAGAAAACTTCCTCAACGGCACGAAACACAACTTTAAATTCGAAGCACAGCAGGAAAACTATAGGATGTAACAGTCGATTTCCTGTAGTTGCTCAACACGCTAGGAACTAGGGGTCCTCAGATGAATACTCACACAAGAAGGATTCCATTACGTGGACCATGGCACCGAGTAATGAAAAGGATATACTACCTGCGCAAGCCAATGCCACCACACCCGATGGGGATAATTTTCGATATAACATTGTCCGCAGGTAGAACGGGAAGGACGTGCCGCAAAGGCTGGCACTAAGGAAAGAAATGTGGAAGCTGCGGAGAAATTCACACTCGAGTATTGAAAACCAATGACAATCAATAAGAGAATCTGCAGTAGTATTCAATCATACTTTTGGTGTATCTTACAAATCGTAGGGAGCCTAATCCCGCATTCTATTCGCCGCGAAACGCTTCATAACAATTTCTCGGACTTTGTATCGTGCCAAAGCGCCATCGATACCAAGATCCTGTTCCTCCTGTGCACTGAGAGGTTTTGGTACATCCACGTAGGTCAAGATCAGCGTCTTCTTGACCTGGGTGATAACCCTGTTGATACAACTCATCCAAGCCCACGTCCGTTGCTGCTTTTCTTTTGAGTATTTCTCCAAGAAGGGGTCGCTGGTCCAATATGGGTCACTGTAAGAAGGGAGGATAACTACACCGAATTCAGCATGTGAAAATACTGGACCTCGATTGTAGAGCATATAGTCCACGGAGAACTTGATCCCAGACCGTACGACCCAACCTAATGAGCGATAATGGTGGTATACCACATAATTCATCATGAAGGGATCATCGGGTGATAGAGATGGATTTGTTTGAGGAGGGAAATATGATGTTTTTCGAAAAAGGTAAAACAAATCTCGATTTGAGATCGGAGCGTTTGTTTCAGTGTTCAAGATCGAAATGGCACCCAAAGCATATGACAGGAAAAAAGCTTCCTCGAGCATTAGCTGTAAGTGCTCCTGGGTTTTTATCACCAAGGGTTCTTCCTCAACAGAACTGGACCCAATGGCTGCCCGTTCAGGACTGGGAGGCTCTGACTGGAGAAATGTGGTTTTCTCAACTGTTGGGGAGAAACGAACACTCTTCTGACGTTTCATCTTGGGTGTTGACGGTCCCCCGTTAGACAATACAGACCCATTTGGTGGTGTTCCATTCGTCTCTGTCGTTTCTTCCGAGTGTATAGATTCATCAACGGTATCATCGTTTGTTTCTGAGCCTCCTACAATCTCAAGATCATCCGTCTTGGCATGACTATTGATTCCAAAAGCATTACTTGTCAATAACCCGTTGCCATTCATCTTCGCATCTGGAAGAGGTTTGAGGTTCATTGGTAGCAGTGTTGGGTGGTGGTTTGTTGGCGTAGCAAAATGCTTCGAATTTTCTCTCAGGTTGATGTCCGATTGCAGCGAATTGGGTAGGGCAAGCAGCTCCAATGGTCCAATGGGCGGCGTGTGAAAACGGTCGATGGAATGTGAAGCAGACTCTTCTGCCAGACAATCAACATCGAAGTTATGCCCCTCCGTGCAGGTGTCTAGTTCGGCGAGAGCATTAGGAAGTGCAAGAAGTTCCAGAGGCCCAATAGGGGCTACGAGTTCCACTTTGGTCGGTACCGAAAGTTGTTGTGCAGCGGACTCGGCTCGTTCAGCATTCCCTTCGATTCCTGCATCAATTGGAGTTGGTACCGCGACATCGTCATGGCTCAATGCCTCCACATGCACCTCGGCGTGTTTGGCTTCTTCCAATAACGTCTGGTCAATAGCTTCTCTTTCCTTCCTGGCTCTCTCCCACTTCGTTTGTTGTCGTTCAGCTCTCCTCTTCCTCGTGTTCTCTTCACTAGTGGTCTTTGCCTTGTCACCCCTTCGAGTCTTCTCCCTGTTCAGCCAACTAGGTTCACTTCTGCTTAATGTGCCCTTGCCAAAGAATCCCTGTTCCCACAGGCCTCGGATAGACCGGATATCTGTTACGTGAACAGACCGGGTTTCCGGCGAGAACAGACCTTGGTACAAGATATCGAAGTGCGAACTCGGACGCTTGATCGTATGAGACAACCACACGTAGAGAATGTGGAATAGTGAAAGAGGGTTGTGAGGGACGAAGGTTGGGAGAGGAAAGGTTCGAAGAGGAGCAGGTAGGTTATACAGTTTGTTTAGCTGTTGGAACCGCGAGGGAGGTCGAGGCTTTCCATTTTGGAGAGTTTGAGGCTTGTGGTCTGCTACCACTGGAGCAGTTTGTGTTGTGTCTGCCATGATTCGAAGCCGATATTATCGTGGAGTCATGTCGAGATTCTGAGAAAGTTCAATTAGTACAAAGTTTCCCAGATACCAAACAACAATCAAAGAATTACAATCTGCATTGCTCAGATACCGTTGTAGTCTTCTCAGAGAGAATTGAGCTATCATTGAGCACGACATAAAGTCAGAGTCATAACTCTAAGCATCGAATGTGTCATCACTGCAAGCAGTCCCCAAGTCCTCATAGATTCGAATTGAATAGGAGTGATGACTTACAGCTTCATATTTTCTCTCCGGAAAGAAGGAGAAGAGTTTGCGTGAGGAAAACCATGCGAGGTGGGATGTAGGTGGTTTTGCCTTTTCACTCGAAGAAAGAAAATTATTTGGGCGGATTCTCCCGACGATCACGTGCCGGCTTCGGATCCACCCTCGCAAAAATGTTCGGATTTAGTTTCAGTATGGAAGTGTCGGTATCAAATACTTTTTGGCCGACAAAACTTCCAAGACACTCTTTTGTTTTTCTTTTTCTGCGAATGCAAGGTTCCTCTCCCTTCTCTCCTGAGCCTACTGCGCCAGCAGTGGCGAATTCTCATGATCATGAAATGTCCACTCTAGTCCTTTTGATTGCATCAGCATGCGGTATTTGGTACATCTTTCTCCTCACTGTCCAAGCTATCGGGCTCACTCAATTGTATGTGAAACGCCAATGCTGGGGTAGATCATCCGACTGACGCTCTACAGATTTCGATTCTACTCCTCGAAGCCAAGACCTGGGGTCTCGCCCACACTCAAACTTGAAGATGTGCCGCATATAACAGTAATTCGACCTGTCAAAGGACTCGAACCTCAATTATACGAATGCCTTGCTGCCACGTTTCGACAAACATACCCTCTTCAGAGATTAACAGTATACCTTTGCATAGCATCAGCAAGCGATCCCGCGTTTCCTGTATTGCAACGTCTGCTGGCAGACTTTCCGAAGTTCGATGCTAAGTTACTCGTTGAAGAGGAGGACCCCAATTTGGCTGGTCATGGAGGCCAAACTAATAATCTTGGACCGAATCCCAAGATTCGCAATATGAGTCGGGCATATCGAGAAGCCAAGGGAGAGGTTGTGTGGATTGTCGACTGCAATGTCTGGTTGGGGAAGGGTGTTGCTGGCAGAATGGTTGACAAACTGTACGGCTTTCGACCAGATGGAACCAGAGCTACTCCTTACAAATTCGTTCACCAGCTGCCTCTGGTTGTGGATAATGTAGGAGCGACAGCCAATGAGGAATCGCGGGGACTTCTGCAAAGCGACGACGAAAGTGGGCAGGTTACCTCTACAAGCACCGCTGCATACGATATTACTTCCCCCCCGACGGACGAGCCAAGGCTTCATGAAATATTACGAAGAGGTGGTGGCCGTTTGGAGGAGATGTTTATGTCTACATCACACGCCAAGTTCTACAGTGCCATCAACACGGTGGCCATTGCGCCGTGTATCGTTGGGAAATCGAACATGTTCAGACGCGCTCATCTGGATTATCTTACTTCATCGTCTCCGAAATACTCTCCTGGTATCGACTACTTCTCAGAGAACATCTGTGAAGATCATATGATAGGCGATTTGTTGTTTCGAAGTCTGGTTGAGGAGGAGAAGGCAGGCAAGAAGTTTAAGAGACATGGTCTTGTCTTTGGAGATCTTGCTATTCAGCCAATGGCTGGCATGTCGGTGCAAGAATACATCAACCGTCGAGTAAGATGGCTCCGAGTTCGCAAGTGGACAGTTATCCTCGCCACAATGGTGGAGCCAGGTGTTGAGCCTCTGCTTTGTTCGGCATATGGTGCATTCGCAATGACCACTCTGCCATTCTTCCACAAAAATCTTGGCATTCTGCAGACATGGCTTGCTTTTGCGATTGCTTGGTTGATCTCAGTGACGGCATGGATGAGTGTTGACACTGTTTTGTATGCCAAACTCCATTCAGCAGCAACCATTGAGCTCGATGCAGACACACCTTCTTTTGCACGCCCGCCTGCTGGTCAGCAACGAAGACCATTCTCTGAATGGATCTTGGCATGGCTTGGTCGAGAATTCCTAGCCTTACCCATATGGACTTGGGCCATATATGGGGGAACAACTGTGACTTGGCGAGGGGAAAAATTCCGTGTCAATATTAACATGACAGTCAAAGAGATCAAGGAAAGAGACAAGACGGCAACTCCAGAGACGGAGAGGGCACGTTCACGGAGCAAAGATAGACAGGACTGATACCCGCATTCTAATGACTAATAATCTTCAACTCCAAATATTATATGTTCCTCGCAATTCTTCACGTGTCACATTTGATATACCAACTGCAGCATGGGTCCAAAGCTGGAAAGATGTACAAGATTGAGATGGATGCCACAGCATGCCCATCTTCCTTCCTTCATATATTTGGCGGCTTTTCTGGGTGTCTCAGGTTCTTGGAGCATTACGAGGTCTTCAAAAGTTCGGACTTGCGATCTAAATCAGCACCATGGAATAGCGTGAGGGGAAGGCGTTGTTGTCTGTTATGCAGAGAGGGATAAAAGCACATACAAGGTCAACACGTCCTTGCTTCGTCGACTCTGTTTCTATTAAATGGTTTCGACTACTTAGGGTCCTTTTCATTGGATGCTGTGGAGGTTGAAACTCGGTTGCTGGGATTTTGTTCTCCAATTCACCCCTGAGATCGGATCGTCGCAAATTGTTTTAGTGAGAGTCGAACAATTCTTCCGCGTGTTTGTTCTCGAAACGGAACAAATGCGGGGCATTTGAGCCCCAAATTCTCCGTCGTCATTTTATTTCTTGGAGCTGGTGGAACCTAAGCTCGTTCCAAGAGACATTTCTCACCAAAGTAAATTCGTTAAATGTAAGCTGTCCGCCGGGTTTCTTTTCTTTATCAAGCAAGTCGATTCTTGTGTTTCTTCATTTTAGTCACTCTTTCAAGTCTCCTTCCAGATTTTTCATCATGAAGTTCACGCAGGTCGCACTTCCTGTTCTTTTCTCTACGGCTATTGCAGCACCTACCAAGACCATCAAGGAGAGGTCAACTGAGATTTGTGGACAATATGATTCCTTGGTGACTCGCACATACACAGTTTACCAAGATCTTTGGGGTGAAGACAATGCAAGTTCTGGTTCGCAATGCACGACAATTGATTCGGAAACCGATGGTACTGTTGTTTGGTCGACGAGCTGGACCTGGGCTGGTGGATCTAGTGATGTGAAGAGTTATGCAAATGTTGCTCTTACTACTACTGGTGTTGAGCTTTCTGCCATCTCGTCGATTCCTGGTGTTTGGAAGTGGAGGTATGGCAACTGATTTGCTCAGGGTTGAACAACTATAATGACTAAAACTTAGCTATACAGGAACATCTTTAGTCGCAGATGTCTCTTGGGATATGTTCACTAGCTCAACTGCTACGGGATCCAACGAATTTGAAATCATGGTTTGGCTCGCAGCTCTGGGCGGTGCTGGACCTATCTCTTCCACAGGATCGGCTATTGCGACAATGACTATCAACGATGTTTCTTTTGAGCTGTACTCCGGACCGAACGGAGATACTACAGTCTACAGCTTTGTTGCTGTAGATGAAGCCACTGATTTCTCTGGCGACCTCTTGGATTTCTTCAACTATCTTGTGGACAATGAGGGATTCTCAACGAGTCAATTCATTACTACTTTAGAGGCGGGAACGGAACCGTTCACAGGTATTTGTGTTTCCTTCTGCCCATCTCACAACTATATTAATTATATTTCCTAGGAATTGATGCTGTCTTCTTAGTCTCTGCGTATAGTGTTTTTATCCAGACGGGAACCGACTCCAGCGCATCCAGCGCAGTTGTCGCTACACCAAAATCCACGAGCACAGCAGCTAAGGAAATCGCGACTCCAACAACTTCAGTCATTCAACCAACGCCCACGACTATCGCCGCCGTCACCTCCATTACCTCAGCTTCGGCCTCTTCCAGCACTGGTGGGTCCATCTCAAAATACTACCAATGCGGAGGCACCGGCTGGACAGGGTCTGGCTCTTGTGTGTCTGGAACAACTTGCACTGTTCAGAATGCGTACTATTCGCAATGTCTGTAGATCTGCCCGCTGGTTCTTTCTCCTCACAAAATCTGGAACTAGAAGTGAGAGAACGACAATACTTGGTCTTCCTTCGGCGACACCAACCACTGCGCCATCGGAATTCTACCTTATCCGATGACGATGACGCTTAATCATAAATTTTGGATGATGAGTGGTTCATTGGTGACACCCATCGGGCTCATGCCTGATTACCTTGGGCCGAAATGGTTCATGCATGTATTACTATTATTTTCTGCTGTATAAATTGATGTTCTTCAAAGGCAAATCCTCAACCAATCATCTTCGAGATCACTCGGTTATATGTAATTGGCCCCCAACTCGGTGAGCCCTTTCGCTTTGCCACATGGTTTCGTTATCTTGCTCCGCCTCTTGCAAACCATCAGCCTTGCCACGAATCACCTTATGTCTCGCTCGAGGCATCCAAGATGGCTTTTATGCCCTTTTGCATTATCAGGCAGATATGCAACCACTAATCTTGGTTGAATTGAACCGGTGTCACGGCATGGGATGTCGATTCGATCGAAGCTAGTGCTTGGCTGAGAAAGCTTGATGGCATTGGTACTCGGTATGCAGAAATGCCCTTTTTTTCTACCCTTTGAGACTGGTTTGCAGGTACGAGGCACACTTCAAGGTTTGTGACAAGCCACTTTTCTTTTCTCCTTGCACATGTAACGGCCTACGCAATGTTCGGCACAGTAATGGCATTCCGATGCACGCCTCGGTGAGAAATCCCAACAGTCTTTAATCAGTCCCAAATCCCACTTCGCAACTCAGACCATCTTGCAAACAAATCCTCAAAGCCTCGACGTCAACTACCTCCTTCAATCACACAAAGAAGATTAGTCACAAGCACAGTATCGACGCCAATCCAAAGCAAAATGAGTTCTTGGTCACCATGGGCGTGGGATGGCTCTCAGTCAGTTTACTATCGAGCTCGTAAAGGGCCACAAAGTAAGACCACTTTATTGTCTCTGCGGGTTATCTTGCAATCACTGACTAAGTTCCCAGATAAATGGCAATACGAATTCTCACAACCCATGAACACTACAACATTACGAGACATGGGACCTAAATATGCAACTCTTCCGAAAGACAATGCAGTTCCAATCAAAGCGCCAAGTTATCTGTTGCAGCCGAATACTCCTTCTGGCGGGACTTTGACAGCATTGTGTGCTGATATGTCCGTTTTCGAACCCGAGCCCAGAAAAATGGTCCAGTTTGCGAGAAGACCAAATGTGTCTTATGCACAAACGAAACCTGTTGAGCGTGACATCAGAAGGACTAGTTTGGTTGAGCAGAAAGGTAGTCCTGCAGCGAGGAAAGAGAGAAGGTCGCAAAGGAGAGAGGGCGTGGTAAGGGTGCAAGACTGGAGGGCACATTTGAACGAGTGGTAAATCATACAACTTGTTAGAGCTTTGTTTTTAGATCGGGTGCGAGGAGCTAAGGTGCAGGGGAAAGACTTTTCTAGGGCTATAATGCATCCACAGTCGGTTGGATTAAAAGAAATCTCTAGCTTGGTATCCTCAAATATGGTTAGCTCTTCTGAGTTTGAGTTCTGATTCTGCCATCGCCTGTCTTTTCAAAAACAAGGGAAGCTTTCCTCTGAATTTTGATGATATTCATCTATATCAATTGCTACTTTCATCTGATGTCTTCATGACGCTAGTGCATTTAAAGCCAGTAGCAAACACGAATCTGGGTTGTTCGTGGAAATAACGTATTCTTGATTTTCTTTCGGAAGCTTATATGCAACATTGCAACACTTTGAACTTCATACTTCTCGCATACTTCAACCAAATACTTCAAGACATTGGCTCTTCATCAAGGTGCAAAGTCTCCAACCGATCTCAACGTCAGCAGAACCTCGATCTAACAAGACCACCTTCCTCTCCAACCAGACACATAGTCTCACGGTTGTGCGCAAACATAAAAAATGTCAACATCATCTTCCGATACTTGCGCAACCATAAGTAGCCATATCAACGTCAACAAAGAAGAGCTTAGGTACGTGTCTATGCAAGGGAATTAGGAGGCCTTTGTTGACGGCAAGTAGCTCCATCACCAAATCTTCTGATCTCAACAATGTCACTGGCGTCGACAAGCTACTGCTTGATCTTGCGTCTACCAGCATCACAACTCTTGAGAAGGACCGTGTCTTCCACGTGTTCCCCAATCTTCCCGTTGAGTTAAGACTCAAGATAGTAAGTAAAAAATATTTCTGTTGATGGTCCTCCATGGCAAACCAAATGCTAACTTGTCACAGTGGGAAGCTGCTTGTTTGGAAGCTCGGGTCATCAGATTCATGGGACACCCAAATCCAGATGATACCCCATATGAAATTCGCCCTCCTACGGTTTATTCGAAGGCCAAAGTCCCAGCCATACTTCATGTCAATAATGAATCTCGCCAAGTTGCATTGGTCTCGTATACGCTCTGGTCTCCAATGGGATGCAAAAATAATGATCCCATTTATTTCAACCACTCCTTGGACTTTATGTACATCGCATGCAGGTGCTCGACTTGGGGCGGCCCTAGACTTGCTTATCATGATCGCACTTTTGGATGCGGGGATTGGGTTGATGGGACGGCCAACAGAATTGTGTATGAACTGCAACCAAATTTCTATGGCCCAGCGGAAAACTATTATCTCGGAGGAATCTCTGATGTGATGCTTTGCCTTTCAACCTATTTCCCCAAAGCTGAAGAGAAACTGTTCGTTGGCGTCAAAGAGGGTCTCGGTGGCCGGTTCGAAGCAATGCTATCTAGCTTCAAGAATCGGGACAGATTGCGGAGCATGGAGGCTGGAGTTGACTTAGTTTACGTTTATCGGCGAGCAGACGAGTACTACTACCAGGGAAGTCAAACACCAAACCACATCCCGAATGTAATTACAGCCGTCGCCTATGAAGATCCCCAAATTGGATAGGACGCAGCCTGGACCTCGCCAAGGAATAACCAGCTGTGAGGAATTGCGGAGACTAGCGGAGAGAAGGGAGACTGATCACTAGAATATGAGGGTATTGACAGGACATCCTGAATCACAAAGGTTTGAGGATTTACCCTTTCTATCGAGGAGTGGAAACCGGCGACAGAGACTCTATGGGAATTTGCTTGTTATGAGGTTGGCAGGCGATAGTCATTTTTGCGTTGTGTTTCTTTCTTTCATAACTATCTCTTAAGAGCGACTGGTAGGATAGCATAAAGGTCATCTCTGTGTTGGACCATACATGTCATCTCATTAACTCATCTGTGACTTGGCACCTTGTGACATGTATTCAATCTTGTCTTTTGTAAGTGCGAGTATTTTCGATCATAGAGACATTCGTAGCTAACAACACAGCACCCATTTGATACTTGTAGACTTTCATCCCATATCTTTCTGCACTAGTGCATTACCGATCGAAGATTAAGCCTAGTTAATCACTTCCGGAGTTTCCCCGAAGAGCAACTTTGTACTCTACCGACGTATGGGAGATATCTATATAATATCCTTTTTTTCTTCATAATTCAAGCACCATCCGTCTTCTTTCCACAACGTCGGCGCCATCAGACTTTGATTCAGACACAGAATTACCAGACTTCAAGAACATCAGTGTCAGCCCGTTTCCAACGATTTACACCCTTTCTTCTGCTACGGGCACTATGCTGCTGTACGATCGCGACTCCATACTTTGCGATACAGCATTGTCTCAAGGCTGCCAACAGGATCCCCGCATCACCGAGACTACCATGTCGAGCAAGGAGACAAGGTAAATACTCTTGGGCTCAACAGCTTGTTGATGCTAACGATAATTCAGCTCTAGATCGTCTCATGCTGGCAACTCCTCAACCACCCTCGTTCGCCAAGACGTGCAGCTCAACTTCAAAACTTCCAATCCCTCGCGAGCCTCCAAGCCTGCAACAACCTTCCATCTGTTCCCGAACCTCCCAGCTGAGCTCCGGAAGAAGATATGGGAGGCAGCCCGACCTGAACCTCGCGTAGTCAGAGTATCTACGAAGGGTAGAGAATGGGGATCAACGAAAGGAAAAGTGCCAGCTCTTCTTCATGTGTGCTTTGAATCTCGACAAATCGCCTTACAATGGTACAAGCTCTCCTTCAAAGATAGCCCCAAACTCAATGGAGGCATTTACTTCGACCATTCCGTCGATTTTGCATACATTAGCTGCAGGAATTGCCAAGGACGTGGCAGGTGTTGTTCATGGTGGAATTGTCCTATGAGAGCCACAATACAGACATTCGAAGGCCAACTGTCACGCTTGGCTATTGAAATCGACTTCCAGGATGCAACTTGCCCATATTGGAGTTTTGTGCTAGCTGAAGAGGGATTGTTGGTTGACTCGAAGAAGGGTCTCGCAACTGAATCAGAAGCAAAATTGAGTCACTTCAAGAGAGCTACGGCCGTGCCAAGGTATTCTGGCGACCGCCAGCATAACGACTTATTGCGCCAGTTTTATCTCTGGTGGAATCGGTCCGCCCTAGCAGGTATGTCGGACAGGACTTTGAAGAACTTGACGGCTGTGGAGTATGAGAAGCCCAACGCATCGGCATCTTTCACCGTCGGCGGTCAATTTCGGAAGATGGTGTACAATACTGCAATGTTGATTGAGCAAGAAAGACAATCAAGTTCAACCCCGAGAGGTCGACGAGTACTGAGACGATAGGACGTTGCTGACGAATATGCAAATACGTGAGTGGTGATGCAGCTGGGAGCGAGGAACGATCTGGGGGGCAGGTGGAGGCTCTTCGGAACATGTATTTACTTGATGATTGTGTACTCAGCTACGAATTCCCAAGGAGAGAATTAAAAGAGACGTACCTTAGCAACTCTCTGCTTGTTCGTGCCTCTTCATGTATACATAACCAGTTCATACTCCCAGCTGCTGAATCAGAGTATTTTACCACGTGACTGGTGTTAGCGTCGATGGCCCCCCTTTTCTTGTTTCTCAAGCGACAAACCAAAACCCGAGTGCCTGAATTTGCAAATAGCACTATGCAGCAATATCAATTAAGTTCTGGCCTGTTATATCAACTCTATGACATCTATGACCAAATTGAGTTTGTGATTAAGTGTCGCAATGGCAAATGGGTTCTCAATGATGGATCACCGGACCAGGGCCGAATTCATCGATTTGCAGGGCTCCATCCTGCAGTTTGGACATTGTGTAGTAATAAATACGATTGGTAAGACGACATTTGTACCACCACCAGTATTAACGATAAGAGATAGACTTGTCCTGCTGCGGAGTAAAGGCGCTTCCCCACAATGACAACAACTTAGCAGTTCTTACTACATTTCTCTTTGAATACTACACAAACCATACTGCTTTCCATCTATCAGGCCCACCAAAGTCCGTTTCCGCCTTTGAACCTGAGTAGTCGCCGCTCTAACCTGAGCTGAGCCTTGAGTCTTGAGTACACTAATGAGTCGATTGGATTTACTCAGGGGAACCTCTTCCGGTCCCCTACGAATCGACTACAGTTTCTATGGTATATGTATATTTGGATGTATACAGATCTTGGTGGCGTACAATAGAGCCACCTCTCTGAGCCAATTAAAATATCGTGACGGTGGCTGTTCTCGGTCCCCTATCACATTTGTCACATTTATCAAGGAACCTTGTCGGGGCCGATTTGAGTCCTGCAAATCGGGGCACACGGGTACAACGTAGGTCAAATCATACACGCTCGCTTAATTTCTGTATTCCTCGTGCGGCCAAGCATGCGAGACTCCTCAAATGCAGGCAGCAGAGACACCCAAACGAGAACGGATTTAGGGGCGACATCACCTACGAGAATATCATCTTATTAACATCTAGATCATTGCATTCAGCACAACAAAAGTATTCATGCAGCGCGCTATGGTCTGCCGAGAATGCATTTCTGCGGACTTCGCTGTGCTTGGGGAGAACAAGGTCTGGCGATATGGAACCTTCGAAAGACTCCTGCTTTCAGCCATCTCCGAGCATTGTCAGCTCTGCACGATCATGGCCAAAGCATTCGCTCGCAACTTAGCCAAAGTCAGTAATATCGAGGGACAAACCGATGTGGCCATTCTACATGCTTAGGGGAAGGGCAAGGATGATTGGCAAGTCCTAGCGGTCGTCATCGGGCATGCTGTCGGCGATGGAGAAGAACAGATGAAAGGTCAACTTAAGGCCTTTATTTCTCGGCCAGATTATGTTGACCTTGTACACCAAGGCTTGGAGAGTCTACCGCGATCACGGAGTATCTCTCTGAACGGCATGTTCAACATTGCGAAAGTTGGCAAGGCAATGCTTAACGGATTCTGGCGTAATATACAGGATCCCACACCCAGAGGACCAGCATTGTTCGGAAAAGCTGAAGCGCTTGAAGCTCCAAGCAAACAGACACCAGCTAGCGCACGTCACCTACCGTTTCCATCTGCCGATGCCTCTGGGATCTACGAGATGATTCGAAAATGGATGACAGAGTGCAAAACATCACACGGACAGCTTTGCAACGAAGATCTCGCTTCTAAAACGCCCAAACGCTATCTTGACGTTCACCTTGATAGCGACAGATCTTACGTCGAGCTGATTGAGAAGATAGATAACGAAGCCGTTGCAGATTGCCGGTATGCTGCTCTCAGCTATTCATGGGGACGACCTCCATTCGTTACCACGACATTGGACAATATCCACGACCACAAGCAGGGTATGCTTGTCGAAGATCTTCCACCCACCATCCACGATGCTGTCAAGGTTACTCGCGAGCTTGCCATACCATATCTTTGGGTAGACTCGTTGTGTATCTTGCAAGGACCTGCTGGGCACCCAGAGGTAATGGCGGATCATGACGAGCAATTTCCTCAGATGGGTATGGTGTATAGTAATGCATTCCTCACTATCATCGCAGCTAACACAACCACTGTGAATGAAAGCTTCCTTACGCTACGGACTAAGATACAGGCGCAGTGGGTGCTGTTAGACCGGACATTCTACGATGCTACCAGAGAACCCGCATGGTACGCACAGGGCGCTAAGGTGCTTCCTGCATACCAGCTGGACAGACAATCATGGAGAGGAACCAGCGATAGTCGCGCGTGGTGCTTGCAGGAGAAGATGCTGTCGAAACGCATCATAAGCTTCCATGATGAGGGTGTGATGTACGCTTGTAGAACGACATGGAGGTCAGAAGTTGATCGGAATCGTGGAAGCATGGGTGATTTCACTTCTCTGAAGCTGCATATCTTGAGTAAGGCTTACAAGAAATGGTTTTGGGCTGGTGCTTTGCTTAATGGCGCCTATGGCGCGTTCTTTCAAGCAACCTGGAGTGATGATGTCGAATGGAGGTGAGTTGGGCAGCTATGCTGCTAGAGCACCGCCTGACGATTTGACTTGCAGATACGATTTCTGGACTTCACTAATCGAGCAATACACGTCTCGGAACCTAACAGAGTCGAATGACAGGCTTCGCGCAGCGGCAGGTATCGCAGAGGTTTGGCAACGTGTCTTTGACGATGAATATTATGCAGGCCTATGGAAAAGCTCGGTCGAAGTACAACTTTTATGGTGTCACAGTGGCAAGCGAATTGGTTCGTCCCGCCAACATCCAATTGCGTCTGAGTATCGAGCTCCCTCATGGTCTTGGGCGGCGGTGGACGGAGATGTCCATTTTCATTTCGGACTTAGGCACCTCCTGGAAACTGTCCCAACAGGCCACTCGAGTACCTCTGAGCGTGCGCCAAAACTGGTGGGTACGCGCTACGAACAGTCGGTGCGGGTTCAGAACTTCGACATGAAGCTCATTGGTACGGCCGATATTGAGGTCTTTGTGGAGGACACCACCGTTTCGCATCTTGGAGCTCATATACTTGGCTATCTCGAAATCTCCAGCTGGATTCGGATGGATAATAAGCTTATGCTACCAAGTCTCCCCATCGAGGACTTCCGTGATTCTGACTTGCACTGGAGCGGCACCTTCTTCGATAGTGGGTCACGAGGTGAGCACACAGAGCTCTACTACTTGGAGACCTTGAGATTCGACATGGTCTATCCAAAGCGCGGGCCGAGCAGCAAGAAGACGCGCTTGTCCTCCGGATGAGTGCTACAGAGGCTTGCATATGACGCGGAGCCTGGGCCAGCAAGGATGTCTCATGCCCAAGGATCATTCAAGGTCAAACACCACGGTGCAAGATATCGCCGCATTGGTGTCTTTTGGGCAGTGCCGTCGTTTGGTTCCTATGATGACTGTCAATTTGCCACTGTCATAATATTATGAGGATCAGTTACGAGTTTCACATTATCCCAGGCCAATAATTCTGAGACACAAATTAGTTATCATTCTTATTACGGACAGAGGACAGCTATGGCCTGAGGCTCGGTAGCAAGGTCGCTAAGAAAGAGAGCAGGAACGTGATTAAGCAACCTAAGTAGAGCGGCGATGCTAACTAACCGTGTTAGATGCGAAATGGAAGAGTTGTCGTCTGAGATTACCCAAATTATGGCGTTCGTTTATGGCAATGAACCATCGACAACATCCTCCTACTTTGCAATCCAACGAAAAGCTCCAACACCTGTGAAGGCGATGACTTCTACTACTGGAGAATCATCGAAGCCTTTACCTTTATCATCGCCACAAAATCTCTAAGAGGGGAAACAGGTTGGGAACGCCGGATGAGACTACTGTGTTTTTCAAAGACGGACAATATGAAGACCATAATGTCCATATCATCTCTCAGGACTTTGGACTCTCAGGCAAATCCGCGGCTCAAGACTTCGAGATTCCCCTATTTCTGTTGGCAAACAGGTTCCCTTCACTCGTACAGGAGGAGGAGCAGGTCTGCGCTGAGGAAGAAGCAGATAAAATACTTCGTCAATACGAGAATGAAGATTACAAGGATCTCGACTATGAGGACACTTTACCCTTGACTTCCACAACTGTGTCGTCTTCGTCTAAGGTCCGGAAGAAACCGGCAACACGATCCAGCAGTGGCGCAAAACGTACAACAGCAGATCTCGCAGACCGAGAAAGTGGAGGAATGAGCCATAAAAAACACAAAACAAACACCACATCCCTAGGAGATGCTAATCAGAGTTTTGGAAGTAATTCAAGTGGGGTCTTTGCCTACTCTCCAAGTGAGGATTCCGCTCCGACATTTTCAGCTCCTATATCGTTTACAGAAGGAAATTCTGCGCCGATGCAAACCGCAACCTCTGAAGGTATTAAGAAGGGACGAGGGCGTCCTGCGAAGAAAGGCAAGAGAACGCGATAAAACGATAGAGACGATAGGACGTTGCTTACGAATATGAAATACAGAATGAGGATGGGGACTTACAACCGCATTGCTTGCCACTGGGCAAGAGCACTACACGTATACTCGGTGGCATCAGTTTAGATGGTAAATTACGATTTTACGGGGCTGTATTCATTGCGCAATCCAGGTCTAGTTCGTCCTCAAGTCTGACGATACAGTTTTATCCAAACTCCAGCAAATGCCCGAGCCATAGCCTCTTCCTTAACGCCCATAAATGCTAGCAAATTAGTCATCATCCGGGTTCCAAGCTGCTTTTCTCTTCTGAGTCTCTCGGTGCAATTTCTTGAAGAAAGGATTGCTCTCTTTTTTGTTCTTCTTTAGATCCTTGTTTCTACTCTTGTTCTGCTCCACGTATGCCATGTCTTGACCACCCGCCAGCTCACTAAGAGTACCGGCCGTTCTCTTGGCGGGCTTCTTCTTCTTGATCTTCATGCCAGACCCTTCTCTGTCAACTCGGTGGAACAGGTCATCGGTTTGCTCGAAGTCGTTCGATGTATCGGTTTCCATGTGAATCATGATATGTTGAAGTAATTCTCGGCGCTCTCCGGGAGAGGTGAATGCCAAGTCAGGCAGCGACTCAATACCTTGTAGATGAGTGATGACTTTGAAAGCATAACCTTGGTCGACCAAGAAAGCTTGCCGTTTCGAAGAGTACACCATCTCCATTGTGTCCTTAGAAACGAGGGAGTAGAAGAAGGCATTGAAACCTTCGTCATTTCTGCGCTTGGCTCGGAGAATACGACCCAACCTCTGAGCTTCTTGACGACGAGATCCAAAATGCGAAGATATTTGAATGAGGCAGGTGGCTTCAGGCAGGTCGAGAGAGGTATCTCCGATTTTGGACAAGAAGAGAGTGTTGATGTTCTCGTTGTGTTGGAAGTTTTCGAGGATTCGAAGTCGTTCAGCATTGCTGGTCTCCCCATAGATGAAGACTTTGCCGAGCTTCTGAGCATACATCTGAAGTGCATAGACGTTATCTGAGAAGACGATGATTTTGTCGCCTCTCTTCTCGTGATAGTCAATAAGAAATTGGCATGCTTGGAATTTGCGGGGGTTCATAATCCAAAGCAAAGACTTATTCCGAGAGCTCTCCTCCAAATATGCCGTATAGAACTCGGTCGTCATGGGGCACCAGACCTCGGCACACTGGACTCTAGCAATGTGTCCTTGCTCCGCCAATTCCATCCAGTTGGCTTCATACAACTTGGGGCCAATGAGGAAGTTGAGATCACTGATCTTGTCATCTTCACGAAGTAACGTAGCAGTCAGTCCAAGCTTCGAGTGAGTCTTGATGATAGATGTGACTCTTCTGAACATATGGGCAGGCGCAACGTGGACCTCGTCTAGAATCATAAGACCCCATTCTCTTGAAGTCAAGAAGTCCATCATCTTTTGGGAGTCGTATGATCGCTTGCCCTTCTGCGCCACCATGTTGTACGTGGTAACGATGATACCTGTGTTGCCAGTGAACCTCTCCTTGTTATCCGAGGTGAAGACAGCAATATCATTAGGATTGATATTTGACCACTTCAGGAACTCTTGTCGCCACTGAACGACGGACATTGAACTTGTGCAGAGAATGATCACACCCTTCTTGATCGTACAAGCCGCGGTTATGCCTACCAAGGTCTTACCAGCTCCACAAGGAAGAACGATGAGACCACTCTTTGCTCTGCCATTACCAAACATCTTACTCAAGCTCTTCTCTTGGTAGTGTCGGATTTGAGCAGCAGGTTTCAGATCGATTTCCAGATTGGCGTTGGCATCATCGTTTCTGAAATCGTATTCCTCGAGAACAGGTAGACCCAGCTCCAAGCATCGCTTCTGGATAGTTTCCACAGCATCATCTGCGATCTGAAAAGCATGAACAGCGTCTGCCTCGTCATCGTCATCATCGTCTTCGTTTAATGTAGCGAATATATCCTCTTGGTTGGCATTCTCGCCTTCCTTCGGCTTTGGTTCCTCTCCAGCTGTTGCCTGCTGAACTCCAGCAGCATTTCTCGTACCAGGAATAACCAAGCCGCCCATCTTCGGTGCTAGACTTGTAGTAATGTCCTCTGTTCCCTGAACTCTAAGTGGGCCGATTACTTCGTCCTTCAAGAGCCTCTGTAGCATCTCTGGATCCGAACTTTCGACGTAGTGCTTTGTGTTCTTCAACACTAGCTTCACCTTGCCATAACTGTGTGTACAGCCTTCGATGAAGCTCCGAATACTATCGGGAACAGGAACCTTACATAATCGATCTAGAATATCGATGATATCTTTGGGATCCAGTCCAACGGAAACGGCAGCATAGAGACTGTGCGGGGTCAAGGAGTATTCGTGGAGGAATTGAGGTCGTGATTGAGGTTCAGCGATCGTAGTCAAGAAATCTTGCGCTTGTGAAGCTAATGGCGAGAAGCTCTCGAGGATGATACGACCCTTCTGTGGGTCTATCCATAACGGTCGATTATCATGATCTGGTTTCAGAGACAGGTAGGAGAAGTCGTTGTTGCCAAAGAAATGGCTTGCAGAATCTCTCCCATGCGCCGCACTCTGCTTCCTCGCCTGATATTTCGAGACCGTGAGATTCGCTTTCGCATTCTTGACCGTCTCAGACTCGGACTCGGTGACATCTGAAGAGACGTACTCGTCGCTGCTACCGATCTCTCGAGGGGTGCCTGGGCCTGGAGTCGAGACGCTGGAATCCCTCCCAGCCTTTGCGCCGCCCTTAACATCTAGAAAGATTGTTAGTGATCAGGTAGGTAAGTAAAGCAAGCAAAAGCCCATACTTGATGTAGCTTTTCTTTTAGCCGGCATCTTGACGGTCCGCCAGCAGATGATGCAGCGACGTTGAGAAAAGATGAAAGTATGGAGGTTGAGGCGAAGCTGATATGCCCAAGGCTGACGGAGTCATACGCTAGCTTAAATGGGTGCATGACCGAGCCGCGTCTTTCAAAGCCGAGTCGCGTGAATATTTTGATCAAAGGCAATCAAAGTCATAAAATCAGATCAAAACCCGAGATATTCCTCACAGACGTGTTGTTTGCGAAGTTCACCAAATTGTCATCATGTGGTAAGAAAGTCAAGCTCATGGTGCGAAAAACAACTAAGTTGATTATAGCAAGCATATTCTCAATGCACAAGTCTCTATCAGATCTCCCTGCTGTACGTCTACGACAAGCCTGAACGTGTGCCTAAGACTGACTGACAAATAGGTCGGAAGTGGTTCGACTGTGCAGAATGTCATCTTGAGACCGAAGATCATCCTCTCATGAAGAAGACGGAAATGGTGTTTGCCTGCAAGAAATGCAAGAAGGCGTTTCGGAAAGACTCTGAACAATTCGAGGAGAGCGACGAATACTGCCCACATTGCGATAATCACTTTGTCATCGAAGCTAAGACGCCGAAGCCTATACTGCAATTTGAAGGTGAAGATGCTCGGGTGGACAATAGGATGATTAAGGACGAGCGGATCAGAGCAGAAGAACAGAGGACTATCTTTGATGTGAAGGAAGCTCCAAACAAGCTTGGATAAGGATGGTTCTTGGGAAAAGGCGTCATGGGGTGTGATTAGCGGCATAGATTCTGGGAGGTGTTTATGATTTATGAAGCAGACTGCTTGCTTGGCCGGAAGGTGGAATTGGTCATGCATACACCAGATCTCACGAATAGATGCGAAGATAGTGATGCATGCTGCCAAATATCTTTTTCGTTACTCATTGCTACTGTACAGAGGCTCTATGAGATGATGCAAATTCAACGAAGTAGTCCATATGCCCTTACTCATCCGCTGCTCTAGTTGCCAAGATCGAGGTGTTACCAGTACCTGGTCGTCCAGTCTTCTTCTTGGCTGCTTCCTCAACCTTCTCCTGCTCAATGTTCTTGACATACGCCTCGATATCCTCAACTGGCAACATCTCGATCAGCTTCCCTGGTGCCATAATGGCAATTTCGATGTTCTTCGCTCCCGTTTGTACGACCTCCAGTAATGACTTGATGGTCAACTTGATCGTAGCCTCTCTATCCATATCATCCTTGTGGTTTCTCTCGAGGAATTCTCGGACTGTCTTGCTTGATCGACCAATAGCATTTGCCTTCCTGTATAATCGTCAGCTCCGGCGTCCCTTGTAGTCCAAAGCCTCTTACCATGCTGAGTAGATTCCCGATGGCTCGGTTTGGTACAGCTTTGGGGTCTTGTCATTGGGATCAAATCCAATGATCAATGTGCTGATACCAAATGGTCTAACACCACCACTTTGTGTATATCTCTGTTGAACACCAGCAACATATTTCGTGATGTACTCGATCGTAACGGGGTCCTCAACAGTCAATCGATGAGATTGTGCTTCTAATCTCGCCTTGTCGACTAAGATTCGTGCATCTGCGTTCAATCCAGCGAAAGCGAGGCAAACATGGGTATCGACGAGACCAATCTTCGAAGGTGTAATTCGGGTATCTTGCAGCTTCATGGCAGATCTCTTCTCGCAGCCCAATACGACAATATCTTTGCCCTTTACTCCAACCGCACATGTTCCTGAGCGCACTTTAGCTGCGGTCAACCAACCCTTCGATGCTTTCCATACCTCTCTTCACAGCCTCAAGTGCGTATTCAACCTGGAACACATGTCCATCAGGACTAATATCTATTGTCAGATTGAATTTAGAGCTTTGTTCACTGTGACGACTAACCTGAAGACTGTAAACAATTAGCATTGGTCAACATAGCTTTCAGTAGAATACAAGCTTACCTGAGAGCGCTCTATCATATCCTGAAGCCATTTTTACTGGTCTCTTTGATCACTATGGTAGAGTTGCAGCTTCGTGAATAATGGGTAGGCGTAAAAACGTTGTGAGGATGAAAGACTATCGACTGGGGAGCTTGCTGAGTTTCCAATGTTGAAGACAGGCTACCGCGAAGTCGCGTACTTGAAATCGATGCCTCAATTCCTAGGCACCCAGACGCAAGGCTGAGAATTTTGAAAGGCGCCGAATCGGAGAACGCTCCACCCCGCCTTATTGATATTTATTTGGTGACTTCTCCACAGCACATTGTGTGGGCCGACAACGATTTCCCAAGATGTCGAGTCGCTCAAGAATAAGTCTCGCTTTGCGGAGGGCACGAATTGCTCAGCCAATCCACCCAAGACAGCTCCGTCCACTCTCGCAGATTCGATGGCAAAGTACAGCAAGTACCGAGGATGCTGAAGGCGTTGCAAAGGGCACGACAGGCACTTCGAAAACGGTCAAATTTACGTCCGAGACATACCCAGAAATCAAAAGAGATTCGAGGTTCGCAGAAATAACGGCAGATCATGTTAAACATTTCAAGGAGTTATTGGGGAAAGATGCTGCTGTTATTGATGGAGTTACCCAAGATGCTACAGACGATATTGAGCCTTTCAATGGGGACTGGATGCGAAAATACCGGGGGCATACAAAGTTGGTGCTGAAGCCTGGCTCAACAGAAGAAGTCAGCAAGGTCTTGAAATACTGCAATGATAATATGCTGGCTGTGGTGCCGCAAGGAGGAAACTCTGGACTTGTTGGTGGCTCGGTGCCGGTATTTGATGAGATTGTTATCAACATGAGCCGGATGAATCAGATCCGGTCGTTCGATGATGTATCTGGAACACTGGTTGCAGATGCTGGTTGCATTCTGGAAGTTGCAGATGGATACTTGGCGGAAAGAGGACATATCTTTCCCCTAGATCTTGGTGCCAAGGGTTCGTGCCATATTGGAGGCAATGTTGCCACGAATGCTGGAGGGCTGAGACTGTTACGTTATGGAAGTTTACACGGAAACGTCTTGGGTCTTGAGGCAGTATTGCCAGATGGAACTATTGTCGACGACCTTTCCAAGTTACGGAAGAACAACACTGGGTATGACCTGAAGCAACTGTTTATTGGAGCTGAAGGCACAATCGGAATCATAACAGCTGTTTCCATTATATGCCCGCAGCGCTCGAATGCGATCAATGTCGCATTCTTCGGGCTGGAATCTTTTGAAAAAGTCCAACAAGCCTTCAGGGAAGCCAAAGGACAATTGTCTGAAATCCTGTCAGCTTTTGAGCTTATGGACAGTCACTCCCAAGACCTCGTTCATGCTGTCACCAAGAACAAGCGTCCTTTAGAAAGCGAATGTCCTTTCTATTGCTTGGTGGAGACTAGTGGATCCAACAGCGAGCACGACAATGAAAAGCTTGAGAAATTCCTCGAGTATGTCATGGAAAAGGAGATTGTCCTCGATGGAGTAGTGGCTCAAGATGAGACCCAAGTCAAGGCATTATGGGGTTGGAGGGAAGGTATCCCCGAGTGCTTGGGACACTGGGGCGGTGTCTACAAGTATGATTTGTCGATACCCATCAACGAGCTTTACACCCTGGTCGATGATGTTCGAGAAAAGATCACGGATGCCGGTCTGATCGGAGAAGGGGAGGAGCATCCAGTTGTAGATGTCGTTGGCTACGGACACATGGGTGATTCGAATCTGCATCTGAACGTTGCAACAAGACGGTATGACAAGAAAGTTGAGAAGGAACTGGAACCATTCGTTTATGAATGGGTCTCGAAGAGAAATGGTAGCATCAGTGCTGAACATGGTTTGGGATTGGCGAAAAAGAACTACATTGGATACAGCAGGAGTGACACTATGGTTGCATTGATGAAGCAGATCAAAAATCTTTATGATCCAGTGAGTTTTGATTATGGAGCACAATGGAACAATGAGCTAACAGTTCGCAGAACGGCATCATGAATCCATACAAGTACATATAGAAGAAAATGTTATCACAAGTTCTTGTACATATTTGATCTTGATGGTACACTACACCAAAGAGACTCACAGCCTAGCGCAAGTTGGTCCCGGGTTGGGACTGCCACGATAAAGTAAAGTTATCCTTGAGCCGGAGTTGGCGGGAAAAGCTCCCAGTACAGAAAATCGAGGAAGCCGCAACAATAGAGTGTAAAAAGGAGCAGAAACTACGTCCACAGTAGACCGAAATTGTACCAGATGTCCTGCTTTGACACAACAATATTGAGTTGAGCTGCATACTCCAGTTTTACGTGCTATACAATCTCCAGTGCGCCGATTTCCTGTCCCTGCCCTCCCATGAAGCGCCATACTATATATCCATACAATTCATTATGCTCAATTCCAGAACCAACCTTTCTTCTGATCTTTCTTGTCGTCCTCGAGATTTTTCTCTCCTACCTGTCTGGAGGCAGCTTCATCAGGCCAGTCGGGTTGCTCTTTGTCATCCCACCCTGGATCTTCCGTATGAGTGGTTGTGGTAGTGGTCTCACGGCCATCATCGTATCGCTTCCAAATCGTAACACACGTCTCGACTGTCCCATCTTCATGTGTCGTTCGCTCTGTGGTGGTGCTTGTAGAGACAATTCTGTCTGGTCTTACATCGTTTGTAACTTGCTTCTTGTCCTTCTCTTGTTTAGGAGGAATGGTAGATTGGCTTTGCCGATCTTCAATTATTGCTCGCTCTCGCGCTTGTGCGATCATGTCATGGAGATTCGTTGATCCTGATTGGCGTTGCTCTTCGGGATTCAATGCATCGAACATGCTCTGTACGGTTGCTAGTAGAGTAGCACCATTCCCCATCAACTTGTGCAATTGCTCGAACGCGTCAAGTTCGGTGCCAGAGTCCTCTTGAACAGCGAGATCTTTCCAGATTTGACTCGCAGGCATTGGTGCCCAAACCGAACCCTTTTGCTGTAGCATCCCCCGACGATAAAGATCCTTGATCCACCTCCAATTGTCAAAATCCGAGAGGCCAGTAGTACTCCACGGCAGTGACATCTGGTAGATGGGTGTGGGGGGCTCTTTCAAGCCTTGCGTTGTTCGAATTAGGTCATCAAATGCTGCGCAATACAAGGGACGGCCTACTGGATAAGAATCAGGCAGTGCGCCCCAACCATGGATGTCTGCATCAAGTTTCAAGGGAGAGTACGGAGAAAATAATAAATAAGGGAGAAGGGAGTAGTCGGATCGAAGACTAGGATTGTCCTTCACATGCTCGAAGGCTAAGAGCCGTGTTGCTCTCAAAGGTTCCCGTCTATCCAACAGGTCGTTCATAAGTGCAAATTGAAAGTCCTTGAATGAATTTTCTCCGGGTGACAATCGAGACCTGTCCAGATCCGATTGATACTCTGGCCGTCGGACATTATCGAAGAGCTCTCTGGTGACGGGAGAGTATAATGGCAAGTCCATCTCGACATTGGAACCTTCTCGACGTTCAAGCCCTGCATAACTCTTGGTATCCTTCCAGAATTCTCCAGAGGAAGGAACTTGATCTGAAGTCTGCGGGACCTGTTGTTTTGCCAATTTCTGGACTGGTATCTCTTCACCACTTGCAGACTTCATATCAAGCTGCGCTTTCAACATCCTATCTCTTGCTTGCAATCGGTCCCGTCGACGCAAGTCCTCATCTATGTCGGCCCAACGACCGTCCTCGGACGATCTCTTCGAAAATGCAGAAGGCAATCCTATGACTCCTTGCAGCAAGGTGCTGATTTGTGTATCGGCGAAGTTCTTGAATCGGATGAACGGGTTCTCGGGTGTAGAGGGAGAGTTCGAGGAGGAATTCGAGTTCGAATTGCTATCGCGTCCCGAGGACGGATCCATGATGGGTGGCGATTTGCTTGGTAAAGCTACCAATTGCTGATGTTGAGGTCGAGAGGTACAAGATACTCGGTCTGGACAGTCTTGCTCGATGTCAGCTCGTATGTTGGATGGAGGGGAAGTTGATCCGCCGCTAGGCCCATTCAGGTTACTCTGCTTTTCGCGGTCTGGGGGAGCCAACAAGGATCCGAACACTTCACTCTGCAGACGCGCAGCATCGCAGCGAAAGGGAAAAAATATCTCAAGCAACTACTTGCAATGAAACACGCACCATCTGCACCTTCTGCAATGCAATTGCTTTGACAATCACAAACAATGTCTCTTCGTTCGACTTAGATCCACAAAATGGCAGTGGAACATTCTCTCAATGGCTCAATGCCCAAGGCGTTGCCAACGTTCAATCACCCCACCCTGCCCAGAGCCAAAACTGCTCAATCCGCACCAGATTCCCACCGAAGAAACTCTCTGCCCCTCCATTTCCTCCCACCGAGTCTCTGGAGTGCGAATACGTCGAGTGCCAGTTTGGTCGAGTCTGAAGAAACGGCTCGAGGAGAACATATCCTCGACGAGGCAACGGTAGCACATCGAATATCAGCCCTTCGGCAGCTCAATGGTGCGACGAGGTCTCGTCACCGATATGCAAAGTCAACTGGTGCACGGAACAGTACATTCAGTCAGCCGGTAATCGTCCGAACATATTCTGGGACAACTCGACCCCGCTCTGAGCAACGAGATTTGGTTACCGTGAAGAGAGACGGAGGCTGGTCTGCCATGAGTTCGGGCAAGATGGAATTGAAACTTCCACCTGTCGAAGCTTTCTCCTTCAAAGGAATCATGGACGAGATAAGACATGGAGTGACGGAGGATCTCGAGAGAATTGCCGAGATCTGTGCCAGAAGCAAGTACAGTCTCAGCAATCAATATGAGGTTCACATGCCACCGCATGGTCGTGGAGAACCGACATTACAAACTGTTGGTCTTGGTGTGAGGTCTCAGACGACCGGACCGGGTCCGACACTACAAGCTGTGCCTTCGGATGACGAACATCCACGACAAGTAGTACGCGGGCCTAGAAGAAGGACAAAGTCTGCCGCCTATGGTACGCTGGAGACAATTATGTCATCTTCTAGGTCTTCTGATGAGGATAAGTCGAAGAAGAAGCCTGCTGCAGTCCTGGCTGAGGAGGTCCGTGGAAGAGCCGCGAAGAAAGAGCTTCAAGCATCCAAGGACGCCGAGAGAGATGATACAAACGAGGCTGGTACCGCAGAGAAAAGACCAGGCAAGCATGTTCGGTCGAAGTCTGCGTCTTTTGCCGCCGTTATAATTGATAATGCTCAAGGCTCCAAGACAGACACACCTGCCCAAGTACTCTCTCCCACGTCCTTGGTCAGTGAGCCAGCACGACCTCAGACTTCGACAGCAACAATGCTCGAAACCACTTCCAGTCTTGAGGCTCAGTATACGTCTCCCACTCTTCAGTCCATGGTGTCAACGAAACCAGCTCTAATTCGCAACGAGTCGAGAGCTTCTGCTGTGCGTCCTAGCGTCGATAGACAGTCTTCTGTTCTTGACAGTCTTACTTCCTGGCTGCCCTGGGGTAAGCTCTCTTCGGCACAGTCTCCGGTTCAAGGAAGATTGAGAAGTACTTCTCATGCTGAAGGGAGTCTGAGAGAGTTGTTAAAAGCCTCCGAGATTGACAAAAAGGGAAAGAGCGTTGATCGCTCGGAATGAATGGTGCAAGTTGACCATCGCTCATGCTGCTCCGGTCGTACTTGCTTGTACAGATCGCCATGAGTGTTCAAGATGTTTCAATGCCCGGTCACAGCAAAGATTACGACACAAGCATTGATACAGTATTCATACACGAGACAAGTCATCCGATACTCTTTTCTGAGGTAGGGACCCCATAGATAGTTTCATACCCTCACAGGTCTAACTTTTGTAGCACATACCAAGTCAGACCAATTCTTGCGGGCCCGTGAAAAATGTCTTCGCCATCTTCCGAGGTTATCGAAGACATTGCTACAAATGACACTTTGTACTCGGCCGTGTTGTATGTTATAGCCCTCATGTCTTCTCCGTCCGACGACTGAACGTGCCAGGGAATTCGGAAAGAGAAACAACCTTAGTCTCATGTTGGCCTGTGATCGCGATTGGTATTTTCTCGATCGTGATTCTGTTTGTTCGCAGTCGCCATGGTTTGCCCGTATTATACCAAAGTATTCCAGGACATTGGCCGATATTAGTGTAAGTCTGCACTTGTGGTTTTCTTCGTCTAAGACAGGACCTACAGTCTTCGCATGCATATAGGTCATGATCTCAATAGACTAACTAATTTCTAGGGCTTTGCCGTGACTTGTTTTGCCGTCGAATATGTCCAGAACGATATCTTTCAGTACGTTGTCTCGTTTCTTGAAACAGGCCAATATCCACCAAACGGCCTTCTGTCACGAGAACCATGGATGTACTTGTTGCAGCATGTCAGAGTCTATAGTCTTGCTCTCCGATTCCAACTAAAGGCTCTCGAATCCCTCGCTTCAGTTGCGTTCCAGAATGGTATTGTGGACTGCCGGCCTGATCTTCTGGATCACTACATCGACAATCTCCACTTGATGTCTACTCTGTGCGGCCCAGATCCCAAAAATAATATTATATATCCGCCTCGCCAATCAGCTTTGAAAGGATGTGCTGCGTATGTTATGGTCAGGCTCAGCGGTGACTTGCTTGATAACGCAAACTTCCGTGACGCATGCCGAGATGATTCTAACTTCAGAGTCTTTCTTCGTGCCGTTGCCTTTGATAAGCGCCTTAAAGCCTCGAGAAGGGGCAAATTGCTGCAAACCTTTCTCAAAAATGCTGGAGCAAGAGACAGATCGACAGTAGTCAGCACCCAGGAGCGTCAAACTCTTACTATCACAGCGCCCACCGACGGATGTGGTGTCAATCTCACAGCATCCATGCCGCTAGCCAGGAACAATCACTTCCGATCCCTCAAGGAAGAAGTCAGAGATAATAGCAATAATACCAATCCGTTCCGCCGACACACGATTGACGTCTCAACCTTCAAACTTGGGCCCCAAACAGAAGCCACAATGCTGCTCTCGTCCGGCAGAAGCGAAACGTGGTATCCAGCAAACTTGTCTAGCTTCTATCCCAACAAATTTCCTCTATTCATTGCTCATCCTATCGAAGAACGGAAACACATTTTTTGGTCGCTCATGACCTCCAGGTGGCCGGAAAAACCGTTTGTCTAGCCTTTTCTCAGAAGGAGCAAACACGATGGAATATTTCAAAGGTGTCGATCCTATTTCATTACAGCGGGAAGATCCATAGATTGCGTTGCCCTGATTGCTGACATGGACACGGCAAAAGTTGGTCTGGTTTCTTATGCGTGGAGAAACATTGTCAGCTTGTATCCTGTACATTAGAGGGAAACCAGGTAGTGGTCATTTGCATTGGTCATCGAGTCTGCTTGAATGTACGCTCTCAAATTGCCACGTCGTCGTCTTTTCAGTTTCAGTCGTTCAACCTCGATTAGTTTCACTCTCAGGAATTTCAATTGAGTCCCGAGATTTTGTATCTTCATGGAAAGTCTATGAACATCCTGCTGAGTATATGTTCACCAGGAGCACCAGTCAATCGGCATCGAAAAGAACTTCTTTTCTGTCTGCTGATAGTCGAAACCGTTCCAATGCTGTCTGTTTTCTCTCGTCACTGGTGCAAATCGATCTCAAAGACTTCAATCTTCAACTCTTGCTCTCTTGCTCATCACAATTGATTGCATGGCATAATCGTCGGATATCAGAGATGCTTTACCATTTGCTTGCTAAAACTTCTCGAATTCACATTGCGGATGCTGGCTCCGTTCTCGCTTAGCTCATGACCCCCTGAACGACTTTCTATTGCCATCCTTTACTTTGCTTCCTTCTTCTCCTACAGCTTACCGACTCGATATTGTGGGTCTGCCTCTGAATGTGATTTCTTGTTGTTGATCTCTTTGCTCGGCATTCCTAAACCCCTCTTGGACACTGAAGCCCTATGCTTCATTTTGCCCTTGGTTGAAAAGATTGGTTCCGCTTTGGGCTTTGTTTCTCTTCATTGTCCTAGTACAATTCTTTCCCGATTGATCTCAATTAGAGATCGATTTATCTAAACATTCTTATTTATCGGCCATTCACCTCGTCACACATGAGACGAGTAGTATCGCATCTCGTGTATTACGGCGACAGCAGGAACTCAACTTCTAACTAGTCTTCCCCGTCGCCGCAGTGAGGTCCGGCCCTCTGTATGCGTCAATAGTAAAAGCTCGGCTACCCGCTGTACACCATCCTTTAGATGGGAGCACCATTCATGCTATGCACAATCAGTCTAAGGTGCTGTGCGTGGAGAAATTATCGTCCCACATAACTTAGCTTTTGATATTGAAGACTGAGGCAGGAATGAGCTAGAAAGCTTGACCGCTCTTAGCCTACTGGCATCTAGCTGAATGGCGCTAGTATTGCGAGTAAGTAACTCCTTCCACAAAACACTTTTCTCGGAAAAACCTTCTTGGAACAAGCTTTGATATCAGAGTCACGTCAATATTCGATTGTCGTCGCCTGAGGCTTACACAATGCTAAGCCGTACCTTGTCATCGATTACAGTTCTGCCCTTTCTGGTTCCTTTTGGAACTATCTTTCTTAAACTTCATGTGGCTCAATAATTCCATAATCGCCTTCAACTTTTAGACACCACTCGACTCTCCTTTCAACCCAACACTTCGTCGACCTCCAACTCGTTATCAGACCACAACTCAACAAACATGACAGATACCCCAGAAAACTCAAGAATCATAAGGTAGACTTCCTTCACCGTACCAACTTCCAAATCAAAACGCTTCTTGGTCTTAGCTGATATCCTTTCCAAGCAACAACTTAACTTCATCCCTACTCCAAAAATTTGGCATGTCGCCATCCCCACCACCTAACGGTAGCGCGGCTGCTGCTTCGATGACCAGCAACACAACCGCCAGTGAACCTGCTGCCAAGAGAGCTCGAGTCGATGGGCAATCCGAACAAACGTTGAGTTCAGCAAAGAATCAGACTGGACTCCCTCCATTGACAGCTTCGTAAGTGCCCCTGGACTGTTTCGAAAGTGAACATCCTTGCTGATCATGTATCAAAGCCTTCTCGAGAGTGGCAAGTGGTCGGACCTAGTCATCAAATGTCAAGGACGGGAATGGAAGTGTCACCGAACAGTCGTCTGCTTGCAAAGCGCTCCTTTGAGTGCTATGATCAGTGGCGAATTCATCGTGAGTTTCTGCTTCTGCACACAGTCCATCGTTTCACGAAAAGAGCATCGTCTGGATACCTTTGGTGAAAGCGAAGTTTTACAAATCGGACGAATTCATGGGAATATCTTCACATAACGGCCATTTGCGTTTGCCTACATATGTATGCAGCCTGCTGACTTCTTTCTCAGGAAGCTATTACTGGTGTCATCGATCTGAGTGAAAATGAGCCCGACATCGTCAATTGCATGATCCAGTTCATGTACACCAATGAATATTCTGATTCGATCACCACCAACTCCGATATTGCATCAACTGAAACCAGCACTGCATCGATAGATTCCGTTGAGGCTAAAGACAGCTTGGTCAACGCGCGTGCCAACAAACCCTTCTTGACCAACACCAAAGTCTACGTCCTTGCCGAAATGTTTGACCTACCAGCCCTGAAAGCCGTCGCCGTCAAGAAGTTCAAGACAGCTCTCACTCGCAAGGCTACTTCAGAGGGCTACACCGATAGTCTGATCCTCATCCATGCCGAAACTCCAGACACCGATCGAGCTTTGAAAGATGTAGCACTGGGATATGCCGTGAGCCATGCTGCTGCTCTGCTTGAGAAAGAGGATTTCCAAGCTTTCTGCAAGGATCCTTGTGCGAATGAGTTCCTTATGCAAATGCTGAAGCAGATGGCGGATAATGCCTTGTCCAAGACTTGCTAACCCTGCGGCTACAAGGGGCAAGAGATCTGGAACCAAGCGGGCAGCTGAGGAGTAGGTCTTTGTGATGCGTTGAGGGCACTCATTTTCTTTCAATTATCGAGATGGCGCTTTCATGAACATCAAGGGCGGAGAGACATTCATGGATATACTTTTAACTTCTGCAATTACTTGCTAAACATGGCTATTTCATTATTTCTTCTTCCTGGAGTTTCTAGCGTCATCTAGATAACATCAGACTCTTCTAACCTCTGCCCTCTAGTTTGAGCAAGAACTCACCAGATAACAATTTCCTAAATTTGAACTGCCTACTTAATAGCTTCCCCAGCACCCAACTTAGATCCTCATTTCTGAACATAGATCTCGAGCTCTGTGATACCAGGACTGATCATCATGGCCGCAAGTGAGAAAGAAAAGGGCCCCATCGGTGGTCTTGCTGCAGTTAGTGCTTCGTAAGTCTGCTTTGCATGTAGTGTTCTCCTTACTGACCACATCAGATTGCTGGATACTGGCCGATATTCAGACCTCACAATCAAATGCCAAGGACGTGTTTTCAAGGTGCATCGAAGTGTTGTCAACTCTCAGTCGGCCCCACTAGCTGCACATGTCGATGGAGAGTTTAAGGTAAGGGGTAATTAATCTTACCTCGTGAAAGGAAACATCAGTGTTCGTGGAGCATGCTAACATATACCTTTCCAGGAAGGCATCACTGGAGAAATTGATCTCCCAGAAGACGATCCCAAAACCATTGCAAACCTCATCCAGTTCCTCTACACAGAAAACTTTGAGGACGAGCCTGCTCCAGGTGATGCTCTTGCTGAAGGACGTCTGGTTACCTGCACCAAAGCATATGTTGTTGCCGATAAGTACGATGTCCCGGCTCTCAAGAAACTAGCTACGAACAAGTTTGAGAAAGCTGTTGCTACCGAATGGAACGACGACTCCCTGGCTCAAAGCCCGGACATTATGTACAGTGAGCTTCCCGAGTCTGATCTAATGCTAAAAGAAGTTGCAATCAGAGCTGCTTCTAAGCATGTCAAGGAGCTTGTGGATAGAGGAGAATCTGTGACGCTGTGTAAAGCTAGCGGGGAAGTCAGTTTCGACATTCTTAAAAGAGTGCTGTCATCCGCAAAGCCAAAGGCAAGTTTAGGCCGATGCCCTAATTTTGGAGCGAGCCACAACGGTAATATCAGTTGGCAGGTTCCCGGTTCGGAGTTTTATTGTTCTGCTTGTGGTGCATACTTAACTTAGACACATACCATAGAGGCTAGAGACTTTACGGAGGAGAAATGCAAGCGCAAGCTTCTATGATTTTCATAAGGCTTGTCCTGTAGCAACTCTACACTGTTTTATGCACTTACACAAAGCTCAATACTCGAAATCGTTCTTCATTATCTTCATTACGAATGTAGATGAAATTCTCTCGACTCGATCGCATTGAAGTAGATGGCGACCGCTTGACTATCACACTCTACCATGTCTCTTTTGCCGTCCCATCATATGGCTAGAGCTAACCGCTACAAGACGTAATAATCCTCTGCATATTTAGTCTCGATCAATGAAGTATTGACGAACAATCAACTTGAACTAAATCGAGCGAACAGGAACTCGGTTCAAAAATGAATTTAGCAGGATGACTTGACTGTTTTCGGCCTCCGGACTTTTGCAGCCATCACATATTGATTATAGTCTTAGATGAAAACAAACACGAATGAAATTACTAGCTGCGAGCTAAGCACAATTCTCGGACAGGCCTTTTGAAGATTTCATCAATTCTATATTGGTAAAGAAACAATTGGCAAAGAAGAGAGTATGGGTTTGAAGGCAGTGGGGACTGGCACGTCATTGGAAGTGTTCCACATCGAGGGTCATTTTATGCTTCTGAAAAAGATCCCAACTATTCACTTGCATAGCACACTAGTGGAAAGCTAATAGTATCATCTGAACGGGTAGTAACTAGTGAATTTTCTCAACTTAAATTAGAGCTACGGGAAAGGTATAAAGTCTCGTCAACCCAACAGCATTCCGTCTTCGCTCAACACCAACAACACTACATAACACAACTCCAAAGAAGGAATTTCAATATCGTCATTGACTTTACACCTCCACATACGACAATCTGTCAACATGGTGAGCTCAAATATCTCCCTCCCAATTGAAGGTTTCAAAGCTCGAGGCTGATACTGCACTCACTTTTAGAGCAAGCGCAACTTCGATCAAATGGCGGGCTTGCCTCCCATGATGGCTTCGTAAGTTATCAACTTCGAAATCTAGTGTGACTCTGCTAATTCACTTTCAGTCTTCTTGATACTGGAAAGTACGGCGACTTGATCATCAAGTGCAGCAAGGAGGTCTTCAATGTACATAGGAACGTTGTCTGTGTACATAGCAAACCATTTGCGGCGATGGTTGACGGTCCATTCCTGGTAAGTTTGTATTGAATTACTCTTCAAACTTGAATACGGCTACTGACCATTTCTAGGAGGCTACTAGTGGAGTGATTGACCTGGGCGATGATGATCCAGAAATCATTCGACTAGTTCTCAACTTCATGTACAAGGGAGACTATTCAGACGGTAGGCAACCTGAAGGGAGCACTTCACAAAGGTTGTCTACCAGTCGAGGTTCTATCGACCCGGGCTACCTCGATTTGTCTTCTTCGGATGAGTTCTCGAAGGCGGTTCAGGCCAAACGCGCAAAGATATCCACACCAGCTCCCAAAAAGGGTTCTACGGCAACTGAAGTTCCCGGCACTTCTCAACCTGCTCCCTCTGCCTTGATCATCAATGCCAAGGTGTATGCTTCTGCGGAGATGTGGGATATCCCAGCTCTGAAAACCTTGGCCGCTAAGAAATACAAGGAGGCCTTACCTCAGGTCGGATTTCCGGAGGACTTCATAGACAGTCTTGAGTCGATGTACAACAATCTACCCGAAAATGACTTAAAGCTTAAGGTGATTGCTCTAGACTTCGTCGGAAAGCATTACAAAGGCTTGGTGAAGAGGGACGAATTCCTGAACTTGTGCAGCAAGAATGGCGACGTCGCGGTCTCGGTTTTGAAAACCATTGGAGCAGATAGTGCACAGACATGCACTAAGTCATGCTGCAGAACGATCAAACTCTCAATTTCCGTTGATCCTTTTGAGCAGCTATACAAAACCTTGCGCGCTCCTTCTACGGCAATTTCGCCTCTCAGCACTCTCCCCGAAAGCCAAGAGTTACCCGACCATAAGATTTTAGGTTAGAATCAATGTGCATAGAGCGATTCTTATCATGACATAAGATGAATATTGCGATGAAATACAAATACAGCCTGATTTTAAGAAATAATGACTGCGTGTCTCCGTGAGGTGTTCAATGCATACGAGAACATTGTGAAAGTCATTTATTATGCTGTAAACTATTACAAGTAGTCAATATTGCCTAGGTACCGGTGTTTCGTGAAACACTTCTTCGCCTAAAGCTGGCGCTTCTCAAGGGCAACTTCCCATCCTCCTCCGAGCCTCTCGACAACAGCGTTGCACCGACCTATTCACCAAATGAGCTATTGGCCAACAGAATGCCCATTTTGGCCAAATTTAGGGCCTTTTAACCAATAGAACGGCATTAACGAATAAATTAAGCGCTTCATCAATAGATTAATCTACCCAAAATAAGCTAATATTTCAAACCTAATATTTAATCCCCTTCCTTTTTGCGCAAGATTTGCGTGAATAACATACCTTAATAAACTCAGATACTAGCGTTTCCATATTTAAAAGTTTTTTACTATGTGATCTACCGATTATAGCTTGAAAATATATTTTTTAAATACACTTCGAATATACTAATTTGCACGTAATGTAAAAGCTATTATTACCAAAAACTTTACTCAACCTCAACTAATCCAATAGCTAAAAAAAATTAAAGAAATCTAAGAAAATACTTAAATAGTGTTTTTCTTCGTTAAAATCCGCTTTATTAATATTTTAGTCTTTATCTTCGATACTAGCATCATAAAAAATAAAAAAAATAAACTAATAAAACTTCCATTATATCAAACAATAAATATTTGGCCAAATAACTGATCCATTCATAAAATAATGAAATTTAGCCAATAGAATATTTAGTGAATAGGTCGGTGCAGCGTCGATATCAGAATTCAAACACGCTGCCAACAGCCTCTTTTATCTGCGAAGAAACAGAATCGTGTCCCCTCAATGTGGTGTACGCTTTAGACTTTTCCCGCACATTTTACGCCCTCGCTCGAGGGCGCAAAGTCTATTTCCTCATTTTCACGAATTCACCTTCAAGTCAACCTCCGAAAACAGAGCAAACGCTGACCTTCCTCCCACTTCAAGAGCAAACGAACTCACGACAACATGGCGTCTGGATCGCAGGTTTCGGGATTGTCTCCAATGGCTGCTTCGTAAGCTCCTGCGCCTTCTTCCAAGTCAACGCCAATACTGACTCGATAACAGCTTACTCGAGACCGGGAAGTGGTCTGATCTCGAAATCAAATGCAAAGACAGGCATTGGCGTGTACACAAGGCCATCATCTGCCTACAATCGAAGCCACTGGCTGCGGCTGCTGACGGCGGTTTCCTGGTAAGTGGTTCTGTTCCCGTGAAGGTGAGCTGAGCTGACATGGGCATAGGAGAGTCAGACTGGTACCATCGATTTGAGCGATCATGACCCAGACGTTGTCAACTACATGATTCAATTCATGTATACTGGTGATTACAAGGTCGTTCCAGTCCCGGAAGCTAAGGAAAGCAACGTCGAATCCCAAGCACCAGTACAGGCCGCTGTTGGTGGAGAGCTGGGCGCAAGACCTGTAACACCACGTCGCTTAACCGGAATAGAATCCTTGGTCAAGAGATCAAAAAGAGCCGAGAGGAAGCCGAGAAGAACCTGCTTGTTCACACTGCAGTGTACATGCTCGGAGAAGAGAAAGACATTGCCGGGCTTAAGGCGCTGTCGACTAAGAGGTACGAGGCTCTACTTCCTGAAGTTTGGAACAGCGAGGCCTTTTGTCAGAGCCTTGAGTTGATATTCGAAGGAACGCCAGCAAGCGACCGTATGCTATGGGACGTAGCTATTGCGCATGCGGGCACCCATGCCAAAGTCCTGATGGACAGTGGAGAGTTCGTTACGTTTTGGAAGAAGCATGGAGAAATCGGATATGAGATGTGGAAGTCGTACATTAAGATGACGAACTTGCCTGCTCCACCTGAGTTGTTGAAGCCAACTGGTTGTCCTGATGTCGGCCCCGAGCATGCGAGAATGGTTGTGAAGGGTAGGAAGACTGCGTTCTTTTGTGAGGGCTATCGCAAGGCTTTTGATTGATGGGAGGATAAGTTCAGTTGCTTTTGTGTTTTTGTTCGGTATGGGCATGTGGATCGAGGCAAGATGACGGTCAGAGAAATGTGGATGACTTTAAATCGTGAGATTCGTCTCTGTGCATCAGTGGGAGGAATCATATCCAAAGGATTGGATGCAAGTGGCAACCTCGTTGGATGCTCACTTGGGAAGATGCCTTCTTATCCATGTTATTCGAATTCTCTTGCTTTACCTTTCTTATCATTCTTCGAGCGGCAAGTGATTGGAGTGTGTGCGGCTCTCCTTTGTGTGCTGGCACAATCGAGACCTGCCGATGTGAAAGCATAATTGCTGAATGGTGAGAGGGCTGAATGGTGAGAGGGACTACCACTATTGTTGATAGAAGCTTCAATGTTCCGGAGGTAAGTCTGAAGGAGAGATAAAAGTTGATGTTTAAGATCTTCAGGCGCTAACTGTATAGAGTATAGATACTGCTCTATCTGGTTAGACCCATTCATTAAGTCAAACTCGAGCTCGACCCGAAAGCGAAAACCGGCAGTTGTTATTGGCTGAAATGAACGAAACCACCAATGACCAAATCTTAACTCGACCTCACTGCGCCTCTACCCTGTGGTTTAATATCTGCTTCGATATTTTTCTCAATGACTGCTTCCGCTTCATGTGTCACAAAGAAGCTGACGGACATCGAGATGCCAATATCAGGTAAAATCCAGCAAATAGTTAGACGTGCTTGACAGACATGACGAATCAAGGTATCACCAAGACTAGGCACGAGAGAAAACGGGTGTTTGCTCCGAAATCCCGCTCCGGATGCTTGAGTTGCAGGTATGGTGCATTTACGAGAGCTTGCACTTCCCGAGAGCTTCCCATGGCCACAGTTTCGTTCATCCGCCTATGACAACCGACCTTGGCCTTGCTGTGGCTTGATACCTGGCTGCAAACAGAAACGAAGCTGACTGCTTTCTATAGGAAGAGAAGAATCAAATGTGATGAGCGTAGACCTCAATGTGAGAAGTAAGAACATTGATCATTCGTTCCATCTTCCCAGAACGGCATGACCTTGTCCTGTTGAGAAAGTACTAAGATTAGTGGAAAGGTGCGCAAAGAGCGGATTCTCGTGCGACGGATATCTCAATTCCAGCAAGTTGGTACCCAAAAAGGCTAGATTGCATAAAATTGCTCCAAAGCAATCAATTGCCCCGAAACCAGCGCCGACATCTTCAGATTGCATCCCAATTCCAACTTTGAAACAATGGACCAGCTGCGGAGGCGGTCTACTTCTACAGCCCCGAAACACTTTGTTTGGATCCGAGAAGGAGGCTCGCTACTTCCGAGTCTTCTGCGACAATGTTGCTATCCAGCTCTCTGGGTTCTATGACCTGCCACTATGGAACCGACTCATCCTTCAAACGGCCGAACAAGAAGAGTCTGTTCGTCATGGCATCATCTCAATTGGCGCTCTTCAGCAGACCATTGATCTGAGATCCCAGCAAGATGGTCGTTACATCGCCCCACTCACTGCCCTTGATGAGCATCATCGCTTCGCTATCGAACAGTACAGCAAAGCAATCAAGCAAATGAGGGATGCAGTTGCCACACAAAAGCATCAACTCAGAACCACATTACTAACCTGCTTACTGATCATCTGCTTCGAGAGTCTGCACGGCAACCAGTGAGTCTCTTCCCCGATTGTGAGAAAACCATCTGTATCTTCAAAATCACTCATGATTCCCTAGTGAGTCGGCTATCACGCAAATGCAAATTGGCATCCACTTGCTGGAAGACTTCATCTCAAGCCAACGACAAGCTATCACAGGCCCCATCAGAACGAAGAACCCAAAGAGCACCGAAACGGGCCATTTGAATGTCCCACCTTTCAACGAATCCACGGATTTTCCATCATTCGCTCTCCACTCACCAGCGCCAGATATCATCGAGGACGACCTAGTTCAAGCCTTTGCACGTCTCGACATGCAATCCAACTCATTCATCGACTCTAGACCTATCGAATATCATATGGCAATGAAGGACTATGGCTTAGATTGTATTGTACGAATGCCAAAAGTATTTTCCAGCATGCACGAGGCAAGGAAATACTATGAGCTCGTCATGCGACGTCTTATGCACTGGATCAGTTCTGTATATCACCGCGGTGGAAAAGACACCACGAAGAAAGGAAATCTTCACTCAGCTAATGAAGCTATCCCTCGGAATGATTGGATTCTTGATGTAGAAGGTGAAGAGGGCGGTATCTTGAATCGGGAGAATCCTCCCTCTCAAGACGTGACACCAGCCACTTATGAGGAAAAGCAAATGCATTTGGTGAGTGACGTTGAGGAACTCTTCATGGCGCATCGCAATCAGACTCTTCGCAGGCAAAGTGCCGTGCATGGTTGGGGACTTATACGTTGCGTTTTTTCCCCTTGTCTCACCACATGATATAGAACAAATGCTGATCTCGAATTTTCGACATAGAACGAGCTTGAGCTTTGGTGGCACGCATTTACCCCACTTCTCAACAACTACCGCCCTCACACAGATACCAAAGAGTACTTGTGCTCCACGAGCCTCCAGCTTCGCTTCACAGCAACAAGATTTGCTCTTTCAACAACACTCAACACTGATCAGATGGTTTATGATAAAAGAATTGACGAGGTTAAACAAGTCATCCGTCTCGCTAAGATCCTTCACTCGCATCCCTCAGTTAAAGGACAATTCACTTTCGACTTAGGATACATACCTCAACTATATGTCATGGCGATCAAATGTCGCCATCGTACAATACGGCGCGAAGCTATACATTTACTCCTATCTAGAGTTTGGCGTGAAGGAGTCTGGGATTCGGTACTAGCCGGCAGAATGGCTACTTCTCTTATGGAAGTCGAAGAGCAAGGTATCAAAGGCGAATATATACCAAACGAGGCTAGAGTCAAGGGTACGAAGATGAAGTTTGATTTGCAGAAACGAGAGGGACACTTGACGTGTTTCATGGTTGGTGGGCCAGTGGTGAAACGGACGATTCGGTGGTGAACATATCAGCAAAGCCCTCCCGCTCGAACTTAAATGCTCTATAATAGAGTTTGACCTCCGATATTATCCACAGCTTGACAATAGGATAAATGGTGGTGGACGGAGAAAAGTCGCTCAAGTCGCCGAGTTCGACCTGGTTGGAGCATGGCTGCAATTGAACAGCCAATACCCAAGATAGCTGCTATCTTGCAACATCAAACCGATTCACTGGACTTCGCTCTCGCTCCTCTGCTGCTCGATAGTGTCACTTAAGTGGCTCAAAGATCTCCGCACGGTTTCACCAGCCAATTCGCAAGCGACAAGGTGCCGACAAACCGAAAACGGCTGCTCTTTACCACGACCGAATTCAAGCTACCAAGATACACCTATAATCCCGACAATTTGGGCAATCAATTTCGGGGAATACCCATGCTGGCTGAATCTCTTACCCGCCTGACAAAGGCGCTGTGTCAGCAAGTGGGGCTTCGATGAGGGGTTGCTTCTCGCTCCCGTTTATGTTCCTGCATGACTATTCTCCCACAACATCACTTTCCATATGTCTTCACTCTTGAGATACGGTAATGCTCAAGTCCAACAGAAGTTTTGCAGACTGCAGAAGACTTGATATGATCCGAGAAGCGTTGGTATATCGAAGATATCTTCTGCTGCTGAACATGTCCAATGAATGAAGCACGATGTTCAAACAAGCTATCTGACATTGGCGATAGACTCCAAAGTACTTCAAGCCACAATTCTCAATCTGTTTCTGTACATGCTGCGCCTTACAGCCGAGATGGTTCCTGCCGACAATGTGGGTTCGGGTTGTGCCAAGACGGGCTGACTGCAAGACATGCAGGTTCTGAGCTTTATCTCATCAACTCAATCATACGCGAAAGCAAATTGGGAATTGAGGATCGTAAAGCGATATTAAATTTACCTGTTAGAAATATCAGACGAATTGGATGGGCAAAGAAAAGCCATAGCACGATGACACAAAAATCGCGGATGAAAGGTCCGTTGATGGCTTAAAATGTGGGGGATTCCTGATTTCAAGCTCATTGCCAGATGCTGTCTATCAGAGGTCTTTAATTCAAGAGCAAAATTGCAAATATGAAATTTCTCAGGCTTTCCATCGTTTCATCTCTTGCTTTCCCCGTGGCAACGCTCGCTGTCAATGTATATGACTATATCGTCGTTGGCTCAGGGCCAGGTGGAGCTCCTGTAGCTGTAAATCTTGCCAAGGCGGGTGCTTCTGTGCTACTTCTCGAAGCAGGTGATGATCAAGGAGCTACAAATCTCCATGTGAAGATTCCTACTGCTGCGTGGGCGAGCATGGTAAGTCTTCTTCTTATACTACCACAAATGATGAACTTCACCTGCCTCTTTGTGGATCTCTATTTTGAATTCAGCTAATGTGAAGTGAATAGGCCAATAATGATCCATTACTCAGATGGGACTTCTTCGTCAAGTATCATTCCGATCCGGCCGTCCAAGCAAGATATCATGGCTTGACCTGGAAAACAACAGACGGTAAATACTATGTCGGCACATCTCCGCCTGCTAATGCTAAGGAATTGGGTGTATTTTATCCAAGAGCTGGCACACTGGATGGTTGTTCTATGCACAACGCTGCTTGCTCAGCTCTGCCAAGTGATAGCGACTGGATACTCATCGCGAATATTACTGGCGGCAGTTCGTGGAGGTTAGCAAACGGCAATAAGTCCAGAGTCATAGCTAATACCACAACAGTCCTCAAAACATGCGACAGCATTTCATCAAAATGGAGAACAACCACTATACCGCGACCGCCAAGGACCCGCAGGCACATGGCTACGCGGGTGATCTCGACATCTGCATCAATAGCGACGAATTCCTGAGGAATCAGAGTCAGGCTGCAGACGTGTTGAGGTCTGCTGAGAAACTCATGGGACAAGACCCAACGAAGGTCTATGATCTCGTGCAACAAGATCTCAACAACGATAGCCCAGATCGCGATCAACAGACTGGTCTCTATGGTTTTCCAGCACACAGGAACACAATGGGACGCAGATCTAGTGCTAGGAACTTTGTCAGCGATGTCTTGAACGCTACTAATGCCGATGGCTCGAAGAAATATAATTTCACACTCAGCCTGACCTCGTTCGCTACAAAGATCCTCTTCAACACCACAGGAAAACTTGCCACCAAACCACGAGCGATTGGCGTTGAATACCTATTTGGTCAGAGCATGTACGCTGCAGATCCTCGCTACAATGCTAGCAACCCAGGGACCAAGATACAAGCATTCGCGAGAAACGAAGTCATCATTAGCGGTGGTACATTTAATACCCCTCAACTCCTCAAGCTCAGCGGCATTGGACCTAAAGCTGAGCTGACCAAGTTCAATATTTCCGTCCTAGTTGATTCTCCAGGTGTAGGCAATCAAATGCAAGACAACACAGAATTCGGATTCATTGCACAAGCCGCAGTAAACTTCACCAGTCTTGCACCAACCTGCACCTACGGAGCACCTGGTGATCCATGTCTTGCAGCCTGGTACCAAGGCAAAGGCCCTTATGCCACCGGCCCCCTCGATGCTCTCATGTTCAAGACAGCCAATGCCGCCATGAACGAACGAGATATATTTTTCTTCGGCCTCCCAGGCGCAAATCCGTTCAGAGGTTACTACCCATCCGACACAATCAACACGCCGTACGCCGATACAGACAGCACTTTCGACTGGAGTATGATCAAGATCCACCCCACTGGTCGATTAGGCACCGTGAACTTGTTGTCCTCTGACCCTCGCCAAGTGCCTGATATCAACTTCCGTTTCTTCGAAGACGCAGATGCAGACAAGGACATTGCAGCTATCTCCGAAGCCGTTCAGTTCGGTCGCAAGATCTTTGATAACCTGCCAAGTGCAATGCTTCCATACAAAGAAATCTGGCCCTGCAATGGAAACAGCACTTGTGACATGAAAACTGTTATCAAAGAACAGGCTTGGAGTCATCATGCTACTAGCAGTGCACAGATTGGCGCTGACAATGACACTATGGCGGTGTTAGATAGTAAGTTCAGGGTTAGAGGCGTGAATGGGCTGAGAGTTGTGGATGCTAGTGCTTTCCCGAGGACTCCCGGTGGATTTCCGGTCATTCCGACATTCATGCTTGGCATGAAGGCTTCGGAGAGTATTTTGAACTCGACCGTTGAGGCTTGGATGTGAGTCCTTGGCATAGAAAAAGTATCACGCACGATGTGTAGATGGGGTATTTCTTCGACAATTGTCTGTTCAAAAGTTGCTTGCACATATGGCTTTCACTTCTTCGCACATACATTACGAGCAAAATCAATATATACAGAATTTCTTCTTCAGCCATGTCCATGACTATGCCAATCACTCCCCCATCCTGCCTTCTCATGTTCTGCACTCAACAGCTGCTTAATGCCCTCACTCGGCTCAACCTGCTTCGCACCCTCTGGTTTTTTCTGCGCAACCCATTTATCTAAGTCAACACTCTCTTTCTTCCTCCACTCTAACAAGGCGTCAAAGTCCCTACATTGATGGTTGATGTTGAAGTCCGGAAACGGATACCCTTGTGTTTCCATCCAGTTCAAGGTGTAGAGATCCGTGTTACCGGTACACATAAGGTTCTGCGCCAATACGTCGACGCAGTGATTCAGATGCACGTACCAGAGCTCCGCGTGGTGGATGTCGTTTTGGGTATAATTGTAGTAAGTTGGGTAAATCAATTTCCGGAGTTGGTTGAGGCAATGCATTCTAATTCCAGTTAGTCCCTCTCCTGCCCTCGTTAAATCAGGCAACTTACTGGTGAAAAACATCAACCTGCGCCATATAAGCATCGTCTCCCAATCCCCAATATTCATCATCGAATTTGGCGACAATCTCGGGATCCTTGCCGAGCTTTAGGACTTGGGCTTTGGTGATGGGGATGGTGCGCAGGAGTTCCAGTTCGTCCCACCAGGCATCGACTTCGGGGTTGGGTTTTTGGCGGGCGAGGGAGGGGTTGGGGCCTGGGTAGAGGGTTGCGTTCATCATTTTTACGGAGGTGGAGATGGTGAGTTTGTCGAGGACGGGGGCTATAAATGAGTCAGTGGCAGGATAAGAGCAAAGGGGGTGGGACGAACAATAAAAGGATGTTGCTTTGAGGAGCGCATTTCGGCCATGAGGAGCGTTGATGAACCAGCTTAGGAGGAGAACACAGGAGGTTACGAGGATGAGGAAGTTAATGATCGAGAGACAGATGAGATATCGCCAGTATCTTCTCGGGAGAAAGTCATCTTGGAAAGATACTCGACGTGGGGTTGGAAGAGAGTCTGAAGATGAGTTGTCTTGTTGGAGTGGTTTCTCTTCTTCGTCGAGAGCTTGATACCTCTGAGGTCTTGAGAACCACATTATGGAAACTCATGAAAGAACCTGCAGATTAAAGTTGGTGGGGACGGAAAACACTGAGAAGGAGATGAAACTCGGAGTACTCGGGAGCTTCTGTCTCGAAAAACAATCTGTGTAAATTGCCTGAGGTTACAAATCTGCGAGTAAGACGGACATTGCAGAGGGGTATTCATCAACTTCCTTGATCATCGATACACTTGCATGTTGTCACGAACGGACTGAGATCCTTCGTTACTGGACCTGCCTTTTCCGAGCTAGCGACTGAGACTACTCGGTCCTGTCACAAGGATAGAGAGTATATCATCTGCAGTCACTCCGATACCACATGCAGAAAGGCATTCATGAAACCACCGAGTAGACCTACGAAAACCGCGAGTCCCGAGGCAAAGGCAGGAGGGGCAATCTAATGCGCCATATCATGCACAATGTTGGTCGATCGTCAGATTAAATAAACCCGAGCCAACAAATAGATATACGAGATGCGGAAGACTTGGAGCTTACGGTAAGGTTTGCGGCACGACTGCCGATTGACAGCCGGCCTTTCCCAAGAAGTGTTAGACAAGCTTCGTACCACCTTCTTGATGAAGAAAGATAGACATCGGGAAGATGCATGTTGGAGGCGCGGATGGTGGGGTAATTTGGATATTGAACAAAAACCTCTAAAATGTTGGCCAGGTAGATGAACGTGAACATATAAAGCATATATCAGAGTAGTGTACAAGACAACGTTTCTTTGTTCAGTACAAGAATATATATTAATCATATAGAGTTACGAAATCCGTGCAGACAGATAGTTGAACATGTAGGAATCAAGCTTTACGTAGTGGGGCAGATCATCATCATCATCATGCCTGGCTGGGGTTTAAGCTTTCAGCCACCCGCCTGGGTTTCCACCATCGCTGTCCCTGCATGCATACAGTAGTGTGAGCATCAGAACCCAACGTAACGCAGCGTGGCGTAGCCTATTCGTCGATTTATTTGACGGAATATTCTCTCTGAAGTCCACAAGACCTCGGTGAAGCACATTTTCACCTGGATCTTTATGCCTAAATATGCCAGCATCTAAATCCCAGCGTACTGACCTCCTATCACTTGATTTTCCTGGCATGTCTGTTGACGCACAATCAGATTTGGGTTACACGGGATAGGATTGACGACATCCTAGTGCAGATTTGCAATATGCTACTCGCATGCGAGAACCCAGATAGATCGGGACAATGATATGTTGATCTTTTAGACGTAACTGGAATGCAGTGCGGTTTCTCACCGAGCTGACCACGATTTCTGACAGCGGGGTATCCGCGATCCGTTGAAGTACTAACTTTTATTCCCCCACAATCTCTTCTCGAAACGAAACTTCTCTTACAAGTCCTTCCAGTGAAACTCTGTTAACACCAACACATCATGAAATTCCAAATTCAAATTCTGGGCCTCTTTGCCGCCCTTCCATATCTCGCACTTGCTGTTCCCGTATCATCTCCAGATGGTTAGTTCAACCAATCCCTCTCTGTTTCGAGCACTTCACTGAGACTCATAGTAACTATCCGAGAGGAGAGCCCTGATACCCTGTACGAGCCCCTCGACTACGTCTACGTAAGTACCATATCCGTCGTCTTCGTTTTTAAAGAGTCAGCGCTCGAGGTTTTGCATTTCATTTTCTGATTAAAGCACTCAAAATCTCTGCTAAATTCGGGCAGGAAGGGAAGAAATTGAACGTCAAGGAGAAGAAACGTGAAGAGACTCCTGACACCTTGTATGAGCCCCTTGACTACGTCTACGTAAGTGGTGAATTTATTATTTATGTTCGATGAGAGCTGGAGTTGGGAATCAGGTTTTTGATTGGTGCAATCGAAGGGAGTCGCTAACTTGTAATAGGAAGGCAAGAAATTGAACGTTAAGGATAAGAAACGCGAAGAAACACCGGACACCTTATACGAACCGCTTGACTATGTATATGTAAGCCCCAATATTCACTTTACTCAGTCTTAGTATACCAAAAGAGGAATTTGAGTGTCTATGCTCCTTAGTTTGGGCAAACAGAGAGCGTTGCTAACTCTGGACAGGAGGGCAAGAAGTTGAATGTCAAGGACAAGAAGCGTGAAGAGACTCCGGATACTTTATACGAACCTCTCGACTATGTCTATGAGGGGAAGAAATTGAATGTCAAGGAGAAACGCGAAGAGAGTCCAGATACTCTATATGAGCCTCTTGATTACGTTTATGAGGGAAAGAAGCTCAATGTCTAGTGGACGTAGCAAGAGGCTGGAGAATGAGGAAAGAGAAAGCGGCACGTGACCATTGCATGTCCTTGCGATTTGGGTTGGAGGATAAGACAAATCAGAAAATATTTTTGCTTCTCTCCGACTGTGTTTGTGACTTTGCAATGGATTGTGTAAAAAGGGGTTCCATTTTATGTTCTACACTGCACGTGGAGGTACAAATATTGGGAGCATCATGCTATTCTGCCCCGGCCTTCTAAGACCCTTCAATGTCCGACCCGTCATCGATTTTTGAGAGCCTCCAGCAGTAGACTGAAATAAGCGAACCCCTCAAAATGCTTTCCTCGTCCTTCCAGCCAATAAGAGTCTCTCGCTAAAATAGAAAGGGGTCACAATTGAGGTACTACTACGGCGCAGCTCATCGCTTCTCCAGCTTTTGAGGAGGCCGCTGCCGCTCATGCATCACTAGCGAGCGAAGAAGTGCACATCATTGGTCCGTCAACACGCATTAGCATTTGATTGGCTTGTATAGCGCGGGTAGCGGCTTAGAAATGTGAGCATGCCTCGCAGCTTGCCATTTGGACTTCATGTTGTGGAGGCAACATCGGCAGTTGTGTGACAGTCTGTGATAAATTTATGATCACCTGCCTCGAGGGAGGGCTGTGCCTCCCGCACATGTGTATATAATTCACTCTTTCTTCTCAATACCAAATTCCAATCACTTTCCCCCTTCGCTGCAAAATCAGCCTCTGTCATTATGAGCATCTCGGAAACGATAAAGAACATTGATGCAGCCGCCATCTCTTTCTCTTCGGCTGCTCCTGGAACCGTTCCTGAGTCCGAAAGGCAACTGCTCTTAGCAGCTACGAAGGGACTACAGAATGCTATCGAGTCGCCCATCGACACTGTTGTCTCTATTGCTCTTGGTGTATGTGATATATTTTGGAGATACTATAAGAGCAATCATTTTAACTCAAATTTCAGGCACATCGATCAGCAGCAATCAGGACTGCAATGGATTTGGGGTTGTTCACTGCCTTGATTGATGTCCAGGAAGTAGGTATAACCTCAAAAGGTTTAGGAGAGAAGACTGGAGGTGACCCTGTATTGATCAGTGAGTTCCTTGACTGACTCAATCCTCTTCGCTAATCGTTTTTTAGCTCGACTGATGAGATTCCTGGTGGCGATGGGATTTGCAAAAGAACTTGACATAGATCTATACATTTCAACGCCCAAGACAGGATATTTCGCAGCTGGTTCTCCGCTTCAAGCTCCTATCACCCACTTGTCAGTTCCACCTTAATATAGTTTGACATATCAACTGATAAAAACTTTAGGGCATCATGCGCAAGAGTTATCGTCAGACTCGCAGATTATTTTCGCGAGACAGGCTACAAAAATCCCACAGATGCCTACGACTCAGCCTTCCAATTTGCCATGGGAACCGACCTGCAGTACTGGGATTGGCTTAAGGCCGATCAATTACAACAAGAAGCCTTCAACGCAACAATGGCCCTCACACGTCTCCACCGCGGTGAGCCTTGGTTCGAATTCTTCCCAGTCGAATCTCGATTCGGAAGCACACCAGCGGATGCTCCTCTCCTCGTTGATATCGGTGGTGGTCTCGGCCATGACTTGGCTGCATTCCAAGCCCGCTTCCCAAATCTTCCGGGAAAGTTAATCCTACAGGACCTTCCTGTGGCAATCGACGATATCAAGGAACTTTCTCCAAGTATCGAGAGGGTGAAACATAACTTTTTCGATCCTCAGCCAGTGAGAGGCGCCAAAGCCTATTACCTTAGGCAAGTACTGCACGATTGGCCTGATAAGCAATCTCTGGAGATTTTGACGAATATCAAAGAAGCGATGACGGAAGAGAGTGTGTTGCTTTTGAACGAAAACTTCTTGCCGGAAAAGAATGTACCATTGTACAATGCAGAGATTGATTTCAGCATGCTGGCAATGTTCTCTGCAGCGGAGAGAACCGAGAAACAATGGGTTGATCTACTTGAACGGGCTGGACTTGAGGCCAAGAAAGTTTGGTATCCGAAAGAGAGGTTAGATGCCAGTGCGACTTTGTTTGAGGCTGTCAGAAAGTATTGAAATCGGGACGTGGCAGGCACAACTGATCCAGTCAGCTGTTCTTTGATCTATAGGATATCCCATGTTCAATACCAGTCAAATTGATCACCACCTTTTACTATTCAACTAGCAAAAGACTCCCTCTATTCGACCATTTTCGACTCTAAATTAAAGAAGATAAACAACGACTCCCAAAAGAGCCTAAAAAGTGGCATATGACAAAGTGCCAGCTCCTATCGATACTACAAGTTCTCCATCCAAGAAAAAGCACAATGAAAAACCTGTTTTCACATGAAAAGCTAGGCAAAATCTCGCAATGATCTCGTAGCTTAGATCTCCGCAAACTTAAATCTTTGACGGAGCTTCTTACCAAAAGTGTATATAGCGGCTGTTCCGAAAATGCCAACCACACTCAAACCTGCCAGAAGAGTTACACCCTTGTGCACAAGGGCCTCGCAAACACGATACTAACGCCAGCAGGATCCGACCTCCCTATACTGTTGCCTACGAATAGGCTCGCAGCATACTCTGGACACGAGAACGGAATATAGATAAACAGCGACTGCATTGTCCAGAAATGCCCAGTGAGATTTCTCAATATCAATAGCTTCATTTTCGACATTTCAGACCACCAATTCCTTTATGTTGATTACTTTAAACTCTAGGAATGGAGCCAGTTTTCTTTCAATGTTAGAAGATGCCTGATTTCTCTTGTTAAGGAAATCGAATCCAAACTTGCTTTTTAATTGAAATCGGTGATATTTACTTACATATACTTTGTGGACCTATCATGACGTTGGAAGGGGATAAATTTGTTCTCTCGATTGATTAGTTTATTATTACTTGATTAGTTTTGTTTTAATTAGTAAAAAGTTTGGTAAAGTACACAGCGGTGGGCAAATAGCGACCTACGCTTCTACGAGTTTCTGATTTTTAGTGCTATATTATTCATTGACTATCTGTATATGCATGTAAAAATAATGATTTTAAGTAGTTAGTTACGTATTAAGCTCAATGAGTGGACAGATCGTATGTTTGTGTACATTTCATCTATCTACTATATTCCAGCGAAGAGATAGCCTCAGCGACACATCGACCTATATCCTACCTTGCGTGCTCATCCCAAGCATTGCGAGTAATACTCATTCGTGTATTTGCAAGTCGACCCAGATGCGCAGACAGTGCAGCCCGTCCAACCCTCAGACCAGGAGGATCCGGTGTTGGCGTCCGTATTAATTGACGAGAGTGAGCACGCCGGGCGTCCACGGTAAGAGATTGTAGCTCTCGCTGGACCCGATGGGTAGGCCCTGGTAGAGGAATTGCAAGTTGCAGGCGTCGATGGTCATTGTTTCGTCGTTCGTGCTGCGGATGAGGTCGCCGGAGCTGATATCGTTTGTCCATGTGGCGCCGCTGTTGGCCTCTGGGGGAAATATTGAGTGAGTGAGTGCTTTCCTTTCATTTCAACGAAACTGAAGACCACCTCCACAGATAGGAATGGGATGAAAAAGACAATGGGGAAGACCTACTGCCGGCAAAGGGATTGCTTTCGGTGGCCGCTTGGGCGGTCCACGAACCGCTCAGACTGGTGGCCGTAAACGACCGGAAATATCGCCCAACAGTGCCGATGCACTCGACGATCATGAGGTATTGGTTCTGGCCCGCCACCGTGTACACCTGGACGGCCTCGAAGAGATCGTCGGTCGCGGCGCTCATCACGGTCGTGTAGGATGTTCCGAAACTGGCGGGAAAGTCCCCGATCGGCATGCTCGACCGGTAGATACTCCCGTTGTCGCCAGCAAAGAACAGGTACATGTTCGTCCCGTCGCTGATCATCGCCGGGTCGATGGGGCCGGTGCTGCCGCCAATGCTCCCGGAGAAAAGGGCCTGCGGCGATGACCATCCGTCCGCGTTGGTCGGATCGCTCGAGGTCATGTACACGAAGGCCGTGGCGCCCCATTCGTAGCCGAGCACCCAGATGCTCTTCGGCGTAAAGTAAAAGAGGTTGGGGGCCACGGCGCCGGTGTTCATGGCGGTTTGCGTGGCCGAGGCCATTTCCGACCACTCGGAGAAGAGCGCAAAATTCATGGAGCCATATGAACCCGCGGTGTTGACATCGGAACCGTACACGAGATGCTGGCCGTTGTACAAGACGTGGCTGAAGTCCTTGAGCGATACCCAGCCCGACTTGGGCGTCGCGAGCGAATCCGTCGATTCCCATGTGTAGGTCGAGGGCAGCGCGCACGACGCCGCGGCGATGGTGGCCCCGGAGAGCAACATAAGGGTGCTCGCCCAGCTCGGACGGCGAGCATGGTTTGTGGTTCTCATGGTGAGAAGGGAGAGGAAGAGACGACGACGGATGAAAGTAAGTAGAGACGTAGACTTGAAGGATTTTTGTGAAGCAGAATTAGTAAAGAAAAAAGCTCATCTTACGTCGGATGGCTTGGAGCATATACCGAGCATCTGAACCATTACTCATTTCACTTCACCTATATACTTGCTTGCTATAGACGATCTCAATGCAATCTAACTCAGGTGCCGGCCTTGCAGCTTCCCCTCCCAGATCTTCAGAGCTTGCAGAGATCTATCCCTGGCTATTGCATAAGATCGATCTCGCTGGAACTTTTCTTCCACCAGTATCACACCTGCGGAAGGTGAAATTAAATTACCTGCCCGCATCTCGATCGGCCTTGGCCATTTCCACCAAGCGTTTATTTTTCTCTCCCTCTTTCTTTCTTTTCTTTCCGAGTACGACAATGATTCAGCTGGATCACGCCTAGAGGGTTTCCTTTTAGCTCCCTCAAGGATCGCTTATTGTGTCTATATCATAATTCAAATATTAAATTTTGGAGACGCCATTGCCGGTACCACAACCATTTCTTGAAACCTGTTAAGATATCGTGAACAGAAATGGTGATTGGTCACGGCGGATGCCCACTCCGTTTCATCTCTCGGGCCTAGCAGCGATGGGGACACACACATGACGCAAGTCACCCAACGCGACTCAACCTCTCCCACGAAACAAACTCTCAGAAAGCTGGATACGCCTACGGATACGAATCAAGATGATCTCGCTGCAAGAGGCGCAACAAGTCAATCTAAGAATCCCACAAGATACGAGGTATATAGTAACGAGCTTAAAAGGAACCTGTCCTGACTAGTAGACCTACAAAAGAATAGAAATTGATTTTGTACAATTATCACTGTCATTTGCTAATTTGTATTCACATTCATTATTGCTTATTACACATCTACTACTTCACGCCTTCTCCTGTTTCCTGGCCTCGACTCCGGTTGTTGTCACAGTTTCCTTGGCGATTGATCGGATAGCAGAGTCAACGAGTTCCGTTGGACATTTTCCCCGTGATCCATCCCATCTCCCATGCCTTCCAGTGAGGCCAGGACACGTTCGGCAAGCTAGCCTGCGCCGAACATAAAATCCATCATATAGCGTGCGCGATCGAGTCGTGTTGTGTTTGCATGCTTGCAGATCGAACATTGGATCCAGATTTCCGTTACGTCCCCCTTTTCAGGATCAGCGTCTCTCGCCAAGTCGCTGTTCTCGAAGGTCTGATGCTTTCGGTGCATTAGAGTAATATCTCTAAAGTGTGTTTGTTCCTGGATTGTACGGCCTCGTCGTAGTCCTTCCAGTTTCCGCCACATTGGTAGGTTGTAGAAGCCTTGTCGTCGCTCAAAATAAGCACGAATGTCGGGATCGTGCGACAGCAAAAGATCTTTTGCGCCTAGACGGAGTTCTATAGCAGTCTCAACATTACCCTCGTCAACTCCTTTGCGGTTATACTTCGGTCGAAGAGGAGAGGCCCGGTTAAGATGGAGACTGGCCTCGCATATACTAAAGCCTCGAGGAAGTGCCACTGATGAAAGAGGTAAAGGTAATATTTGTCATATGAGGCAACTCCACTCTTCGAAGAGTATTCATCGCGGATTGATCTTCATCACAAGAATTCATGCCCTTAAAACTACCTAGTAGAACAAAAAAGTCTTTTCAGCCTGGCACATTCCACATGTGATAATGTAGACAGCTTCGGCTAGGAGTATATCTGAATATCTGAAGTTGCAATGTTGAGCAATCCGACTTTTGACATCCATTCCTGCGCCAACGTACAACCAGGATATCCCGTAATGTTCTTCGTCGTAGACGACATGGAGAGCGATTCCAGGCCAATTGCAGCGTTCTGCCTTAGAATGATCAAGGGGTTGCAAAGTGTCAAAATCAAGAGAACCTATCTGATACAATTTTGCAATATCAGGATCAAGAGCATCTAACAAGTCTTTTTCGATCCGGTGTGGAGTAAGTCGATCAATGAAATTCTTGTAAACATTCTCGCTATCTGCAACAAGTATGCTCGAGTTATCTATAACAAGCACGTCCAAAACATGACGCATAATTGGAAGGTGGGCATTACTGGGAGCTTCGTGGATAATCGCTTATCTCTCCCTTCTCTCCAACAAAAAAGAATTCAAAATTGGCAAGTACTATGAGGCATATGGAATGTGTAACAGGTGGGGCAACTATAACCTTACCCGCGCCTTTCTCCCTATAAGAAAGAAGGCAGTACCATCATCGCAAACTCTAGCAGTTTCGCCTTCTTGCCTCCCAGCCTCCCTTTCTTAGCCAAGAATTCGGCCTACTTCACATCGAAATTGGGAACGTCGCGCTTCTACGAGTTCCTCGCTGTAGAACACTCGGATCTGCACGTATTCATTCTGCAGCCAGAAATTGTGCGTATAGCTCTCTACTCTAAGGCGGACTAGCCCTGCATCTGAACACGAGCAAGTTAGACCATCCCCACCAGCAATATAGCAAGCTAACGGTTCCACAGTTCAACTTCCCGCGCATTTCACAGTCTGGTTGGCAAGTCCTGAGGCCAAGGAGCTCTCTGGACGCTTTTTGTTTGGGAATTTAGATGCGGAGCAGTTGAAGAAGGATGTAGCACCGCGTTTGAAGGAAGACCCGATCTTCTTGGGAACTTCCCTGGGCGGGTTTCGCTTCAGTAACTAGCTTTTAATACCACCCTTCGAGCCTCTGATAGAGTCGACCAACTCATGGATATCGGCATGGAGATCTCATACCATTCGATGTGAATTACTGACAGTGAAGAGCTCCGATCCTGTCAGGCTGGCCAACCAGTGAGTCAGTCAGTTATCAGTCGAGCTAATTCTCCAACTGATAGACTGATCAAAATGAGAGCATCCAACTGATCGACTGTCAGTCACTTATAAGTGCTGATAAGTTAAGAAAACGTGACTTTTGATCACGTTCTCCTACCAAAAAGTGGCTTTACTAGGTTATTATTAGAGTATATATTATTAAAAAATGTAAACGTATAGATTGCACAGCACAATAAAAGAGTACACACCAAGAGAGTACACACCAAGAGAGTACACACCAAGAGAGTACACACCAAGAGAGTACA